TGATCAAGAGGTAAGGCGTGGGGGCTTTGACATTTTACCTGATCCTAGCTCAATGATCGACCGCCATCCTGCAATAAGTCGCCCTGGGAAGACATGCGTATGAGTAACCCTGTGCCCTGCTGTCATCTAGAAATCTCCCATGCAGTCTATTTTCTGACTCCTCCAATAGCGGATCGCTCCATTGATTATAAGCTTGGGTTCTCGGCATTGGACCTTTGATGACTTATTTCTTTTCGATATTTCTCCCTACACCGCGCTTTCTATTTCTCCTAGGTACTCCCTGATCTATTGGCTCAGACATGCTGCCTCAAAGTACCACGAAATTTAGTCCCTATTTGTGACTTTGAACATCTAGGAAAAGAAAAGAGGGAGCACAAAAAAGAGAAAAAGAAAAAAAGAAAGCGAAAAAGAAAAAGAAAAAGAAGCATTTGCCCCGTGGGCCCTTTCCCTTTCCTGTCCGACACCCGATGCAATCACTCGTGCTTCACCCTCCGAGCCTCAGTATCCCCCAGTTCGGACAACGATTCAACCAGGGCCCAGAGCGGCCGTTGAATCGATCTTGGTCCCCCAATGCTCGAGGGTGTAGCCCCCGGGCTCCTTTACACCATCAATCTATGTCTGGATCCCCTCCAGCAAAACCCTCGGAGCTATCCGCAGAGAGCAAGCCTCGGGGATATCCTTCCTCTCCTGTAGTTACGGCTGAGCGGTCTGCTGTGCCTGCATTGGATCTATCGCAAGCACCGGTTAATGAGCCACTGCCACGGTTGGGATATAACGAACAGGGGCCGGTATATGCTGGATCTCCACTGCCAGGAGCAGGAGCACCGCCATGTCCACTCCCAACACTGGACCCAACGCATCCCGCAGGTCGCTCACTGGCACAGAAATCAACCCGACGCACAAAAGCCCATGTGGCATCGGCTTGTGTCAATTGCAAGAAAAAGCACCTTGGATGTGACCCAGCTCGTCCGTGTCGACGATGTGTACTTGCTGGAAAAGCCGTAAGTGTTGAGAAAAGCCCCAACCGTGGAATCGCAACTAACGAGCAGGGGGAAAAGTCAACATGTGTGGACGTCACGCACAAAAAGCGAGGACGACCCCCGTTGAAAGCAGAGGATTCGTCACTTAGGTCCTATACCACACATTTGGATAACCCGACTATTCCTGCAGAGGCCCAACCAACCATGCCCCCGCGGCGGACCATTATGCACCGGGCCACGTCTTCACGAGAACTACGGCCCATGACGGATCTACAGGGATTGGGAGATGTAAGTTCAGGAGTACGGACACCACATCGGTGGTCGGCTTCGGTATTTCCTCTGACACGGCCTATGGACCCATCCCCTACCGTCCCGGGGGGTATGATTCGACGCCCATTCTCTTCATCCGGACCACCGTCGCATACAGTACCCACACATCCACATGTACCTTCACCATACATGCCAATGGCAGGGTTCAATCCGGCCCTGAAAGTCAACACCATGCATGGTGGCATGGAGCGACGATTCCCAGCATACGGCGTCCCAGCATTGCCACCGCCAACATCACCCCCTCAACATCAGCCGCCCGTCGGCATCCCCTTCCTACCGTATACTGAGACACCTGGCAATCCTATCCGCACAACGAATGATCCGCGAGTATCGCTATCACCTCGGGACCCATATAACATCGAATCCCCGGTCCGGCTCCCTCCAATCCACCAGGCCACAGCCGGACCACCCCCTCCCCACCATGTCCATCGCCTGAGCGACCCATACCCGATGAACTGGACTTTCCCGGGCCGAGAAGAACCCCTCCACGACCCCCGCTCTCTACCTCTCCACAGATCTGCAGGCCCAGCCTTCAACTACTCCCTCCCTCACCAACGCTCCTCCTCCATCACAAGCGCAACCATGGACCCTACACCCCGCCACCTCGGGCCAGTGGAATTGCCATCCCCGATCCAGATGCCATCCGCCAACTCGCCTTCCATGACGAGGGCTGATCCACCCAGCACCGGGGCTGAAGGTCAAGATAACAGACCGATCAAACGGCGCAAGATGGCTTTGGATGATATGGTCAACGGCTGATAACGGCTGATAACTGCACTTCTCTCGATCCCATCTGCAACCTGATACTGATACTAATCGGAGGCTGGAGTTCCTCCTTGTATTGTATAATCATACTGTTGAATCCCCGTGGTAGGGTCTACGGGGACTAATCATTTCCGTGTACGGGTCTTTCGGTGCGAGCACTGAGCAAGTGACTCCATGGACAGTTTGGTTTCATCTCATTTCGTGGTTTAATCCCGTTCCATATCTCTCCGTTTTGTTTTCAAAATGCAGGACATGAAAAGCATACGTCTCATTTCCCGGTGTTTTCCTTTTTCCTTTTTTTCCTTTTCCTTTTTCGCTTTTCCTATGTTATTTGCCAGGATATCCCAACCGCATTGTTTCCTGGTTCTGCTTCTGCATTTGCAATTATCCATCCCATCTCCTCATGTATCTCCGATTAACTTGTCTCTGGACAAAACAGAAGATGGGCTAGTTGAGGATCTCTTTGTCTACCATCTATCTCCTTTGTCATATCTCCATCTCATTTGTCATGCATCTCATTTGTCGATCTTTGATTCCCCTTCTCGCGAGTACCCCTATAGTTGATGCGCGATTTTTTGTCCCCAGGATATCATGGCATGGCGTTTCGCGGCGAACATGGGGGTGGTCTTGCATTGGCTTTTGTTCTTTATTTTCTTCTTTTTTGGCGTATATGAATTGTATGAATTGTCATTTTCAACTTGGTTTAGCTTTTCTGGCTTTGTGTCTGCGCGTTGTAGCTATCTGTATACATGTGTAGGTGTATGTATATACATGTAGGAACTGAAAGACGACTTTCTATTCAGTCTCAGACCTGGTCTATATCATTGTTCTATAGGGTGATGGAGGATCTTATTTTTCTTTTTTACATAGAGATGGATAGAGCATATACAGCTTTTGCTTTAATGCCAGTCATGAGAACAACAACGAAGGCCATCCATGGATGAGGTTTGCCGGCATAATGTAACTTCCAGATCAAGGATTTTCCTATATTTAGTCACTTGCTTCAGTTCATTTTCATTTGGACAACATCCAGGGAATTGCCGACTTATCTACCTTGCTTCGAAATCAGAACAATTAAAACCTATCACGATCTGGGCAAAAAGTAACTCGGGCAATGATATCATAGAAATTGTACGAGCAAAAAATATTAAAAAATGCACTAAGAGGGAATCGAACCCCCGGCACAACATAACTTGTAGTCAAAGACCACTGGAAGTGTTATATGTTACCACTACACCATTAGTGCTTGTTATGATATTTCGTTACTTATTTGATTTATAACCTGATTTACTTTCAAATGATGCATACCTTTGACTATTGGGTTTGCGCACTGTCGGGATCTACGTATAGGAATTATTTGCTGTAAATGCCAAGACGGATGTCAGTAAAGTTGTAATTGCAATAGCTGTAACTTATTCGTGGTAAAGTGTGGTCGGAAATATTATCCAGGTGTCATTCTTACTATGGCTTCAGACTAATATATATCACCGGCATTTTACTCTAATATGTATGTCAATTTGACAAAACAACAATTTAATTTCGAGTGAGGGAGCAAATAACAGAACCTCCAATACAAACCAATGGATCAAATTACTAGGTTCCAGAAGTATCGCTGCAAGGCGGCATTGTGCATGAGAAATTTGCTAGGTAAACGCGTGGTGAGACAAAGACTCCAGAGATAAAAACCCGCCATTTTCCTCCCATCGACCTTTCCTATTCCCCACTCTATTCCTACATAATCTATACTACCATAGTTGGTATATATGTCCCTTCCGTCACTTGTGACAGGACATTTAGCTCGAAACCAAGAAACAAGCACCCTGAGGAGGTGCACGACCAAGTCAGATGGCGTCTCCCCCGGCAGAAGAGGGATAATTTCCCTCTACATCTGCCTCCCGGAGCGACCCAATCATCCATGTGGTCTCCTTCGAGAATTATTGTCTTCTCGCAAGCGACGTGCCATTTGACTTGGTCATGCACCTCCTTGGCGTGCTTGTTTCTTGCTTTCGAGCCAAATGTCTTGTGACGAATGATGGAAGGGACGTATGTAATGATGATACAGAATCCCCTAGCACATTGTATGTCAAATAGTTTGACAATTTTATGGATTTGAGCTTTTCTAAGCCATACTTGCCTCTGGCTACGCAAGGTGTATCGACTCCTCCAACTACCTCTTAGCGATTCACACTCAAACTTCGACATAGATCTAGGGCATCGAGGAATAACTCTGCCATAAGAGATTTATCTATAATATGATAAACGTATAGTAAAGCACAATAAGAAGTGATTAGACATAATAGACATCATTTCAATGCAACTACAACATAAGCGATATGGCAATTCCACATTCACGTCATAAGATGCTCCATAAGATGCTCCACTCCATATCACTCTTCCCCATTTAAAAATAAAGAACAGTGCTCCAATTTGTCGGACTTAGTGATTCCCGTAATAGCATCCATGGGTCTGTTCTGCGCTAAATTAAAATAGGAAATTTCTGCGTATTCGCGCTCCCAATATGTATTTTCAGTCTCCAACAACCTAAGTCCGCAAGAACGAGACCAATCACTGATAGATATATCAATATTTGCATCGGTTCTAGGCTGCCAGTTTTAATACCTAGTTTATATCTAGTGTCCCTCGCAACGTAGCTACCACCCAAAACGAATACGACGTCGCTCTACTGCGCCTTCGCGTGGGCTATGGAGTTCGATCTCTCTAACGCAAAGCCCATCAAGGCTCGGCGAACGCATCGGAAGTCGCGGCTAGGTTGCGCCAATTGCAAGAAACGTCACATAAAGGTAGGCCTCTTGCTGTTATATTTCCCAGATCCTTTTCAGTTGAGCCCTTATTTCACCTAACTTTGTGCCTTAACACATTTCCAATTCACCATATTCTCATCTTGTATACACGCGTATCATCACTATGTTGGGAATACTGCAAGCGCTATTTTGCTTCCGTCAACGATACATCGAGCTACCCAAAGCTGACCCGGTTCAGTGCGACGAAAAAAGACCAGCCTGCTCCAACTGTTCAAGCCATCGGATCGAGTGCGGGTATCACGACACTGCAGAGCCAGTCAGATCACAAACCCCAGAATCTGCCACTGAGCGGCCATGTCTGAGTCGACACCGAAATTATCGCCATGCCGCAGGCAGACTCAAACACTCTTTCAAACTATCCAAGATTCAGCCACCGCAATATACCAAATCGACTGGAATACAAAGTAGCCTGTCATCGGGCTTGACCAACGCCATTTCCCTGACCGACCTACAACTCCTACACCATTACACAATCGACACATACCAGACCATGACGACTAGTCCAGATCTCCAGACGATGTGGCAGAAAACCCTCGTGCAATGGGGGATTGAATTCCCATACATTCTACATCTCATTCTCGCTCTATCTGCCCTCCATCTGGCCCACGAACAGCCAGATCTCCAAGAGCAATACATCCAACAAGCCGACGACCATTTCAGTTTCGGAGTCCGATCAGTTACAAGCGTGTTCTCCGAGCTGAACGCCGACAATTGCCAGAGAGTTTACATGTCCGCCGTTATGATATGTTTTATATACTTCGGCAGAGGCCCACGGCCAGGACAATACCTCATCTTCAGCGACAGCGGACCGGCCGAGTGGGTGGTTCTTATGCGCGGAGTGCGATTAATTGTTATGTCTCACCGTGCGAAAGTCTTCAGTGGGGTTCTCGAGATAAGACCCAATAACCAGAGCCGGGACCTGACAGCCGAGATGCGCGATGGATTGCACGAACATACCATCCATACGGAAGCAGTCAGACAACTCGTTGAGAGGGATATGCCCGACGATGAAACCCGTAGCAGACATCTGGCTGTTATTGAGGATCTCTTCGAAATCATGCGCGAGGTTTACGAGAGACGATCTGGCGGGTCTTCTGGTGTGGACTTGATGGATCTTGTAATGGGATGGTTTTATCGTCTTTCTGAAGAGACGATTGGATTTTTAGAAATGAAGGAGCCACACATCCTTGTAATACTGGCGCATTGGGCTGTGCTTCTGAAATACATGGACTCGGCGTGGTTTATGGATGGCTGGGCTGAACATATGCTATCGGGGATTTCTACGTATCTGCATGAGGGCTTTCGTCCGTGGATTAAGTGGCCGTTGAAAAAGGTGTACCAAACTCAGATTGAATAGTTTTGTATACCGTTGAATCCAATACATTGGAGGGATATTTTACGTGTATACTGAGAGTGCTGAACACCTTGATACCACAGTTTTCAAGTCGATCAAATTCCTACTCACCAGAAAGAAGCTCGGAATATCCGAAAATATTAAAAATTCTGCCTAGGCTATGAAACGACCAGGGTTCCCTTTTACCTGCCCAGGTGTAAATCAGAGCAAATAAGCATGTCCAGGTGGAACGGATCGGGTGGGTCCGCCGCAACGCGTATTCGTTCCAAAAGTTTCCTAATCAGGTAATGGCCACAGATCGTCGAGGAATAGGGCATTTAAACTTGGTTTAAAAATAGGCGGGCCGTCTCATAAAGGCTTGACAATTCCTTCACTTGTATCTAGAGTATCCGTTAACCTTTACCATCGATTTCTCTCCTTCACAATGGATATCGACTTCCACCCCGGTGTCAACGGGTCCAAGCCATATGTCATCTTCTACCCATATACGCCCTCCGAAACAGCAGGCTATGCATTCATGGCCATGTTTGGCGTCATGACGATTGTCCATATTGTCCTGATGTTTCCATATCGCGCTGCATATTTTATTCCTCTTGTTCTGGGAGGTGTTTGTATTACTCCCCCGTCCGTAAGGTGCTAGATTGGAACCCGACTAACACAATCTTAACCAGGTGAAGTATTCGGATACTACGGCCGAGCATTATCCCACAAAGACAGAACAGATATCGGCTCATGGGCCCTCCAAGAAATGCTCATCCTTTGCGCCCCGCCTCTCATCGCCGCAACAATCTACATGGTCCTCGGTCGAATCATTCGTTCCTTCGGCGCAGAACATCTAGCCAGCATGACCCCTAAAAAAATCACAGTCATCTTCGTATTGAACGATGTACTCACTTTCTGCACGCAATTAGGTGGTGCGGGTGTCCAAGTCACCGGAGACCCGGATGTCATGGCCGTCGGTAAGAAGGTCGTCCTAGCAGGTCTGATCTTCTCCCTAGCTGTGTTTGCCTTCTTCATTTGGATTGCAGCGACCCTGCAGCGACGACTTGAGCAAAACCCTACCGAGATTTTGACCATGCACGACATTCATTGGCGGCGGTACATGCTGGCTTTGTATGTTGCCTGTTTTGCATTGATGATTCGAAATCTTGTCCGGACGATTCAGTTCGGGGCGGATAAGAGTTCGGACGTCAATCAAAAAGAGTTGTATATCTATGTTTTTGATGGATTTCTTATGTTCTTTTCTATGCTTGTGTTAGTTGTCTACCATCCCGGTCTCCTAATCAAAAAGGCTCGTCGAGCGAGGAAGGTTTCTGATTTTCATGAGCCTCTGACGAGTGAGAACCGGGTGCCGGATATTGAGTTGACTCGGTATTAGCCATGGATGATGGCAGCCTGGAATGTGCTGGTCACTATCTTGATTGCTGGTTCGCTTTTGATATTTCCTCTCTTCACGTTTACGAAGCTGTATAGGCGCCATGGGTCAAAACCCACGTTGCATTGTGAGGGACTTAGATGATGGCGCATGAGTCTTTTTTTTCTTTTCTTTTTTTTTCCGTTACGCATTTCTACTGGGAAAAGAACAACAAAAACAAAAACATACAACAGTGAGGATTCGCTACTGGTCACCCACCCAACTACTAACTTACCGGCATGTGGCTTATATACCCTTATTCCGTAACAAATTAGAAGCGCTCCATGACTATCTGCTCGAAAAATCCGGTCTTTACCTAGATAAGATGGTCGTTTTCCTCTAGTATAAGTTCTAGGCTCGGGTTACCACGTCTAGTATTAGAAGGGCCCTTATTGCTAAAGGTTGGTCTAAAAAGACTGCTCGAAACAGGGCTAAGGAGCAGAATGCCGATCTGCGGGAATGGTATCTACACAATTTATCGGACTGTCACTCGTATCACTTAGTATACCTTGATAAATCTGGATATAATAAACTGGTTGGATTCAGGCGGACAGGTTGGTCACCGCTTGGCCAGGCTCCTGTGCAGGTATCACAATTCCACCGCGACCAGCGATATCAGATACTCCCTGCGTATGCGAGGCGCGGGCGCGTCAGTCATTGCTTCGACTATGATGTATTGCTTTTGTGGCCTCTTTTCTATCTTGAAGACATGCTGTGATGTAATAGATAGTCTGAGGACGCAAAAAGGACGTGACGGCGTTGCTTTATGTTGTACTCATGTCGGGGCCTGTTGAATAATCGAAAAATCGGTGGGTCGCCACGATTGGCCCGAACTGCGCCCAAAGTTTATGGCTTTGAAATTGGCTGGAGTTGGAGATAACGGGCTCTCATGGTCCGAACGTCATCAACTCATCATCAAGACCGCCGCAACGAGGAATAGAAATCGAATCATCGACCTTAGCTTGCTCCATAATTCTCCATCTCCAACGCTCCGAAATACCTTCATCCGCAGTGTACAGTGTACAGCATACAGCGTACAGCTCTCGCAACATGTCTTCATTCACTCAGCCGACGCCAGTAGTTGCCTGCGGGAGAATACCCGCGATGGGGAAATCAATCTCCCAGAACCTGCTGCCTGAATATGAAGGTTCTTGATATACATTCCTGAAATAAACAAAGTATGGTGCTAATGCTCCTCAGTTATCCACTTCATCCTGTCATATGAGGCTGCAGAGGCTGAGCTCCCGCATCTGCTTGCAGGTCGCGATCCTCAGTCTCGGAGCCCCAATGAGATCGGAACCCACGATTACAGCCGGCCTCCTCGCGCGGTAATCTTCGGTCGCGGCTATGAGCCTCAGCAGGTTGAAGAGCTTAAGAAGAAATTCGCGGGTGTTACTAATGAACCTGTTGCTTGGGTGAGGGGGAACCCAGCGGATTTGCCTGCCGGGGCCGCTGGGCCTGACTATGCTCAGAATATCGCGGCGGAGATGAAGAAGGTGCTTAAAAAATGGAGGGACGGGGGAGGAAAAGATGAGGAGATTTTGGTGTACTAGTTGCTTTGTCGGGGAGAGATTATTTGATGCCTTGCTTTTTGCCAGTTCGAATCTGATCTGGCAGAGGCCAGAGAGAGAGGAGAAGGTTGAATTCTCTATCTGAGAGACTGGCTAATGTACTCGCTAACAAACATGTGAAGCCTGACAAACCAGGTATCCATCTACCTGCGTGTCATAACAGAATCTCACACAAAGTCAAGGGCCGATATCAAGGATATTTGTAAGTGGTCTTGGACTTCGCTAGTTGGTTCCCTGGGCTTCGATCTTTTGGCGTTTATGGGATCGCTGGGCCTGCTCTCTTCACAAGTACTCCCTGTCATGTCATCTCTCGTCGCATTGGTTTCCGCACAACTTATGTGTCAAGACACCACGAGACGCGTTCTGGAATTTGGAGCAAATTTAACTAATTATGAAAGCCTTTGAGCTGTAATTATTGTATTCTAAGGAGGTTCCATCACGAATATGGATGCCGCGCGATAACCGCCTGTGGAGGTTGAATAGGGAGGTTTTGCTGCGTATTAGTCTCTCTAATACTTCGAGTATCGCGCACGTCCATACGGCTAAGTCAAGCAAGTTAGAACCGATTGAGTTCCCTGAGGATTCATTTGAAGCATTCATGCCGAACATACCACAGAGGACAGGATCCTGATATATTGAGCAGCCAGCCATCTACGCATTTCGCATGGTATTGATGATGGCAGGGAAGACTCCGTAGGAGCTCGCCCCCCCCCATGAAATCTTCAGAGCAGACTGCACAGATCGAGTTGCTGCTTCCGCATAAAGCATGCTATTGAAAATTAGATGTGATTGAATGATTGATGGATCCACCTACCGAGCCATCCGGCCTCGATAATGCGAGATTTTGATCGGCAAGCTCTGGACTGAATGTCCTGCTGGACTGACTGCTGCTGGTCTGTTGGCAGGTTATGCCTCTCTCCACGTCAGGAGTAGCGCTGCGTGTTCTGCTGCCGGGGAAGTCCCCAGTTCTGTACGTGGGTATTTCATTCAAAGCTGTTCTCGATAGTGTCTTTCTTCGGCTCCTTCGATAGGAGGCCGGTGTACTAGGGCCCCTGTTATTTAAATTTGAGCCTGGAAATTCGCAGCGAACTCGTCGGGGAGCTTGCAACTTTAAGGTAACAACGACCATGCATAGAAGGACGGGTATGATCGCGATGAAGCAGTAGCCAATGATTTCTCCTGAGGGAAATGTTATTCGGTGCTTCTAATGCTGCTCAACAGGGGAGATGTACCAGGCTGAGGCTCAGGATTTTGATTTTCCATGGGGTGTTCAATGCTAAAGTAACAAGGGGCGTCAGCCTTGCATTTTGGTGTTAAGAGGATACCGTTACTAGCTAGGATACGGTTGTTCTGCATGCCTTATCTTGATTATCTTAATTTTCTTGATTGGCTTTATTGTAGTGTTGCCATACTTGACGTCATCTTGTTCTACAGAGCTACCTCCAGTACGACCTAGTATTCAAGACAAAGCTGTGCATATAAAGTGGGAACCTGCCCCGCATCCACGCACTTAATTTCGAGGTCAGCCAGTTATCTTTCCAGGTTGTGCGGTGGTCTGCGACCCGACCCACTTCAACCGGGGAAAATCACTTGGAACCAAGGGATTTTGACACTACTCCCGGCTCTCACAGAAGAACCTCTATGCTTGAATGGAGTGATGATATCAGTATGATTATGGACCTTGGCATGAACTTCCCACTTTTTTTAATTTTTTTTTTTTTCGGGCGTAGCTTTGGTTCTTAAAGGGACATTAACTGAAGTTTTCTCAAAACATGGGGTTTACGATTGGCTATCGCGGAAAACCAATCATTCACTTTACGAATTCCCACAATAAGCCAGCTTGTAAAAAGAAAGACTGAGCTGGCTAGCAATGGTTCACGTCAAGAGACCGAAAAGTCCGGAGGACCAGGACTGAGCCAGCCTCCTCACTGCTTGTCCTATACTGCAGTCTTAGAACAACTTTCGACGGACGCAGATGACGGGCTGACAAATGCTGAGGCTCGCTCACGTCTGGAAACTTACGGACATAACCGCCTGGAGGAGGGCGAAGGTCTCTCGATTGGGAAAATACTACTGCGACAAATCGCGAATGCGATGATGCTTGTGAGTTCAGCCTGTTTGCCTTAATTTTTTTTAAAGCAGAATTTGGTTTCGTGCCTTTCACATTGCGAAAAATGAAGATCAGTAATGCGCCATTCTAAATCTGTCTGCTGGCAGGTGTTGATCTTAGCAATGGCCGTCAGCTTCGGCATCCAGTCTTGGATCGAGGGCGGCGTTATTGCTGGAATTATTGGGTTGAATATCGTCGTCGGCTTCTTCCAGGAGTACGCGGCAGAGAAGACAATGTCGTCTCTGCGATCGCTGACAACACCCAGCGGGACCGTGTCCAGGGATGGCAGTACGGGTATCATTCCTGCCATTGAAATCGTCCCCGGGGATATTGTCGAAGTGAAGACAGGCGAAATGATCCCGGCTGATCTGAGGTACGGCTGTTACTCGCTACCAGTTGTCTGTAATAGAGAGGTAGTCTGTAATAGAGAGGTAGTCTGTAATAGAGAGGTAGAATCTGTGCTGATGTTCAACGAGCAGGCTGATTGAGGTGATCAATTTCGAGACAGACGAGGCACTCTTGACGGGCGAATCTCTGCCTGTTCAGAAGGACTCTGAGGCAACGTTCGAAGAGGATACAGGGCCTGGTGATCGCCTGAATATCGCATATAGCTCGAGTACTGTGACTAGGGGGCGAGCAAGGGGGATTGCTATTGCAACTGGTATGGACACAGAAATCGGAAAGATCGCTGCGGCACTACGTGCCAGCGGGCAAAAACGCCGACCCGTGAAGCGTGGACCTAGTGGCGAGACTAAAAAGCGATGGCATGTTCAAGCATGGGCGTTAACTGGTACTGACACAATTGGCCGCTTCCTCGGGGTGAATGTTGGGACCCCTCTACAAAAGAAATTGTCCTAGCTGGCAGTTGGTTTATTCGGTATTGCAGTTGTCTTTGCTATTGTGGTGATGAGCGCTAACTACTGGAGGGATAATAATGAGGTGATTCTCTACGCTGTCGTAATAGGGCTTAGTATGATCCCTGCCTGCCTTGTGGTAGTACTTACGATTACCATGGCAGTCGGGACAAAACGGATGGTGCAGCGCCATATTATTGCCCGAAAACTAAGCTCTCTAGAGGCGCTTGGAGCGGTAACAACAAACATTTGCTCTGATAAGACAGGCACATTAACGCAGGGCAAAATGATTGTGAAACAGGCGTGGGTTGCTTTACTGGGAACCTATTCCCTCGAGGGCGGTAGTGAACCTTTCGACCCGACAGTTGGAGAAATCAGCTTTCAGGCACTTGCTCCAAGGAGCATTGTTGAGGAGAAGACGGCTGCAGAGACCAAGAAGCCCGACGAACTGCTTGCCGACAACAAAGAGCTTGAAGACTACCTCAATGTCTGCTCGTTGGCCAATTTAGCACATGTCTACAAGAAGAAGCACGAAGGCGGCGAGGGCGATGAGGGCAATGAATGGCATGCCCGGGGAGAGCCAACTGAGATTGCCATTCAGGTCTTTGCATGTAGATTTTCTTGGGACCGCGACCGCCTGACCAAAGGGGAGGACGCGAAATGGACGCAGAAAGTGGAGTTTCCGTTTGATTCGGATATCAAGCGGATGACCGTTGTTTACACGAATAATGCCGAGAAAAAGTCCGTGGCATTCACCAAAGGCGCTGTTGAGCGCATCCTGGAGAGATGCTCTGAATGTGTCTTCGAACAAAGTTCCCCGCCGAGTAGCCTGTCCGACAATCATCGTGAGCAGATCATGAAGAATATGGAAGCTCTAACACGGTCGGGACTTCGTGTTCTCGCCCTTGCAAAGAGAGATGCTACTCCAGATACGGAGGACCGGGCGGAGGTCGAGAAAGATCTTTGCTTCCTAGGCTTGGTCGGGATTTACGATCCGCCTAGACCCGAGTCCACTAGAGCTGTTGAGCTATGTCACCACGCAGGCATATCAGTGCATATGTTAACGGGCGATCACCCTGGAACTGCAGAAAAGATTGCTCAGCAGGTGGGCATACTACCTGATCTTCAGCAGGTGGCTATAGATGTTGCACGGGCTATGATCTTCACTAGCAACCAATTCGATAACTTATCCGAGGAAGAAGTTGACGCCCTTCCTGTTTTACCCCGAGCCATCGCCCGCTGTGCGCCACAGACTAAAGTCAATATGATCGACGCACTTCATAGGCGCGGGTGCTTTGTCGCAATGACAGGAGATGGTGTGAATGATTCTCCATCTCTAAAAAAAAGCGGATGTGGGTATTGCTATGGGACAGAGTGGTTCAGATGTGGCTAAAGATGCTTCGGACATTGTGCTAACTGATGATAATTTCGCATCTATTCTAAACGCAATTGAAGAAGGTCGTCGGATCTTCGACAATATTCAAAGATTTGTACTTCACCTACTATCAGAGAATGTCGCCCAGGCGTGTACTCTGTTAATTGGCCTCGCGTTTAAGGATGAAAGTGACCAGTCCGTCTTTCCACTATCACCAGTGGAGATCCTCTGGGTTATCATGATTACTTCTGGCCTACCAGACATGGGGCTTGGTATGGAAATCGCGGCTCCGGACATCATGGATCGGCCTCCGCAAAGCGTGCGTTTTATCCTTTTATCCCCCATAACTAAGCTTGTCGACATAACTAACAGGCGCCTCCACAGAAAAAAGGAATTTTCACATGGGAGGTGGTCGTGGATATCCTTGTTTATGGCCTGTGGATGGCCGCGTTGTGTCTCTCGTCATTCTCGCTAGTGATATGGGGTTTTGGCGACGGTGACCTTGGCCTGAACTGTAACAGAGATTTCAATCCACAGTGCGAGCCTGTGTTTCGTGCACGCGCAACAACCTTTATTTCGCTTACCTGGTTCGCCCTATTTCTTGCATGGGAAATGGTTGACATGCGTCGATCATTCTTCCGCATGCAGCCAGACTCGAAGCGGTATTTCACTCAGTGGATGTTGGATGTGTGGCGGAATAAGTTCTTGTTTTGGGCTATCCTAGCAGGTTTTATCTTGGTTTTCCCTGTTGTCTATATTCCTGTTATTAACCATGATGTGTTCAAGCACTCCGGTATATCATGGGAATGGGGTATAGTTGGCGTGGAGACTGTTTTATTTTTTGCCGGCGTGGAAAGCTGGAAATGGGCCAAGCGGATCATTCTCAGAAGATCCAGGAAAGCAAAGCATGAAAGCTCTCCCTCGGAGATAGTCTAGCGCTGCTCTAGCGAAGGGTTTGGGGTGCGCGGTGCTGATGGTAGAAACTCTTCATTATCATGTGTTAGCGATACGAGAACAAGGAGCAGAGTGGAATGACTGTATTGGCATAGACTAACAGAAGACTGGGGAGGAAGAGAGAGAGAGAGGTTGAGAGCGAGGAAGGAGGTAAACATTACTAGCCTGGCAAATCAGGCATCCACAAAAGTCACGTGACTAGAGGCTCAACATCATGTCGCTATTAAAATACGAGGAAAACCACCGTTTGTTTCATAGAACAAATAAACGATTTGCATCTTTTGGCTCTGTTCGCAACGCCGTCTCTTTCGTGGTCGCTTTGGGGCTTGCCGACATTACAACCTAGAACTGTGAAAGTCGCTAATAATTAACCATCCGAACTTTTTATTCCAAACGACATTGACACGCCGAAGGTCTTCGCGGATGCCAACCTTGGAAGGTTGGGCGTTGTGCTTATTAATCATGCCCGACCACCTGGGCAGCCCTCGGGATTGTTGTAGTTAGTGGGAGAACCTTACCATTGTGAATTTCACCAATACGCTCGCCATATTTTGATTTTTGGTCAATCTTTATTTTGGATATCCTGGCGAAAACACGGCGCCAACTGTATCAACGCTGTACTACCACCCAAAAAAAACCCCAGAAACCTACATAAGGTAGTGGTCCGCAGAGCGTTTCGGCCCATAGATCCATGGATCAATGGTGACGGTTCCTACTGAATCATGACTAATCTATCACTTCAGCCCTGGATCCCTCCAGGGCTGGAGTGAACCCGAGTCCGGGACAATTCGGATTCGGTTTGGGTCCCTCTATCCGAGGTCGGGACTACGTATATTCGCGGCCGACCCGGGCGGCGCCCAGGACGGGAGTGCCATGGGAAGTGTTCTCTTTCGGGATTTCGAGGGAAACGAGTCCTTGGCTGACCGGTAACTCCATCGACGGGCTCCCGGAGAACAGCACTTGGCCGGACCATGCCTGCTCGGAGTAGCCTCCTCCGAAGTCGTCCATCATGTGGAATTCGCCGAGAGCAATAGAACCACACCGAGTCCTTTTGAGTCTTCCGGCTGTTCCGAATAGCACCGGGGTCGGTTTCTCCTTCCCCACCACGTAACTTAATCTAGACCTGTCCCCGCACTCACCGTCGCAGATGGCCCCGATAATTCACCGAGTAGCATGCCGATCAGCCAATTTCGTGAGAAACCCCTCGCCCATCTGCGGGCCCTGCTCCCCCTATACATGTTGTTAGCGGAGTGCTGTATATGGAGTACCGAGATTTCCATTGGAAACATATATTGAAGTTCTGGATCAGTGCGCTGCCAAGGCTGAGATATCCCTCAACATCGCCAAGGTTAAACTAGAGATGACCTCACAAAAAGTTAATCCCCCACGCATCTCTTGTTCCCTCCGTGTGTATTCTTCCCTTTCTTCTAATGAAAGAGAACAGTGAAAACAAAGGTTAACGGGGTTTTTATGCGCCAATTCACGTATTTCACCCCAATATAAAGCGAAAAGCGGGCCGATATCTGGCACAGCAGTTTTGCGGGGCTTGGGAAACCTTCCGCGTTTGCGGAGGCGTCTCCACGGGGAAGCGCAGCGGCCCATATAATACAAACTTCTATTGGCTTAGAACTAACCGCAACTGAATCCCGCAAAAAGTTATTCACATTCTTATTCGCAAGTGGCGTCGCATCCTGGGGTGTTGGAGTGGATACGTTGAGTGGCACAACTGGGTCCTGAGGCATTGCGAGGTAGGTTGAGCGCTCAAACTTGCCATATACCTGGCAGCAAACTTTTTTTGTGCCCAGAACAAACTCCACCATCGTCTCCATGGTTACTGGTTCGAAGAAGGTTGGATGGCAGGGGGAAGGACCATTGAAGGGACCGTACCTTGCCGCTCTCCTGAAGGCTACACCATTTCTCCTGTATCTTCTCTTTGGAGGTTTGGGGTGCGTAATTAAACCCCACACGACTACCTTGGCGACAAGATACTCCGTATATTCTCCGCAATCCCAATTAGGGTCTTGAAATGGGTCTGAGTTAATGATTTCTGTGAAGCCTGTCATTGGGCGTTGCTTGGCTTAGCACACGAAGCGCCACAACCTGGCTCTCAAGTACTTAAGCCAATTAGCCTCTGCGCCCACTGTCACATTCATCAAGATTGCACAAGAAGAATCTCTCTTCCGCTGCTGCGTAGTTTGCAACCAGTCATTCATTAAACGGCAACTATGTTATTCAAACGACCCCCCAATGAAAAGGGAGCAGCGTGGCCAGCCATCTTGGTAGGTTTGTTCGCGTCCTTCGGCGGCATTCTCTATGGATACGACACCGGGACCATCTCAGGTATCCAGACTATGCCCTACTGGATCGAGGAATTCGATAGCCCTGACGCAGGTCGCATCGCCCTGATTGTTTCTATCTTGTCGGTTGGCACGTTCGTTGGCGCACTCGCAGCGGGTGTCATGGCAGACATTACTGGCCGAAAATGGGGAATCATCCTGTCAGTCATGCTGCCTTTCAATCTCGGTGTGGCGCTTCAAACTGCAGCTACATCCCAGCCTTTGTTCATTGCTGGTCGCTTTTTCGCCGGTCTCGGAGTCGGTCTAGTCTCCGCCCAGGGTGTGTTGATCAGCGAAAATAGCTTGAGGATCCATTGCTAATTGCTCACAGTTCCAATGTACCAATCTGAGACTCTACCGAAATGGATCAGAGGCGCAGTTGTTGGATGCTACCAGCTTTGCATCACAATCGGCCTTTTCCTGGCCGCTATTGTGAATTATGCCACCCAGCACAGGAAAGATAGCGGTATTTTTCAATGCACGGTCGGACTGAGATTTGATCGAAAAGAACTAACAGGCTCGTAGGAAGCTATCGCATCCCGCTTGCCATTCAATTCGCATGGGCTTTAATTCTGGTGAACTCTCCCTCTTAGCAAAGTGCAGTGCGAGTCAATGCATAACTGACTTGGAACAGGCTGGAGGCTTGCTCTTTCTCCCCGAGACCCCTCGTTTCCTGATCAAAAAGGGCGATGACCCCCGAGCCCGTAAATCTTTGGTTTTCCTCCGCCGCTTGAGTCCTGATGATCCAGATATTGCCGCCGAGCTTGCAGAGTTGAAGAGCAACTGGGAGTATGAACAGTCTCTTGGCTCTGCTTCTTATATTGAATGCTTCAAGGGTACAATGGGTAAACGCACAATTACTGGAATAGTACTTCAGTCGCTCCAACAACTCGTCGGTATCAATTTCATCATCTATTACGGTACAAGCTACTTTGCCGAGAATGTCGACGGCCTGCCCGACTCTTTCATCTTGCAGGTGATCGTCAATTGCGTCAATGTGGTCATGACGCTTCCGGGTCTTTGGGCAATTGACCATTTCGGACGGCGCCCAGTTCTTCTGACAGGGGCACTCGGTATGGGTGTGTCCCAATACATTGTTTCGGCCTGTGGCGCTGCAACTCCGATCACGAATTTCCCTTCACAATGCGCCCAGTTCGCTTTTATTTGTATATACGTGTCTTTCTTCGGTAAAGTGAACCCGACCACGATCCAGAGAACCTTTGCTAACGCCCACAAAAGCATCCACATTTGGTCCCTGCGCTTGGGTTGTCACGGGAGAGATTTTCTCGCTTCAGACGCGTGCGAAAGGTCTTTCCATGACCACTGCGGCGAACTGGTTCTTCAATTGGCTGCTATCGTTCATTACGCCATACCTCACTGGAGCACTCAACCCAACCCAGTCCAACGTGTTCTGGATCTGGGGTAGTTTCTGCTGGATCGCATTCGTGTTCACATACACCATGATCTATGAGACTAAGGGGTTGGCCCTTGAGCAGGTCAATGAGCTCTATGATAATGTTTCGAAGGCTTGGAAGAGCCCTGCTTACCGTTCCGAACTCCGCACGGCCTCTGTTTCTGATATCCACCACGCCAAGTCGATCGATGACGATACAAAGCATTCGGAGGTGGCACTTGAGGATGCTGAAAAGGCCTGATCAGCCAATCAGTCCCCGCAATGGATTCTCGGAGGCCGTCGCAATTAAAGGGAACCATCGATCATCCTTTATAAAGACCAGTTGTACCTACAACATAGCCTGTTTTCTTTTCCAGGTGGTCTCCGAACTTTTTCCGAACTTTTGATAGAATGTTCGAAGTGTTTTTCAATGTTGTATTGGGGTTTTACCGATAACACCATGTCAGTATCACCTTCTCTCACCCGTCGTCTGCGCATTCATAATAGCTTTCAATAGATCGAATGTTATGAAGTATTTTATCCTGGGCGTGGTTGTAGGACTAATCTTGGAAGTAAACATAGAAGGACAGATGAAACGTCGCACGAAGTTGGTCGCAGGCAACAAGGCGACAAGACCCACCAGCTCGGGAGTCATTTCCCCATTTAAAACGCGTGAACCACGTGACACAACAGTGTTTGTGTTGAAGATACTTGTTCCTTGTAGTCTTTGAACGATATTCTCGAGGTTAAGAAACTCGCCTATGAAACTATAACATGGTTCATATGCCAGCTGATCAATATGGAGAGTTCGCAAAAAAAAAAAAGATAATCGTCAGCTGCAGGGTTCGAACCTACGCGGGCGAACCCATTAGATTATGAGACATGAAGGACATAGTCCAGGTAGTTCACTGAGGTGGGGGTTAGTACAGATCGGAATACGAGGAATTCAGGGGATACGAACAGTCTAACGCCTTAACCACTCGGCCAAACTGACTGATTGGATGATTTTGACAACGCTACAAGAAATTACATTTTCCAAAGTCACGAAACATTAAATATACAATTGTAACAGCAGGTATCTCTCAAATAAACTGAGGAAAATAAAAGGCTAAATTGAAGCTTATATGTCTAGGATTAAGTTAAGAGTCGTCTTCGGATATTTGCACATCTCAATACACCAGTCTCCCCTTCTTCTGACGGAAGGCCCTGTGAGACATGACCTTACTTGCCTTATTCACAGTACCCTCAAGTGCCCTCGAATCCAGAAGTGGTAAAAAGAATCCAGAATGGCCAATCAATATTCCTGACATGTGCAAAGAGCAAGTCATTAAACTTCTGACAGTCCCGTTCCTTCAAGAAGGTTGATCCCGGGAACGATGCAGTACCGCAGGGTGTATTCTCCAACAGATACTTAAGCAGCAATAAACCAGTTGTCCAGCGCTCTCCTGGCTGCGTGAGTCGGTCGAGCATCTCCGGCTGTAGGTACACTTTGTCATCGCTCGGTTGGAATTGCAGCAGCTGGCAGATCAAACTACAAACCATCGCCATAACACCAGCTTTGTCTTCGACGTTGTAAACCTCGGGATACCCCCGTACTGGGGTCGTTGGCAGATGTAAGATACAAGTTGAGCTCGAGCCCGGATTGCAGTCCAAATAACGTCAAGGGCGGCAAGTTGGGAGCTCGGCCTGTTTTGAAGGGGCTGACAATCCGAAGTTTGAGAGCATTTCCCGGTGTAGAATCGATCCACGGCTGGAGGTGTTGGCAGATCCACTAAACAAGAACCTTGGTTTTTGTGGTGGTCTAGCCATATTTTATTCCGATATAAAACATGCATCTGTGAATTACTGTGTCGGGCTAGTTTTACCGCTTTAGGTTTAGCCTATATCTCACTCTGCTAGCCATCACTTATGCACCGTTATTACCTTATCGCACTCAGGCATACAGCTCGAAAAGAGAAACCAATATATCAAGAACAATGCTGAGTAAGTCTCATCAAACACTCGAAATACAGTATGATGTGCGACACATAAAATTGAGTGAATGGCAATGGCATGGAACGAGTTGGCTCAAAAATCCCAACTGGTAATCACTATCAAACGTCACCAAGTAGCTTCCCTATAAAACGTCTCTGTGCTATCTCCCGAGCGGATAATTTCCGTCTTTGCCGCACGAGGTTCCTTGGATCCCAGTGACACTCCTTCACGTGGATATGGATAGAAATCCCAGGAGTATACCATGAAAGCAATTGAGAGGCTTAAGCACCTCCGCGCCTCCTACGCTGCTGAGAACTCTCTCCTGCCTTTTTCATCCCCTCTTCCATCTCTCGCCTCTTTCTTGCTTCTTCACGCTTTCGCTGGGATTCTTCTGCTGCCTTTCGCATGCGTTCCTCTTCCTCATCATTGGGGACCTTGATGTAGCCGCCGCTATCAGTCATCTTGTTTCTTGAGAGGGTGGCTATTTATTGAGCTGATTTGTTGGGGTAGCAGAAATAGCTTTGGAAGGAGTCTGGTTAAATTATCAGCCGGTAAATCCCAAGCGTGTCAGAGGCATAGGATCCAAAGCTTTACTGCTTAAACCACAGAACCCGAGAAGGTGATATCTCCATCGTGGAAGAATGTCTGGTTCTGGTCCTACAGTAACGGGAAGTTGGCGGCTTTATATAATCTAGGAGTAGGATAATGCTAATCTGGTATTTCGCTAAGGGAGCGGTGGTTAAAGCAACTCAGCAGTGGCGTACCTGATGTAAGTTTCAAACTTTCCATCAGCTGCTTTGCACATTTCAAGATACAAGGAATCTTCCGGTTTGAATGGCCGTCACTACGCAGCATCGTTCAGCGTAGTATAGTAACCCGTAAATAGGAAGACGGGCAGCTACATATCGCCATTTATTGGCTATCAGTGCGGGAAAATCTATCCCCTACATTAGCCATTACACGTGTCCATGATCCCTTATTTGGCTTCGAGGTCTACGTCATCCTGCTGAGTCCAGTCGTTCCTTCCTGCATTGCGAGCTTTCGCCCCCAATGATTTCGTTACCAATGGACAGATACCGCACAGGGCGCTCCCTGCGCAAATTGAGCGTGTTCAGGGGCTACCCGAGGCGGCAGTTTATTAATCCATGCCGTTCCATTTGGCCATTCTCTTAGATCAGCCTGCTTTCCTCTTATTCCACCATTATATTTTCTTCACATTTTTGCTCTCCCTGGTCTGCATCTTTTCCCCTTCACCTCCGCATCTCAGTTGCTCAGATGCCTCAGAAGACATCCTCGCTCAAGACTTATTTTGACGAGCTAGAAGAGACCAACGGCGATGACGAATGCAAGGCCTGGTTAAGCAGAGCTTTTGACTCCAAGGCTGAACTGGCAGTTTTTATCGCTGGGCGGCGGGAAGGAGGGGGAACCGGAAAATACGTTGGTTTTCTGAAGGGATCCTTCAACATTAGCTTCCGCTTCAGCTTCGACGATGGACAGCCGGATGTCATTATTCGGTTTCCGAAGCCCGGCCACACGGCTACAGCTTACAGGGACGAAAAAACTGTGAATGAGGTCCAGATCATGGAATACCTCCGCCAAAACACTGACATCCCCATTCCTCGTGTTCACAGCTGGGGCTTACTTGCCGAGAGTCCACAGCACCTTGGTCCATTCATCATCATGGATTATGTCAATGGTACACTTTTATCAACTATCTTGAAACAACCTGATCAAGACGGTATGGTTCTGAGCCCGAATATCGGCAACACCACATTGGACAAGATCTATTATCAAATCGCCTATTATATGGTCCAGCTTTCTCAACTTTCGTTTGCTAGTATCGGGGCCATCTCGAAGGACGATACTTCAAGCGCATGGCACGTTGCCGGAAGGCCCCTAACGTACAACATGAACGAATTAGCCACTGTCGCCGGCTACCCTGATGATCAATTTCCAACCGCACCGTTTGACCGTGCAAGCGATTATCTGAGATCGGTAGCGAACCAGCACTTGATCCACCTTTGGACCCAGCGCAACCTTGCCGACGATGCGGAAATCGCTCAGGAGCGGTTCATTGCCCGTCATCGGTTCGCACAGCTGATATCAAAGTATTATCCCGAAGACTGCAATCTATTTATACCCTTCTGCGACGACATGCGACCCTCAAACATGCTCATAGACCCAGAAACACTCCAGATCACTGCCGTTCTCGACTTCGAGTTTACGAATGCCATGCCAGCTGAGTTCACGTATGACCCGCCCTGGTGGCTATTGCTCTCTGGGCCGGAAATGTGGCTTGAGCGCTGCGCGATGGATGAATTTGTGACTCTCTATGAGCCTAGAATGGAGCAATTCTTGCGAGCTTTAGAGCGAGTGGAAACTGAAATGGCATTAGAGGTCAAACAACCCGGTGGATCGTCTCTCTCTACCCGGATGCGCGATTCATGGAGGACTGGGCGGTTTTGGTTCGACTATGCGGCAAGAAAGAGCTTTGATGTAGACACCATCTATTGGGCTGCATTACATACCGACGGTGCGGGTGTTGAGTTGCTTGATGATAAGGCGCGCGCAGAGATGGAGCCATTTACGCAGATTAAGATGGAGCAGTTGAAGGCATATAAGGAGGAGTGTACTGCTCGTTTTTCCTCGGAGATGTAGAGGATATGTAGCGATATTGTCTGATCTTCCATCGATGTCATTTTTTCCCTACATCCATCAAAAGTCATGTCCATATATGGAGTGCTCCAGAACACGTATTTGTCGATCCGAATCACTTATAGGTCATCCGCAGAGGAGTAGAAAGTGGTATCTATCTCTCCTAAATATGGATCCAATCGAGATATACGCCCGTCAGCGAAGCCCTCCTATACAGACTCCGACAGAAGCCCCTTCCCGCAGTTTGTTTGTTCCGAAGTATCTCGTATAATAGAGTGGCTTTACTTATCACGGCATAAGTCAGAGTAGAGAAAAAGACAAAAAGAAAAAAGAATTGGCGCCACCCGGAATCGAACCGGGGCTAACACAGAATCGTACACCACAATGTGTCGTCATACCACTAGACCATGGCACCTGTTGAATTATTAAGTAATCCGATTTAACAGTCCATCTGGGGAACACAGATGAAAGTGAGGGAGAGCCTTTGAGTAAAATAAGAAGAGCTGGCGCTGAGCTCTTGGCGGAGGCAGAAACTCAATGGCTTTGATATGTCGTATGGCCCATATGAAATGAGCAGGAAATATATATACGCTAGTAATTATCCTAACGTCAATTAGGTATAGTGTCCAACTGGTACTATACTGAGCAGGCTTTAATATCTAGATGGAAAGACACACTATTCTTTTAGGGCTAAGTCACGGAAAGTCGTGGCCATTCCAACCCCACTCGGCTTACGGCTATCGAATGTTCTGTGAAAGAGGCAACGGTTGGCTCCACGAGTTCACATCTAATTATCTATGTTGTACCTGTATTACCTCAACCACTATCTTGGCCATTCATCCACGGCCTCGTCTCCTCCAGGGCTGTCTATTGGTGATCCGTATCTAACTGGTAAGTAGATCACTAAATTGGATTACTTAATCATCTACTCGGTGCCATGGTCTAGTGGTATGACGACACATTGTGGTGTACGATGCTGTGTTAGCCCCGGTTCGATTCCGGGTGGCGCCAATTCTTTTCTTTTTGTCTTTTTCGCTCCCGCTTATGTTGTATGCTGTATACAGAGTGACAGGACATAAATTTCTGCACTGTCTTAGCCCCAGTAATATACAACTACCCGTGGACGTATCCATGGAATCGAGTACAACGCCTTGCTCTCAATAATAGCGATGCGGCGCCCTCAGAGATGACCCCAATTCATCTCATGTCTGCTGCGCAGTGCCACCAAAGTCTCCTTTGTTGTGTCATTATTCCGCATAGAGAGTGACAACACTGTCTTTATCTTGCGACAAACTCCGTGCTAAACTACTTTATGCATGTCCGTCCTTATGTCCATCATTGGCCGCGGTTCTCAACCTACTCGTCGCAATCAGTATGGTATCACTGTAGCATTTATAATAGCTATCATGTAACATTTTCTCATGCAAGATAGGTGGGATCCGGTGTACAATCCCTCAATAACCAGACCCGTGATACCAGCACGCTCGGCATCAGGGTTACCGAAGAGCGGGATACATAACCGGGTAGCGCCAGAAAAAAGCAGCCTAAAACATCTGCTAAACTTGCTTCCCCAATTCGGTCCTCAACAGTGTCCCTCCTTTGGTTGGTCCTTTGGACGGACAAAGTCCATCCATGATGGACGCCAATCCCAGGCTCAATAGTGCACTCGGGTAAAATGGCGGTAGCGGTGCGCCTATCGGAGGCATTTTGGCGCGTGTTCCTCTTGGGATAATTCCTCTAGCTGTATCGCTATTTACGTATATTCTCGGCATTCAAAAGGCGTTTTATGGAGCGGTAAGTGACCTTATGATCAACCTTAGCAAGGAGCCCTTCTGCCGTGATCTTCGGGTCTTCGCGTATAGCATTGAGTATCAGGTCTTTGTCAGCTTCAGTAAGCTTTTTTGGTCTGCCAGAGCGCGGTTTTGACACGCCATCTCGTCGCTCGCTCTCCTTGTTCACAGTGTAGCGGATTGTAGAGAGTGAAATGTCGGGATAGCGCTTATGAATACGCCTATACCCCCATCCAATAGCATGCAGCTCACATATGCGCTCACGTATAGCAGGGGTAAGCTCTTTGTCCCGCGCCATAGCGAGGCGGTGGTGTGTGTGGTAGAGAGGTTATCACTCTTCACTCGTGGGTGAGTACGGAGTACGCGAACATGAAATCCAGGTCTGTACACCGCCTACGCGCCATTTTGTGCGATTTTATTGGTTGAATTTCATCTTACCCCATCAATTTCTACGCTATACTATTGCTACGATTCACCGCCTATATATAGTTCTGTTCATGTGAAAAAAAGAATTCATCATGCTTCTGGTTTAGAAAGAGATATAAGCTTATAACTGGGCATATTACTATTTTCTAGCGGAAAAAGCCTGTTGTCATGACTATACTGTTCATTCACCATACTTAAAAAAAGACTCGAAATATTCCAAAAAGTAAATAAAGACTTGTTGTGGTATAAAGTGGGGGGGCAAAAAAGAATGGCGCCACCCGGAATCGAACCGGGGCTAACACAGAATTGTACACCACAATGTGTCGTCATACCACTAGACCATGGCACCAGAAGGTATGGAAATTCTGCAGAATTCGTCTACATCAAGAATGGACGTCTATGCCTGATCTTTCACCCACTTCATGTACCTGAGGCTTTCCAGATGTGGACGCGGCACGCTCCCCTGGACCCCTCCACGGCCCGGCCCGCGGGTCCCTGGGTACATACCTACCTAGGTAGGTACCTTGTATGTACTGGATAACCCAAGCAATCCTGGTTTCTGGATCTGGAAGTGTTAGCTGTTGATAAACTCACACGCGCTATTCTATACCATGGCTTCTCCTCGCCATTTTTACCTATTAGGGCTGGCTTCTCATACTGTGACAGGCTGAGCTTATATGGACCTAAAGCGCCATGCTATGTCCAATCCAGAAAGAGGTCATCAACGGGGACTAAGGTGGTAGTCAGGTGAGTTTTCTTTGCTAGGTGGTAACTTTAGGGAACCTTTCGCCGATCAAGGCCTCCAAATTGGGGCTTGACGATGTTCTATAGTTAGTGTAACCCTCTGGTTGATCCTTTGGACTTCAAGTAACGGCCTTCCTCGCTGGTCTTCTTTTAAGGCATCGCGACAGAGGCCGGGGCAACTTCGTCATAAGATTATTGGGTGTTTAATATATATCTGGCTCACAGCAGGATAATTCCACGTACCATGATATTGCAGCTTCTGCATACGTTAATTTATTTGAAAATTATATCTAGGTCAACCAAGCTTATCTGCAGTTAACTAAAAGACATTAAGTGGAAAGCAAAAGTGGTTGTTAAGATATAAATGCAGAATATATGTCGCCTACCCTGCACATAATGGCGGTTTCGATACAACTCAGGATAAGAGCATGAAGCCAAAAATGGATGAAAAATTATTCAACAGGTGCCATGGTCTAGTGGTATGACGACACATTGTGGTGTACGATTCTGTGTTAGCCCCGGTTCGATTCCGGGTGGCGCCATTTCTTTTTTCATTTTTTTTCGCCTTTTACTTTTTTCCCCTCGTGATATAGATAAACCAGGCGGCCGTTTATACGGCCCTAGTCTTTGAGTTCTCAGTGGTACTTTTCGGTAGTCTCCTCAGGTAGTCTGTTTCGATGTCTGCGTCCCTTCTCAGTTTGTTGGGTAGACAGCAGCAAAGGACCAAAAAGGGCTTTAATTTGTGACATGTATTTTCCTATCCTTTGCTAGCACATAGAGGAGCCTTGTCGTCGAGATCGACTTATGTATACTATAGTAGTATGCAACTTAGAGAGGGCGAAAAAATTAGGAGACAAAGGAAAAAAAATATGGCGCCACCCGGAATCGAACCGGGGCTAACACAGAATTGTGCACCACAATGTGTCGTCATACCACTAGACCATGGCACCTGGAAGTACGAAAATTTCATAGATTTTGACTACAGGAGCCTAATCCTCTTATATTGAGATGATGAATACATGGAGATCGTGCTGGTCTCTCTCCTCGTACCCGGCATGTTTTCTATAACGATATTAGAGTGGGGCAGATGGACAAAATGGCGAAGCAAATCATTCAAGCAGAGTTTAAAAAAGCATGGGGAAGGGAGAGGAGACAAAACTTCAATTCACCATTCAGTACATACTTTCCCCCGAGTGTCGCTACGTATTCATCTCTCCTTCCATCTCGCTTCTCTGCAACGCTTCATACACCGGTTATTTCTGTCTTTATCCTCTTCTAAACCAGCAGACACTCGCCGCCGTACCATTGGACAGTATAAAGGAAAACTAGTCACCGACACTGTGGATAGCGCATTTCGGGCTCGCTAAACTGGACTCGCGTGCATGGCGCGAAGGGGGATGCGATCAAGATACCTCAGGATGGGAATGGTAGTCCGGCCAGGTGTACTTACCCTCTAGATTAGCAGAGTAATAAATTTGAAGAAACCAAACTAACTATCGAGAGGAACTTTGAGCATTCCAGATCTCGGCTTTCTCGGCTCCCCAATATCGTCCTTGATTTTCGGACCCGGCCCTTGGACAGAACAATTCCGACTAGGAGTCATCGTAGATGTCGAGTTTCGAATTAGAGAATGAGGGGGAGATAAATTTTGTTGAGAGACAGACTTGGCCCTTTCCTTCTAGATGCACTTATGAGCAAAGCGCTCTTTATACTTGGTTTTGGCCAATCACGTCTTAATATACGACTAGAGTATCCACCCACTAAGTATTGTTAGCGCCGAAACTACAACTACTAGAGATAGATTCTATTGGCTATACTATCTATAGGAAAACACCATGAAATTGGCATGCGCAAGAGCCCATATCATTTCCCTCTATTATAGTTAATATATATGTAAGCTGTCACCGTAACCTTGGAAGTCTAAGTTTCCGTCATGAAGTGGACGGCTGAATACGTGGGTCCACATACGGAACCCTTGTATATCATTTCCTAAACCTGCGTGTTCAGCTCCCCAGCACTCAGTGGGGTTTATGTAGCTGAATTGTCCCTCAACTAGAGATTTTTCCCCTCTTTGTTTTTGCATGTACCGCACCCCTTGGTACTTCTCTCCTTTCCCATCAATATACACAACCCTACAGGATGTTCGACCGACTCAAGGATAGGATTCGCCGCCACAGGCACAAGAATGGACAACAGGTGAGCTATATAAATATAAATACACTGGACTGGCGTTGATACAGGTTCCAAATTGCGAGAGAGGCCACCATAGAATCCTTCCTTCCTTCCTTTTTTTTTTTGGCAAGGCTGATACATTCAATTTCTGAAGGTCAAACCCACACCAGCGAAGCCAGCGCAAGGGAACACGGCAAAACCCCAACCCGTGTCAGCTCCTGCCGCACCAGCTGCCAAGTTGCCGCCTGTGGAAAGCACCGAGTTACCGGCCGAGGAAAAGCCAGCTGAGAAACCAGATGCCCCAAAGGATTTGTGGGTGGAGGCCCTGAACTCTCTCCCTGAATCCAAACAGGAAGCTCTCAAGAAGATGGGATTTAACCAGTCCAGTGCTCAATCTGGATCTGTTGAGTCCAGCATTGAGGATCTGGTTGGCGTGGTCAACCAAAGACAAGAAGAGTGCGAGAAGAAATTTTGGAAAGTCAAAGTCGGCGGCGAAGAGATTGTCCTAAGGGACTATACCAACAATATTGTGGACTGGTTGGGGAAGGCTGGGGATATTGCAGTGCAATTTGCTCCGCCTCAAGCAGCTATACCTTGGTCTGTCATCAAATCTGTCATGCAGGTAATTTCCTCACTATTATGCCTTGCTTTTGTTTCTGGTTCAGGTCGTCCCTCGCGATACTCCAATATTTCTTAAGGTTTCTCTACTCTTTTCTGAACTTTCTAACCGATGGCATCAGATTCCGGTCATCGAAGGCGAGCAAATGGCTGCTATGCTTGCAACCACTGAAAAAGTCGTCCGCGTGATCAGCCGTGGCCAAGTGTACGAGTCTGTGTACCTCAGGAACAAACCCGCTACGGATAGCCTCTCAAAGAACCTTCAATCTGCACTGACCACAATCTATACTACATCGCTGGATGTACTCGCTGAATCGGCAAGTCTGTTCTCCAAAAACACAGCCACACGCACGCTTGAAGCAATCCTCAGTCCGGGCAAGGTCTCTGGCAGTATCTCGGCTATAAGTGAGCAAGAAGATGATCTCCTGCGTGATGTCTCAGCGTGCGAAGTGAGACGCAGTGCAAACGCGGACGACAGCATGATTGAAATGCTGAATGCGTTGAATGCACCAATGAAGCGGGTAGATGAGAACATCCAACATCTCCTTCAAAACATGGACGAAGAACAGCGTATTAAGATGTTGGAATGGATCTCCTCTATTCCATTCGGCAAAAATCATAACAATGTCAAAGAGAAGAGAACACCCGGCACGGGTGAATGGTTGTTACAGACTGAGGATTTCGCCACATGGGAGCAAAGCGACTCGTCTATCTTCTGGCTCCAGGGCTCCCCCGGCACCGGAAAGACCTACCTCACATCAGCCGTTATCGACCGAATCCAGGACCGATTGAGTAACACACCTAAGAATGAAGGCTTTGCATTTTTCTACTGTGATAAGAACGAACCGCCACGTGCACAGGCACTATCAATCCTTCAAAGTATTGTGCGTCAACTCTCAACTACTGCGAAGAGTCCTGAATCCACACAGAAGAAGCTTTGTGAATTATACAATAGATGTCGCAATGCAGGATCGACCTTCAGCCTAGAGCAGTGCAAGGAGCAGATCCAGGCCTCGATGGATATTTACGAGAAGACCACAATCGTGATTGACGCCATGGACGAGTGTGATACAGATACCCGCGACGAGCTCATCGATGCCTTGGATACTTTCGTTTCTCAATCCAACGAACGGCATATAAAAATCTTCATTTCAAGCCGACCGGACCACGACATTCAGGTCCGATTGCAAACTGCACCCAATATCGACATCAACGCAAGTGACAACAGAGGCGACGTCCAGAAATATCTCGATGTTGAGTTAGACAAGCTTGCCAAGAAGACTCCTTCCATCGGACGCCTGAAAGCCAAGATTCTGGATACTCTACTTGAGCGCTGTCAAGGAATGTTCCAATGGGCGGCTCTACAAGTGCATCAAATCCAGAAGTGTAAGACTGAGTCTAGTGTATGGAAACGACTTGAAAATCTTCCGGATGATATTCAAAAGGCATATGACGAGGCATGGAGTCAAATCGAAGATCTCGAGGAACCTGATAAGGTCCTAACATACCGCGCTATGCTCTGGGTTATGGCTGCTGAGCGACCGCTCTCCACATCCCAGCTTATCTGCGCTGTTCGCGTGAACACGAAAGGGGAGGTACCTACATTAGCAGATGAAATTGATGAGCAAGGATTACTGTCACTCTGTAACAGCCTCCTCACGATTGACTCTCAGCAAAAGGTGTGGCGATTCGCACATCTATCGGTCCGCGAATACCTCGAAACCAAGATGCAATGGACCCTTCCACGGGCTAATTTCCACGCCGCTAGTGCCTGTCTCTCATGGCTCATCACGATGTATGACAAAGACGACAATAACGAAATTGATTTGTCAGGTTGGAAGGGGCAACCGGAGCCGGGCGATATCTTCCACCTCATGCACCCATTCCATCTATACATGAGACATCAGTGGGTAAAACATGTTCAAAAGGCGCAGGATGACGACGAAGCTACGTTGTCCTCCTTTTGAAAACCTTCCTCGGATCTCCCGAGGAAAGCAGCAAGCAATACCGGAAATGGTATGAAGTGATTAAGGACGATTTGGAGAGGATCGTTGACGTCGCTCAAGGCACGGATGAATTCCACTTCTACCTGGAGGCAGGTGGTTTTACCAAAGAAGAGTTCGACACATGCGACTTCAATCAGGCACAGCATCCGGAGTATGGCGAGTTTGAAAGCGAGTTAGGACCATCAGATGCTGCCATTTATGCGATGTGTCATCTTTCATTTGCTGCGATACTATCAGACTGGTGGGAAAATGCAGAATTTGATGTTTCGCGCGTGAACGAACGAGGTCATAATCTTCTCACGATCGCTGCTCGGGTTGGATGTACGTCAATTTGCAAAACACTCGTCGAAAAGGGTGCGGATTTGAACCAGCAGGTTGAGGGTCAAGATTATGGCAGTGCCCTTCATGCAGCAGCTCACAGGGGACACACGGAAACCGTGAAATATCTGGTAGAAGTAGGTGCAAATGTGAACATGACAGTGGAAAACGGTGAACATGGGAACGCCCTCATCGCAGCGCTTGCCGCTGAGAAAGTCGATACTGCCAAATTCCTGATCCAAAAGGCGGGCGCAGATGTGAACAAGACCCACACCCTTGAGGAGGAGGAAGAGGATGAAGATCTCGATCCGGTCGTCGTCCTGACCCCAATTGCATTAGCAGCCAAAATTAACGGCACCGAGCTTCTCAAGATCCTGGTGGATGCTGGAGCCGACGTTAATGTGCTAGAACAATCTGGAAACCCTATTTCTGCAGCAATCAAATCCCGCAATTTTGAGGGTGTCAAGTACCTGATTCAAAAGGCGAAGGCTGATGTGAACTTGCCAATCTCGGAGGGTAATTTCCGCACTTTCCTGGAACGGGCATCGACCGACAGCAGAAATTTGGAAATTGTCAAATGGTTAGTTGAAGCAGGCGCCGAGGTGAATCCGTCGGAATGCGGAGAGAATGGCACCCCTCTCGCAGCAGCAGCTCGCGGAACCAACAGCGCAAGAAATGCGAGCTCGATTGAGATTGTGAAGTACCTTGTCAATGCAGGGGCAGATGTTCACAAAGGGGATGACGAGAGCAGCCCTGTTTCTCTGGCGGTACTTGCTCATGACATCAAGGTTCTCAAATACTTGATTGAAGTAGGCGGGGAGCTGAATGTGCAGAAGGAATTCGAGCAATCGATCAAACATGGATTCTTTGAGGGTGTCAAGTACCTGATCGAGAAGGGTGCCAACGTCAACAAGCCCCTTTCTGACGGAGACTATGGTACTGCCCTCGAATATGCAGCAGCAAAGGACACAACCCTTGAAATTACCAAGGCACTAGTGGAGGCAGGAGCAGATGTGAATTTGCTCTCAGAGAACGGGGTATATGGTAGTCCCCTCGCAGCAGCAGCAGCTTCATTCTTAGGTGGTATTGTCGACACTGTCAAGTATCTGATCCAAAAGGGTGCTGATGTCAATTTGTCATTGCCGCATGGAAATTATGGTAATGCTCTCACAGCAGCAGTGGCAAGTAGTTGCAACGTCGAGGTCGTCGAGTGCCTCGTTGAGGCAGGAGCAGACGCGAATGCCTTGCCAGAGCATGGAAACTATGGCAGTGCTCTTGAAGCCGCTGTAGTATCCGGGGTAGCATCAACGCTGCCAAGGTGCAGGCCCTAGTGGGCGCGGGAGCAGATGTAAACTTACCAATCAAGAATGGGGATTATGGCAGCGCACTCGCTGTTGCAGCGAGCGAGTGGGATGTTGAGGTTGTCCAGGTCCTGCTCGATGCAGGGGCTGATGTCAACATGCCACTCGACAATGGAGATTACCGCAGTGCGCTCGCAGCTGCTAAAGCGCAAGAGGATAATGAAGAAGTGATAAAGCTCCTTGAAGAACGTGGGGCAACAGTTTGATTACCTTTTAATATAGTGAAATTCAGAACTGGACCCGGTTATCCTTTTAACGAGGTATATGAGTATTGAATTGTAAGAACATTAATGTTGTATTTGGAGTGAGCAAGAGTAACGCCGCATGTGCTATCCCGCCGTGAGGAATCCCCAAAAGCACCAAGGAGCCGATTATCTGGCCACGATTCTGTTAATGGGAAAGAGACCAAATTATCGAAGAGAGAGAGATTTCAAAATATCGGTGCTTCTAATCACGTGTCGTCGTCAAATAAGTACCTGATTGGAGCAACATGTCATGTCGTGACTGTGTATGGCTGTGCATGGCGGTGTCATGCATGGCTTTGGGGGGCTGAGCGATGATCTATGTTGTAGTTGCTGTAATTCCTGAGGTCTAGGGGATGCGAGGCTATTAACTAAGCGAAGGTGATTTTCACAAAGGGAAAGGTCAAGTAAAAGAAAATAAGTGAATTTGGCCTTGCGGCCGAGGTTTATAATGAAATATCCGTTCTATATCCATTAAGCAAGCTGGGAAATCGGAACCTTTGACCACCAAAATTCGGTCTCCTCTCTTGCCCAATCATCCGCAACACATTTCGCAGGGGGAGCAACATTACCTCCGATCAGTTCCTCATTTCCCTCTCCAAAGATCATAATTTTTTTATCCGCCGGTTGGAAGGGCTTCCACTCCGGTCTTTGTCCATATCGACCAGACACAGCATTAGGATCACCGGTTGTAATGAAACTAGTCAAGTATGCATGAAGTGTGCCAGACAGCTCTTTTTGCGATTCTGAAATCCCCGTAATATCACTGTTATACGTCTCGTAGTACATATTATCGGCATGGTTCGCTCGACCGACGACCGTTCTAGGTAGCGCCCAGTGATAAAGGTAAACTGGAGTACCTTGGGACGATGCAAATTGTGCTGTCTGGCGGACTGGTGCCACATATGCGTAGTGTCCATATGCAGCTTCAATACGCTTATATTGAGGTCCGAGGCCCTCGCCCTGTCTTCCTTCAACATAGGGTGATGTGGGATCAACGGCGGGGTCAGGATAGAGCTTTTCGATTGTGTCGAGATCGGAAGACGAGAGCTCTGGCAGAAGATTGTGCCAGAACTCGCGGAATTCGGAGGCGTCTGACATTGTCTTGTCGACGTACATTGTTCCCTCGTTGCTGTTGAACCCGGTCATGATGGGTACTTTGTTCCAGACTTTTGACTCCCATGCCTCGAGGGGCTTCCGAGGGATGATGTCTCCATCAATTACCGGCTGGAATGCCCACCGAAGGGAAGGGTTGTACTTGTCGAAAACAGCCGTTTGGGCATTTGTAACAGTCAAGCTGGGCAGCGAACGTAGGAATGGGAAGATTTCGGCTTCGGGTAGATCGCCGGGGCAACCGACTTCTCGGAGGAAGTCCGCAAATTGGTCCTCGTGGACCTTGGCGTTATATGGGCGAACAGCGCGGGAAGTTGGTGCTCCAGACTCGATAATGACACGATGGAACAATGGTGCTTTGTGCTCGTCGTAATTGAGGAGGTGGTGGCCAATCTAAATTTGTGGTTAGAATGAAATATTGAAAAATCAGAAACTGGGCTGGTCACCGAATGCGCCCCCGCAGAAAGACCAAACAAAGTGACATTGGCGGGATCACCGCCAAAATTGGCAATATTCTCTTGAACCCAGTGCAATAAATGCACCTGATCACGCAATCCAAGATTCAGCAACCCTTCCTTCTGCGACAGACTCGAAGGGAGGAAGCCAAGAGCTCCAATGCGGTAACCGAAGCTCACGGCAACGAAGGGCCGTTCTGACCATCCCGCCATGGACGCAGTATTGTGCATAGCTGCCGACCCCCGATTGAAAGCACCGCCATGGAGATAGACCGCGACAGGGAGCTTTCCCGTATCATTGCTGCCAGCCGGTCGAAAGATGTTCGCCGTTAAGCAGTCTTCACTCTGCACAAGCTTGGGTCCTCCAGAGAGAAGTGCCTTTCCAGGAGCCGCGGGGCCATACTTGGACGCATCAATGGTATCTGATGAGCTGGGAACTTTGAATGCTGGTCTGAAGCGTCGATCCCCTACAGGAGGAAGCGCATACGGGACCCCCAAGAAGGCGTCGACGGGTTGGGGAAATGAGTCTTTGAGCTGGGTCCCCACCACGCGGCCTTGGACCAGGATGACGGAAGGGGGCTTGGTATCAGCAGTCATGGCGTATCAAGGTTCAATGGTAAACCAATGAAGGGAAATCAAGGGAAATCAAGAGCGACAAGAGTTGGGGTCGGAAGTAAGATATAGGACCATGGGGATTGCTATCTCTCCGGTGTACAAAAGTAGCGCCGAGGTTATACCGTGCGGGGGACTATCTTGGTATCTTGGTGTAGTCGGGAGTAAGATATAGCACCGTGGGGCTTATCTTCGAAGAGGAGCTCGGAAAGTTACCCCGTGCGGGGATTTCCTATCTGGGTGGAGCCGATAAACCCTAAAGATAAAGAAAACATGGCTAAACGGCTTTGAGGGGTATCGGATTCCCTATATGGGGATCATTCCCATCTTTTTCTGCTATTTACTATTATTCATTGAATTGCGAATATGGAGATCGACAAAAAACCAGCCGTGGACGATACTATGAACGAGAAAGAAGTGCAAATTGGCACTATAACGGATCTCGATGAAGGAGAGGTCTTCCTCCGCCAACATGGCTTTAATCAAGAGGCTATTCAAGCCCTTTTGGACGACGAGCCGCGCAACAAGGCGTTGGTCCGCAAAGTAGACCTTGTTCTGCTGCCTTTACTTTCCGGGACATATATGCTTCAGTATATCGACAAATCAGCACTTGCCTACTCCGCGGTGTTTGACCTTCTCCCTTCGACAAATATGTCCAGCGAGCAATACAGCTGGCTCGCCAGTATCTTTTATTTCGCGTATATCGTCTCTGAATACCCATGGAATATGCTCGCGCAGAAAACAAAGCTTGCTAAAGTCGTGTCCGGGAACATTATTGCCTGGGGATCGATGCTCATGATTACTGCCGCCTGCACCTCCTTCACCGGAATGGCTATCTGCCGCTTCCTTCTGGGAGTCTTCGAAGCCCCCATCACCCCTTGCTTCATGATGATGATAGGAATGTGGTACACACGTGCTCAGCAACCTTTCCGTGCCGGTGTCTTCTACAGCTGCAACGGCCTGGGGGCTATGGTGGGTGGCATTCTCACGTATGGAATTGGACAAATCGACACTATTGCGGTATGGAGAGCTATCTATCTCATTCTGGGCGGGATTACCCTTGTCTGGGGAATTGTGATGCTTTTCTTCCTCCCGGATGATGTTATCTCATCGAAGCGTTTTACGCTGGACGAGAAGGCCCTCCTCATCGGCCGCGGTCGACTCGGTCAGACTGGTATCATCAATCACCAAATCAAATGGTATCAGATCCGCGAAGCTTTAATGGATCCACAAGTTTGGATCTTGTTCTTGTTCACCCTCCTGAACGAGGTCATAAATGGTGGGATCGCCAGCTTCGGCAAACTAATTATTAAGGGGTTAACCGATGACTCGGCCACTGCTGTTGCCTTGGGTATTCCTTTTGGAGGATTCCAGATCTTCTACATCCTGGGAGGAACATATCTTGCCTCTCGAATCAAAAACTTCCGAACTGTCGTCATGTTCATTTACCTGATGCCGACGATAATCGGCGCCAGCCTCCTATGGAAGTTGGACCATGAGACGTACAAGGTCGGAGTGTTGTTTGGTTATTATATCATCGGCGCCTACGTCTGCTCTTTGGTACTGGCTTTACAGATGCCGGCGACGAACCTGGGTGGGTATACAAAACGTACAACGAGTGTTGCATTTGTGTTTTTCGCGTACTGCGCCGGCAACATTATTGGACCACACGCGTTTCTGGCGGAAGAAGCCCCCATATACCAGACTGGAGTCAAGCTCATCTTGTCATGCTCATCTGCGCAAGCAGCGTTGGCTGTTTTGCTGCGTTTTATGCTGGCTCGCAGAAACAAGCAGCGAGATGCTGCGGCTGCTGCTATAGGCCAGGTCGAGTCATCTACTGACCAGAGCGCTGGGGCCGACCTAACCGATTTTGAGGTTGGTTACTGTCTATTATTCATTCCTTTCTGTGATCTTTTCACTAACCGGCTGACAGAACCCAAACTTTCGATACGTCCTTTGAAATATAGTTTTCCGATCGTTGTTTCTAATTATACGCCGTCATCATGCTCTTAAAATTTCTGCTTTAGCTCTCCACGGGCTGTTCTTGTTGGGATCGTAGGACGGTGCTTAACCACTGTTTATAAGTTCTTACAAAGTCTTCACTTGATCTTGATATTGTTGAGATCATCCTATCCTATATGGATGCCTTGTTATGGTGGCAGACTAAGAGCTTGTTTACCAACGTAGGCCTCTATAAAAGGTTTTTGATTTCCTAGTTTGAATACCAAGAGTTTCTTCCTCCTCCATCTCCCTGGTAGCATGTAGCCTCAAGAGATATCTACTGAGAATGCAGGGGCACTACCTGTTAAGTACTATGGAGCAGTACCACACAAGTAGGACCCCTCTTGCGCTGACTGACGTCGAGTTCGATGTAGGTATTCCAAGGTCCATCTCAATGTCTTCTATTCTCCCTCTTCATCTTCACTTTAACATCTAAGGAACTTTATCTCTTACTTTATTCTCACTCTATCTTCACTTCTTATCCTATCTCACTAGTAAGTCTATGCCATTCTGATACTTTTTCTTTTACAGTTATCCTCTTCGATAACTTCTTCCCTTTAACAACTTTTTTACCTCGACAATCCTTCCGTCTTCAACCTTTCTTCTCCCCCCCCACCCAAAAAAAGTCTCTCGTACTAAACGCCCTAACTCCCTTCAAGTCTCCTATCAAAATCCCAGTCTGAAAGCTGTAAGTTTACTGAAATTACGACCCTCCTGGTATCTTGGACCGTGAACTGACAAAAGTCATTAGAGCGAGGCATTGCCCAGCACTTTTCTTCCTCTCCTTACTCCAGTGTCTCCTTCTACAATAGACAAATACCTAGAAGATGACGCCATTCTAGATGTCGATGCGATAATAGGAATCGAGGGTGACGAGCCTGTCCTATCCTTCCCACAGAGAACGGTGTCTACAGAGATACCAGAGCGGCCGAAGAAACGGAACCGAGAAACAGGTGACAGCCACGAGAGAAGCGCACAAAGCCAAGAACAGGGAGCAGACTCGGAAGTGGTGTCAAAGACCCAAGGTTACCGCGCCCCACTCAGGATAACCTTCCCAATCGCCAGCAGGACATTTCCGCAGACGAGGAGATCTAGTAAGTACCCCTTGCAGATACATTCATACATTCATACATTTATACACCTAGTCCAATAGCTAACGTTAACACAAGCTGTCCGCCCGAAGAACCTACCATGCCGAGCCCTGAGCACGCAGCTGCGATTGGTGCCCTTAATAAAGAAATGCGGCGAGATCTCGACTCGATGGACCATGGTCTGTTTGATGCGATCATAGACTATCCAGGGGGCGGCACCCGTCCCCAAAACGGCAAAGGAAAAGATGCTGATATAGCATTTGGCCCAATGAGGCGAGCAGTAGGAGAGCGAGCAAACGGAAACGAAAAAGGTACACCGTTGTCGCTGAGATCGCTATCTCTGAGACGGAAACTAAGCTGAAGAGAGATACTGCTTTTTGGTTGGACCCCCTTCGTGGCAATGCGAATCTGGTCGTAACGATCAAGGCAAGCAGAAAACTTGCCTATATCAAGATCGACACCTAGCCAGCAGGGGTAGACCTTGGCCCCGGTAAACTCCCACAGAACAGTTCGTGAATGGGCTAAGCAGAAAACTCCCGGGCCCGGATAAAAAATCTGGGCTATGCGCATCCTACACCAAGATGCCTAGGGGTGCCTTCGCATCCCTAGATATTACTACAAACTTCGTTGAGGCTGCGCACCACCAGACCAAGCTATTACCGAAACAATGGAACAGGTCATTCAAAAGATGCAGGCCGAAACTGCTATTGGTGACAACCGAAATGCAGCCATCCATGAGGCGATGCGAGCTACAACTGGACCGAGCTGATTGTCCCAGCTCGGGCATTTATCCCAACGACACCTCCCAAACAGCAGATGAGATTCTGGGGATGTTTCCAAGCATCAAGGAGCATTCTTACACAATCCAAGGCAGCTAAGTGAAGAGAATGCCGGGACAATCGGGGGTTTTCACGTTTTGCAATTCCTTTTTTTTTTTTCGATGTGGAACATCGCATAGTTATCTATCAATTGAGTTGCCAAACGGGGATATTTTCATCAATTCAACATAGCAGTAGATTAGCATACCAGATTTGTAGCAGATTAATTTCCTTCCACATTAGTCCCCTTTTTTAAGAACAGTGCCTGTCTTGAAGTTTTCCTGACTCTTCCCAAATCCTTGCAGCTTCGCGAAAGCCTTCGTTATTTCCGTAATGCTCTGCGTCGCATAATCTAAAAAAAATTATGTCAGCAACTCAAAAACCACAGATGGAAACAAATACGTACAGCAACCAACCAGCATCCAGATGAAGTTGAAGAAGAAGTAATAGAACCAGAAGTAATATCCTTCTGGTCGACAATACGAGATTTCAAGCAGACTCGTCGCATAGTAAAGGACATCGCCATATACCTGACCCACGGAAATCACAAGCTGCAGAACATAACGTGCGGGATGTTGTACTGCAATGCAATATGCGATATAGAAGGCAAGAGGGCCCCAAGCGAACTAGCAAGGTGGTCAGTAACAGGAAAACTCACTACTTGAATCAGAGATAAGTGGACGTACTGCGGTAACAGCTTCCATACAGATGAGGAAGGGATCGGATGTCAAGTAACGAGAGTCAGAAAGAGAATACTCCTTCCATAGCTGACCGAATAGCTCTTGGGAGCCTGCGAGTGTTTTGTGGTTTATGACAAAATATGCTTCGAAAAAGAGATGGATGAATCCCGCTGTTTTATTGTATATAGGTAAGCTTATGCTCAAAGGTCTCATTTAGTAAAGGAGAACGGAGAATGTAGAACTCACTCAGGCACATCCAAACAAAAGCAAGCTTATCTGATTGACTGGCAGTCGGTCGCACACGAGATATGATGATCAAGGCTATTCCCAATACGGCTGCCCACAGAAAGCCAAATTGAATAATTATCGAAATCGCAGAGCTTTCATTGTCCACATACTGGGGTAGATGTATGGTAGGTGGATAGTAGTTGTGAGAAACCGAGGTTGCGGCATTGGCGAGCTGAATTGGATCCGCCATTGGATCTGTTGTTTCTTGGTAGAACAACAGTGATGTAGGGTTATAATGGAACGTACCTTACAGACATTTAGTGATACTTATGTTCGATCCAAGAAACCCTCGGGGTCCGCGGCCCCCGGGACTTTCTCGGATACTCCAGCGTCCGAGTCGACCCACCCGGGGACCTGACGGGCTAGTCATTCAGAAGGTATTGCTAATCAGATATTAACCTTGGAAAGGTTAGAGCAGACATAAAGATAGAATAGCACTCAAAAACCTATTTAATTCTCATCGTAGTCACCGTAGGAGATCACCTGGCTAGTTATATATATTCTCAATTTAACCCATGGGGTCAATATCATAGACTGTCCTTATCATCTCGACTCACCATAGGACCAGATCTCAATGGGCCATAGTTGATCGCTGATTGTGGCTCCTTTCTCCACATGAGTCTGACAACGGCCCAAACAGCTATACAAAATGATAAAATTACACCCACAAACAGCCACCCAGGAAACTGCCAGAAGAGTTGATCAAAGACCCGGAAGAAAATGCTCTGCTGCTCGGGCTTCTTCTCTTCCTGATGGAATCCATGGGAGTCTAAGGTATACTCTTCCGGAACTTCGGGCCATTTGTCTACCCCATCTAGAATGGCCATGGCCATGCCGTTCTCGAGATGCATCTCAAAGTGACAGTGGAGCAGCCAGGCCCCCGGAGAAGTTACCTGATATCGAAGGACCACCCACATCGCTCCTGTGAACTCAGTGAGGAATGTATCACGGTAGGGTGGATTGACCAGATTAAAGTTTTCCGGATTATCGGCCATGGCCTCGCTGACGGAGGAGTAGTTCCAGATTCCCTGGCCAGAACCCAGCCGCCAGAACTTATTCGCATGCTTGTGCACGGCATGTGGGAAGTCAACTGGCCAAAGGGGCGAGTGGCCCACCTGGAGGACGATATCCTGCCAGGTACCGTTCTGAGTGCGAATGATCAAATCGTCATCGCGGGCCTCGGGGCTGTTGACGTTGTACAATAGAGGGCGGTACGCAGCCCGGTCGGAGGGGTACTTCTTCTTGCCACCTAAAGTGAATTCCCAGGTCGAGTTGGCTTTGCCTAGGAAGAGGACGTGCATTGCGTCGCCATCGCCGGTGAAAGGAACCTTGGGCGGCCAGGGTGGCAGATCTAATTTGTCCAGAAAGACGATACCTTCGCGTGTTGGCCAGGCGTTGTAGCCAAAGTACGGCTGCGAGGTTGTTGTGACCCCGAACCGATCGGGAGGACGGTGAGCCTCCAGGTCCCCGTTCTTGTATCGTAAGATACCAAAGCCTGCGATCATTTGAGAGTAGCCACCGTCAGGCACGCGAATGGAGTAGTCCATTGGCTTTTTGTCGAGTCGAATCAGAGCCGAGTATCGCTCCCCGGCCCAGATCAGGAAGGTATCTGCCCGGCGCGGTTCGATGTAGTGGCCATCAACCTCGTAGATCCACATTTCGTGTTCGTCTATCGTGGGCTGCAGAGTTTTGAAGGTCGAGCCGCCAATCCAGTTGACACTGACCCATCGATCCTTTGCGTCGACCTCGATGATCTCCGTGGGACCGGTGTGGGGATTACAGCCCTCTTGTAAACCCGGAGGAATGGCCGAGACATTGCCATCCTTAAGCCAGGGACCTTCGGTGGAAGGGACGAATGGGAAGCAACTGTATGTATCAATATAGCTCGCCTTGATATAAAAGAGAAAAAGACTTCCATGAACTTACCCCTTGTCGGTAATAGTATCGTTTGGCCAACTTTTGTGCATGAACGGAATTTGCTTGTCAATGAGCCACTGATGACCAGGGCAATACAAGCTCCCCTTTCCATTGATCAAAATACTATCGACACAGCTGTGACTGTTAGCATATTAAGCTGGAGAGAAAGAGTTATTTTCCGTACAATATCTGGAGATGGCTATTTGCATCAGCCTCTTTGTATTGTTCAGACGTGTAATAATCCCAATCTGATAGAAGGATAATCCGAGGATCATTGGCAGCGCGTGCCATAGCTTGGATCTCGACTGGGTCCTCGTTGATCATTGCCCACGGTCCTGGGGTTCCTGGCTTCCGTCTACTAGTATATTAGCATTTATTTAGTACAAAGTAGTGAAGGCATACGGCATACCGAATAAATAGCGCCCCATAGAGACCGTCTAACAAAGTAGCTCGGGAGTGGGAATGGTACCTGAGACTCGATTAGTTTTAAGCTGTCCTTAGCGAAGTACATATAGTACGGACCAATATTGCCCGGGAGGATACGCAGTGAAACGATAGACATAGCTCTCGCCAGGCTCAATAGGCTTTTGACTCAAACCTGGCACTCCATCTGACCAGGGGGTATCTTGCATCCTGTTCAGTCATTATTAGTACCGTAGGTGCACAAGATATTTGACGAGAGAGTCAGGCTTACAGAATCCCGTGCCAATGGATGGTGGTATTCTCGTGCATCTTATTATGAACGACGATCTGCAGAGCTATCAGCCTTCACTGTTTCTTAGAGCATATTATATCAATAGAAATCATACTTCCACATCATCACCCTCATCAAAAATTAATTCAGGAGAGGGAAATTGTCCATTTGTCTTGATCATATGGCGACTCTGGCCATTGGGAGCACCTTCTTCCCAGGTCAGAGTGAGTTCCCGTCTGACATGTGCGGCAAATGTGGTGAGAACATGGCTCAAGAACAGGAAAAGTATTTTTATACGACACTTCATGCTGAAAGAGTGCAAAAATCACAAAGATTGAAGAGAAAGAAAGAGTTGAGAAGGCCGAACGTGGTAAGGTTCCTAAGAAGCCCTGCATCAACTACTCCGGCATCTACGGATTTGAACTCGAGTAGTATCTTTTCTTTTCTCATAAAAAGGGTTTCAACTTATTCAACTAATTTCAATTGCATTGCCTAGTTACCTCTCCACTGCGCGTCGGAATTAACCTCTTACATGATATCTTCGGGGACCGAAAAAGGACACTCGGATATCGCAGAGTAACAATCTCACAAGCCTGACATTAGTTTCACTTCTATCCAATAAATCATTCAGATATACCTTGTAGTCTGAGGATATTCCAGAACAACGTGACTGAAGCCCCGACCATGACGAACTCACCGCAATCTTCTCCCCTTGAGGTCTTGGCTGACCAAATCAGTGCTTCGGCCAAAGTAATCGCGGCCTTCTGTGCCTCTACAGGCCATCCACACCCTTCCTTTGACGATACCAAACTCAATAACCTCGATACATTACCCTCCCCTGCACCAGCCGAGATTCAGGAGGCTCGACAGGTTATTCTTGAGAATGCTTATCGACTCCAACAGCTCATCATCGAGCCCAACCAGTATCTGGCACGATTGGCAGTCTACGTGAGTTTATGGCGTCTTTGATCTTCAAACAAAATTCTGACAATGAAAAATAGCCTCAGCATCTTGCCGCAATTCAATGGCTCTGTCACTTCAAAATCCCCTCGCTCGTCCCGAGTGACAGCACTATCTCGTATCCCGATCTCGCGGCTGCAGCCCACGTACCGCTCCACCAGCTCAAAAGTATAACTCGGATGGCTATCACGGGAAATTTCCTTCAGGAGACACCCTTGAACCAGGTTTTGCACAACAAGACATCAGCGCACTTCGTGTCAAACCCGTCACTGTGTGACTGGGCGCTATTCCTGGCAGAGGATTCGGCCCCAATGGCGCCCAAGCTGGTCGAGGTGACCCAAAAATGGGGGAGACAACGAAGAAGACAGAGACCGCATTCAACGTGGCGATGAACACGGACCTACCCTTTTTCGATTATCTCTCGAGCTCTCCGGAGTTTACCCAGCGGTTTTCCGGATACATGAAGAACGTGGCCAAGGGCGAAGGGACGAACGTCAAGCACTTGATTCAGGGGTACGATTGGGAAACTCTGGGTAATGCTACTGTGGTGGACGTAAGTCAATTGCTGCAAATTTTGGTCAAAACTTTCGGTTTTCGCTAAATTGATTCAACATAGGTGGGTGGATCGAGCGGCCACGCTAGCATTGCTCTCGCGGAGATTTACCCGCAGCTGAAATTCATTGTCCAGGACCTTCCGATGGTCATCAAGACTTCTGCATCCCAGGTCCCTGATGCTGTGTCCTCGCGGGTTACATTCCAAAGTCACGATTTCTTCACCCCGCAACCTGTGATCGACGGGGATGTGTACCTTCTCCGAATGATCTTGCACGACTGGCCCCGCGACGAAGCCCAAAAGATCTTGTCCCATCTGGCTGTGGCCCTGAGTCGACCTGGCAGTCGCATCATCGTTATGGACACTGTTCTTCCCAACCCGGGTAGCGCGCCGGTTAGCGAGGAGGCGCTGCTGCGTGTGCGGGACATGACGATGATGCAGACATTCAACAGCCATGAGCGGGGGATGGAGGAGTGGGAGGCACTAGTGCAGGCGGCAGACTCCACCTTGAAGATAATCCGGGCCATTCAGCCTTGTGGTAGTGCGATGACGATTCTGGAGATTGGGCGGGAATAGTAGCGATAGCCTCGAGGTGGTCACTTTCGGTCCCCGAAAGGGCAAATAATAGCGCACGGGTTATTTTAAGCACGGAGGTCTGCCAGAGCCATATCTAAAAACAGCCTTAGATTCACGCTTTCGCAAATAGAGTGAAGTGGTATATTGCTACAATGCTTTTCATTAATCAAATTGTCCTAGGCATTGCCTCCATCTATCCCTTTACTGAATACAACCCTCGATCTCCTGTGACGGTACTCAATCCCCACTCCAACATCACATATCACGGCATCCGCACAAACACTCATGTCGAAGAATTCCTTAACATCCCCTACGCCCACGATACAAGCGGAATTCATCGTTTCTCGCCCCCAAGGGCCTACATACCCCCCAGAAACAGCATCATCAACGCCACCTTCCCAGGAGCCGCATGTCCACAGCCGCGTATCCCCCTCCCCGCAGACCCATACACAATTCTCAAGGATGTTTCAGAAGATTGCTTGACACTCCGCATCGCACGGCCAGCCGGCACAGGTGCGACTGCCAACATGAACAAGCTACCGGTGATGGTATTTCACTACGGCGGCGGCAGCACAGTGGGTACTATCTACGACGCCTCCTACGACCCGGTCGGACTTGTCAGACAAGCAGCTGAGCTTGGAACGCCGGTGTTGTACGTAGCAATGAACTATCGCGTAAACAGTATGCTCCTCCGACATCATCTGTTTAGTTGTCTATTACTGAGTGCATCTACTAGTGTTCGGCTTCGCGGATTTCCCTGCTTTACGGGCGACCAACTCGACCAACGTCGGCCTGAGAGATCAGCGTCTCGCACTTGACTGGGTTAGGAAAAACATTGCGTTGTTTGGCGGGGATCCTGACAATGTGACGCTGTTCGGTGAGGATGTCGGTGCGGTATTTGCAAGCCTGCATATGCTGGCATCTTCGGATGATGATAGTCTGCCGGTCCATCGGGTCATTGCCCAGAGTGGTGCCGTTACCTCCCTTGCTGGTGTATCTGGGAATACTAGTGCGAGTAATTCACTGGCTGTTGCAAGGGAAGTAGGCTGTTTTGGTTCTTCCGGGGCAGCTTCAGAAGAGGAAGAAATGAATACTACTGCTATAATACAGTGTCTGCAGAGTCAACCATTAGATCTCCTGGTGAACGCCACGTTCAAAGTGGCATACAAACTGAGCCCAGGAGACGGATTCGGCGCTTTGTGAGTTTCCTGAACCTTCAGACAGAAATGAGAGGCAAAAAGACTGACGAACTCTCTACTGTTCCAGCATACCCACTGTCGATGGCACGATTCTGCCTGCTGCCCCCTCGACGTTAATGTCAGCTGGTGACTTTCCGAAGAAGAGCATTCCACTCATCATTGGCTGGAATCGCGACGAAGCCTCCCTTCGCGTCCCAGCCAGCATAAGCACACTGTCGGATATCTCGAACCTCCTAGCCGGCATGTATCCGGCTCTCAATGCCTCGAGTATTGCGGACTTACTCGCCCTTTACCCGGAGTCCGACTATCAAGTCCAAGATAAAATGCGGGAAGCACTGATGACCCCGGCCTGGCACGCTGCAGCGGCCCTCGTTCGCGATCTCACGGTGACCTGCCCATCACTTCACCAAGGATTGTCGCTATTCGAGCATGCCCGCTCCTCAGCACAATTAGCGGAATTCTATTTCTACGAATTGCAGCAGACACCGTTCGCGGCGGCTCTCGCGCAACAGGGAAAATCGTACCTTGGGGTCGTCCATTTCTCAGACATGCCGTATGTGTTCAACAACCTAGAAAGTACATACTATGTCTTCAACCCAGACGAATTGGAGCTTGCGACTCGGATGAGTGGAAGCTGGGCTGGGTTCGCATCGGGGCGGAGACCGGGGAGTAGGGAGACTTTGGGGGAGTGGGATGTGGGCTTCCCCACATCGAAGGATAGACCATCTAGTCTAGAAACAGCAAGATACCTAGCGATTGGAGGGAAATATGCCGGGATGCGGCAGGTCGGAAAGAAAATGGCGCGGAGGTGTGAGATGATCAACGCATTGGCAGGAGAGTTGAAGACTTGACGGACAAGCCCGGGTACCGTATCCTGTTGCGGGAGTCCGACTCCCTGAAAAGCCGCCAATTCAGTGGCATAATGTGACTGAAATTATTGGTTCAAACGGATGCCGACCGATAAAATTCCCTTCGTTGTCCGAGCGACCAATGTCATTGGTCATGTCAGGATACCCGCTCATAGTGCTTGAATCACGCTGTTTGGGAGTATATCAGAAAAGGAAGGGTAGTGCAAAGCGGAACACACATTGTATTTGCCAACTCACTACGTTAAACACCTGATGGCGACCACAGAGCAGGTAGACGTCCTAGTTGTAGGAGCTGGATTCGGAGGGTTATGGATCACCCATAGGTACTTTACTTCACTTGGTTGGGAGACGCCTAAAGGCACATACTGACGGCGTATAGACTCCGCAAGGCCGGCCTGAATGTCCTCTGCGTCGAGAAAGCCCCACAGGCGGGTGGCGTCTGGTACTGGAATTGCTACCCAGGGGCTCGAGTCGACAGTCGATACCCGGTTTACCAGTATACCGACCCAGAGCTCTGCCATGATTGGACCTGGAGCGAGGTGCTACCCGGATACGAAGAACTCCGGCGGTACTTTGCGTACGTGCTAGACAAGTGGCAGCTGCACGGACACATCCAGTACAACACGACTGTGACAGGGGCGCAATTTGATGAGGCGACTCACCACTGGACAGTAGAGTGCGTAGGGACCGAGGGTCCCATCGGAAATATTCGCAGTCGCTGGTTCATCCCGGCCCTTGGCTTCGCCTCCAAGCCGTATATCCCCGATCTCCCAGGTCTCAACACCTTCGCTGGGCCATCTTTCCATTCCTCTGCCTGGCCGCAGGACGGAATCGACCTGAAGGGCAAGAGGGTGGCTGTTGTGGGCACGGGAGCCAGCGCAGTCCAGATCATTCAGACTATTGCTGAGCAGGTAGGCCATTTGACCGTTTACCAACGCACGCCGTGTACTGCGCTCCCGGCCCGGCAGCGGCCCCTCAGTGCCGAGGATCAGCGGCAGTTGAAAGACAGCGGCGAGTTGGCCACCCTGCTACGACAGGCTAAGTACGAAAAGTTTGGTGGACAGGATGTTGGGTTCGTCCCGCGTCGGTGGAACGAGGACGACGAAGAGCAGCGGCGTGGAGTGTTTGAGGCGGCCTGGGAAAAGGGCGGTTTCCACCCGTTACTGTCGACATACTTTGACGTCTTCGTAGATCAGGAGGTCAATAAAAATGCGTGGCGGTTCTGGGCCGAAAGAACTCGCGAACGGATTGAGGACCCGAGATACAAGGATATGCTGGCTCCCCTGGAGGCAGTGCATATGTTCGGGGGAAAGCGCACACCGTTCGAGATCAACTATTATGAGGCTTTCAACAAGGAGAATGTCGAGTTGATTGACAGCAATGCCTCTAAAATTATCAAAATTACCCAGGAGGGCATCATCACGCAGGATGAAGGCCTAAAAAAATTCGATGTGATTGTCCTGGCAACAGGATTTGACACCAACACAGGGGCATTGACCGCGATCTCCATCCGTGACACGGAAGGCAGGACACTGAAGGACCGCTGGCAGGATCCAGAAGCAGGAGTTAGAACGAACCTGGGTCTATCAACTAGCAAGTTCCCGAACATGTTCTTTTTCTACGGACCTCAGGCGCCGACGGCGTTTTCCAACGGGCCGTCCTGTATCGAGTTACAGGGGGAGTTTGTCGAGCAACTCATCCTAGACATGACAACGAGAGGAATAACAAGAGTCGAAAACACAGCGGATGCGGAGGCAGAATGGAAGAACTTGACGCAGCGTCTGTGGGACCGTTTCGTCTTCTCGTCGTCTGCCTCGTACTATTCCGGGGCAAATATTCCGGGGAAAAGGCAGGAGCCATTAAACTGGTTCGGAGGATTTCCCAGCTACCATCAGGCACTGACAGCCTGCCGTGAAAACGATTATCAGGGGTATATAATGGCATCTCAAGTGGAGGAGATACAGCCCCCTGCTAAGTTGGAGGTTAAGGGTCCTGGTATTGTCGTAGACAAACAAACTGTTTTGCTGCCGTTGCCAGTACAAGCTAAATGATCTGCTAAATGATCTCTTTGTCGAGATTTCCACAGTGAAGCTTAAATGGAAATTCAAATGATTCAAAACTTCTTGTAATCTAATAAGTACTTGGTTTATTGGACAAATACCCACCATCCACCAACATGACCAATCCATTGCAGTACGCTCCAGCCTTCGACGCAAGGTACACAATCGTCCCTCCAATCTCCTGGGGATTTCCAAACCGCTCCTCGGGCGCCAAAGCCATGGGCAAGCGACCATTGGTCGCTTTAGAGAATCCACTCATCATGTCAGTGTCGAAATCTGCGCTAGTCAGCACCTCATCCCAGTCATCATCAGATCTAACAAAGAAAGGACAAAAGGAACATACACCCTGGTGCAACGATGTTGACCCGTATCCTCCATGGCGCTAGATATGTCGCCATATTCTTCATCATATGCGTCGTCCCCGCTTTGCTGGCCCCATATATGAAGGCTGAGTTATCACGCCCGAACCCGCCCACGCTGCTGACCGTTACCACCTGGCTGCGGATATACTCGCGACTGCTTCCAACATTTGCACTGTTGCCATTGATACATGCACTAGGCGAACCTGCCGCAGCAGCGCGCACCTTATTTCCCTTATCCAGCAACTCAAGAAAGGCAAATGTCACCATAAGGGCGGCGGTGGTGTTTGTCTCAAATACAGCCGCATAGTCTTCGAAGGACTTTTGGAACCAGTAGTTTCGCACCTTGGCGATGTCCCATTTGGGCGTGGGCCGGGTGTTATGCGGGCCCAAGTTCGGCGTTGAGATACCAGCATTGTTGATGAGGAGATTGATGTGGCCATCGTGGGCAGTGATGTGGTCGACGGCGGACTGGAGCTCGTCGTGTGAGGTAATGCTGCACTGTAGGGGATGGATATTGTTGAATTCCTACCATGGAAAGGAAAAGCCGTCAGTGCACCGTGACTAAAAAGTAGTTGGGGATGGATGGAACTGTACGGCCTCTCCAGCGGCTTTCTGTAGAATCTCCAATCGTCGCCCGATTATATACACCTTGGCTCCGTTGGCCTCAAGAGCCTTAGCCATCATGAGGCCTGACCTGTGCCACCGCCAGTGACAACGGCAATGCAGCCGGTCACGTCGAAAAGGTTCGTCGGGTTGAGCAGGTTTGATGACATCGTGGAATTGTGAAATCGTTGGAGGTGAGATAGTACTAGGTGTCTTTGGGGTCAATAGCTTCTATGGATAACATATCCTCGTATCGGTTACAGCTCTTCGCGGGATCTACTCGGAGACTGCGGATCCCATGGCCAAAATATCGGTCTTCGGGTTCCGACTGTGACTTGATGCATGGGCACTTTGCTATCGGCAAACAAAGAGTCAATGTTATTGGTCGGAGCTCATGACGCTATTGTTGCGGTCTTATAGTCCCAGAACTGGATTTGGGGGTTGGGCAAGGTGATCACAAGGCTTTGTTGTGATAGAAGTGGTAAAACGACATTAAAATCAATAGTTGAGAATGATCTATTTAATAACTCAGTCTATCTGGTGAGGATTGCTATAGACCAGAGAAGGGCAGAAGAGAAGATAGCAATTAGTAGCAATTGGTGTCTCCGAGAGAATTCACCACACTTAAGCTAGAGCCAACTTTACTTAACCAGGTAGTAGCCTTGCAGACAAAATGTATTGTCCAGCTAGGCAGAGTGGTACGGCATGGCGATGGGCTAAACTTGAGCACCAGCATCACCGTTTGGCTTCACAGTTGTTTCTCCACTGGCAGTTGACGGTTCCTTTCCAGGGCTAACTCCTGGACCCCCTGGACTAGGGCCACCAGGGCCACCCGGTCCACCGGGGCCAGGAGGCTTTCCCATGGCATCCTTTTCGGCCTTTACGTTCTTCCACTCCATAAGAGCAGAAGCCACAACACATGCGCAGGAAGCCGCCAAAGCTACGCGGAACACGTCCATGACCGCCCCATTGTATCCGGTCAAGAAGCGTGGCAGGTCCCGAGAACTGACGTGATCGTGAATACTCGTTACTCCGCTGGCAGTCACATTGGCGAGGTCGCCAAGGTTGGCTGATAATTTGTTGCTGTATATGGCCTGATCCACGGAAAGGAACACAGAACCACCTAGCGACTGCGCGAAAAAGACCAAGGAAATCCCGATTGGAGCATCTGGACGAGGGAGGACGGCTTGAGCAGCCAAAGAAGCTTGTTGCATGCCTAGGATGTACGTTAGAAGCGCCTCGAATGGAAGTTAGGGGATGGAAGGCATACTCATTCCACATCCAACCGCCCAAAGGATCTGGTAGCCGATCCATTTGCCTTCGCTCATATGCGGCGTAAAGGTTGTCATAAGACCGGCCCCAATAGACATAAGCACTGATCCGCCGATCATGAACGGCGTATAGTAGCCGATACGATTAATTAGGATACCCGATATGAGACTGGCAACTGCAGACGAGATGACAGTGGGTAACATCATAACACCTGAGTGGACTGGAGACGCAGACTTGATGGCTTGAAACCAAATTGGCAGGTAGTAGTTGAAAGTCATCATAGCTGCAGTAACCATCAGGGTGAAGACAACTCCGGCGGCAATGCTGCGCTGCTTCATGATCCGGGGTGGAATGGTGGCGGTGTCTGGAAGCCAGATCTGAATTCCAATAAAGGCCAGCAGGAACACTGCTGCCAGAACTAAAAGAGCGATAACACGTCCGCTATTCCAGGGATAGGTCGCCCGCCCCATTGCAGGGCAAGAAGCAAGCAAACAACCCCCGGCATGAGGCATAGATTTCCCAGCGGGTCCATCTGCAAAAACTGCTCACGTATAGGAGTTCCGGCCTTGCGCGCCGGAGGCATCTTGAGTACCAGCATGATCACCACTATGGCTGCTGCACCAATGGGTAGGTTGAGGTAGAAGCACCAGCGCCAGGTAACATGTTCCGTAAAGCCACCACCGATCAATGGGCCTGTGACGGATGCGAGGGCAATAACGAGGCTGACAATGCCCGAGAAGATGGGCCGCAGGTGCAATGGGACGGTGAAGAAGGTGATGATCACACTACCACCAAAAATCCCAGATGATCCCAGGCCCGCGATCGCCCGACCAATGATCAGCGCTGTCGAATTGGGCGCGGCACCGCAGATAGCGGACCCAATTTCGAAGATGACCACGGCGGTCACAAACACCCATTTCGGATTATAGAAAGAGTAAATCTTGCCGAAAAGCAGTTGAAAGGCGCAAAATGTCAGTAGATAGGCACTACCGTACCAACCGATATCATCGATGGAGTTGAATTGATTAGTGATACTGGGAATGGCGTTCACGATGATGGTGCGATCCTATCGCGTAAAGGCAAGTCAATGATCAAACACGTCAACCGAACAAGCTTCTAGGAGAGAAAATAACCTACCAGTGCCGTGAGAAAGGCTGTAAAGTAAAGGGGGACGATGATTGAGTAGAGCTTGAGACCCTTTGGATACTCAACCGGGGGACCCATGCCCGGCCCAAAGGGTTTCCCACCACCTGTGCCACCTGGAGGACCTGGAGGACCTGGTTTGGCTTCAGATTCGGGTTCAATAGATTTTTCGGACTGATGATCCGGTGATAGTCTCGATGTTGGTGTATGCTTCTCCTGTTGCGCTTCTCGGGAATTCTCCGCCATCGCGCCTATTGTGTTCGAAGTTTCTTTCATCGAGAAACATGAATCGCGAGATAGGAGATGATCAGATGGGCAAAGAATATTAATAGATGAGAGAGACAAAATTTGACAAAATTTCCGGATACGAAGCACAAGATAGGACAAACTTGAACAATATCCCTGTAGGGGGTCGGGTTCTAGATGGACGTAGAAAAGGAAAAATACATAGTCCGGAAGCGTGAAAGGTAAGGATAACTTTGGATCCTGGTCAGAGCCGTGGAAAGAGTCGAAAGAGTCTTCCAAGGTTGGGTTAGGAGTCCGAAGTCAGAATGCACCTGGGCAGGGGCTGTGATTGCCTACTTGAGTTTGTGTGGATTCCCCTCTGCTGTGATTGGTTGGTTGGGCTCAAGCTGGATTAAAGGAGGAAAGTACCCCCCAAGGAAAAGAGGGTATTACCTAGGTAGGTACGGACCTCGGGAGTACGGAGGACGGAGTAGAGTCCCCGTGAACAAAAGTCCCTTGGTCGAATCCCATCCAAGATTCGGTGTCCGAAGCCACATAATGTATGCAGGGACAACGGGAGCAATCCATTCCTTGGCTAAAACCACATAGTGGCTCCACTGGGTATGTCTTGGTATTGCTTGGTATTGCTTGTCTCTGTTCGATTCGCATACCACATACCTAAAGGGTATCGGACTCCGACTTATTTCCGGTGAAAAGGCCACAGAGCTACAGAACTATTATAGTACTTTGTGTCTTAAATTAGATTTGGGTCCGAGCGGATGTGATGATCAGATGCGGACAGTGGGACCTCTGAAATATTGATCTAAACCGTTGAACCGGCATACCGCCCATAAACTGCCAACCTGTACCCGCCAGGCCATGTTGCGTATATGCTGACTATATTGGCAGTGTTAGATTGGCAGAACTTGCGTAATTTCAAAGACTTCCAAGGTTATATCGGGCGGTATGTTTGGGTACAAAGGTCTGGTCCAACATTTCGGAGGTCCCACTGTCACCCGTGGACCGCTTTTAGGCTACCCGAAACCTCCAATCAAAAGAGTACACGCTATAGCTTCCCGTGGGTTCGAACGTTGACCTTTCCCCTCCTGCCGATATACACAGGAGATAATGCACAGTGCTTTGGTTTCTGAGCTCTTATAACTAAACTTTTACTTTGTTAATCAGTTAATTAATTGCTTGCCCACCAACGTCTGGATATACCATTATCCCTTTCAAGGATATCCGTATATCATGCATGGTGGCGTGTCGCATTATACTCTATATGACACTCGGTCAAACACCGAGTTGATTGTCGCCACGATCCCGGACCTCCTTTGAAGTTGATTTTGGCCCCTTTGATCTGCGGGTTCTACGAAGGAAAATACATGCATATCTGTCCATGAACAATACAATTGGCTGCTAAACATCCCCCCAAAACAATCATGTCGTATCTTGTTTATTATGCCCCAGCCCACAAGCAACCCAGGGCAACCACTATACGAACCAGTCTAACTCCTTCAAGCTACGCTAACGGAAGCCACCTATGTAGGTAGACCTTGAAGGAAGCAAATGAGGAGATCGACTAAATGGGCTCAGTTTATAATTGACTGTGCACCTACCCGTGCGCTACCTAAAAACAGGCCACTGTTTTACAGCGGGGAAAAAGAGAGCAGCCATCCAGGCAAATCAACAATTGGCAAATGAAAAGCCCATATAGCCTCAATGGCAGAGTCTACCAGATCCACCCTCCAAGGAGATCAGCCGCAGGTCAAGTTACGATCAGCCTGTGACCGCTGCTCATCCAACAAAGTCAAATGTAGTCAGGAGAGACCGGAATGCCAGCGATGTCGCTCGCTCAATCTGCCCTGTCAGTACAGCCGGTCATTGCGGATGGGAAAGCCTCCTCGATCCCGGCAGCGATTGAGTAAAGCTTGCTGCCACCATGATCATAACAAGGCTGTTCCAAATCTCAACCTGTCAAAGCCGGTGGCTGTTTCCCCTGCAACAAACCTAGGCGTCGCCCCAAAACCGAAGTTGAACCATCAATTGCTCTCCCAAGCCAACGAGCCGATCAGCACAGCAGTGCCGAGCTGGTTAGACGGCTTCGATTATGAGTCGATCCTGAGTGAGGACAATCCGTCCATTCAGCCACTTTCCCCCTATTTTTCAGACCTACTGGGAGAATTCACAACCACAGCTCCAGGTCACAATCACCCGCCTCTACCCAACTGCCCGAACGTCCTGTCTGGTCCGCCGAAGGGGGCCGAAGCAATTTCCGGGATGCTAGGGTCCACACACGAAGATGCAATATACGAAGAGGCCTGTACACAACATCTGGACCATCAAGGGAACTTGGAGACCCTCACACCAGCCAGCCTCACAGGGCTCGCCTTTCCAGCCATAGGCAGCAACTCAGACAACCACCACATTACTCAAACAAAGGCCTCCACTGGACAAGGTCCTTCGTGCTCGTCCGAAAATGAGTGCGTCCGACTGGCCATGGAGACTCTGGAATCGCTGTATCAAACTTCCTCCTCGGTTAGATCATTCGACCCTGGCCCCACCAAGCCAGGCGTTGGTCACTTCCTCCAGGTCAATGGCAATGCGATGGAAGTTGCAGCGACCATTCTTGCATGTCCCTGTATTAAGGATTTCTGTCTCCTCATTATTCTCGCAATGATCCCTTGCAAGGTGCTTGCTGGGTATCAAGCCGTTGTCAACATGCCCGACCCGCATATTCAGGTTGCAACCGACAAGGAAACCGTTTGTCGTCCGATCGTCGTTGGACCTTATACGCTAGATGAAAAGGCAAGCCGCATGGTGATTATCCCGCTTGTTCTCGCCAAGTTGCGAGAGTTGAGCACATTTGTCCAGACTTATATCGACAAGTTCTGCTCCGATGCCAGCAAGAACCGTCAGGGACATTGTGGACTGGTATACCGGACCCTGGGATTATTTGTCCTGAACCGGCTTGGTACAACTATGGAAGGGCTGCAACAGAAATTGTCGTCCTTGATGGGAGATGGGAAATCCGAATTCAAGTGACAATCATGCAGTTTAACTGATCAAACAAGAAATTATTTGCCGTTCACAGGAGAAAGGGAAAGACCAAGGAATGATAATAAACGAGCACAAGACTTATATGACGTGATTTCTGGATATCTTTCGTTGATGAGAAACTCCTGTATTGCTAGTGACTTATCTTCATGCTGCGACCCAGTCGGTATTTGTATTTGCCACTTCCCGGAATTTAAACAGAAGGCAAAGGGGACGCTGGGCGTCATGCATGGACACCATACATGGGCCACGTAATGGTAGCAATGATCCCCGGCGAGGATAATTTGTGATGTGAAAATAACATTAAAGTTAACCGCTATAAATGGCTATTCATTGCTATTTTCCCGCACATGTCAAACAAACATACAAGCCTAGAGTTATCATTTCCAGTAGCTAAATATATGTAGCTATGTGGAGTATCTACTCTCTCATTGCCTCTTGGAGCAGCTACTACGAAGCGTTAATGGCACTTCATGCTGGAGTCTCGAAAGAAGCCAGGATAGGCTGGAATTGAGGTATTCCTTAGTGTCTCTGCTCCATGTCTCTGAGTTGGAGGAGCTCATGGATTGCCCAATCGGTATACCTGGCGGGGGCCAGGGCTACCAGTCAAATATCGTAACACGCTATATTATAGCGAATGGGCTCTCCCGTTCTCAATCGGGGGCCGTAGAATTAGGAAAATAGAAAGCAGAATGATAAGACGTTGTCCTTCGGTCCCCGAGGCTTGAAAGAGCCCACTAACAATTCGTTCCCCGACCCGCCCTGATGATGGGATGACATTCTATTTGTTCCCTGCTTTTAAGGCCCCAGTAGATTTCTCCCTTTCCCTGAATGAAGTTAGTGGCCGAAACGTACAGCAGGCAGTGTACCAATCCCCGCTTATGCTGTAGCTCGTGCGAAGCGAGATAAGTCTACCACGGGAGGCTGGATTGTTCGGAAACGGGAAGAAGGACCGGAAAATAATATGGATAATGCTTAGTAGAGATAATTGACTGAAACGAGGTAAACACCAGTGTTATAATTCAGCTTATTTTCCTCTGCTACCTCTGTTCTTGAAAGCTTCATTTCTAGTCCGTATCAGATTCGTCGACGAATTTATATCTGGCCCAGTATGACGCAAAACCATCAAATCTACTTGTTCGGGGACCAAACATATGATATCGATGCTCCCTTGCGAGCGCTCCTGCTCCATACGGACCCAATACTGACGTGTTTCTTTGAAAGAACCTTTCAGCTTCTACGACTTGAGATTAGCCAGCTGCCTGGTCAGGTTCGGTATGGATTCCCTCGATTCTCCAGTATCGCCGACTTGGTTTCTCGGCGACGGGACACCAGACTTCATTCTAGTCTTGAAATGTCTCTCGTCCTAATCTATCAGCTGGCATCTTTCATTCGGTGCGTTAAATTCATTCTACAGACCACTAGGCTCTTATTTACTATTAAGCAGGATTCATTCAGAAGGGGGACTGGTGTATCCTACTGCGTGTGATACTCACCTCCTGGGCCTCTGCACTGGAGCCTTTGCTGCTGCTGCCATCAGTTGCTCACGCTCCTTGGCCGAGCTGCTTCCAGCCGCTGTACAAACGGTACTGGTAGCTTTCCGAACCAGTCTTTGTGCCGGCAGAATTGGACACTGTATTGAGCCAACGACAACTGGCTCCAGGGAATGGTCGCTGCTGGTTTCTGGAATGGAAACTCAAGAAATCCAAGATGCCTTGAGAGAATTCTCTGCCACAAAGGTAAGTACCCTGGTCATAACTTGGAGCCGAATAATATTGACCGATGCGATTGTTAGTCCCTTTCTTGCATATCTCAGCCTTATATCAGCGCGCATGCTCCCAACGGGTTGACTGTCAGCGGTCCTCCTTCTATTCTGGATGAGCTGCGCCAGTCTCCCGCATTCGCGCGTGTAGCCTGCAAATCAATTCCGATACATGCGCCCTATCATTCTCCCGTGCTTTTCACGAATGCTGATGTTGAAGAGATTGTTGCATCAACCATTAGCGACCACTGGGCGTCCTATCGTGTTCAATTACCTGTGATTTCAGGCGCCACTGGGCGCTTGATATGGGCTGGCAACTTCCGTGCCCTGCTACTGTCTGCAATTGAAGACGTGCTTCTTCAACCAATCCATTGGCTGAATATTCAGGATGGTTTTAATACGATTTTTCCGTGGACCTCCATGGTTAACTATGAGATCATTCCGATTGCGACCCAGGCTGATTCTATCCTGTCACGAATCATGCAACAACCGACAACGAACCCCATTCCTGCCCTGTTAGAGAAGCAGCAGCGTCCACCGACTCCTAATAACAAAGCCAAAATTGCCATCGTCGGCATGTCTGGTCGTTTCCCAGGTGCTGACAATACCGAGGCCCTTTGGGAGCTACTTTCACAAGGGTTGGATTTGTGCAAGGAGGTTCCTGCCAGTCGATGGAGCGTCAACACGCATGTCGATCCTACAGGGAAGCGCAAAAACACGAGCAAAATTCCCTGGGGATGTTGGCTAGACAACCCCGACCTATTCGATGCACGCTTCTTCAACATGTCCCCCCGGGAAGCCCCGCAAGTTGACCCCGCGCAACGCATCGCTTTGCTTACTGCATATGAAGCCATCGAACAGGCTGGCATTGTTCCCGGTCGTACCCCTTCTACACAGCAAGACCGTGTTGGTGTCTTCTTTGGTACTACTAGTAATGACTGGTGCGAGACCAATAGTGGGCAAGACATTGATACCTACTATATCCCCGGAGCTAATCGTGCGTTCATCCCCGGGCGAATCAACTATGTCTTCAAATTTAGCGGACCGAGCTACAGCATCGACACTGCATGTAGCTCCAGCTTGTCGGCTATTCACGTGGCATGCAACTCTCTTTGGCAGGGAGACATTGACACCGCCATTGCTGGTGGTACTAACTGTCTAACAAATCCCGACATGACCGCCGGATTGGACCGTGGCCACTTCCTATCACCAACTGGTAACTGCAAGACTTTCGACGAAATGGCAGATGGATATTGTCGCGGCGAGGGCGTGGCTACTGTTGTACTCAAGCGACTGGATGATGCCTTAGCTGACCACGACCCTATTTTGGGAGTGATTCTGGATGCATATACCAACCACTCGGCAGAGGCAGAGTCCATTACACGGCCTCACATCGGCGCACAGAAAGCCATCTTCGAGCGTATATTGAACCGTTCTGGCGTGCATCCGTACGACGTTTCTTACATTGAGATGCACGGCACCGGCACTCAGGCAGGAGACTCACGCGAGATGGCTTCTGTGCTAGATACATTCGCGCCGTATTCAACGGGTCATCAAAAGCGCAGCAATGGACATCCTCTATACCTAGGCGCAATCAAGCCTAACATTGGACATGGCGAGTCTGTGTCAGGAGTGACTGCGTTGGTAAAGACGCTCCTGATGATGCAGAAGAACATGATCCCGCCCCATTGCGGGGTCAAGACACGCCTGAATCAAAAATTCCCAACAGACCTTGCGCAGCGCAATGTGCATATCGCCTTTCAGGCCAGTGAATGGCTACGGCCGCAAGGTCAGCAAGCCAGGCGCGCCTTTATCAACAATTTCAGCGCTGCCGGGGGTAACAGCTCCATCTTAGTAGAGGATGCGCCTGCTCCCACTCCGCTCAATTCCAGCGACCCTCGTTCCTCTCACGTGGTCACTCTCTCGGCCAAATGCCCTTCTTCGCTCAAAAGCAATGTTGAATCGCTTTTGAAATATCTGAGGAGTCTGTCAAGTGGAGACGATCTAGCAGCGACCCTTCCCCAACTTTCATATACAACGACAGCCCGACGAATCCATCATCTGCATCGCCTTGTAGTGACCGGTTCAACTATGGTGGAGATTGCCTCCAATTTGCAAGTGGTCTTAGAGGAAGGATTTACATCTCCCCGCTCAGGGCCATGCCCCAAGGTCGTCTTTACGTTCACCGGTCAAGGTGCACAATACCCTGGAATGGGTCAACAATTGTTTAATACGCTATCGCTGTTCAGGTCTGAATTACGTCGCTTTGACCAACTTGCCCAATCTCTGGGTCTCCCATCATTTTTACCCATCTTCCTGGACGGGACAGGAAGTCAACTGGATGATTTCACTCCCACGGTTGTCCAACTAGCCAATACCTGCATGCAGATTGCGCTAACACGCGTTTGGGGGTCATGGGGTATCAAGCCTTCAGCTGTGGTTGGCCACAGCCTCGGCGAATATGCCGCACTCAATATCGCAGGAGTGCTGTCGGACGCGGACACTATCTTCTTGGTTGGCCGTCGGGCGCAGCTGCTTGAGGAAAAGTGCCACAGGGGAACTCATGCAATGCTTGCCATACTAGCTTCGTCAGAACTGGTCCGTCCTGCTCTACAGGACAGCGCAGTTGAAATCGCATGTATCAACGCGCCTGGGGAAACGGTGGTTGCTGGGCCACGTGCACAAATTGCAGCTATGCGGAAGACCTTGACAGCACAGAATGTCAAATGCACCCTACTACAGGTGCCTTTCGCATTTCACTCTTCGCAGGTGGATCCGATTCTGAAGGACTTCGAATTGTCCGCGAAAGGGGTCACCTTCCGCGCACCGTCTATCCCTGTGATCAGTCCACTATTGGGTACAGTTATCTCAGACTTAGGCACTTTTAGCCCGGAATATCTGACAGGGCATTGCCGTAAACCCGTCAATATGCTACGAGGCCTGACAGCAGCGTTTGCTGAAAGCATTATCACGCCAAAGAGCATTGTGATAGAGTTTGGACCTCATCCAGTGGTATTCGGCATGGTGAAATCGTGTCTAGGCAATGAAATCACCTGCCTGTCTACCCTTCGCCGCAACAAAGACCCCTGGAAAATCCTAGCGGACAGTATTGCTACCCTGTACAGATCTGGTGCAGATATCGATTGGTCCGAATACCATCGCGATTTCAGTGCGGCGCAGCGCGTGCTACCTCTGCCATCGTATTCATGGGACTTAAAGTCGTACTGGATTCCATACAAGAACGATTGGACCCTGTACAAGGGTGAGCATGTCTGCGATGGAGATGCTGCTCCCGCAAAAACCGTCCAAGCTCCTCCCCTTCCTGCGCCAACGACAACCACGCTACATCGGCTGGTGGAAGAGAAATCTGATTCGGAAAAATTTGTAGTCGTCTACGAATCTGATGTTTCGCGCCCGGACTTGAATCCTCTCGTTCAGGGCCACAAGGTGGAAGGCTTAGGATTGTATACCCCAGTAAGTCTGCTACTTGGACCATCTGACCCCAAGCTAATGATGTGATGAATCAATAGTCGGTTTACGCTGACATAGGGTTTACATTGGGCAACTATTTCCTTGATCGATTCTCTCAGCAGCTTAAAGGAAAAGACGGTGACAAATTCGTCGATATCATCAACATGGTGATTGAAAAGGCCTTGATAGCAGAGAACGCTGGTCCCCAGTTCTTGCGTGTCGCTGCCGAATTGGATTGGTCCTCTAAAGAGGCTGCTGTAAGATATTACAGTGTCGATGTAAGACCGAGGCTCTGTTCACAGGTAATTTACTCTGCCGTATTCCCGTGCTAATATTTAGTCTAGTCAAACCACGTCGAGTCTATACAACATGCCCACTGCCGCATCCGCTTCAGCGACAAATCCACCTTTGACAGTCTTGCCAAAGAAATGTCCACCGTTCAAGCCCATATGAAAACCATGCGCGACAACTCCTGCAAAGGGGCAATTTTCCGGTTTAATGGCCCAATGGCGTACAACATGGTCCAGGCTTTGGCCGAATTCCATCCCGATTATCGGTGTATCGATGAAACGATCCTTGACAACGAGACACTAGAAGCCGCGTGTACCGTCAGCTTCGGCGATGTCAAGAAGGGCGGGACTTTTCACACGCACCCTGGATTTATTGATGGATTGACACAGTCAGGTGGCTTTGTCATGAACGCCAACACCAAAACGAATTTGGCGGCGGAAGTTTTCGTGAACCACGGGTGGGATTCGTTCCAGCTATATGAGTCTGTCACGGACGATCGACCCTACCAAACTTATGTCCAGATGACGCCTGGCGAGGCAAAACAGTGGAAGGGCAACGTAGTCATCCTCAGTGGTGATCGACTAGTTGGAAGTGTCGGGGGGTTGACAGTAAGGAGCCTGCCCTGTGAAATATGTACCAAGCTGACCAAAGGAATAGTTGCAAGGTGTACCGCGAAGAATCTTGCGGTACATCCTAAAAGGCAGTGCAAAGCCTAGCAAAGAAAGCCGGACAGATGCTGTTCCACACAAAGCTCCTGCTCGGATCATGGACAGAAACATCTCGGAAAGAAAGAATACGCCTCCCAATCCCCCAAAGGCCTCCTCTGTAGCGTCTGCGGCAAGGCCCATTCCTCCTACCACGCCTCAAGCCCATGATTCTACAACAGAATCTCGATCTGATCAATTGGCCCACGCTCTCCGGATAATCTCCGATCAGAGCAATGTTCCCATGATCGAATTGATTGACGATGCGGTCTTTGCAGACCTTGGAGTTGACTCTCTTCTGGCATTGACCATCACCTCTGCTTTCAGCGAAGAGCTTGATCTGGATTTGGATTCCTCCTTCTTTATTGATCATCCAACGGTGGCAGATCTCAAGGAATATTTTGGCAGTTTCATTCGGAGCCCACCGGACACTCAAATAGTAATTGATCCCGCTGAGGCTCGGCCCACTCTTATGCCCCAAGTCGAGTCTTCCAGCAGGGGACAACAGCTAGTGACACTTCCGCCGACAGACAATAGTGTTTTCACTGATATGGTCAGGCAACAACTGCACACCACGACCAGCACAGCCCATGATGACATTTTTCAATCAGCTCTCCGCATTATCGCAGACGAAAGCGGGGTCAGCCCTACTGACTTGACTGGGGAGACCGCGTTCGCGGATATTGGTATTGACTCTCTGCTGGCACTGATCATCGGCAGTAGGCTGAGTGAAGAGCTTACGCTGGACATCGACGCAGGGTCCTTCTTCCAGGACTGTGTGACCGTGCCAGATCTGCGGAACTTTCTTCAGGGCAAAGGCAGTGAGACACCTTCTCCACTAGTAAGGGCGGAAGCAAAAGCTAGCGCTACACAAACCACCCTTGTTTCTGTGTCTTCCGAGAGACCTGCCCTTGGTCCAGTCACGGAAATTTTACCTGAGCCGAAAGAACTCCAAACTCTAACCCATTCACAACCATCCCCTCTGGTTGTAGCCCCAACACAAAGGTTGTGCCCGGCAAATGAGCCAGGTCCCTCATTCCTACAGGTTCTAGAGGTGATCAGCAAAGAAAGCGGCGTGGAAGTCAGCGATCTTTCTGATGAGACGGTGTTCGCAGATATCGGCGTCGATTCTCTGCTTGCTTTGGTAATTGGGAGCCGAATTCGAGAGGAACTTCTATGGGAGCTGGACGTCGAATCAATGCTGATCAGTCATCCCACGGTTAAAGATTTGAAATTGCATATGCAAGGAACACAGGCGGCGTTACAGCCTGACCAGAACCTCTTCACCTCGCCCATTTCCAGTTACTCGTCCGCATTTGATTCGAGTGACAGCTTCAGTTCAACCGCTGGGACACCTGGCTCCGAGCCATCTGCTTACGAGCTTAAATCCAGCATTCCAAGTGCCTCGTCCGTTGTTCTGCAAGGCTCGCCCCGAAACGCTGGGAAGATTTTGTTCCTGTTTCCGGATGGCTCGGGGTCAGCCACCTCCTACACCTCTCTGCCACGCATCGCGGCCGACCTTACCGTCATTGGTCTTAACTCACCGTTCCTTAAGAACGGCTCTGAGATGCGCTGCACTATAGACGAGCTCGTGGGGAGTTATTTGGAAGAGGTCTGTACCCGCCAGGCCACAGGGCCTTATCACCTTGCAGGCTGGTCCGCAGGTGGCATTCTGGCTTATCGGGCCGCTCAAATGCTCGTTGCTCGCGGTGATCAAGTTCCATGCTTAGCCCTATTGGACGCGCCTCCACCAATGGGGCTGGGGAAGCTCCCGCAGCACTTTTTCGATCATTGTGATGCGATGGGCATATTCGGGCAAGGGGGAAAAGCACCTGAATGGTTGATTCCACATTTTAAGGGAACCAACGCTGTTCTCAGTGGGTACTACGCGACGCCCTTTGCGACGGGTCAGGCACCCACCAGAACGGGAATTATCTGGGCAAGTCAGAGCGTCTTTGATACAAAGGGATGTGCTCGACCAGAACTACATCCTGACGACACGGAGGATATGAAGTTCCTCACAGAGACACGAACTGATTTCTCAGCGGGGATTTGGGGGTTATTGTTCCCCGGGGCTCAGGTGGTTTTGGATAAAGTGGAAGGGGCGGATCATTTCTCCATGATGGTAAGCTCATCCTTCACATTGTTCTATTGGTTTATGACTGTACTAACCGAGGAGTAGCAAGACGGAAAATATGCCCGTCAGGTAGCGGGATTCTTAGCTCGGCTTTTGTCGGGGTGTTGAAAGCGATGGAGCAGATGCTGGGTGTTTCTTGTGAATTCGATGTTGCTAATGGAGAATGGAGCTTTACCATTTTTATTTCTGTGTAGTCATTCACCAACCAAAACAGACCCCTTCAGTACTTGTGACTCACCCATGAGGACTCCACCAAAGCCAGGGCGCAAGTCAGCGCTGCCAGATTGAGCCAGGAGAGAGCGATACGAATTATCAGCTAAGGTGCTGCCTAGGTGGAGCAGGTTCAGTAAAATACCAAGGTTATATCATGTTATCATGATGTAGATCATCAGAAAGTACCGACTTTCTCTTTGTAAATGCAACTCATGCCATTTCGCTCCTCGTTCGTCCTACTCCGCTGTTTCCATCCTCAAACTACTTCTGCCACGCTCTTTGATTCATCGCTCCTGCCATGATAGAAACGTGCTTATCGAGTCCCGGTGAGGCTGGTGAAATCATTTGAACTTTCTTCTCGTTGGCTTTTTCCCCCGAGTCTCTCCTTTGCCGATCGCCAGGCCATCCGCAGTGAGTTTCGCCAGGTCTATATGTATGATCATCTAGTGACACCACAACAAATATTGCGTCAATATAGAGCAGAAGGCTTTTGCATGTTCGGGTATATGCCATGTATACCTGGTGCATCGATGATCGTCTATGACAAGTTCAGTGGTCAAACATATGTCTGCGCAGTTTATTAATGTGGACGATAATAATTCAACTCTAGGCACATCTGCGGGTTCAAACCAGCACCTTTGTTTGACAAACTCGAAAACGGGCTGGTCATAACTACTTCCAATACGGATGTATCCGATGCCCCAATAGCCGATTGTACTGGAAACGAGCTCCACCCGACAGGACGGAAGATCAAAGATATCAACGGCTGGACGTGGATACGGGAACAACCAGAGCAGGCTCCAGTGCAAAGTACTGTGGGGTTCTAAACGCGACACAACAGGCCACTGTTCAAGTCGTAATTCCACTCATCGCTTCCAACTCCACTCCAGACAAAAAGGCTGCCCTGCGGGTCATACTTGCGCTTGATCTCCAGAAGGCGGTTATAGTTATCTCCATAGAAGTCATGCTTCCAGTTGCTGCTGAAAGGATTGCCCTCATTCATATATGAGCCACTCTCAGGTGCCCACTTCTGCCAAACGGGTTCCAAGGCGGTATTCAACCACTCTGCTCCTGCCTTCAATGACTGGCTCGGATCACCCGTGGCATTCACCGAGACACCATAGGCCATAGTGTGAGCATATGCCGAACGCCAGGCGGGAAGCACACTTCCATGTCTTGACTCGGGAACATGAGCAGTTCCCTTTCCACCCTGTAGTCCGAACAACAACATGGAGCCTGCATTAGGCTTGTGGGAGGCCATAATCTCTTGGAGATAGGTTACGAGGCTCTCTTTGGGGATATCGGAAAGCTCGCGTCTGCCTAGAAGATGGCTAGTCATCAGGCTGACGGCGCCAGATGACGCGCTGGCCAATGGGTTCGGCTTTGTAGAGGACCAGTAGCTCTTCGAAGAAAGTGGTTGGAAGGTAATGTTCACATGGTCGGAGTCGAATCGGGCAGCCAATTTGTTCAGAGTATCATTCATCCTTTGGACAGTCATATTGAAGCCAGTCAAGCTGATAATAGCCGAGGCACCAGGCAGCACTTCTTTCAGCCCAAGATATTTTACTGCGTTTTTCTCGGTCAGGCCCATCACAGTGCCCGTGAAACCGACATCCATCAGGTCGGGTATGCGAGCCGACACTTCAGCCAACGCATCCCATGAGGCGATTTCGCTAGCCTTTGAGTTCTGGCTAGGATAGAATGACAACCCACCGGCCACGACGTTTGCAGGCACAGGATGTGTCCTGAGAACAAATTCGGTCACTACCCCGTACTGGCCTCCACCAGCACCACGAACAGCCCAGAAAATATCCTGATTCTGGATATCATTCGCGACGAGGCGTTGGCCGTTAGGAGTTATCACGGTGACTTGGTATACCTGGTCAGACGCGAGACCGTAGTGACTCGAAAGCAGGCCATGTCCTCCGTTTTGGATTAGGCCTCCGAGACCGACGGTGGCATCCTCACCACCCACGACTGTTCGATTCATCTTGTGCACGGCGGTATAGACTGAACCCCAGTTGTTTCCACTCCCACACACTACCACATCGGCGGTACTATTGGCCCCCGGTAGCCGCCAGTTCGATTTCCTTTCGATATGCTTGAGATTATGTGTCCAGATAGAAAGTGCATAGGCGCCCGTGGAACTGTTAGGATCCAGTTAGAAAAATCCAAAAAGGAAAGAGAATAATTGAACCAATGCAGGGGGGATAACATACCGGCCGCCTAGGTCATGTCCAGTTCCTTTCACGGTAATGCGAATGTTTCGGTCGGAAGCCCATTTCATTGCAGTAGCAACATCCCGCTCAGTTGTGGCATTCACAATGTACTGTGGCAAACCACCAATACTGCATCCCTTCTCCTTCGAGTATCCATCAACTCCAGGTGGCAAGCACGAGTTGTTCGCATAGATGGAGTAATCAACGCTTTCAGGCCACATAGCATGATATGCGGCGTATGACCAGTGACTTTTCACGTTCGTGCAGTTTTCGGGGGACCCGAACGGATTGCCCGGGTAGCAGGACGAAGCAGCAGGCGCCGTCCTGATGAGGGTGCCATGGATGGATTGATTCAGGGCATTCCACTCATTGATGGATGGCCAAGTCGAGTCTCCCGGCGAAGCTTTGCAATGCTGCGTGGCAGATGTGGCCGGGAGGGCAGCCGATGCCAGCAGATAAAAGACATGTGTGTGGAGAAATGATCGCATCTTTCGATGAGAACTTCGGCTGCGTAGTGTTTGAAGGTAAGTTTAACAGCGATAGCGAGGATAAAGAATGCGCATTATATAAAGTACTATTGTCACTAACCGTTACTCCGTACTCCGTACTCGGTACATTGGATACGGATACGATATACGCGGAAACTAGTAATGACCGACGATCTTCAAGGCTTCAAGGTCCATTAATGATGTGGGGCCGGTACCGACCGGAGCTAAAAAAAATGGAATAGGGCTCGATATCAAGTAGGCAGCAGTCATGGAGCTCTTAGCTTCGGTGCCACAAGTTACCACAAACAGCCGTTGAAGAAGGCTATATTTACCAAGGTATATAAAGCAAAGCCCTTATTGGGCTAGGGTTTAGGTGGATATAAGGCAGGTTATTGCTGAAACAGATCACTACCTAATCGGGTAATATTTGCGTACTCGTAAGCATATCATATCTAACCTTGGCACGCTCATCTCCGCGTACTCGTTTCCAAATTTCCCCGTTAGGCATTCAGAAACAGATCTACCCCGGAAACCTATAATTGCCCAGGTGTCCACCAGGGGCAATTAATAAGGTTGTACCTAAGTACAAAATCCAGGGGTTTACAGGTTTCTAAATTTGGATTTACCTTTCTGCGTGCCCTGTTTGAATTTGCAAATACCGGCATGAGGATCCCCAGAGGGTGGAAGTTGTCCACACTCTTCCTTGCACTGGGCCCGAGTTCTTTTTAATTTTGATTCAAGTGCAAAATATTGGCTATTGCGAGATCGGCGTTGAGGTTCCCCTTTCGCAATTGAGGCAGGCGTGGCATTTAAGAGATATCGCTGTGTTGATTGAGAGGCAGCGGTGAATAACAGTCCTGTATTTGAGATTTGAGAGAGTAATATCTGTTGTGACAGGCCATCTATGCGATTCCTTGTTTGTCAGGCTTCACATGTTTGCCAGCTACCTTAGCTAGTATATTAGCTACTCTCACACAGATAGATAATTCAACCTTCGTCTCTCTCCCCCTCTGGCCTTTGTTGCCAGATCAATATTTCCTCAAATCTCAAGGGTGTGGGTTGGACTACCAGTGAGGCCTGGATCTCTGTGTCCACCCGTCGCACAGCAGGATCAATAAAATATCAAACCTTTCCGAAGGTTCACAATCCAGAGTATAAAAACACGGCTGCAAATTGTTCGACTTATTCCTTTTTATTCAACATCATCTTCTGCCGTTTTCCTCACCCTCGTTCTTTCTCCATGCTTTTCTCCCTCTCCATCGCTCCTGTCATGACAGGAGTACACCGATTAAGTCCCAGCGAGACTGCAGGGAAATTCCTTCTCATCCCATTCCTAGAAAGGATAGATGTTCAGAGGTCTGCACCCTCCTGAATATCCCGAGGTAAGCTTACCCACGGCCCTCCCTTTACTTTATTTTCACTTGACTTATTTTTCACTATTCATTCCGTTCCCAAAGACAATGCCCTTGTTGGCAAGCATTGAAGCTGACCAGATAGGCACAACACAAACTCCGCTGTAGTACCCGGGGCTGCCTTACCGAAGTGACTTTCGATGCCCACCTTGGTACTACTGAAACTCGCCATCCTGAAGAATCATCTCTGGTGGTTCTGGGGGGATCCTGGTTGATATCAAGATGACTAGACCCCATCGACGGCAAGTTATACGCCTTTGATTGGTCAATCCAAGACGTTCGACGATATAAAAGACACAGATTCCCATAGAGGAATCCCAGGAATCCTTGATCCCGATATCGAAGACAACATTCACCAAGGCGCCAGAGTGTCGCATTTGCCAATGCCCACCACAACCACCTAGTGTGGCCAGGTCAGTCCAATCTAGGTCCGCAAATATCATCTACAGATCTCGCACCTGTTCTATCGGCCTTGAGATCAGAGGGGCTTTAGAATATAAAGAAGCCCCTGGACCCATCGACTGATATCATGCCTTGGTCAAAGCGGGTTTCTTCTCTCACTTGAAATCAAGGGTGCGACCTTGTGGATGTGGAGATGTCATCACAGAAAAGGCCGTACAACACACTACCATCAATAGGGAATTCGCAAGTGGACCGAGCATGATTTCTTTCTCCAGACCATTGTGTGGAATTACCAGCATTGGGCATGAAGCCAAGTTCTTTGTCATGCCTGCATGGCATAATGAACTTCAAGCCTACAGCGAGGAACTTGGCGTCTTGTCCATGAAGAAAGATGCTGCTGAATTTCTTTACAGCCTGAACATATACCTGAGGAGGATGTTGCTCAGTCTTGTTGGTGTTGTCAGCTCTCCAATGTTTTCCGTCAGCTTGTTTTCCATGCTTCGATGCGGCTATTGATGACTAGTCACATTTGAGTCGAGAATGGAATCAGCTTATTTCAGCCGTGGATGTAGTTAAAGCTCCTGTGACTGAGCAAGAGGTCCGCGAATGGAAAGAGAGGAATGCACCTTCTCCTTATCTATATACCCTCAGGCACGAAGTCTTCAGTCCTGCTACTAGATAGAACCCGTAAGAGCTACTCTCTCCCACGCTCATGATTTAATATTGCATCACTCTTGAGGTCATGAAGGCGTATGGCGAAAATTTGCTGGGTAAGTACGCAAGCCGCACAAAGCCAACCTGGGAGGCGGGGAATAGGCAAACAAAGAAGACACCAGCGGCAAGTAATTTGTATCAAGTTCAAGGTCATAGTAATGATTTACCTTCCTGCGTTCCCTTTCTGAATTGACGAATACCGACCTGACCATTTCCAGACGGTGGAAGATTGGTCTACCTTATCCATGCAGTAGGTGGGACTTCTTTCTTTTAGTGCACCTGCCACAAGAGATATGGCTGTGTCTATTGAGACATATTCAGGGCTCGTATCGGCTGCTGGATCGCTGCGTTACGGTTGTCGCCAAGGGCAATTTCAGCCTGCATCTTGCGAATAGCCTGTTCCATTGTTTCGGCTACAGCGAGGCCAGCATCGGCCTCTTCCGTGGTTATGGTTAGATGAAGCTCCAGGGAGTTGACTGAGAACTGCGACTGACCGGTTGCCCCGGTGGCCGCGGGGAGTATCTGGGGCTCGTGGGTGGTTGTAAAAGTTACCACGCTTCTCCCGGCCATTCCACTGGCAGTTACCACATGCTGTAACTATGGGGTTGACGACGTGGAGCCAATGCATTTTGCCCAGGGCCCATCGTTCTGTCAACACGGGCCAGTAGGTACATTTGCGGGGTTTGAATGTGCATATCTGACAGATAAGTCGATCATGGCGAATGCTCAAGTCCCCTTATTGATCCGACCTGACCCTGTCGCAGAAATTTGGCCTGATCGTAATTGGCGATAAGTCCGCACACACATCCAAGGTGTAAGACATATGGAATACGTTGTGCAAGGACCTTTCGCATCAAGTTTGCATCTGTCATACACGTCAAGCCGATGGTCATGCTCCCATGGGACTTTGGCCTCGCCGACAAATCTTAGTTGCTGTGCATTGGCGTTTTGCTGATATGGTAGAGACAGCACGACCATGTCGGGGGTCCTGCTGTATGCAACCCCGTAAGCCTAACGACAACTATAGGGGTGCGGTCGTCTCTTTAGACCAGTGGAGTTTGAGTCCGAGACACCCTCCACGGGCACTGTGTTCTCCATTTGGGTCTGCACTGATGTCCAGACCGGACAGAATTGGTGCTGCCATGAGGCTATCGCGGGTGACATGGAAAGGCCCACGAAGACCAGCGAGCTCTGGCAGCCAGATCTCGCTATACACATCCTGGAGAAGTTATGCACCTTGGAAAGGTATGATTAGGAGACTCGTAAGAGTGCCTTATCACCAGCAGCCTCTCGACTCAATTCTCGAAGGCTATCGGGTCGGCTGGTCTCAGAAGTTGTCTTGGGTTGATGTATTTATCAAAGTGTGATTTGTATTTTGTCGGGCGACTTTGTCGGCTGATCGGGGTGTGAGAATCCCTGTGGGATTGTACTCGTGATGATATCCGGGAAAGTAACGAATGGGCCGTCCACCATGCATAGACTATGCGATCTATGCATCGAGACGCAAACCCACGACCCAGGCAGTCTCACCGAAGCCTGACCTCCACGCTATACCTTCTATTTTGAAACCAGACTGGCGTGGTACCTTCAGATAAGCTGCTTATTTTGATCGTTGACCTTCGTGACTGATTCGGTGCGAAATTTATCTGCTTCGATCTTATCCTTGAAGAGGCAAACTGAGAGAAATGTGAGTTGATCGGCTCTAAGAAATGCGAGTTGAGAATGAAGAGAGCAGACCGACATACCAGACATAAGCTGAATCGAAAATTAGTCATTCACAGTTTCGCACAGAACGATGTCCTGCTCGGCGATGGGAATAGGGTATTCGAGCCCTTTTGGCTTGCGGCGTTTAAAATCTGAGAGCTCCAGATTGTTGCTGGACAATGACCCGTAGATCCCAATGATGAGCAACAGAAGCGTGAAAGTAGAGACGATGATCTGACAGCAAAGGACCAGAAGGAGAGAGAGAAGAAGGATGAATTCTCTATCTGCAAGAAGTTAGCTAATATACCACAAGATCAATAGCAAACAAATGGGAAGCCTGACAAAAAAGGTATCATATGGGCTGTCACAATTGTTGATCTTGAGAATACAACAAGTCCCTGCCGGCGCCAGTGGCAGTTGCCACATGATTCCCATGCACCTTTCATTCTGTCAACTACAACGAAGGTGGTAAGAGATGTATTGCCAGGCTTTTGTATTTCTCATCGCCAAGGCCTGCATTTTGGCTGTTCACTTGGTTATATACATGTATGTATTCGTTCATGTCGCCTGCACGGCCAATGGCCTGTTGGAAACGGCCCTGAGGGCCATTCTCGCCCTGGATGTGTCAAGGCCGGTTGTTCTTAGAAATCGTCTTAAATTGATATGTCGATCAAAGTGCTAGTTGCATTTGTCGGGCGACTAGCGTGGAGCTTCCCATAGGACTGTGGGCGTTTGCTAATTGCTTTGCAGAAGGGGCTGCATCACCATCCGTCGGGGTATAACGTGAGTTGGACTCGATGATGGGGGAATATCCTATTCCCCAGACATTGTCCACGTACGTTTGCCTTAGGAAGATTGACTGTTGGTATGTGAATAGCCATCCAAACTAATCCCAATGGGGATTTTGTAGCAATGGCGCAAAGCAGTTTATCACGTCATTTCTGTAGCACTGAGTCTCTGGCCTGACCAAAGGAGTCTCCAAGATTCATGTCCTGCGCGGCACGTATAGTGGGACGCTCTATATCCCATAGGACTTTCAACAGAAGATATTGTTCTTCTTTGATTTTCGAGCCTGAGTCGAGGTTCTTCCGCTTGTGGATGCTTGATCTGAACACCCCGTGCAATCTGGCAGCAGTGGCCCATTGGGACCATGTCTTCAGGACGGTCTTTGCGCTTTTGGCGTGCCATCTGAGCTAGAGGAGGGATGTGTTGATTAAGGAGACGTAAGATTGCAAGAATACTTAAAAGAAGGAGGGGAGTAGTGTCCAAGAACCCATTTGGTACTATTTGTGGCCCGTTGTGCCTTGGCTTTTGTCGACTGGCTAGTGGGAGTCGAAAGATTCTGCAACCTTGTTAGCTTTCTTATAGTGTCCATTCGAATCTCCAGGTGCTCTTACCGATGGTTGGTAGCAGCTAGAACGTTGCTACATTCGCAGGAGTTGAGTGTATAGGAATCTTATATATTGCTCTTCTTGGCCTCATGCGATGCCCTGTGAGGGTGAGGGTGAGGTTGATGGTTTAGAAGATGATGATGTAGACCTTATATGTCAAATGAGAGGTCTTTCAGATATGAGAGTCTCAGAGATCCTGCTCTGGCGGGGTGTATAGTTGGCGTGTGTCTTTTTGGTGTCTTTGGTGTCTTTGTCTTTGTTATTTTCTTTGTCGTTTCCTTTGATTAAAGGCTAAGGTAGAACTTACGCAGTTGCCCAGGTGGGTAGTACCTAGCTTCTGTAGTAGTTCAGGCAACTCTCAAAAATCAGGCACTTGATCTCTGGCCGCTCTGGCTCCTTCATCTTCTATAACTAGTTAATCCCCCTTTTTTTCCCCTCTACTTCTTCGACACACCTCTCTTCTCTAAAGGCAAAAATGGCCGGGATTAATGGCGCAACCTAACATGACCGGCAGAATATCGAAGAACTGTCGCCTTGGGTTAGAGTATACCACTCTTTTGCCGGGTCATCTCCCTTGGGCGTGGTCGTCTCCTTAGTTCTTCCCCCGCACAGGCAAATATACTGGTCGCGAATATACGTACCCCAGCACACGAAAAAGCCGCAGAGGATTCTGACGATAGGTTGAAGCCGGCTCTTCAGCCAATGGGCCTAAGCAAAGCGATTCACGCATGGGGATCCACAACATTGTCTGCCTCAGATGGTACAATGAAGGAGGCAGATGGGGGATGGTCTCCACAGAGACCCGCCCGTGGAGTTCCTAAGAAACCCTCTAGTCTTGAAAGTCGCATCGTCAGAGACTCCCGCAAGACTTCGCCGTGGTACTTCCTACTGGGTAGATCCAGAAGGGGACAATCCAATATGGCTACCGGAGTCACGCCATGCCACCAAACCCCAGATCACCATCGACCAGAGGGAATGGAGCTCTCAGCTCTCCTGGCCCATCAAAAAAGCACCCTTGACGATACCTAAATCTGATGGAAAAATCTGTTTTGATCCCGACTAATCTCTCCCATTCGCCTTCTATGCCGACGCCCAGCGGAACCTACTGGCGAACACAACATAGTGTTCGCGACACAAGAACTCGTCGGGTGTGCAAATTAGCTGTGGGAAATGCAATTCGACAATGGGCAAGGCTGAGAGGGGGAGGTTTATTTTTCCTGCATACATGGACCATCATGCCGTGCATTGGGAGCGCTGGTTCCTCGGGCACTACAACATCTCTCACAACCAATGCCACAACTTGCTAGTCGACAAACCTTCCACGGGCATGTTGCTGGGAGTCGACATCATACGACATGAAGGATAGATTCCGTACTGGCATGCAGACTCGAATGGTATACATGGCCTCGTGCGTGGGTTTATGGGGGTCTTACGACCCCGCGCGTCCATTCTCTGATGGTTTTGTTCCGACCTGGATCCTACCTTTCCCCTTTTTCGCTAAGCTAGGGGCCCGTCTTGCCAACCTCTGCTCAGCCTTCCGCTTACTAGCGAGGAACCACATTACCAAACACGGCATCCACAATGGCTGCTCGGTATGACTCTTTATTTTAATGGCCCGTCTTCCAGCTACTTGCTCGCTAACCCTTTTTGGTCTTAGTATTAGGGCTCGTGCCGAGCTAACTACCATCAGTGGCTTCTAAGCCGTCAACCCATCCCTATGGCAATCGATCTAGATGGCGGTCCCGAGAAGTTTGCGGATTTCTCAATGTTGAAGCACATACCGAAGATCACGTGCATCACTGGTATGGCACCATCCTAAGCTTCCGCCGGAGTGTGGTCCGGATTGTCAAGGAGGGCGTCGAGGGCACTGTGCACCAGGAGTACGAGGAGCGGCTCGCCCGTTTCCCGGAGCAGATTCTTCCAGTGGGTTTCCGTCTCTCCCGCTGGAGGTAAGAGGTGGAGTGCGGAATTCGGGGAGTGCCGACTTAGGGGGGGTTTATGACTAGCAGATAGCATGGATTTTTCGGGGTAGTGAATGTGTCTCTGGGCATATGACCGGCGTTGTGATACCCTCTTGTCTTTTTGACCTTTCTTGATGTAGTTTCCCAACTGTCTATGCAAGAGACGGCGGAAGTAGTCTGCTCATGACACAGGAGGTAGATCCCAATCGGTAAGACTTGCCTTTCTATACGCGCGCCATGGCTACTTTATACAGTGCTAACAATATGTGGTATATAGCTGTCTTTTTTGGCCACAAAGGACGGCACAGACTTATACACCACAGCCGCTGTCTTCGACAAAGCGTACCTCAGCAGGATCAGAAACAAACGGAAGGCGCTGCTGAACCGCAAATTCTTACAAATGAACCAATACGGCCATAGCGTTTGACCGACGCTGTACTCAAGCGGACATCCTTTGCTCCGTGCACACCTTGCCATCTCCAGCTTTAATTATATATACTCCATGTCAAGAACATTTTGATCAATAGCCGACTGAGATCACTTGCTTGATTTCAATGCAAAATCATATCAGATGGTATTATTTTAATAGTACCATGGTTATATAGTCTTATACCATAAGAACTCGGGTATTGTACCAGAGTGATTCTCATATACCAATATAGGGGTATTCTTCAAATCTAAAATTCCATAGAGTCTTCGCCGAATTGTCAAACCCATAGCCTTTGGAACTGGTAGCCCCAATATGCTGCAGTAAGGAAGGGACCACCGCCCAGCGTGTCCATCCCTCGCGGTCTGCGATCTTCTCCACCATCATATCCACCAGCCAATCGGTCGTGAGGTCTGTCCGCTCAAGAAAGTCGGGTATGATAGAACGAGGAAACACGAGGCCCTGCGAGCAGCATCCATATCTGTTCATCTCATGGACGCCGGGAGAGATGGGCCACATTGTCTGTTTTCCCGCCATAAAGTGGAGCGCGATAGCGGCGGGGATGAAAACGCCGGACGTGGTCCAAATCGCGCTCGCTGGAAACTTCTTCAGCTCGTGCTTGAATACTCGTTTTGCAGCCACCATCATCCCTGTGAGCAATGCCCAAATCGCGAACGACCAAGCCAAATATCTCGGCCACTCCTCCGAATTCCAGCCAAGGAGGTCATCGACGTAGAAGAGTCGCAGGTAGATCCATCTCTCATTCGCGGTCCGTTGCTTGACGATATCGAGGGCTTGTAAGGCGGAAGGGAGCCAGCCCTTCACCGCTAACGTATCGTCCTCGATCATCGCCACGTACTGCGCGCCAGTATCGTAACAGTCCTGCATCAGATGCGTATAGTCGTAAATCGTCTTGTTTCGATACCAGCCATCATCCTCCCATTTCTTTATACGCTCGAAGTCGGGATCGTCTTGTCGGTACGTCAGTACGCGGTCTGGCAGTGTCTCAACCCACTTTTCCGAATAGATTGGATGTTGCGATGGGTCTGTGTTGCCGATGAGAAGGTCTAGGAAGACGCCCTCCCTCTCCGTCTCGGTCAGGCCAGCCAGGAGGGATGCCACTGTCAAGCCCACGTATTGCTCTCCCCTCCGACGGACAGTTGCTATTCCAACACAGATCGTAGGGACCCGGTTTTCCGGCCTTGTTGGTTGATCGATGGTAACGGCATCACGTAAAAATTCCTCCGCCTCTGTAATTCTCGTTGACGAATACCGCCGCTCGTAGGCCCGAAGGGGATTGAAAAAATAGGATGTGGGATCTCGATAGCTAGCGAAATGATAGTAGGCGAGGGAGAGAAGGTAGAGGAGGGAGAAGGTGTAAAATAAGAGGCCGGTAGTCGATCGAGAGATTCTGCCGAAGGGAAGGGGGCGCAAGAAATCAGCCATGTCCACTTCCACTCGTTCGAGCGAAAGGCATATGGGGAGAGGCAATTGGTTCGGTCGGCGCGCAATAACGAGAACGTATGTCGGGTGGCCACAGGGTCCAACGAGGGAGATATCTTAGCGTGTTGAGCTCGCAGAAAGGAACGGAGTGGTAAAGATCAGGAATGACGTCCCTCTGTAATCCATCGGAGCCCATGGAGAAGGTTAGGTTATAAAGGGGAAGATTTGAGATAGAGATCCGGGGATCATGCGGGCTGGGAAGATCAGGGTGGGCCAATGAGAGGGGCAGTGGGACTAGGTGACCCACAGTTCGTAGATCTTGAGATCTACCCTACATTTGTATGTACAGTAGAGAACATCCAATCTTCCCAACCTTCAGTCGATTTTATATCCTCAACACATCCTTATTAATAATGTGACATTAAAGAGATGGAGTGGCTGTTTGATTGACCCATACATGGTGCTTCCCTACCCAGAGGAAGTCGAAAAGAGAAAGACAGCCCACGTAACCAACAAAATCAAACCAGTTCTGGAGAGATGAGACAGGGAATAACGCTTCTTGAAAGCCATAAAGCCCATGACCCAGAGATTTAAAACATGACGCAAAATAGAGGGGTCAGTGTCGGATTTCTTAGTCTAGCTCTTAGCTTCAACAACAATCTCATCTCACATTGCACCATGCACTTCGACGTCTTCGTAGACCTCTCCTCACAGCCAGGATCGTAATTGGTGATGTTTAGACCCTGTTTGTGACAGATTGGAGCCCAGGGGAAGGGGGAATGAAACCGACCAATGGAAAATTACATCGAATAGGACCAGCCCTATCATGAAAGAGATCATTATACTACCCGGGTACCTATCAGAACTTCTGGACAGAGTACGAAAGCAGACTCAGCCCCACATAGGAAATCCTCAATATATGAGTTTGGGAAATGGTCCAGATTGTGCGTGTGAGGATGTCTCGGGAATGGTAATAGCCTTCACGGATTTAAAATCCCTGACAATTCGGTGGTAACCCGTTTGAGTACTTTGTCTTTCAATGTCGACAATATAACATTGGCAAGAGCTGCTCAAGGCTGGGCTGCAAAACGGAATACCTTCGAGCTACGATATTGCTTTGAATAAATAAAATATTACCTCTTCGTCTTTAGTTGCTTAGGTGCTCCTTTTCTACGCTCCACTAGAATCCCTTTTTTGGGTCATCTTTGTCTTCTCCCTCCTTGGGCTGATTGTCGACGAGGATGTGGACATCTCGTGTTGCGTGTAAAAATGCTAAAAACGATGCCAGCGCTCTCAACACGCTCGGCGATGAACCAGAAGAGCCTCCAAAAGTTATCGTCACTGAATCAGTGCTCACAGCACTGCGACGCTGTACCTGCCACCTGATCACTATCATGGTCACCATCACAATCATAACCTTGAACCTGAAAGGCGTTTACTTGGGAGCCGATCTAATGTCGCCAGTGAGGTCTGAGACCATCAACCTCATGTTCCTCCAGTTGGCTGCGAAAGCCCACGAGATCATGATCGTGAATAGTCTCGGCCTTATTGTTCTACACTTCGTCCGATCCGAGCTGCTTTTTGGGGATGGACTGCCTCTCGGCCTGGTAGGCTCCGGCTTGAGCTTCAATAACTTCGAGTACTTCTTTAAGAAAGAATTTTATGTCTCATTAAAATACATTGGCGATCATGGCAATAAAGCTAGGAGGGTCATGTTTGTCACGGTCGTCATTGCGGCTGGGCTCACGGCTGCACTGGCTGGACCCGCAAGTGCGGTGCTCCTCGTGCCCGAATCTCAGGACTGGGCCGCTGGGGGCACTCGCTTTTATTTGAATGGATCGGACACCGACTTCTGGCCAGCCGACTTGTCGGGAAACTTGTCGGAGCTTCGGTCATTTTGCAACGGCAACGACTCGACTCATCTGGGAATCTGTCCTGCAGGTGGGTTTCACTCCCTATGGAAGCATTGGGGAACTGTCAATTCCACGGACCTTTGCGCGCAAGATGTTCGCTCTTATGTGAAAGATCTCTCTGGCTCGAACTTCTACTGGCCGGTATCCAGCGCTTCGTCTCAAGTCCCACCTCTCTATGCGTTAGGAAACAGCAAAAAGGGCGACAGTGATGCAACAACGCTCATTCAACCACATGCAGCAGCTGTGATAATTCTGCAAAAGCTCGCAACCGATTGGTGGAAGGCTTTGGTATCACAACGAGGCATGTCTCCAGATCAAGTTGATGACCGGATTATTTCTGCCAATGTCAGGAGTGGGATTACCGTCGTACGCTGCGAAAGCCCGCAGGAGCTGTTGCACTCAGACAACACCGTGAACTTCCCATCTATCGATGGTCGATTCCACTTCGCCCAAAGCTTACCACTTGCCGTACACACTCTCAACGATACAGCCGTCGATGACTTGCGGTTCCAGTGGGTTCATCTGCCGGCTCAATTTGGCGCAGCTAGCATTGGAGGTGTGTTTGAGACACCGTGGGAATCCAACAGCGCCTCCAGAGTTGTGGTCAGCTGTACGGTCCAAGCTGGATGGGTCCCGACGACGGTGTTCACTGACAAATACAATTTCTGGACAGGATGGTACCCCTGGAACATTCAGTATGGCGATCGCACGCCTGCATGGTCCGCCACGTCACAAGCCGCTATTAATGGTCGAATATCTCTTGGGGATGACTGGCTGAATCTCCTGACGCCTTCGACAGCCTCTCTTGATGTCGGCTCCTGGCGACCATCCACGATTGAGAGTATTCTCCTGAATGCTGGCCTAGGCTCCTCTCCTAATGGAATTACCGCAGACTGGATTTACCAGCGGTCTGGACGTCAAGACAAGGTTGCTCTCGTTGAAGCCATTATTTGCAGCGTGATTGTGGACGGTCTCAGCCGTACCGGAAGTTATCGAGCTTTCAATACTTCAGGACCAATCTCTCAGTGGCCGCTAGCAAATTACAACCTTTTGCCTGACTTTGAGAAACGAATCCTAAGAAACAAACTTGCCATGGAAATTCCCGCCGTCAACACCGAGAATCTCACAACAATTGAGGCGAGCATGCAAATAAGCGGTTTCTCATTTAAAGGCTCTCTGGCAGCATATCTTGCCATGACAGTCCTCCTCACTCACCTCCTTATGGCTACCGTCCATGTTATATACGTGATTCGTAATAGCCGCACATCACGCAGCTGGGGCTCGGTTGCCGAACTCATCGCTCTTTCGCATACCTCCCAGCCAGCATTTGATGTCTTGACCAACACCAGCGGCGGGATTGAGAGCCGCAAAACCTTCTTGCAAATGGCAAAGATTAGAGTGAGGAACACTCCCAACTTGCCAAACCATGCATATCATGCACATCATGAGCATGTTGAATTGTTGTTTGAGAGCTCTGCCTTTCCTAATAACCAACGGAATGCCTCTGTGCATGAGCTGGACGAGCTACACAATGAATTGTCGCGTCATGCTGCGACGTGGCCTCTGAATATAGCGGAAATCCCAACATATACCGGTTTGGATCCTTGCAGTATGTCGACTTCTGTAAAGAGGCTTGCTGACAACGAGGAAGCAACGGACATCGTTCGGCCCAGCCGGCAATATGGCTGAATCTTTATACGATGTGGCGAACTAATGGTGTTTTCTGAAAATGGGGGTTGAACGAATTATTTATGGTCTGCCAACATATTTAGAGAATTAATACAGCATCATCATATAAAGATAGGAATCCATGGCTATACGCTGCGTCAACTAACCCACTTGGCGATTTACCTACCACACCTGATAAGCCCTTGTCACGATACGCTCTCCAGGCATGGTGAGTGAAATCCAAACACGGCAGTCTTTCCCTGACAACCACTGTGACCCCTAGTCTGTCCTCAACCGTACCGTTTCCTCGCTGGGCCTTGCTTAAGACTCAGGTTCTCGTTGGATGCTTGCAAAGGTGTGTCGAATAGAGAAACTGAGTAGGTCGGCCACCCAGTAACCAGTTAGTACCAAACAAGCTCCCCAGGCTAGGGGACTGATGGAACCACGCATCACGATGCATGAGACAAGAGATCCTAAACCTCAAAGGTCAGAATAACTTCAAAGTGAGATTCATGCATCATCCGATATTATATTTGATCACGTGGATCAGCGTTCCTTCCTGGAGTGTTTCGAGGACGATTCTGGAGAAAGCTTCCTTACACATTCACTAGTGACATACAACTTCAATTTCCTCGGCGTTGTCGCGAAATTGCCGACTGATATGCACAAGACCGCCTCTCATTCTCTCAGTGACATTATTGCCCTTTGGAATCTTGGCCAGGAGAGTCGTCTTGTTGCCTACAGGACGTGCAGCTGTCGAAGGTTGCACACGCAAAAAGTGCCCAGCTAGAAGCTGGCGGAGCCCTATCCGACCACCGCAAGAGATTCGAAGTGGCCTACAATCCTTGTTGAAGTAGGGTGGTCTGAGTCAAGGGCCAACCTGATGGAAGATGCTTTATTCTGGCTCTGCGAATCAAACCAACAGGTTAAAGTCGCCCTCACAATAGAGGTTATGCAAACGGGGATATTACAATTGAGCAATGGAAACTCGACGCAAAAACTGGCGGGAATTCTGTCGAGCCTATCCAAACAATGAGGATCTCTCGAAAGCGACTTACCGGCCCAAACCAGTACCACATATCAGGCTCGACGGATATCCAATTTTGCGACTGCTTCCTCCGCGCAGAAAGGGGCAGTGAGACATATTTCCCTTTCGAACGACGATTTGAAGCGGATTGCAGAAGTTGTCGGGCTTGTATGCCCTGACGGATTTGCTGGCTTCGGCATTGCCTGCTCCTGACGGCGCAATTCTTGGCAGAAAATCTAAGCATAAGTACCGAGAATGACAAAGAATCAAATAGTGTGAACATAGAGGAAGTATACATCGTCTGTCCTAAAATGAAAGCTGCGGTGTTGATGTCAGCCTGCGCTGAAGCATGCTCTCTACCAGTTCCATGATCAAGTGAGAAAGCCCATTAAAATCCCAGACCATATTGATTTCGAACCTGTCAAACACTTCTGTCTGTCAAAAGAGGCTAGTATACATGGCGTAATGTGAGAATGATAGACTCATTGAGAATTTTAGAAAGCTAAGTTCTAATTGAAGAGAAATCTGACACTGTCAACATTCAGCGAAGACAGACAGAGAAGGCAGATCGTAACAGGAATACCATATTAATTTTGTACAGACAGATAAAAACTACGACTAGATAATAATACGGAAGTAATCCAGCGCGACTTGTTGGACGCAGAACGAAAGTGTTGGTAGTCGGTCTTCGGTCTTCGGTCTCTTCACAAACTCGATCCTAGCAACCCGGCCACTCCGTCGAGCACGACGACTTCTACGTGCCAACCACCCAGTCGATATCTTCTTTCGCCTGGCTACCTTGCTGATTTGTCGCGGGTTTGTTTCCCTGGTGGCGTCCCCATCCCCAAAGGCGGTGTTGCTTGGGTTGGGCAACATTATCTGTATAACCTAGTTAATATATACCAGACGTAAAGAAGCGAGAAACTGGTATTGTACCATTCGCTGTACCAGCAATAGCCTCATTTACATGAGATTCAGGCTGAGCAGACTGCGAGTTTTGGTTGAGCGGCTGTTGCTCGGGAGGCTTTGCTGCGCCAGGGGGGGTCAGGGGATTTGGCTCCCTCCGTTGAGTCGGTCGAGCTTTGACGCTGGCGATGGTGGAATGCGTCAGATGCCCTGCGGAAGAAATCTGACATGGTGAATAGAAGTGTTTCCGATAAGGTGGATATTGATGTTTCTGATAAAATCGATTCGAATGATGCCAGGATATTTGGTGATATTCATAGGTGAATAACGACAAAACAAGGATCTCTGCTCACCATAGCTCTCTATATAGTTGAGCTACAACAATGTGGGTGACATGACACGACCTTATTGGTAGAAAAAGGTCTCATGATCACTTTTATAGTTATGGTACGCATAAACCAAGTGTAGCTAGAATCGCCACCATGGCCAGTAGATGATCAACGCCTTCAGACAAGCAAGCTTGGCGTATCATATGTGGCGAAAATGATGTACGATCCAATATAAAAAAAACTCAAGTTTACTCTGCTATTGACAGAGAAGACTATATCTCATCTGGATTCTAAAGAGCGTCAGAGAATTAGGGTTGACCAACTTATCAGTCACGCAATGCAGTGGCATCTTCCAAAGACGGATCTTTCAGGGTAGTCAAGGCCGTTCTGAGTTTATATTAATGAGACTCATGAAACCCTTGGAAATGGAATGAGATATTAGTCAATAAAGAACGGGCGAGATAAACCATGACGTAAAAGACTTTCTCGAGATGTGAGGGGTATTACTATTTGGAAGCCACGAGACACATAAATATAATCAAATTAGCAACGCTAATCACAATACGACAGATAAGCAAAACAATAAAATGTCGTCAAACACTCGCTTTAGATGAAAAGCTGCGACTGTCAGGTCTCTGCGGATACGATTTATAGCTCGTGTACGCAGCGGTATAACGGCCAGGGTTCAAAACCCGCTTTTTGGGGGTGTTGGTGCCTGAACATGCCTTAATGCCTTGCTTTAGAACGGCAGAAAAATTAAGATACCTGAATTACTATTACATACGCGTTAATAATCAATGTACTTTGATTCTACTGACGTTGTAGGTTGTAAAAATATGAAGCCTTTTCATCCCATACAAATGCATGCATCTCCGATTTTTGGGGCGGTTTACCAGATCTCTTTCTCCAGTCTGAAAATGAAGTCTTTTTCCCCCATACAAATGCATGCATCTCCGATTTTTAGGGTGGTTTACCAGATCTCTGTCTCCAGTCTGAAAATGAAGCCTTTTTCCATTGATTCCTAGTTATAAATCCACACATTTACCTAACCCTCCGTCTCCGCTGGCTCCGCCGAGGTGTTGTAACCGGAGATCTAGCCCGCTTCCGTCTCGCTAGCTCTACCCTCACCGGCTCTATATCCACTGACTCTTCACCTACTAAAGTAGCCGCTTCAGTAGGTGCTGGACTTGGTATAGTCATATGGAAAGGAGCCTCATCCTCCCACGGATCAGCCTCGAATGAATACGTATCTTTATACCACTTCACAACCATATAGAGCTTCGCCTTTTGACCTAGAAGCTTATCAACAAGCTCCTTTACAGTACTATCAAAGGTATCATCCACTCCTGATATCTATCAAGGACTGTATTTCCCCTTTACGTACTACATCTCCTTAGCAAAGTAACACTTGTCTATCCACCCTAGCCTAAAATCGACGATACTCGGTAGTCCTTTAATAAAGTAATCTCTCGCAAAGCTATCGATATCTATGATCGTTTATTTAGGACGAAGGTTAACCGAAATCGAAGCTAGAAGTAATAATTAGCTTTAGGTTCTAGTTTATGATCATATAGTAAAATATAGATATACCTACCATCCGGAATTGGACTTATCTCTCCTAGTTTCTCTTAGAGATAGAAAATCACTATCATTATAATCTCTTTATTCGCCTCTTCAGCGGCTTTCCGGGCAGCCTCTACTTCCTAATACTTCTTTATATAAGCTAGGCGATTGTTGCTTACTGAATTGCTAGCGAGGTTAGAGAACCGAGTGCCAATATACTAGGCTAGTATAGCTGGCGAAGGCCTCGCTAGTAAAGGTATCACTAGCGAAGTGATTGCTAGCGTGGGTACTGATAAAGACAGGGTAGGACTTATAGAGGTTAGCTCCCATAAAATAAGCTATAAGGCTTCCTATACAGTAACCGAGAAAGGCATCTTGATAGATAGTAGAAAGTGAAAGGTATAGATGAGATTGGTATACGCACGTATAGGCTTAGATACTATAATTAAATCAATCTTAGACCCCTTATAGTATTTAATTTTAATTTTAATTTCTAATAATGTTTCTCATTTACCGAGATATAGTATATATCCCGAGATATCATATTATTTACTAGGCCGATTTTTAATAAGTAGTAAATATAATATCAATAAATTTATCTAGCCTTCCGAGACATACTTTTAGGCTATATACTCCTGATCTTCATACCCTTTATCTATATACTCTTTACCGATATCCTAATCTATATGCTCCCTATACGGATCCTATTTGGCTGTACCTATTGGCTTTATACAAACGTCGAGGATTAGTTCTTAGCCCGAAGCCTAATGCTCATACGCTCGCTCCTATAGCTTTATATACACCGCTTCGAATAGAGACTTAGTATCACCAGTGAACCGTATATCCGGATTCTTAGGGTCAAACGGTATTCCTACTAGTTGCTATCCGATCTCAATCAATTGCTAGCGATACCAAGTAAACGTAGACGGCGGAAGATATTACTTAGGATCCCACTCTTATATATCCTCTTAAAGTCTCTATAGAAGCTAGGCCTACTCTAATACTGGATCTTTATTAAGTAGACACTTTAGGTTATCTACTTTTGGTAAGTAAAAGTTTATTGTAGGCTTTCCTAGGATAAGATGAGTCCGGCGAGTATAAATCTAGATAGGGTGGGTATTCTAATACGCAGTATATGACTTTACCCGCTATCGAATCATTTATATATAAACCTGTAAAGGATAAAGGTCCTTTCAATTGTGAAACGGGATTAACTGACATGGGTATGTCAGATGTGACGTGGCCGAAGCGAGCGGGGTTCGTCATGTGATCGGCCCTGTTTCTTGGCATACTGTTTTCCTAAAATCCCAGAGCCCCCCGGGGCCCCCTGAATTCGGACAAGAATTAGTCTTGGCACATAGAGACAATACATTGATCCCCTCCCACAGCCAATTGTATCTTACCCGGTTGACAGGCCATACACCTGCAGACTGTATATCTTTACAAAACCATAAGAAGAGAAACCTGATTAGGAATACTATCTTATATAAAGCAATCTTCGTATTATAGCCTACAAAAAAAACGCTTTTCAAATTAGTATAAACTGTTATAGAGCTAGAATTCACTTATATAGAAGAGCCTAGTAGTTGCCCTCGATAACATCCCCTACCATACCTCAATACGCTAGTTATTAACACTTCTTCTATAGATCTAGCAGTCCTTTGGTTTAATAGAGGGTTTAGTTAGGCGACGAAGCTTATACTAGCTATTAGCGAGAAGTATAGTCTCTATACCTCGGTCAGATCGGCATTTCCTAAATTAATAATATTAGCTATATAAAAGGAAAGGTATATACTATAAAAAGCCTCCTCTATAAATGTATTATAAAGGTATAAAGGAATAAACTAACCTTGGTTAATACCCTCTCTATTTAAAAGTCTTAAGACCTTAGCTAAGGACGCCAATGTAAAGATATACAGTCTGCAGGTGTATGGCCTGTCAACCGGGTAAGATACAATTGGCTGTGGGAGGGGATCAATGTATTGTCTCTATGTGCCAAGACTAATTCTTGTCCGAATTTAGGGGGCCCCGGGGGGCTCTGGGATTTTAGGAAAACAGTATGCTAAGAAACAGGGCCGATCACATGACGAACCCCGCTCGCTTCGGCCACGTCATATCTGACATACCTATGTTAGTTAATCCCGTTTCACAATTGAAAGGACCTTTATCCTTTACAATTATCCCCTCTCTTCTAGGAGGATGTCCCTATCCGAAATTAGATATAGATCTAGAAATAGGTATTAAGATAATAAAGTAATAAAGTATCGGGGAGGAACCGAGAGTGGTTCGATAAAGGAGATATGTTTAGAATAATATAAAAGATCCTAAATAACCCGAAATAGGATATCTTTATATACTATAGTCTATATAGACGTAGCATTTGCTTTATAAATTTGAATTATCAATCACCCTCTTAATTTCTAGTATACCCCTAGTTTAACGTAAGGTTTAAGTGAAGTTGAAATACGTTTAGTATATATAATACCTTCGTATAGCTATTAACTAGTAAGATACCGGAGATACTAACGAACCGTTCTCGATTAAGTGTATTATCGGTACTAAAAATTCTAAAAAGTGTTAATAGTATATTAGTCGATACGTATATTATAAACTTCCTATAGGTAGTATATAAAGGGATGCTCGCGATTTAGTCGCGATCCTCGACTAGGCCGCTAAATATTTCGATAACGATAACGGATACTATATATAGGACGACGAGTATCTTAAAACTATTAATAAGGGAGTTATAAGCCTACTAAAGGACTTTATTACTATATACCGCGTATATAAGTCTATATATAGCCTACCTAGTAAGACTAAGAAGGATAAGAGTAAAGTGAGTAAGATCTTTTATATAGGATTCGGCTGTGATTCGCTAACTCTTTACTAGCCTATTCCTATCGTATATTGTCAATTTATAGAGGGTTGTTAATAATTATATCCGAACCCTCTTCCGCGTCCCCGTCTTAATACGATATAGGCGAAATAGCACTATTATCTTACCGAATCGGGGTAGTGTCTTTAGTTTAGAGATAAAGGATTTGTTCTATAGATATAAGCTAAATTTAACCTACTATATTTAGTGAGGGATACCTATTTTACGTATTTTAATCCTATAGTTCCCGCCGGCGGTATTCCTTAGATTATTACGGATATATAGAAGGAGGAATTCCTAGTTCCTCTATATAAATTGTAACCGGTAAGGGATCGAATTAGTAGTGTTTCGGTGTTTAGGTAGTGTCTCTTTTAGTTCGATGATTTTAATAGAAATAGTAGATACGAATTATTTAAATCATATCTCGATCGTAGCTTCCTCTTTTAGTAGAGTTTTAATTTTAATTATATCGCGTAGATAACCTAGGTTTATTTACCTTCTTCTTTATAGGGGTTATCTTTACTTTTATATCCTTAAGTCTTTCACTTTTCTATACTATTTTATCCCTAATTTATACCCTATTCGCTATCGAAAATGCCTCCTATTAGGAGTTCTCTATATAAGCTCCGACGTCCTATTCTACACACGTATATCTAATATATAACGTGTCTAAGGGTCTCTATATATGATTAGACCGAGGATAGTCTAGCCTCTCTCGAGCCTTTTGTGGTTTATTATTTCGCTAAGATATACGATAGTAAGAATTGCTAATATTATAATAAGCTTTATAAGCTTTATAAAACGGTATATCTATAGATTCGTTTCTATCTCTTTTCGCTAGTGATTTATACTAACGATACTTAGATCCCTAAAGGGATCGAAGGAAACCGTTACGAACTCTTTACTTACCTATCTTAGGTTTGTGAATTTTAGGCTAATTCTAATAACGAATATAATATTATTCCTAGGATAAATATAGACGCCTAAGGTAACGATATCGACTTATTATTACCTTACGACTTTATCGAGAGTGTTATAGTTTACGTTCGGTACCTTATCACTAACTTCGATAACTTTGTTAAGAACTATTATCGTACCTATTTACTTTTTAGGACCTATATTCCTTAGGTATATTTCGTCCCTAAAATATAGGTATATCGTTTGTGGTTCGTTTTACTAACTTTTTCTAGACTATAAAAGACGCCTATACTAGCTAGGTTTCTGTCTATAGATCGTTAGTAATTCCCTTACCTCCTATCGGCGATTCGGCCTATAATTAGGAGAAACTTACTAATAAAGCTAGCTACTACCTATATCTATATATAGCCGAAGAGTCGGCTTATAGTTAGTATATAAGGCTTATCGCCTTTTGTAAGGAGATTCGCGATCTAGTTTCTACCGTTTGTAATAATAGAATAGATACTACTATAGTTAGCTCTTTTAATATATATATAGGCCTATTCCCTTTATTTCCGAGAGTGTAGCTATTATAGTTCGGCTATATTTCGCCTATTTTCTAAGACTTCTTTTATATTTCTTTTACTTCCTTTTACTAGGTATGGTAAGACGCGACTACTCTAGGGATATAACTATATCTTTTCGAGGCCGATACGGTAGGCATTCGGTAACTTTTTAATCAATTTGCTTTCTCTATATCCTTTTATATTTAGCGATGATTTTTAGTATATTTACTATTACGCTTTTAGGTATCTATTAGTTATATTCCGATAGCTAGCTATACTATTTAACTAAATAGTATAATTCGTCTTTAAATCGCTAGTTATCCTTTATCTTTTCGACTTCCTATTTATTATTATCTACTAGCTTAGGTAGAAGTAATTATTCTAGTTCGCTTTTACACTAATACTATAGTTATAGTAGAGAGATAGAGAATATATTATAAATCGCTATATATTAGCTAGGTAGTAGGAGGCGATACGCTTATCTTCCTATATATTTGAGGATTCTAAAAGGTCTAATCTATTATAGTAATAGCTTCTTTATTATACCTTCCTTTAGCTATAGGTTCTTTATCGAGAGAGCTATAAGGTCATTTTTCTTAAATATTATTTCTTTATAACGCTTATTATAATAAGCCGCTTACGTTTCGGTTACTTTTCGCTATATTTTCTATAGCTTTTCGCGAAGCTCTAAAAGCTTTTTAACTTATAATAATACTACCGGTACCTCCCTCTCTATACCGCTGTCCTTAGCGCGTATATAAAAATTAGGATTAAAGCCTAATAAAGCCTAAAATAGTGATATTCTAATTATTATATTAACTATATTATTATATATAAATTTAGTAGTTTATAGGAGTATAGGCTATATCTTTTACTATTTATTAATAAAGTACCGGAGGTAGTGTTCGAGTATTTAATTTATCTTTTCTATTTAACTATCGGTTTAGGGATAAAACGCTATCGAATACCTTAGTTTTACCTAGGATATATAGTATAGTTTTAACTAAAATCTACTTATAAAAACGGATCCCCGGTTAGATACGATACTATTTAGTAGTCTAAACCTTAGTTCGATATTATAATAGAAAAGCTTGGCTAATTCCGAAGTATCTATCGTTATCGAAACTAGAAAGAAGAGGTACTATTTCGAGAAACGGTCTATAATCACTAGAATAGCATTTACTATCTTTCCTTTCTAGATCGATTAAAGTAATCCTATAATAAAATCTATAGATAATTCGGCGAAGGGCTATAATAGAATCGGTAGCGATTCGAGCTTATTAAAAGGACGATACTTTAGCGTTTAAGTAGTTTAATATATCGTATAGGATTTAATATATTTTTATACGTCTATTTAGAGATTTATCTAGTAGTACTCTCTATAAAAGAGCTTTTCGGTCCTTACTCTACTAAAATAGCCGGTAGTAGGATTATTATAATATATTTATATTAACTTTATATAGAGGCCCTCTTTTTTCGGTATATATAGACGTCCTTAGTACTATAGTAATCCTAAGGCGTCTACTAACTAGCCTTTACTACTAGATTTCGAGATCGAAACGTCCCTTTTTCGGCGGACTATCTTTAGGTTATCTAACTAGAGTTTTCTTATTTATTCGAGAATATCTATAGTGTCTATACTAATAGACTAGATTACTACTACTTTAGTATTTGTAATGTCGAATAGAATATTTAATTTATTATATAATTCTCGCTATTTAGACTAATTATCTATATTTATACTCGTACGTTTCGCTATTATCTCGATAGGTATACTAGATTTAGGCTTTACCTATTCGGTCTCTTAATCTAATTCCTATTAGAATTCTAAGTTATATTCTTCTAAATTATATTTATAATCTATATCTAGATTTTTTACCTCTATAATACTTTAGATTATTAGGGCTTCTATCTCTCTAGTCTCTTTTAGATCCGGGAGTTCTTTACCTATAATTCGTTAATAAATTAGGGTCGTTAATTCCTTTCCTACGATTACTTATTTAGAGTTTAGAATTCTAGAAAGTCTATCTATAGGATTTGTCTTTCTAGGCCTATACTTTATAATAAAGTTAAAAGGCGTAAGAAATATATACTAACGCGCCTATCGGCTATTAAGCTTTTACTACGTTATAAAGGTATATAAATTAGTATAATTAGATAAAATCTTAATAGGATACTTACTACTATCTAGGTAGTGTCTCTAATATTAGAAAGAGTAAACGATAGCGAATAGCTCCTAATCCGGTATCGTATAGTTGAGTTCTAGGCCTAAGAACTTTCTAGACTAAAACGTGACCGGATACTATCGTCCTTTATTATCTAGTTATAAAAGCACTCCTCCTATTCCTTAATTTAATATATCTATCTCGAGTCTAATATATTCCTCTAGATTAAAATAATATAATAGTACTACTAATTAGAAGGCCTATTTTAGGTATTAAAACGCTACCGATTTAGTATTGTTAAGCGTGATCTAGCCTAGTTTCTTCCTATTTTTACTCCCCTTTATTATAGATATAAGAGGTAGGGATATCTAAGAATACCCTTTAATAAAATAGCGGTAGAAATTATAAAATCCTAGGAAAACCTAGACGTTATAGTAGCTTTTCGGCTCTTCCTATTCCTAGATTATATAGATATAGTCTTAGTCTATTCTTACCCCCGAATTGTCTATAATAAACCTTAGAAACTCGACCTCCTTCTAGTAGAATATATATTTTAAAGGTTTAACGTAGAGTTTAGCCTTTTATAGCCTCTCGAAGATCTAGCGAAGCGCTACTATATAAGATTCTCTATTTTTAGTAAAAACGAGGATATCGTTTAGGTATACTATATAGGTAACGTCGACTAGCCCTACTAGTGCTATATAGATATAACTTTAGAATATCGCTAGTGTATTTAATAGGCTGAAAGGTATAACTATATATTCGAAATAGCCGTATTTTATTCTAAAAGCCGTTTTCTATTCGTTACCTTCTTATAAGCGAATCCGGTAGTAAGCGTCTTTTATATCGACCTTACTAAAGTACTTTACTCCTAAAAGGCGGTTAAGGATCTCCGAAATAAGCGGTAATAGGTAGCGATTTTTAATCGAAACGCGGTTAAGACCCCGGTAATCTATATATAAGTGTAGACCTCCGTCTTTTTTTAGGATAAATAGGATTAGTACTCCCGCTAGGCTCTTTAATAGTCGAATCCTCCCCTTTTTAATATTATTAACGAGATAAGCCTATAGCTCTTTAAGCTCTATTTATAAGAGAGGATAAATCGGACTATAAGGTAGAGTTTTGCCTTCTTTAAGCTTAATTGTATAGTTAGAGGTCTTCATCCTCGGTAAGGTACCGGCCTTTTTATAATCGAATATATTAAGATACTCTTCTAATTCGGGAGGGATTCGGTCCCGATCTAGTTTAGATTTACCTATACTTTTATTAGGTAGCTATACTTCTTTTAGTATTTTTATTAGTGTATAGATAATAGCGGCGTTTCTAGATTATTTTATAAATTTATAAGGTTTTTAGAGCTTAAAATCTTTAACTCCGAACTACTATTTATTAACACTAGGATATAAGATAACGTCGAACTTATTAATAAAAGTCCTAGATAAGAGGATAGGACTCCCTTCGAGTCTTAGGTCCCTATCGATACCGATATAGGCTCGTTTTACTATCTTTATAGTACCTCGTAAATCTCTAATTATAAATAGTACCTAAAATACCCTATAGGTACGGAGTCGGTCTAGGGCGACACCTTTTATCGAAAGAGATAAAAAAGGTATAGCTAGTAGTTTTACTTTATAAGCGAACTCCTTACTAACTATATCGTATTCCGTATTAGTATCTAGATCTATATATATTTCGCTACCGTTTTCGAGAGTAATCGGTATATAGAGGCGTACTATAGTCCTAATTAGCGGGTATTGAGCTAGTGTATCGGGATTTACCCTAGCTCTTTAACTTTTCCCGATTGTCTCGATTAGTTTACTCTTAGCGCTTAGATTAGAGTACCCTTCTATAGACACTTATTTGCCTAGTGATTTTTATCCTAATAGATAAAATAAGCGCTTTCCGGTATCGAAGTGGTACTGTTTCCCTTTTTATTAGATATAGTAGTATTTACTAAGCTTTATGATTTTCTTTAGTATATAGAGGATCTGTATTCTCGGCCTCTACCCCTAAATTAGCCTTTTCCTCTAGGCTATCCTCGACCTCTACCTTTTAGCGTATCGGTATAGGGTTAATCCGATATCGAATTGTGGTGGTTTCCCCGCCTACGCTTATCCTAGTGTTAGGTATAGGATTCTTTCCTCTTTTAGTATACGAAGTAGATGTAATAGAGGGTAGATACTAGCTTTAATATTTCGTCTTAGATAGTAGGTAATATACTATTACTAGTAGTAATTATAATATCTTAAAGGGGTTTCTATAGCTTTATAAATAGCGTCTAAGCCCTTTACTTTTTACCCTATTTTAGTAGGTGATTCTCTAGCGATTTAAGGTAGGTCTCGAAGTTATAAGGATCTTAGAGTAGTCTTATTATTACTTCCTAATACTTAATAAGGATATCGGTTATAATATTATACGAATTTCGAAAGAGTATTTTTATCTATTCTCGGAATACTTCCTAGTTCGATATATCTTCGGGGTGTTTTCGCTTATAAATCGCCTACTTTCCTTTATATACTATATAGAGATAGTTAGTAGTTATAAGGATCTTCTAGGTTCCCGAGATATATTTTTTCGGGGCTCCTTTAAAAAGTGTATCGAGATCGTTTAGTTAGTCTTTTTTCTATTTAATACTAAAATCTTCTTCGAATTTTCCGATATCTTATTTAATCTCTCCCTTCTAGCTTAGTTCACTCTCTAAGGATGATTTATAATCGGATCGGGAGCGTCTTATGGTTTTTTCGAGGGCTTAAAGTTTTTCCTCGTTCTCTATAACTAGTTTCTAGGCTATAAGGAGGCGTTTTTATAGAGCCGCTCTAGTTTTATACTCTATAGCTTAGGCTTTAAGATCCCGGATTGTTTTATTAACGAGCCGGGTATTTTCCTTAAGCGATCCGCTATTTTACTCAGTAGGGGCCTCTTAAGTTTAGGTCTCCCCTTATTCCTCGATTTGTGGAAGCGTCTCTAATTCGCTACCGATTTGGGTAGGTTGCTTAAGCGCTTCGGTATTATTTCGCGAGCTACTACGGGTTGTCGGAGGAGCTATTGTATCTTAGGCAGTTAAAGATAAAGAATTAGAATTGTAAAGATATACAGTCTATAGGTGTATGGCCTATCAACCGGGTAAGATACAATTGGCTGTGGGAGGGGATTAATGTATTGTCTCTATGTGCTAAGACTAATTCTTGTCCGAATTCAGGGGGCCCCGGGGGGCTCTGGGATTTTAGGAAAACAGTATGCCAAGAAACAGGGCCGATCACATGACGAACCCCGCTCGCTTCGGCCACGTCATATCTGACATACCCATGTCAGTTAATCCCGTTTCACAATTGAAAGGACCTTTATCCTTTACAGCCAACCGTAGTACGAGCGCTTATACTAATATACACCTAAACGATATACCGAGAGTACCCATCAATAGCAGTATAAATCTCAATTCTAAAGGGCTTAAGCTTTATATAGCCGTTAATATACCATATATCGTTCGGTCCTAGAGATATATAGTTGACCCTTTCGCGCCGTGCGCCTAGAAGCCGGCTTTTTACCGCTTCGGGTCGGAGGAGGCGTTATACAATTTCAACTTAGGCTCTAAGGTAGGTTAGTAAATAAAGTGTATAGTAAATAAAGTGTGTAGTAAATACTCACTTAATATAAAATAGCCCTATAGAACGAAGATAGCGGTATAGAGTATGGTAGCTAAAGTCCTCAACCTCACCAATCACATTCTTATAGATAAGAATAGCTTATAGATCGTCAAATTATTACTGTCTCTATTTAGGAGAGAGCCGAAGCTTAATATTAAGATCAGCTCGAATCCTCCTAACAGTCCTCTCCGAGGAAGGTCTACCTTCTATAGCGAGGATTTAAAGAATCTCGTTTGTATTATACTAGGATAGAAGCGCTTTAACACGATCTTAAATCTCTACCCTAGGGGTAAGAGTAAGGTCTTAGCATATAGGCGGCTTCTAGTAACCAAGAGACCTCTTTAGGGTGCTACAGCTGATTATAATATCGTATCGTTCTTCGAGAATAGCGCGAATATCTGTTTATATAGTCTTCTAGTTGATAAGATCTAGTATCTCTTCTTTATAGGGCTCTAGATCAATACGCGGGCGCGGCATAATTCATATATAAAGTAGTGTATAGAGAAAAAGCATATAGGTACGATTTGTGGGATAACAGCTTACAAAATTAGAAGTTTTAATATAGACTAGTAATCGATCGGGACTAGTTATTCCGTACCGGAGAGAGAGCTGGTAAACCTCCTAGGAGATCGGAGATGCATGCATTTGTATGGGATGAAAAGGCTTCATTTTCATACTGGAGGCTGGTAGACCACCCCAAAAATCGGAGATGCATGCATTTGTATAGGGGAAAAAGGCTTCATTTTCATACTGGAGAGAGAGATCTGGTAAACCGCCCCAAAAATGGGAGATGTATGCATTTGTATGGGGAAAAAGGCTTCATTTTCAGACTGGAGAGAGAGATCTGGTAAACCGCCCCAAAAATGGGAGATGCATGCATTTGTATGGTGTAAAAAGCTTCATGTCTATATGAATGATTTACAATACACTGTACAGAGCGGTGTGGAGGGCGGTGTTAATTAAGGCATCCAGGCATCACTATCCCCTAGTAAAAGGGGTTTTGAACCCTGGCCGTTATACCGCTGCGTACTCGTGTGCTTTTCTTACGCCTCAGACTTAAGACGGCGAAAAATTCCACAGGATCGCAATCAGACAAAGACCTGTTTGCCAGTCGTCCCTATTCCCGGCCAAGTTTGAAGGAAGCAAGCGCGAGGTACCCTCGTATCCAACCCATATGACGCCATTTCTGTAGAAGATGTTGCCCTACTGGCTCAAGTCATCCTCGTTACCGATTATGAACCTATTAACCAGGACTTGTACATATGTAATAATAAGATCTGTTGACTAAAGAACGATCCCATATATATTAAAACTTTCATAATATGTCTAGTCTTTCAACCTAGAATAATAATATGGGGCGTGAGGTATGCTGCGGCACCATCCGCGGATGTAGTATACTACTCATCAGTATCTATAATGCGGTCGTTTAGCTTCAAGCCAATTACCAAGTGAGGGTTTTTGGAAGAGGAAATTTCTTTTTTTAATTCTTAATTTCTAGCGAAAACAGATTATTCCGAAATCTTTGATCTGCACGCATTTGTGTCAATACCACACAATAAATTAACACATCGGCCACCAAGACATGCAATTCATATACGGGAATAAGGGTTACTTTGCTCAATTGTCATATTTCCAAAATAGCTGAACATTTTCCGATGAAACATTTCCTAGAGCGCATGTGGACTAGTGGATGAAAAGTCGGCCCCAGGGGCCGACGCCGTGTCCCACGCGGCCCGAACCCCCCTATATTTCATCAACTGCATCCTATCAACCCAAGTTCATTAAAGGATTCTATACTCAGTGATGAGAGCGTTCACTCTCAGGCGCTCGCTCGCTTGTCTACTTCCCACTCGCCCATTTCTTTCTGTGCACCCCAATGCTTCGATTCAAAGCAGACTAGGACCCCCCAAATTTGCTCTGCCTTCAACATCACGAAACTTTCAGTCATCACCTACCCTCAGAGAAAAATGGATTTTATCAGAAGTCATACTATACGAGCTCAAAGATCGAAAAATAGAAAAATGGGGCTGGGTTTTCTACCGGACCACATACAAAGATGACGAAGCCTGGGATATCTTTAAGCAAAAGGTCATCATTTCAGTGCGCTCAATCATCAACCTCGACCCCCGATCAGAGCTCAATGAAGCCATCTTTGAGAAACTCAAATTTGTCTTCATCGAAGACAAGGCAAAGTTCGATGGAGCTTCCAAGGAGGAGCTACGCGCGCACTTCCAAGAATGGGTGGGAAATAGCTTCTCGGCTGAGAACCCACATGCTGATCAAAAGCTCCTATATGACGATGAACCTGTTTCAAAATATCGATTCTTCTTCGAAATTGACGAGGATGCATTACGCAGCTGTAGCTCTAAAGGTTCAGGCCATGCCAACTTTGTGGATGGCTTTTGGTCGTCGAGTAGAGTCCGCGCTGGCGATCTCGACCTTGCCGTGCGGAATAATCCTGAACAGCTGCAGAACCAAGTGGACGCTGTTGCAGACTGTTTGGATGTTGGGTGGATGAGAATGGACATGGCCTTTTTCATGGATACTCATTTCTACGCAGGCATGAGCGGATCGGTAGACCATATGTGGCCTTTCTTTTACGAGTGCCCTCCTGCCATTGTACCGAACAGCAAGCTTATCCTGCTGATGCAAATACAGAATTTGGCGCGTAGGAGGTGAGTCGTGCCTACGAGGCGATGATTGAGTGGGTGTATATAAGAAAATCACAACCCAGTATACCCACTTATTAGACCTCTGTTCACCCGTGGACAGTCAGAAGGGTTTGGTACTAGATCACCTGCTCTAAGTCTTTATGCCCACGCCCCCCCCCCCCCACCCCAGGGTCATTCTACCACAGCTTCCCGGCACTGGCGTCTCTTCCCAAACACCCTAGAGGAACTCAGACCTGTATAGGAGGAATATGTTTAGGAGTTAGTGAGTGAACTCTCTCTAGTTGAGCTAGAGGCTTCCTCGTCAACTGAATTATTTCTCAATTGACTTTATATTTTCCTGCTATGTCCTGCTGTATATGTATCTACAATCAATTCAAATTTAATGCACGTCAAACACTCTTCTTCCCGCAACTCATCACCGTTTTAGTCCAATGACTGCGAGGTTACGCGGACTCTCACTGTAGTCAAATACTGGCTGAACCCAGCAGTCTTTGACCGAATCCTGTTCACGAAGGAATTGCCACCGATCCACAACAATGATCGTCTCGACAAGCTGAGCACTGAACGCCATTAAGCTCCACACAACGCTCATATGTTTCCTCGCGTGGAGGTACTGAGTTTCGTAGCAGTGAATTTCCTCATCAGTCAGGGTAGCAATGTGCTCCTGCACCTGGGAAGCATATATGGGGTCTCGACCCATTTTGACCGTCGCAGCACGAACATATGCAGTAAATGATTTGAAGGCAGATTTTGGCAATGATCCAATATTAATGGAGTTGCTTCTAGCTTCTGCGTGAGCTTCGCCAGAGAAGACATCTTCCGGCACAGAGGGCTTAGGAAGAATATTTCGATCAACGAGGATACGCTGGAGAAGAGCACGGAAGAAGTGACGGGTAAAGGACACTTCGCTGTCAATAAAGCCCCAATTGTATGGAGCTTGCACGGCCAGTGCACGAGCTGTGATGTTAAGCTTCACGCCGGTCGTTGCTCCTGGACTTCGGTAATTCTCGTAGTATTTAGACATAGGGAACCCATGCGGATCGTATGATGTTCCAGTCTCTTTAAGCCGAGGGTGGAGGGATTGAAGAATAGGGAGGTCATGTGTGTTTGGACCGAGGCGTTCTGTCAACAGATTGTAGCAACAGCCGATCATGGCGACAGCCACAATCGAGGGATTTAGAATCAGGGATCGTAAGCCATGGTGAACAAGGTTTCCACAAGAGTGAAGAGAAACAACCATCAATTTAGCATCGCTCTCTTCTTTTCCTTTCCCGTCAGAAGCTCCAGTAGTGGATGGAGAGGTGATGTGGTCGATAATGGACTCCAAGTGGCCATCTTGGATTTCATGCTCAACATAGCTTAGAGTACCACGGCTATGGGTCTCTGGCTTCGGCAGCTTTTCCGGTAATGGGCCTTTGGTGGGGGCCCCGAATAGCTCGCCAGGTTGAAGGCTAATCTCTCCCAGCACCTGAGAAAAAGGGGCATCTGAGACCTGCGAGTCCTGTATCGTTGGTTGTGAAATATCTGTCATTTCAGAAACAGTCACTTCTGGAGTTCCGTTGTAGCCATCGCATGAACTTTTGTCCTTGCGAGAATATTGAGCCTTCGGGTTCTTTGCCAACTTGGCTCGGACATCCATGCCCTTGGCACCGCTGATGTACTGGTGTTTACGCTCAATTGCGATGATATGCTTGTAGTAAGGCGAGCTGGCCAGTGTTCGTCCAAGATAGTTCTGTCCAGACCCAAGATCCACAATATGAGTGACTGGTTCACCACGGCGCTTATCGACAGTGTCTGATAGAGATGCGACATATTGAGAAAAGCATTCAACCTCGTGTACTTTTTTCCGGTTCATATGCATAGCAACTTGTTTTGGTAATTCAATCTTCTCCGAAGATGAGATGCACATTTCTCGTTGGAGTGTCAGTGAGCGGATATTGAAAATGTACTCCAGGAGACTCTGAGGAGGGAATTCTCCCCCATTCCAAGTCCTGCTTTGGTCTACGGAAGGCTCGCCGGCGCCTCGTAAATTCTCAATGTCCTCTCGTAGGAGTAGACGGATGATATCCTGAGCATCATGCTGTTCGAAGAAAGATATCCAATCTTTTGGTAGGATACTTGTATAGAGGTCAGGCTCCCGGGTCAGAAAGTCGACCATATGCACGCCACCGCACAAATTCATAAAGAGCACCGAGGTAGTAGAGAAGCAGAGTAGGGCCTCTATGTAGGCATCAGGGTGCTTCCCACGCCCCAGAGATGGGAAGGGGGCGTTTGAGAGTCATCCGAAATAGTGATAGTCGATTGTCTCACTAAAATCTCATATGAGGATTCCTCATCGTAGAAGTTGTTTGTTATGGAGCTATTTTTCATCGCGAGCCCTGCTGAGTCATCTTCGGATATGCTCGAGGGCTGTTCCCGAGGTCCTCTTCAGAGCAGCATGGGTGACATTAGGGGCTTGTTTTCGACAGTAGGACTGTCCCCTGGGCTATATTCTTTTATTGTCTGTTTGGTGGCTTGTATCTTGGTAACTCTCTCCATCACTGCGTTCTTGCACGGTGAAAATCAAGCCGCCAATAAAAAGGGGAAGAGATTGCAAGGGCTAGGAGGATACCGTTACACGCTTTGATTTTGTAGGAATGGAAATTATATTCAGCTACCCCTAAACGACCTTCTTGGATATATAAAGGCCCGTGTCAAAAGTTGGTACACCTTCCAATATATTGAGGTAGGATGAAGGATACAGTTGTGTGTGTGCAAGCTTCGAAGAAAGAAATAGGAAAGTATAAATGCAAAATAAAGGAAAGTATGAATGTGAAGTAAAGGAAAATTAATAAAGGACAGGCATTCCAAGGTTGCAATGAAATAATACAGTGCAAGAATTGAAAGGTCGATTCAAGTGTCACTCACATTCGTGAACCCGCAACACAAACCCCACTACCCCACATAGCCTTGACTGCGGCACTCCAGGTAGTCGCCGGCTGCAGGACATTCTCCAGGGTGTAGAACAGACGGCAGTGAGCCGGCTCATAGACAAACTGAAGAGGCATGACGCTATCCTTATCAAGCTTGCTATACGCGTCGCGGAAGTTAACCTGCAATGAGCCATACTGAAGCGGGGTTTCCTCAGCCGGGGAGAGCGCTTTCAGCTGCTGAAGCTCGCTCTTCGAGAGCCATTCCTCCTCGGCAGCCATATCAAGCACGGCAGTCGTAATAGTCATGAGAGTCTCTGCAGGCATGACTTGGGCACCTCGTGTGCCGCCCATCGACTGCATAGGTCCGTACTGCGGACGACCGCCGAACGAGATGGTCTTCACCCCTTCGTATTTCATCATCTCAGTGAAGATCGGGCAGGAGGAGCTGCAGGCTCCGTCTGTGATGATCAAGATGTCTTCCGGGGCGAAGGGGGGCGTCGTCCATTTGGACTTAATGTCGCCGAAGCCGTGGATTGGTTTCTCCTCGCTCGAGATCATGTCCATGTTCAGCGAGTTGGCAGTGCTCATGTTAGCACCGAGAACAGTGTGAGGTCCGTAGAGCTCTTCAAGTGACTTAAAGGTGTAGTCCTGATTTGGGGTCTTCAACCCGTAGAAGCCAACTCTGGCGAGCGATGCAAATGTGACATTGTGAGAACCTTCCGGGACCGAGTAGCCGACCTTTTCGATAAGCCTCAAGGCTTCGTGTGCGCGGAAGCGCGTCGACCAGTACGGGGTCTTGTTGGGGAAGAAAAGTCTAAAGAGATCAAAAGCATAGTTGACATCGCCTCCGGGGTTGGCGCTCAGGTCGATGATCATCTTCTTCTTGCCCGCGTCGACAGCCTTCTGGATAAACTCAATAGCGATGTCGGAAACAATCTTGTTACCGCCCTCTATATCGCTAACACTAAAGGTAGGAACGGACAGCACAGCAGTATCCTCCAGCCCGGGCTCGCTCGGTAGATAGCCGGAGATCAGGTTGTTGTCGTCGCGAATGGCGGCCTTGGGATAGCCAGTTGGACCAGGTTTTTCAGTGCTCGATGGGGTCTGGGAGGCAGGAGTTGAAGAAGCTGGGGCGGATTTACTGGGCGTTGGGGTCGCTGTCGAAGGAGACGACGTGGTGGTGGTATCAGACGCAGGCAGGCAGTAACTCTCGTAAAGCGCCTTACCGTCCGCAAACTGGAACTCCTCTTCCCTAACAATGGCCTTCACTTCGGACTTCGACGTGGTTCCGTTGGCGTATGCTAGGTTGTACACTGTGGCTCCGGGCCACATTCCATTCGGACCGAAGGAAAATGCGCCCAGCATCAGGTCACTGTTCGTATAGCGGGAGCGCGAGAGGAACACATTGTTGTACCTGGCATCAGGATCTTGGAATGACTGGGACTCTGAAACTCCCTCCAGGTGAGAGACAACTTCTTTGCCGTTAATTGTCACAATGGGTGAGACAGCATTGGGGTTACTCTTGAGGAGTTTGGCGTCGCCTGAGAAGGTATGTCAGTTTCAGTACCACATATAAGGCCAACAAACATACCAAAAGTGTAGATTTGAGGCAGCTGGAGACCGTCAGAGGAAACAGAGACTAAGGACTCGTGGCCAACAAACGCAAACGGCATATACGAGCAAGGTAGAAGGGACAGATGCCCATCCTTGGCAGAAATAAAGAGGTCGGAGAGAGCAGTGTCGAACTCAAATTGGTTGCCAAATTTGTTGTCGGCAGCCTGCTGCTGCAAATAGTCCAATCCACCCCATATATCAACCGGAGGAGACAGATACGAAGTCGGAGGGTCTATGACAGACAAAGATGGTTAAAATGTCTCTTCGACTCTTCTGATACCCATGTTATACATACTGTTCAACACATCGGCGTTAGACTGCCACTGCATGTATTTCTTCACGTCCTCGACAAAGGCAGCTCCTCTCTTGGGGTCAAATGGCATAGACTGCAAGCATTCATAGGCTAATGCACCGGGAAACGTGGGTACTTCTAGTTCTAATCAGCATGTCTATTGGGATTCACCCTCTCAGTTGGTCACTCTTACTGCCAGCTTTAACACCCTGCATGTACTGCTGGGAAATCTGGGCACAAGGGCCCTGTATAGAGCGAGCGCTAGGAGCCGCGGCCACAAGGGCGCTGCCTACAGCTGCGAGAAGCAGAGAATATTCGGTCAACATTGCGACCTTTTGGAGTGATAAATCAAAGAGCGCTTGAACTCGGGGAGGGAGCGCGTCTTTTGTACCTGAGCCTCAGCCTTTTTCATGTCCATGATCATTCTACGGAGTACACTACGGGGCCACGTAAAGTAGTTTGGGGGCTGAAAGTTCATGTCGATGGTCATTCTACCCTATGAGGCCATGTAAAGCACACCGTAGTTTGGGGGCTGAAATTTACACTGCCTCCTTAGTAATTCAAATGTTGATTCTGTATATGTAATCCACAGCGCCCACCTGGGCACCTGGGCACCTGGGTAGTATTGTTGGGGATCATCAACCCGGTGGACCCTCGCGACACCACCTGCCAGTCGGAATTCCGGGTGATGTTTTGGCGTTTATCACCATTAACTGCTCCTCACTATTTTAAGTTAGAGCTTTAGGAGGCTCAATATTCTATAGAAATTGTGATCGTCGCCTAGGAAAGCGCGGTGAGGCTCTGACATCCCGCAGCGGATCTCGCAGGTGTACTCCGACGGCGGGTGCCTGATATGATCATCACCAAGCCCTACCCGAATAGGTTTCTCCCAATGTTGGGGGCCTTTCTCGTCGCAGGTATATGTTGTACCCCCTTATGTCGCTCGTCCTATTCCACACTTCTTCATAAACTTTTCCGAATCCTTCTGAAATTGATGTCGTCCTTCAATTTTAAAAGCAGTAAAGCTAACCCAATACTGGATAAATAACATGGATATAACGTCTTCCCTTCTTATAATTACTTTTACACTCCTCCATTCAAATACCGTTGAAGTATCGTATGAGAAACGTTGTACATACATGTAAATTCACAAGATAGATTTGCTGGCTTTTTTATTCAAGATTCATCCTTCCTTCTCAATTAGATCTCATGACTCTTGAAAATGCTTTTAATGGCGTGGTGGGTATTTCGGCCATGACTAGAACGCGTGTGGCCCACTCGCTAGCACCGGAAGGATCGGAGAGGCCGTGAGGCCATAGGGCAGAGAACACAATATGAATGTAATATATTAACATTTTCCATTGTCAGGTAACTCGGCAATGAAGGTCCAGTGTGGATTGCGTGGGAGGATGAAAGCCAATGATTCGTGCAAAAAGCGCCGTTAGTGCCATGTATGGAGATAGGTTTAGTGTGGAGGAGGCTTGGTTATTGCCTTCCGCTAATATAGCCACACCTGAACTAATTTCAAGCAATGTCTCCCCATTTGATCAAAGGATATTATGCGGCTCTCTCCGTGAAATATTCTTTTTTTTCCGAGTCCTCGGCATAGCATGCGCTGGAAGGTGCAAGTTCTAGCTTAACGAGACAATTTTCCACACTGGCTTGGCTAAATTACAGGACTACTATCTTGGCCCCCAATACGTTCATTCAGCGGGGTGGTGGATCAATGCCGTTTCGTGAATCGAATTTAATTTAACGCTCTGGTTCGACTAGCAATAGTGTGAGGAGAGGTCTACATGGTGGACGTCGAAGTGCATGGTGCAATGTGAGATGAGATTGTTGTTGAAGCTAAGAGCTAGACTAAGAAATCCAACAAATAGTGAAAGGACAACTCGAATTCTCGCGATTTACTCCATAGTGAGATGGGCTTTATCCTTTATCGCTTTAGAATGGTAGGCTCTAACAGCCTTGAAAGTTCCGATATCGATGTTCTCAACTTGATCCGACATTGGGTATAAAAGGGGAGAGGGCGAAAAAGAAAATTGGGGGCCTGTTAGGTAGGGGGAGAACGCATAGTACAGACAACCATGTACAGCCACGCACGGATAGGACCAGTGGCGCTAGTCTTGGATGATATTACATAAATCTGTATGGTCCTACAACAACATCCCATATGGATGTAAACGGAAGCGTCAGTGAAAGGGCCACTGTCTGACGTGGTCTCGACTTCCAAAAACCGTCGTCTTTCCACATGGACATTTTGGCCAACTGAGTATCAGCGCTATTGTGTGCCATGTTAGGATGGATCGAAAACAACTTAATCAGACCCTTTTTGTCTGGACCTTGGTAGTTTGTTTGCTACCTCACTTGTTTGTTATCAACCCCTCGAGCAGAGTTTTCCAACAACTCTCGCTTCTGCATACACCTTGCAGATGCTGCATCTAGATCCTGCATGTATTTGCATCTCTCCCGACTCCACCTTGGGATCATCATTCCGGAGATCAACAACATCCTATCGCCATACTGGTGTACTTCGGCCTACAAATATATTCCTTGTCAACCCAACTCTTGTGACATTCCACTTACATCCAAATCCGAATCCGTCTTGACTTTTTCGCCCGCACTGCCTACCGATCGTACCATCTTACCTGACTCATATGAATGTCTAGTTGCTCAGAGTCTCAGCTCTAGCTTTGGCGTAGGTCTCAGGTCTGAGTACTCTACAAGACGAATCTCTTATGGCAGATGCTCCGAAAGAAAATACTTTCTGTTGAGTTAGCTAACTTTTACTCTAACCTGCAAGATAAATAGAATTTTAGGCAACGTGCGAGAAAGGCAGAGATCCTCTTCTCATCCCAAAGCGGACTGATCCGCTGTTCACCCTGTCATGCAGGGCGTCAAGATTCTGGACACCGATATCCTGGAGAGAGTGCTGCACACCGGCCACAAGGTAAGGCACATACTGAGTAATAGAGCCGCGGTCAATGACCGAGCCCGCCACACCCTGCGCAACCTTGACCTTGTTGTTCTCAGAGAAATACCGCGAAGCGCCGGCGTTTCTACCGCCACCACTCTTACCCTCCATAACCGCGATACTACCCATACCACGGAAGGCCTTTACCAACTGCCTTTCCTTGCTCATATAGTACTCGCCAGGAGACTCGGTAATACCGGCAAGCAAGATTCCCATCATAACTGCGGAGGCACCTAGTGCAAGGCCCTTTACGATGTGTCCTAAGTTCTGGACACCACCGTTAGCGATCGTGGGGACACCAAACCGCGCGGCAAAGGCAAACACACTGCGGACGGCTGCAGCCTGAGGGCGACCGACGGCCATGACGTTTTGGGTGAGGCATGCGGAGCCGCTGCCCATACCAATCCGCAAACCGTCCGCGCCGGCAGCAATCAGTGCCTCTACTGTCCACGACGACAATGTCAAGACCCGCGTCAACAAGCTTCTGGGGTCGCACCTTGTCAGCGTCGTGGGTGCTCACAGCCGCGGCGCAGAGCAGTTGCTTGGATGGAAGCTTTGATGCGATAGGGTAGTGAATATTGTTCATCAAGTCGCTCCGGAAGAGTAGGGAAACCAAGGATCCTTCCTTGTCCACAATTGGTAGCTTGCCTTTCTTCGAACTCCTGAGGACTTCATTGGCTTCGGCCAGAGTGGTGCCTGCCGGTGCGATGACGAGGTCTGTCTCCATAACGGCCGCGACTGGATCCTCGCGTTGGTCATGGAGCTGGATATCTCTGCTAGTGACAATACCAAGAAGTTTCGAATGGAGGGTGCCCTTTTCTAGAAACGAAACACTTAGAACCCGCCAAAGGGTTGAGGAAGGGAAGAAAAGAAAATAGAAAAATCCACTCACCAGTCACTGGGAACCCGCCGAAACCCCATTTGGTCTTCAGCTCCTTTGTCTCTGCGACCGTTGTGCTCGGGGACAGCACAACAGGGTCCAGGATGAAGCCGTTTTCATAGCGCTTCACTTTCCTCACCATCTCGGCCTGGTCATCGGGCGAGCAGTTATTATGACTAACACCTAGACCGCCCTAAAGAGCCATATGTATAGCCATGTTATGCTCGGTCACGGTGTCCATAGGAGAAGACAGGAGAGGGGTCTTGATCGTGAACCGTCGGGTTACTTTAGTATCCAACGAAACCTCCGATGCCGGGAAAGCTTTCGATGGAACTAGAATCAATGGCCGATGAAAATAGTTTCAATGCCTTACTGATAGAGCCTGGCAGAATGAGGAAGTCATTGTACGTCAAGGCTCCATGGCTGTCGGAGTCGAGGAGAGTATCGACGTGGAGGCCATCTCCGGAAGGATACTCCTTGAGCACCTCCAAAGCCTTGCTGTAATCCTGGGTTTTGACCATTATGTCCTTGAGAATAGTAGAAACTGGAATAAAACCACTGTTGGAAATTGGAAAATTGGGGGAGGGGAGTTGTCCCCAAAGGAAATCAGAGGGGCAGGAGGAGGGCTGCCATTTTAAGGGCCCAAAGGTGTGTCGACACGCTTAGAAAAGCACTTAGTACTATGTATGGTGCCGCTAAAGGGCCGTTTGAATCCGTTCAAATGACTAATGAGCCTGCTATACGCGCGTAAAATCACGCTAGCCGGGGTAAGAGTGACCAATCAATGCGAGACTACTCCGGACATATATGTAGGTATTTATAGATCGTCGGCGTGGAACAAAAGACGACGCTTGTTCTACCTGCACCACACCCAAGGGAGAAAAACGTAGGGTGACTAACCTACGGGCCCACAGTACCCTGTCTCAAGACAGGACATTGGGGGAGATTGGGATTCGTAGCTGGTTTAACACTCCACAACGGTGTCGCCGAAAGACTCCAGCCTTCGGCCCCGCTTAACCGAAGCTTTGGTTGCGCTAAGAAGATCACAGCCTGGACTTCCGGGCCAATTTGGGCTTTGGTTTTCTGAACCAGAGGCATAGTAAACGAGTTTTATCTTGAGAGAGGTTTCCAATTGATGAAGCTTTACGACGTCCACAATCGGGTACAATGAAACTTTAGAGAGCACAGAAGACCAATTCTGAGGGTGGACGCAATAAGAAAACAAGATTTGACTGTTTACATCTGTAAGAATGATGACCTATGCATTATTACTGTGGCGAGCCAGATTTCTGGTGCCATACAGGAATGTCTCCCGACTATTACACACCTTTCCTAAAGCCTGTAGCTGCTATTTTCAGGGATTCGTCGGGTCGACATGACTTCGGCGCCTAGATACGGGAAGATATGGGGATTTAGATAGTGGGGATAGCCATACGCTATTTTTGCAGCCTCCAGAAAAACGTCCAGAAAAACGTCTAGAAAAACGTCTAGAAAAACGTCCAAAAGACTTTGGAGTATATCCAGCAAGAAGCAAAGATCTGCTACAAACTGAATGAAAGCACAGCTATGAATGCATCATATACCCACTTAACCGAAGTCCCCAGTCCATCTATGCTATAGAGAGACTGATCATCTTACAATACTAACTTAGGTTATCCTCTGGTCATGCAGTATATGGCTCCTTACAACAGAAGTGAAACTTACATCGAACTTCGCCGAAATAACCTTGATCTCATCCTTAAGAATAATTTGCGTGGAGTCACACATCTTGTCAAATCCTGGGCGGCCTATCCAACTCGTAACGATCTTTTTGTTAAAAATAGGGCGTATAGCGTGGATTCCACCATCACCCGTGACAACTGTGAATCCTCGCAGTTCTTGGTTATGGAGATTGACTGTCACTTGTCTTCCTGGTAACCGATACCCAATCGTGGCGTTTGGGGTTTCCGCAGCTGCGCTGATCAAATCAAACCCGGTGATGTAAGTTTTTGTCCCTGTTTTTGTTGGTTCATCTAAGATGAAGGCAACCAAGCCTATATGAACATCTTGTAATGAAACGGCTTGTGTCACGGGAATATGCTCTCTCCCAGCAATTTCTGCACTTATTACAATCCATCCCCGGTACGTAATTTCTATCGCAGCGAATCTCAGCGGCAGCTTCCTCCCAGGTTATCTCACCAAGCAAATTATTTTGAAATCCAACATTTTGATCTTTTAAGGCTTGGGTCATTGAGTACCTATCTGCTAGCCAAAGATTGTTCATCCAATGCCGACGCAACGCCCAGAGAAGGCGATATGGTCTGTCAATCCTTGCCGTACAGCGGTAAATCGATCGCCAGTTCCATTGGCGTCTTCGGGGTATATCCGCTAAGCAGGCCAAAAATCCACGGTCTCCATTTATTCGAAATCTTGTCTTCCAAAATGATTGAAGGGAAAAGACAACTGCCATGGCTCGGGATACATATCGAAGACCCAAAAAATCGGTAGTAGAAAAGTAGGACGCAATTTCAAGCCGTATCTCCATTGGGAGCAAGCTAAAACAGTCGACGCTAGTAGCCTTATTGTTATAGCCTATCTCTAAACGTTGGATTTTCGAGAGCTGTTTCGTTGCGTCTCCAATTCCCCGGATTATAGGTCGCTGGAGGGGGTACCATTGCTCTTCCCCGATTCCGCCGGCACCACTGTCCCAACCTATATATAGTAGATTAGTCTTGATCAATATACATCTCCTAGTCACAAGGGGCTCACTCTTGTATCTGTCTCTTCTTGAAGAAGGCCTATTCCTGCAGACTTCAAAAAGCCTGTCTAGATTAACCTCTTCATTTGGGAAATGCTTGATTAAGAGGGGCCAACAACAAGAATGAATTAAGAAAGCCTTGGCTGGCTGGCTCTTGGCCATCGGCAACCAGGGACCATACTTCTCAGCGTCAATTTCACTGTCAGGGGCATCGTATTCTTCACGCCAGCCTAAGTCGGCTACAGAAACATCTGACAGCTGGGTTCCGTTCGGGGTTAAATACACTATAAACGCTAAGCCGGAGGAATTAATTTCATATTTCTCATCGGCTGTAGACTCACACGCTTGGTAGAGTGACTTCCAAGGATATTGATCTCCAATATCCCCAATAGTCCGTTCACATGATACGCAGTACCAGAACCACCCCGAACTCGGCGCAATGTCTGGCGAGTCCCAATACATAGTGAGGCGAATTTGATCAACGAGATTGCGATAACGAGATTCGGAAGAAGATGGCTGAAATTATTAGGGTCATTATTTTCGCCAAGAAACGTGAAGCGGTCATCGTGATATCAAGCCTAAAATGCCATGGTTCATGGAACCGCACAGATCCATAGTGCTTGCTCCGAGCTTTTGGTTCATATACAAAAGAATACCAAACTTTCCATCGAATATCCGATATGGCGTAACTGGAGGCGATGATGGAAAGACCACGGTTGTGCATTGTTCCGTTCGAATTGATTCTCAGTCCATTCTACACCATTCTACACCATTTTCCATTTGCTGGCGTAAATCTGATACATACGACCATAGGGTGTGGAAAATAGGGCTTCCCGTCCGCTCAGCCGTACTCAAGCCACACGCCGGTGAGTTAGTAGTTGGGTGGGTGACCACCAGCGAATCCTCACTGTTGTATGTTTTTGTTTTTGCAGCTCTTTTCCTTTAGTTCGGGAAGCTCAGTAGCTTCTGCTCTTCAGCCTATTCACCTGGATTCCCTGAATACCACTACACTACTATTTTACACCTGAACCGCTGGCGTATCCTTCCCCTCCTATACTAATTGCCCTTTCTCCCAGGCGTGCTTTTGATCACAGTTCCGTTACTAGCTCCTACTAATTGACAGATGTTTCAAACGATAGTAGGAAAGAAAGATAGCCTACGAGAATCAATTGTTATTGAATATAAATTAACTGGTTTGTGGCCCACACAAGCGAGTGGACCATCCCAAAACACATCGTAAATGCGACATTTCAACACCTTATATCTGTATCTCAACAACCGTGATGTTATTTGACATGATTGTCTCTACATAGCTATTGATAAGACCTCTTAAGGATATATACCAATTTTCAAGAAAATCGGAAAGACACATTATCATGGTATTGAGAATCACATCGCTAAAAGCTAGAACTATATACATCGTGACCACGAAGCCACGAGTATTTTCCAACCTCCCTAAGAAGTCTAGGTATAACCCGGAAAGTACTAAGCTACAAGGAAACCCCGGCAATAGACTACCGTTGTTGAGATATCAAGTTGTAATTTATTGCATGTATTATGCGTTTTGGGATGGACCACTCGCATGTGAAATACAGTGGTGATAGCTGATGACGACTGGATTCGAGCTCAACCCCTGGGTATCTCTTCGGAAGTAAGGGTACAATCCACTCCGCTTTAGTATATAAGCTTGAGCTGCCTACTGCATAAAATAAACGATTTTGAGTCTCTTTTGGCTTGATTCTTTTCCTGTTCACTTTGTGGACACTTATCGTTGACGAGGATATTATATTCCGCGGTGGAAGCACTTGAAGCACTTTGCCCTGGAGTTATGAATTTGTAATGTGACTTTTCAGTCATATAACGACTTCGGCAGGCCTAATGGTTGGTCCAGAAACACCACTCAAGAGAGTGCTAAATAACGGAAAGCTAAATCGCGAGAGCTCTATCTTCACATCCCTCAGACTTTGGATTACATCACCTCCTATACTATTGGCATTTAACTACGAGAGACTTCCTATTGAACCAGAATCGCCTTCTCCCAAGCTGGCCTTAGCGTCCGGGCTGGGTCATTCGCCAAGCAAGCAAAAATGAAAGTAAAAAAATAAAAAAATAAAAAAATAAAAGAAACCAAAAGAAATGATAGGAACACGTGGTAGCGGGTATAAACTCAATTATTTCTCAGCTACAATGGCTCCGCCAGAGCATATTACTTCTTCTGGCTTTCGGGAGAATGGGTAACCTAGAATCCCCAAATAAGCTAGGGGAATGCAGAAGTAAGGTACCTGGACTTACCAGCTCCACATTATTTCCAATTGGATCCAAAACGAATGCCCCGTAGTAGTTCTCATGATACTCTGGTCTCAACCCAGGCTTGCCATTGCATGTGCCCCCAGCGTCGATAGCAGCCGTGTGAAACGCGTCGACAGCAGCCCGGTCTATTGCGGGTCAGTCTATAAATATATAACTCGGGATTTCAAAAGGAAAGCCATAGGAGGAAAGTCTCGGAGAAGTCAACGTACTCGGAGCAGTCAAGGCAAAATGGAAACCCGAAGGAATATGCGTATCCTTCTGGGTAATCCAGAAATCAGGAATCTCGCTTCCCAGTCCGACCATACCTGGGAACCTCATGATTTCCTTGTAACCCAGTGGAGAGAAAGCCTTCTTATACCACTCGACAAGAGGCTCAAAATGCTCATCCGGGGCAGTGATGCCAAGATGGTCGATGTTGCTAGACGTCATGGCTGTTCGAGTAATGAAGTTACTGGGAGAGCAGTGGAAACAAAAGGAAAATAGCCATTGCAGAGGTTCCTATATTATTTATATATGTGAGGGGAAGGGAATACGAAGTCGGCATCTAGGTAATCAAGAACTGCACGGGCTGCAATGCTGCCCGGATAATACGAAGCCACAAACCATAAACAACACGACCCTGCCAACGTAACCTTAGATATGCTGCCTAGAAAGAGGGGATTATGATGGATGTCATGCTCAAACGTTGATGTAATTGACAATCTCCTGCGGTTCATCACGTGTTTCTCCCGAAGTAGATACTCCAGGCCTGTCCAAAAAATACGAGTCAGCTTTCTGGTGCTCCAATAAAACTGAAGTGGTGTCGCACTCGTAACAGGCCTTTGTCCCTGGTCATCCCAGAGGTGATGATTCATCGATATTCTCGCTAGAAAACTCCTCTAGAATATTACTTACCTAGTCACGGCACGGGCTCCTTTTAAGGTTCCTAAGGAAAAGCTCGCTTATAATTCCTAGAAGCAATTTTCCACGTAGTGAGGAACCCCGTTAATTATCCGTCACGTCCTCCATAATAACCTATTAATATCCTCCCAGCAAGTTAAATATCGCGGTCGGTCATTAGGTAGTATTAAACAGGTGCTAAATGATTAACTATAAATAGCTACTATAGTAAACTCGACAAACCCGCGATATATAGATATCATATCTATACGGACCTACTCTCTTCTGGAGAGCTGCATTTGACGTCTCTATGATTGTGACATGTTGGTCAACTTTACAAACTAAAGATCCAGGTATTCGGCATCTGCCATCCAAGCACTCTGGCATCCACCTGTCATGATGCGTTCCAACATATGCTTGTTAGTCCAAGGCTTGAAGTCAGCCTGGCCCGCTCGTTTGGCTTACCCTACGCTGAGTTCTAACCAGGTGTAAGGAGAAAAAATATTTCATGAATGTCGAAGCCAATGATGTTATTACTCGTGTTCAGCTGAGAGGATCAGTGCGGTGGGCGCACGCGGGTGATTCTCACGCATTCTTGGCTTCTCACTCTGTCTATAGCACACTTACCTTCCCATGCCACTCCATGACCGCGTTCTGTAATCCTCTCCTACGCATAACTTAACACATACGACCATAGGGTGTGGAAAACAGGGCTTCCCGTCCGCTCAGCCGTACTTAAGCCACACGCCGGTGAGTTAGTAGTTGGGTGGGTGACCACCAGCGAATCCTCACTGTTGTATGTTTTTTTCTTTTTGCAATCGCCAATTGTTGGGGTAGGGCAGGTAGGACTTCCGATATCATCACCGGAGGCGTATGCTGATGATCTAATATCGTTAGCGCCGGTGTAATATGTCGCGACAAGCGATCGTCCTCCCGGGGTGTTTCTCACAGTAACGCTCGCCGATCTTTAACGGCATTTCTCCCTCAAGTTCTCAGTTTTCCATGTGCCACGCCTGGCAGGCGTATTGCCGGAGGTCATTACGTGATCAGAGACTTCAGATACACTGTCGATTAAATCGCGGGCATATTACGCATATATTCTAGTTCTACGATCATGGGTATTGTAGCTTTTGGCTGTAGCATTGGTCGTAGATAGCCCGGCGAACAGTTTGATTCAGGATGACTCCACCATGGGGCGATGGTTGAAAGGGTATTGTGCAGTATTGTGAAACAATCCGTTTCAGAATTCAAGTCATTCAAGAGATATGGTTCATGAGAAAGCAAATCAGCCTTGGAACTCATATGAAATATTACAAATCTGATTTAGTCGGATGAAAGATCACCCCCGGTATGGGAGGCAAGAGCCGACTCACAATACTGCGGACGGAACGGAGTGCTGAGGGACTAATCTTTTCTACCGCACTTTTTCATTCTTTTTTTCTTCAGGTTTTTAGCCTAGGTACCTTGGGAACATTTTTTGATTCGGATCAGGTACCATAGACCACGTGGACCGGTATGGGGCTACGACCTCAAATTTGAGACCTCGGGCCTCCCCGTTCCGGCAAAGCGTCTGGCCAAATCCGCAAATCCGAGACAGCACTTGAAACATTTTGACAAAAGTAAAGTCTTAGCGAATGACACGTCCAATCATGCGATGCTATATATCTTGTTTCCGGTATTCTAGTTCAATTACCTCGGCAGCTAACGAGAACCCTTTTTTCAGATCCTGACCCACTACTGTGCGGTACTACTGGATCGGGTATCGAAATCCGTATAAGGAAGAACATGAAACCGCTCTTGTTAGAGAAAACAAGTCCCAATGATTGGAAAAGCAGGCAGATTAATTATATCCAATGAACATGGTTGTACCAAAGTTCCATTCATATGGCTACTTTCTCAAGCCCGAAGTATGCCCGCTGAACAGATATAAGACCAGGCTGGCACCTGTCTGAATTATTTTCACTAGAAAGGAAACTAGAAACCGCTCTTTTGCTTGCTATTCCCTGTTTTGCGCCCATCATGAAGTTCTCTCTTCTCACCTTGGCTCTGGCAACTGCCGCCTTTGCAAGCCCTATGGATATCGATGCTCGCGCACGTAAGTCCACGCTCTCTGCGGATATTTTAGATCAACTAACACATCGATTCTATTTAGTGTCCGAGGGAAATGAATTGCGCAATGGTGACTGTAAGGATATTACCTTCATCTTTGCTCGTGCCAGTACCGAGCCTGGACTTCTGGTATGTTTCTACCATGTCTTTCAAACCCATGTAAATACTAACACATCCAAATGACAGGGTATGTCCGTCGGACCCGCCATCTGCAACAACCTGAAGATGTCGAAGCCCGGCAAGGTTGCTTGCCAGGGTGTTGGACCCAAGTACACTGCGGATCTGCCGTCGAATGCACTCCCTGGCAACACCTCGCCAGCCGCCATTGCTGAGGCCCAAGGTCTATTCGAGGAGGCTGTGAAGAAGTGTCCCAACACCCAGATTCTTGCTGGTGGCTATAGGTTTGTTCTTACATACAAAAGGAATAAAGTACGAACCATACTAACGTGCAAAATACAGTCAGGGCACTGCTGTCATGGACGGCTCAATCAAGAAGCTCTCCTCGGATGTTCAGGCCAAGATTAAGGGTGTTGCTCTGTTCGGTTACACCCGTAACGCCCAGGAGAGGGGCCAGATTCAGGGCTTTGACAAGGATAAGACCAAGATCTACTGTGCCGTTGGAGATATGGTCTGCCAAGGTACTCTTGTCATCACCGCTGCGCACTTCACTTACGTTGCGGATGCTGGTGCTGCTACTAAGTGGTTGGTGTCTAAGTTGGATTAAGTGATTTGAAGGATACCGGGCCCTTGTGGCTCCTTTTCTGGATTGTTGATGCATTGCTGCTTCCAGGGCTCCTTATCTACAGCTTAGAGCTGGTTTCTTTATAGTGTTAACACCTTCTTGTTTCTGTTTGTGGGAACGGTACATAGGATTATGCAATAAAATACACATAAGATCTGCCCTCAAAATTTCCAGCAAGGGCGGGATAACCAACTGGAACACCTCATCCTGCATTTGCTCATTGTCCAGCGTAGATTCCTTGATACCAGGCCAGAATAAGCATCTTTCGACTACCTTCCGATATTCCTCCCCACTTTTGGTCCATTACGAGTGCGGAAATATTCAACCGAAAAAGACCGATCTGGCCAAACATGGTAATTGTTGATGCCGTTTCCACGGCTCTGCGACTAATGTAATGACTGTGCTAGCGTTCCATGCTATCATATTTCCCCCAATGGCCTATCTGTATTCAGATGACTTCTCAGAGTCCATCAGGAAGCTCGCGTGCTTGTTCCTCTCACCATATGTTGAAGGCATTGATATCAAAGCCCTCCCACAACAGCTTTCCATACTCAAGTTCGCGGGCAATTTTTCCATCACTATTCCACCATATTGTAGATAGCATGATCATACCCGAGGAATCGCCCTTCTTTATTCCAGGAGGAAGGTTGGGCTTGGCTGCCTCGGGAGGATCAATCTTCAATGTGAACCGTACCACGTTCTCCAAGACCGCAAACGAGCCGGGCTCGGAACTGCCGTGGAGCGAAATGGCCTCAACAGAGATATTCGTCATAAGACTGCTAAATCCTTTGTTCTGTTGGAACCAAGTCTCTTTAGGTGACCTAACAATACCGAGGGCTATATGAAAAGAGAGTGTTAGAAATGGTAATTGGGAAGGAGAAGGGAAATTAGCTCTTACGGATGTCGGACATGCGATAATCATCAGCCACCATACTGTCCATTTTTTCGGCATCGGCATTGGCGAAAGCGCCGAAGTACTCAGTAATGCGCGCCAGCAATACCTTGTCATCATGGTTTCGGATGCGGTCAGTGTTAAATGCGGACGAGGTTGAAGCCATGTTGTATGATATGTGATTCCGGTGGTTTATTTGTCGCAGTAGGTGTTGCAAAATGACTATGGTTGCTGAAGGGTTGGGCAAGGAATCGAAGCCGTATTTATAGTTCTATTTCTCAATTCGAGTAAATGCGAAATCAAAGGGTCCTCAAGTTCTTCAGTCCCCGGTTCTATGTGCGATCCATCAAAAAGTGGTGGCGTTACCTACATTGTGCCCCGACGCGCAGTGTGTCACACTTCAGCTTCAAGCTGGAACCGGTTATCGCCACTTGGGCTTGCCGGATTTGGGTAGAATCAAGTCATTGCCAGTTAACAAATAATGCACCTATTCCATGCACTTGCGATTTCTGTGCAGGAAGGCTGTCGTGCTGAGACATTACCCTTGGCATGCACGTGTAACCGTGCTAAGGCAAGATATTCTGACTTGTAAAACATCGAGAGAACATTACCCGAGGAGCATACGTGTGGTGTCACACTTCAGCTTCGGACTACCACCGATTGGTTCCAGTTGAAGGCGGTTGTTTTGGGCATAGCCCTCTCATTACCTGTCAAATAATCGTATGCATCATGACATAGTCTCACGATAGTGGTCTCGGAGTCTCCTGGTCTACGCAACGCCACATATTTTCATACGTGACGATTCGGGAATACATTGAATCGGCGAATGATGCAGACTACTGTCGAGTAACAATTCAATACAGAAATGAAAAGACCAAAAACATACAACAGTGGGTATTCGCTGGTGGTCACCCACCCAACTACCAATCCACCGATCTCAAGGTTATGTATGGCAGAGCGGACGGGATGCCCAGTTCTCTGTGAGCTATAGTCGCTCCCGCGCCTAGACCACCACCAAAACCGTCCCCTGCTGTCAGCCTTCCTCTTCCGTGTTCCCCGCTCAAAGACCATTGCTACTTCTACCTGCACTACCTCATAGCTTACGCTTCTCCGCTTGTAGCGGCCATTGAAGCGGCCTAAGAGCGCTTAAAACCGCGAAACTGTTGGTCGATTCCGAAGTCTGGTTTGGGCCTCTCAAAAAGGCCATATCCTACAGCTTATCGCCTGCCAGCCAACGCGCAGGAAGAATCTCACAAGGGCAGATACAATACCACACGAGGGATTTTACAGTCGTCCTCATCTAAGTGTGGTCCCCTCAATGAATGATCTGCGCTAAGGCCTTGGCAGTGGGGCCAGGAAAGAGATTCTCGGTGTGTGTTGGTCAAGGCGAATTCGAGAATGCCTGTGCCTTCTTACAAATACAATAAGCGATCATGTGCATGCGTTTGTAGGAGATCTAACCAATAGGGAGAACAAAGCTGGGGATATCTACTACATACACCCGTGGACATGCATGTCCTTGGGGCCAGTTACGGTGTTTCCGCGGACGACCCGATGGCTTCAGATCTTGAACCATGGATCAGACGCTGGTTGTGGGTATTAAGCTTTAGTTCGGATCGATCCGTGATTCCCTAGATCTGATCAATCTAGTAGCTGTGGCCGCAATCCTGCGAAGCAATCACACGCTAGTGCACCCCGATCCGCTTCCGCTGCAGCAATTATGTGACGAAAATGCACCACCTAGTCTACACTAACCCGAAGCGCGAATATTACACGAGAATCCTCTGCAGGGAAGAGAAATAAAATAGACAGGGCGGGTACCACTCCTCACTCAGCCAGCCATCCCCCGTTTATGTGTCCAAATCACCTCCCTCGCTCAGCTCGTGCCCGATCTAGTGTAGTGAATGCGTACGAGGATGGGTCCAGCAGTGTTCGCCAGGCGGGCTGTCATGAAACACCAGTTGCCTTCAATCAATCCACTTGATGTGCCAGTATCGCATCGCTGATCTTGCCTCGCACCTTGGATCAGGTCCCAACGTGTGCAAATTGATGACCAATAATGGAAATACCCCTTTTAGCCGCAGTATTATTAGCCTAACGCCGGTCTGGTATTGATTTCATCATGGAAAAAATGCCCAACACCGATGGAAGCGAGGCCAAGATATCTTTTCCTTGTCGCCGGTCTAAGAGAATATTGTAGGCGGAATGCTATGCGGCCAAATCAATTTCCGATAACTCACGTTTTATCAATCCAGACGTGCAATAATAAGATCACGCCGATAAAAACAGAGCAGAAAGCACAATGAAGACTTATCTAGCTTGTGTGAGGAAGCATGGAGATCTCACATACGAGATCTTCGATTGCGTTGATTGCACTGGAGGCATTGTAAGTCTGTGAACTGCACCGTTGAATTGAGTACCCGGTGTCATTCTGAGATCCTGGGCCGACATTGGTATCTATCCGTCCTTGTCCAGTATCACGAAATGTGTACCTCAAGCTACTTCCTAGCGGAGGTGGTAAGGATTCCGATCTCCTGGGTAACAGAATGCTGCCTCCGTAACTTGAATTTACAATTCGCGGATCCAGCCGCAGGTTAAAGCTCCAAATCTCTACTACTGAGGGCGAATTAACATTCCGTATTCAGGCTTTTTCTCCAAAAGGCTCATTGTAGACATACCTCAGTATATACAGACGCTCTCCGGACCTGTTTACCTGATGATAATACAGTACGTCCTGATACATGTTTCTAGTGTCTCTTTTGTAGTTCAATTGTCACCCTTCACTACCGGGATCGGTACTGATACAGTCGTAGCTGTTAACAGTACTTGAAACTGGTAACCCTTCACTATAGTCGGTAGCGAAATCAGCTTCCACCCTAGACATTACTCTTCTTTCCTGGTGCCCCACTGCCAAGACAGTAGTGAAATAAGATATTGTAGTGGGGAGATAGCCTCTCCACTACGATCAGGCACATCACCCTCGCCTTCTTTCTTTATGTTGTTCATACGTTACGTAAGCGAGCATTGGAACTTTGAGGTTACAAGGAGCAACAGGTTGAGAATACACACTCCTACACCTCTCTGGATCCACTTCTTGGGCAGTGTTCCTGGGTCCTTTTGTTTGCAAGATTGAGCATGAAGCCGAATTACGAGTGCTGAATCGACCCGTATGCCGTAGAGCATACAGCCTTGAGCGTTCCCCTCTTCAATATCTAACAGGCACTAATAAAATAGCTGCTAAAGGTTTTGTCTGAGACCGAACCATCAAACTACACCTTAAAATATGCTATAGGATGGTTCAAAGCCAGCTTCACCACTCTACCAGCGACCGAACTTAGACTATTAACCAAGAATTCGCAATAATATTAATCCCGGTGGCGTTTAATAAGTCCTACTTAATAGTAATAAATAATTGTTTTAGTTAAAAACGGGCCTTTAGTTACCGTTTAACCGGTGATATCGGCTCGATCTAATAGAGAGCTTCTCGCTATTATATGTGCCTTGAGCTCCCCCACGATCTTTAAGGCGTGGTTGCTGTCCTTCAGTATCACGTCAGGTGTGCTGGGGTATGTAGACTGGATACATTTAAAATCTGCGAAACGGAGGTTGATGCTTTCCTCGGTGGTCGATTGTGACTCATGTTCGTGTACAGACGGGACTATCTTTGCGAACTTGCTGTCATGGATTCGGAGAGACCACCGTTAAACAATTTTGATCAATTCGTGTCTACACGTGCTTCTCGTTCTTTTGTTGGGACTTACAAGATACGGCAACATTTTGCAGTCCGGAATGTACAGCCTGTTTGAATTTCTGTTCTAACCCCTGTGGTGTACCTGACGGAGTAACATCAAGCAGGGAGTGTGAAGATCGGCCAGTAGTATACAGAAAGTAGACTCCAAACTAAACTAGGTAGCATTCTCTCATACTTTCAACTTGCCCAGGTGTCAGATCCCCACATATTGTTGTTATGCTTGCATTCTCCGCGCAGATATAGTTTTGCCAGGCATGCCCTTTCATAATAAACCTCGTACTCTATAAGGCAACATAAAAGGCTGGTATCTCTATCTTTGTTCCTGGTAACCACTTCACTACCTCCCAATCCCTCTTGGTGTCTTGAACAATGCGACACAACTATACAGTGCGGTCTCTATCGGCACTCGGCCTGGTGGTTCAAGTCCTTCTGGTCGCCGCCAATCCTATCCTCGATTCCCGCATCGATCCCACTTTCGATAACAGCATCGATTCCAACATTGATTCCCTTCTCGATTCCATCCTCGATCCCATCGACGCCATTAAATGTGCGAGTATCGGGAACGGTGTGTGCGAGGAAGAAGAGGAACGTCATAGATCGCCCCGGCTGGCGTACTTCAAACAGGAGCTCCCAATACCTCCCGTTGCCAGACCAAGTAACGAGTCGGATGGAGATGGTGAGGCCTTCTATGAGATGAATCTAGAAAATATCAAACACAACTTCCATCCCGATCTCCCAGCCACAAACATGTGGGGCTTCAACGGCATTCATCCTGGCCCAACTCTCGAAGTTGAGATCGGCAAGCCCGTCAAGGTCGACTGGAACAATCGTCTCTCCACTGTTCATCCATTGGGATATGCAATCGATCCTACCTTAGATAATGGTGTGATTGGCGAGCTGCCTGCCGTCCGCGCCACCATCCATAACCACGGTGCCCATGTCGTAAACACGTCGGATGGACTGCCTCATGATTGGATTACCCCCGGCAATACTCTCCACTATCGCTATCCAAACCATGGGGGAGCAACGAATTGGTATCACGACCATACCCACGGTATCACACGACTTAACGTCTACGCCGGACTTGCGGGCTTCTATCTTATTCGCACGCCCGGGGTGGCCGAGGAGCTAGGCCTTCCTACCGGGAAATACGACATCCCGCTCCTTCTCCAGGACAAATTCTTCAACGAGGATGGCTCTCTCCATTACCCGACAACAGGCCACGGCCAGTTCCCGATTTGGGTGTCCGACATGGAGGCTGATACCCCCGTGTTGAATGGAAAGGTCGCTCCGTATCTTAAAGTCGAGCCCCGAAAATACCGTTTCCGCCTCCTCAACGGAGCCAATTATCGTGAATGGAGCCTCTACTTCCAGGAGGACAACCTCAACATCACGCAAATCGGAAGCGATGGCGGGTTCCTCCCCGCACCTGTCGTCGTCCGCGAGGTGCCCTTAGGCGTCGCCGAGCGTGCTGAGGTGGTTGTGGATTTCTCGGGCTTTGAGGGCCGAAGTATCATCCTCCGCAACAATGCGGGGGCACATGAGTCGGGCGCTGCCGATTTGCCAGAGCTTATGCGTTTCGACGTGCTCCGCCATGCCGAATCCCAGGATTTGACCCCTATCCCTTCCCAACTTCCGTTCACTCCAATCCCACCGTGCATCCACAGATACCGCACCTTGTCTCTCAGCCAGGAAAACGAGACCTACCTGATAAATAGCCGGCCTTTCTCAGCCCCACTGGAAATTCGTCCCGTGGTCAATACCACTGAGATCTGGCGGATCATCAATCTCACAGATGAGACCCACCCAATCCATGTCCATTTAGGCGAGTTCAAGCTCATCAAGAGGTGCCCCTTCGATACGGAGAGGTGGGTTCGAGACGGTAAACCCGACAATATCGAGCCCTACATCCAGGGACCGTGTGGGCATCACCATGGAGTTCGTCCAGGCGAGACTGGGCATAAAGATGTATTTTTGCATTTTGCGCACACCGTGACCATTGTCAAGATGCCATTCAATACTTATACGGGGATGTACGTTATGCACTGTCATAAACTTGAGCATGAGGACAACGACATGATGCGCCCGCTGGAGGTTATCGAGGGTGACATTCCGCAGTGTGTTGATTTCGTGGAAGACTAGATGACAGAAATCAGGTGTAAGGCGAAAGTACTGGTAAAATTCACAATGGTACAATTCTCTAAGTAACCAAAGACAACACAATGGTCCGTTTTTGACAAATAATCTGGTCGGATACGTAATTAGTAAGCAATTTGCATAGCCCTGGAGACTACCTACGCAGGTGTACAGGTACCTAGGTAACTTAGTGGCCAGGGGTCGGATGTGGTTTGTAATGGTATTGGTGCCTGAAGATGCCTAAAGACGCCTGGTTTTCTACCGCCTCGGGACGCTCTATAACGTATTCCACATGCGAGCGGCGCACACAAGCGAGCGGCGCAGTCCAAAACACATAGTAAAAGCGATAAATTATAACATGCTATTTCAACAACAGCTATCTGTATGAACTTTTCCTTGTAGCCTAATGCTTTTTATATGATATCTAGCCACTTTTTAAAGTTTAGGGGAATTTAATAAATTAGTGACTGAGATATATATATATTCTAGAGTTCAGCGATGTGTTTTTCGATACCATAACAATGCAAGTTCTCGATTTATTCAAAATTGATATATGGTACTAAAAAGGCTTATAATTGCTATCGGCAAGTAATGAAACTAAATAAAAGCGTTGGTTGTTGAAATAGCATGTTATAATTTATCGCTTTTACTATGTGTTTTGACTGCGCCGCTCGCTTGTGTGCGCCGCTCGCATGTGGAATACGTTACAGTGTATTGTAAATGAAGCTCCAGCCCCTAGTAATATTGAAGCTATTCCCACCATACAAATCTCCGAAATTGGTAATTTGCAGTCCCCCTCCGATATGGTGTAGTGGCTAACATCGCCGTCTCTCACACGGCAGCCGGGGGTTCGATTCCCCCTATCGGAGTTTCCTTTTCTTTTTCTTTTTTTTTTAACTTTTCCTTTCACTCCATTTCTTCCCGCAAGCTAGTTATTCAGTTTAATTCAGTTTATGCTGACTCCCGAGGTCCCACAGACTCAGTATAGTAGTCTTGGATGTTATGGTGAATTGGGACCAAGTAGGTAGAATGCTAAGCGACGATATTGTCTAGTCTGCGGTGAAACTGAGTGATCATCACGCAAAGCGATACCATCACATTCTTTCAAAGTGGCCTTTAGTTACCTTCCCGACGTAAGCGTGGTAGCCTGGAGACTGAGTGTAGTACAACATGGGAAGCAGCTCCATACTGTAACTGAGGAGTACTGCTCAGACGGCACCCAACGTAACCTAAAAGAAAGAGAAAGAGACAGTAAACATGGTGAGAAACAGTAAGTATATGCAGGGTATGGTAGTAGACAAGAGGTATCATAAACAGAAAATAAAGCAAGACTAAAAGAACAACCACTGCCCAAATCGTTGTGCTTTACCCCAAGCACCCGTCTTGATCTCCGTAACCAGGCCCTCAGGCCCATCCTCCTGAGAAGGATCATAACGATCCGTCCTCAAATCCATATTAGACTTCCTAACAAACTTAGTATTCTTGACCAGCTTCCAAGCCAAGAACATGAAAATCATAATCGGAATCTCAATATAGAACGAGACAAAGTCAACCTTCTTGAAATGCGGACTGAAGCACTTCCACCCCTGAACAAGAACAAGAACAATATTAAGCCCAACAGCAAAGATCGGACCATACGGATAAGTCCAATTCTTAAAAGGAAGAAGATGCTCAATGCCCTGAGCCCGGACCGCCGAGCGGAACCGCAGAGAAGCAAGACCGATACAAATCCACGAGAGCTGGTTCGAGACGCCGACAATATTCTGCAGCCAGGACCACAACTTTCCAGCGCCGATATAGCTGGCTCCAAAACAGAGACCGCTGATCACGGATGTCGCGAGGACAGCCACCCACGGAACCTGGAAACGGTTGAGATGACCAAAGAATTTGGGCGCATAGCCATCGACTGCGAGAGTGAATAGAAGACGAGATCCGGCGAAGAGGGCGTGGTTTGCGGCTGAGATGACGGACGTCATGATTACGGCGTTGATGAAGCTGCCAGCCACTGCGGAGCCGGCTTGCTGGAAGACGATGGTGAAAGGGCTGGTCTTTGTGTCCCCCTCTGAGAGGCCTGGGTAGTCGTATGGTACATTGAGGCCGATGATGAGGATTGAGAGAAGGTAGAAGAGAAGAATACGCCAGAAGACGTTGCGGACGACCTTCGGCATTGTTTTTGCGGGGCTTTTAGTTTCGCCGGCTGTGATGGCGATGGATTCGGTGCCACCGCTGTTTGCTTGTTAGAATGGAGGTCATTGAACGGAAGCAGTGATGGGATGAGTTGACATACTATGCGAAGGAGGCTGTGACAAATACTGATGCAAAGCCGCCGATTCCACCGACGAAGGGTGCATCAGCTTTATGCCAGTTTTTGCCGCCGATGTATTGGTGATCTGTATTTCCTCCGCAGTTCACAGCAATGCCGAGGATGATAAAGATCTGGAAATGGAATTAGCTGGGTGTGCGAGTGTTTTCCAAGGAATGGCACTTACAACGATAGTGATAACTTTGAGTAAACTCAACCAGTATTCAATCTAGACAGGAACCATCAGACCAGCTGCAATGGAGTGGAAGCCATATACACATACCTCGCCATAAACCCTCACAGATAAGACATTCAATGCAATGACAACAACCAAGAAGATTAGACTAATTGCCCAACCTGGGAAATTATCGGTCCAATACTGCAACAAAAGCTGTAAAGCAATGATATCTGATGCGGTAGAGACGGCATCATTAAACCAATAATTCCAGGTTAATGCGAATCCAAGCGCATCATCCACGAAGCGACTGACAAACAAGTTAGCAATTATCCAGGTATTCCTTTTCAAGAAAAAGGTCATACTCACCCAGCATAAGTACAGAAAGATCCAGCAACTGGTATGAACGCCGCCATTTCACCGAGACACAACATAGTTACAAAGACAATACCACCACAGATAGCGTAGGCAATAAGCGTTGAAGCAGGCCCGCCTTTAGCAAGTGACGAGCCCGTTCCAAGGAACAGACCGGTGCCGATGGTACCGCCAATAGCGATCATCTGCACCTGACGCCCAGATAAGCGGCGAGCCAGCTTGTCTGCATTGACAAATGGGTTTGCTTGAACATCATCTGGGCCTTTGGAGGGCTCAGGTGCCGGGTGTTTTTCGATGTCGGCCATGATGTGGAGATGGATATGGATACAGAAGTATCCACTAAATTTCAGTTAGTACAATATATCATGAATATATGAAAAAAGAAAGCTCGAATCATCTAATATCGTCACTCACCTGTCTTTGGTATGTATGTCCTACCGAACTACCTACCTAGGTAGGATGTTTCAGATGTCCAAACCCTAAGTCGCGTGACCCACACGTGGAAACCCACGTTTCTGGTACCCGATTACTTAGATCGATCTAACATCGACCGTGAATAGTCGAGATAAAGATGAGCATAAGGAAAAGGAAAAAACCCTCAAAATAAGACTCAGGTTTTCCCCGATGGCGTGATTGAAGCCATCGATGAGTCGGCGGGGCCTGACCGTTCAAATGCGACGTTGATGTGTCAAGGAAATCTCCGGCTCCACCTTCCGATTTGGGATTTTATAGGTCGAAGGTGACCTTCCAAGCTTCTAACCACATGGCACGTTAATTAAGTGCCCAGGTGGCTTTTAGAGCTTATTTAGACATCTACATAAGGTAGGTATGTACAACTATATCCACGTGTAAAAATGCTATATTGCTATGTCTAAAAATTATCGCTTTCATATTCACTATGCTTTTAAACCTCAAGAAAGAGATTTTTGGTTGGAAAACATACGCCATCTAAGACCTCACAAACCCAAACCATGTAAACATACATTAACCAAGCAATCCGCTGGCCAAAGCCTCCAGATCTCCCAGAGTTTCGATAGACTTGGGGGGAGCCTGGCTCTTCTTGCTGGGCTTGTCGTCGTCGCTGTCCGGCTCGGCAAAAGAGACACGCTGCTTCTTGCTGGGACGGGGCTCGTCGCGCTCCGAGGCGGATTCTGGATCGGAGCCGGGGATCTCGAAAGGCACATGGGGGAGATGCGAGAGACCACCTTCTCCTTCTTCCTCTGACATCTCGGCCTGGGCCTCGGCACGCTCGCGCGCCTTGCGCTTCTCCTTCTTCTCGCGTCGTTTCTCGCGCATAACCTCCTTGTCCTCAATATCGGCCTGGCGAGTGCGCTCCGCCTCGGCCTCAAGGAACTTCTCGCGCTGGGCGTCGACGTCGCCGCGAGCCTTGAACGTCTCTTCGTCTTCCATTTCGTACACCTCATGGGGATTGCCCTCCTCGTCGTAGACCAATTTCGTACCCCTGCCCTTGAACTTGAGGAGCTTCTTCTTCGACTTGAGCAGCTTCTCGCGTCGCTTTGAGTCGATGAGTAGTGGGTCCTGGCCGTCCAAGTGCACCATCTTGACGTCCTTGGTCTTTGGCTCGGCATCGGAATCTTCCGAGTCGGAAGAATCGCTCTTCCCGCCGAGGTCTGCATCGCCGGCGGCGAACCGGCGCTTGACTGAGAGGAAGTCGGCATCCTCGTCGGCCTCATCGTCGATGTCCGCGCCGGCGTCCTTGAGCGCGTTGGTAGCCACCATCGTGCCATCGTCGTTGATGAGCTTCGAGTAGTGCTCGGCCAGCACGCCCTGGTTGCGTCGCTCGAACATACGGTCATACCGTGTCCGCACCTCCTTCTCATCCTTCTTCTTCTCTGTCTCTGAGTCGTCATCACCGGACATCTGCGCCATTCTCCAGGATTCGTTCTTGCGCTCCTTCGCATCGTCACCCTTGATGAACTTAATACGCGGAGCACCGGGAAGACCCAGACTGGCTGCATACTCTTCCAACGGAAGCTCCTTGATCTTAAATGTCTCCTTGTCCTTTTGTACGTAAATGGACTTCACATAGGAGATGAAAGCTTTTTGGCCCAGATACTTCAGCTCTGGATCCTTGAAACACATGTTCTGTAGCTGGTTCTTAACACTCTGCTGCTTGTTCGACTTGATGTTGATCTTCTCAATGGGCACTTTCTTGTGCTCAAGCTGCTTGAGGAATCCCTTCTCCTCACTAGGATCGAGGAAAAGCACAGCACGACCAACACGCTCGTAACGGGCCGTCCGTCCGACACGATGAATGTAGGTATCGGCGTCTTCGGGACAGTCCAGCTGGATAACCCAATCGACAGCCGGGAAATCCAGGCCACGAGCAACAACATCAGTAGCGAAAAGAACAGCATGTTGGGCTTGAGAGAACTTCGTGGTGATATCTAGTCGTCCTCCTTGTTTCTGCCGCCCGTGCAAATGGAGCAAGGAAATACCAGGCTGCAATTGCCTTAGTGATTCGTATACGTATCGAACTTGCTTGCCCGATGACAAGAAGACCACTGTTTTAGATTTGAGGTTGCTGCGAATGAAACTCCAAAGGGTATCAAGTTTCTGCGGGAGTGGAGTAATGGTGTAGTGTTGTTGGAGAGTTGAGGGAGTGGCAGAGGCGGCTGCTTCGTGGACCGAGACATACTCGGGTTCCTGCAGACTCAAACGGGCCAAATCACCGACCTTCTTGGTCTGTGTGGCACTGAACAGCATAGTCTGGCGCTGCTTCGGGAGATGGTCGATGATAGCATCCACGGTCTTCTGGAAACCCATGTCCATGATACGATCGGCTTCGTCCAGCACCAGCATCTGCAAGTTATTTGTCTCAAACATAGCCGTCTGGTCCAAATGCTGCAGCATTCGACCGGGTGTACAAATCAGGATGTTCATACGTCCCAGGCGATCTTGTTCCTCGCGCAGACTCTTTCCGCCGATAATCAAACCAGCAGAGAAATTGTGGTATCTCCCGATTTTGCGAAGCACCTCGAAGATCTGAATCGCTAGTTCACGTGTAGGCGAAAGAACGAGTGCGCCGAGACCATCCAACTCAGTCCACTTCTTGCGATAGAGGTTCTCGAGAATGGGTACTAGGAATGCGAGAGTCTTTCCGCTACCGGTTTTGGCGGCACCGAGGATATCGCGTCCCTTGAATGCATGGTTGATAGCACGCGATTGAATGTCGGTAAGGGTTTTGAAATGAGAGGCTGCAAGGCCTTTGGCTGTTGGTTCGGAGAGTGGGAGATCGGAGAAGTTTTTGACGGGGGCTTTGAGATCGAGGTCCTCGACCTGTTTGATGAGTGCAGCTAAGCTATCCTCACCGCGCTTTCGTTTCAAGACCCTTCCGTTCTCCTGGTGAGGCTTCGACTTCCCTTTAACTGCTCGCGGCGCCATGGTGTGGTTTGAGTTGAATCTTGAAAGTCGGCGGGCGGTGAAAACATCTTTTTTTCTCTTGGGAGTGAAAAACGAAGGCGGTAGGGAAAGCGGTGGGAACTACATGCGATATCTATAACTAGACCTTTTTATGTTAAGTTCAACGAATTCGGTGTCTTATATGGAGTATTCGATATTTGTTTTGGCTGGCTAGATGTTCAGCTTACAAAGTCCTTACGAAGGAGAGAAGCACAAGCGCACGCCTACTCATGTTTGTTGGCGACATAACCCACCTGGGCAGCCCTGGAGCCCTGTCCTGCGCGATCTCGCGCTGACTCAGCGGCTGATAAGCTGGGCCCGGCCCGCTGTCTTATCTATTTGAGGTCTTAGTTTCATGAGCGCCAGGAACATTTCTACCTCAAAAGAATCCGCAGAAGGCAACATGTCGGACGACGACAAGGATTTCCTCGACTCTCTGGAGAAAGAGGCCTCCGAGTATAGTAAGGTATGGTGTCTTCCTCTGCACGCTATACATCTATGTTCCGACTGACACGCGACACAGGATGTCGAGATCGACCGCATTCGCAAGGCATTCAGCCTCGATGCGTAAGTCCAATCTTCCCCAAGCTCTACAATAGAGTACTTCCTCTCTATATATTCTACAAATATTAACCCACTGCAGCTACGCCGTCCTGGACCTCCAACCCGGTGTTACAGAAAAAGACATCAAAATCCAATACCGCAAGATCTCACTCCTGATCCACCCTGACAAGACGAAGAATCCCGCTGCTCCAGATGCCTTCGATCGACTCAAAAAAGCGCAGACGGCTCTTCTGGACGAGAAGCAACGTGAATACCTGGATGAATGTATCGCCGACGCGCGCCGCCTGTTGATCTGCGAACACAAGTACACACTCGACTCCCCCGAGCTGAAGACCGATGAGTTTAAGGTCGAATGGCGGAAGAAGACGGTCCAAGTGCTATTGGAAGAAGAAGCGCGACGCCGGCGACAGCTCAAGGCGCGCTTGCAGGAGGAAGGTCGTGAGCAGCGCAAAGAAGAAGAAGAGCTTGAGGCGCGCAAGCGGAAGCGCGACAATGAGAAGAAGTGGGAGGATACGCGGGAAGAACGCATTGGCAGCTGGCGAGATTTCCAGAAGGGGCGCAAACCTGGTGGTGACGAGAAGAAGAAAAAGAAGAAGATGAAGGTGTTGGGCTGATTTGACCTTTTTTTTTTTTGTTGCTTCTGAGCGTTACCGGCGTTTGGGGATCTACTTCTATGAATTGACACAGCCATGGCCGCAATTAAGCGTTTTTCAAAGTGCATTTAGTAAATTGTATTAAGAATTACACATGCGCAGGTGTATCTCCGATATCCCAAATCCATGAGAATCTACCGAGTTCCACCGAGGAACTGCGGGGAGCCGCGGGGGTTCCGGCCAAGTTTCCAATTTTCTTTATATCGAGCTTCATACTGCCTAGGCATACAGACATATCTACATATACAGATATCTATTTGACATGCGTTGTATCCCCGCAGTGGATTAAGTTGTGTCTCCCCGAGAAACCCACACCCGGCCCCGAACCTCGCTCTGTCAACCTCACCTCAAACACAAGCATGACTGAACCGACTTCAAAGAATGCGCCATACCGGCCCCAAGATCACCTCAGACCATTCCCGCCCCTGTCACCAACAACCTCCCAACCATTGAAACAACCGATCCCTCCCAATGAAGTCCCCGACCCGAAGCAGAATGGGACAGCTTACATCAACCAACCCGCCAACGACTCAACCAACGACGAACCAATCCCCCCTCTCCCAACCGTGATCGCAAGAATCCACGCCCGCGTACAAGCCTTCCTAAACGAACCCCACGCCCCGGACACACTGCTAGCCTCGGTGCAACGACAAACGCGCATCTCGCTAGAAGTAGTCAGCACCGCGCTGCAGCGATACAAGCTCTCGGAACTCTCCGTCTCCTACAACGGCGGGAAGGACTGTCTAGTCCTACTAATTCTGTTTCTGGCCGGGTTGCATCCAAGCCGCGTCCGCAATGACTCGCACCCCACCACTGCAAACGCAAATGATACGAACTCCTCCCCGCAGACCTCGACGCAGAGGCCCAAATAGCCGCTGCGACGGTCATCCCGGCCATCTATGCGCTCCCGCCTGATCCCTTCGATGCAGTTGAAGACTTCGTCATCTCCTCTGCTGAGGCCTATCATCTCGCTATTACAAAGTACACGACTGCGCCGCCGGATAAGACGCTTCGCTCGAGTTTTGAGGATTATCTGGCGCGTCACCCTGGGATCCGGGCGATATTTGTTGGTACAAGGCGGACGGATCCGCATGGTGCGCAGCTGACGCACTTTGATCGGACGGATGGGGGGTGGCCGGATTTTGTGCGCGTGCATCCGGTGATCGATTGGCATTATGCGGAGATTTGGGCATTTATTCGGCATCTGGATTTGAAGTATTGCTCGCTCTATGATGAGGGATATACCAGTCTTGGCGGCACGTCTGATACGCATCCTAATCCGAGATTGCGGCTTGGGGCTCAAGCTGATGGACAGTATCTTCCTGCCTATGAGCTCACTGAGGATCTGGAGGAGAGACTTGGGCGCAATTGATTTGAATAGTGTGGATTGTCTTACCTGTGTATAGATTGGGGTTCATATCTCATTGGCCTTTTCGGATAGATTGCTTTGCACGTTACAGTTGTGCTCGCGCACCTTGGATCTTGAACATGAACACTTACATGGAGTAGTTTTGGTCTTGAATAATATCATATTAGACTACGCAACCCAATAAGGTGCGATAGCGTTCTTTGAACGAAGTCTTGAAACATGCATCTTGTCTGTCACATATGCTGAGAACATGCAAAGCCCATATAACTGCGAAAGAAAAAAAAAAGCATTTCCCATCCTCCCATCATACTCCATAAAAATGCAAACCGAACTCCATAATGATACCGTGTAGAGTCGTCTAAGAATACCGCGAAGGGTCGAAAACAGAAAAGCAACCGAATATCATATCGTGAATCATAAGTCGTGAATCGTGGAACAATCATAAAATAAAGCGAGGATGGGCCATACATCGTCAATACATTCTGCGAATGGTAACAGATGCTGCGCATTTGGATATTGGAGAGCACCCTGAGGAGGTGCCGATCACCTTACCCGGGAATAAGATGTTGTAAAGCATCCCATGCAAATACAGATATTCGTGGGAGCATATTGCACGATGGGTTTACTTGCACGAGCGAGCCGGGGAGAGAACGATCATGGGAGAAGATGAAGCGGGGGATACAGATCCCGCTCTGATGTTCTCTTTGCGAGTTCCCATAGTCGGCGAGCCGGGCATGACAGTCTTGGAAGAACCGCCAGAGAGATCAGTGTAAGAGCGACGGCTCAAGGACAAGGCTCGACTGCGATAGGCGGGCGTGTGGTCAAGAGCATTGAGGCTCCGGGAGGACAAGGAACTGCTCCGTGCACTGCTGGATGGATTCTTCATGTGCGGGTGGCTGTGGCCTCAATTAGATTGTGTTGGGTTACGATATAATGTAGCATTCGGACTTACCAAGGAGAGATTGAGGTTGCTGGGGTCCAGTTAGAGCCCACTCCAGCTGGAGAGGTGTAGCTGACTTGAGAGTTTGGAGTAAGATGAGAGCCACGTTTCATTCCAGGGGAGGGAGTAGATCCCTGAACCACTTCAACCGAGTAATTGTACTCTCCGGCGCGGTAGGCACGACGTTCGTTACTCTGCTGCTTCAGAATCTTTTGGGCCTTGGTATCAGCAAAGCGCAGAAGCAGCTTCACCCCATCGTCCTTGGTGACGTTGTGGAATTCCGCCAGGACCTTTTCGGCAACATCACGGTTTTCGAAGCTGTAAATCAAGATTCAGTCTTCGGTCAGAACAAGTCATGAGAGTCAAGCAATTGGGGCTTTGTTACCGTGCAAAGCCCACTTCCTTGCTCACACCTGTCTTCTCATCACGACTGATTTTCTCTGATACAACACGCCACGGCTCGAAATGACGACGTAGGTCCTGAACAAGCCAATTAGAATTCAACAGGACAGGCGAAGGATGGGGGTTTGTGTAACTCACAGCTTCAGTCCAATCGATTGGAATGTTGGTGCAATATATATTGGTAGAAGACTTGTCCTCCAGATCCTTCAGGCGAGAGTTGCGAGATTTCTGGGCGAAGCTAGCTTGGTAGCCGAGGTAAAAGAAACCGCGAATACAATTCTCGCAGGATTCGAAGCTATAATACTGAACGAAACCGAATCTGCAAAAAAAGTCAGGATAGATCATTGGAAAGGAGTTTCGTGGGGTAGGTTACCCTTTGCAAAGGCTGGTGTCCAGGTCCACGATCGCCTTGCAACGCTCGATCTTTCCGAAACGGGCCGCGTAGGCATGCAGCATCTCATCAGTAGTCTCGGGCAGGAATCCTCGGATGTAGACATTGGTTATACCCTCGCGGTTCTCCAGACACTTGGCGAGTGTCAGCTCAGATGGGTTTGTCCACATGGCAGGCACCGCACGTGGGATGGCAGGCTCTTGTTGAGTCAAAGCCTCCAGGTCTTGAATGACGTATCCGTTGGGGGTCTTCATCATTTGGAGGGGGAGCGAGAGCGACCCAAGCTGGGAGGCAATCATACCCCCATAAGAGTAACCGCCATCCATGGCAGAAACAAGAGCGGGGGGGATAGTAATGAATCTGGCCGGTGTTCTCCCCTTGAGCTCCCTTCTGACCTTCGGGCATATTCCACGTAGCTTGCTTGTTTGTTGTCCCATCGTGCATGTCATAGTTCATCATATAGGGCCACGACGAATATCCACCAACCACAGGGTTGACGTTGGGATAAACTCCCGTGGGAAGGTAAGAAAACTGACCCATCTGATCATTCTGACCAGAGACACCGTTGGGAACAAAGGAAGAGACGGTCGGAACGCCATTGAAAACGGTGGAATTAGGGACCAGGATAAATGGGCTGTTGTACGGACGGTTGGTATTCGACCAGTCCATGTTTGCGTTCACTTGAACGGGCGCGGTGCCCTTTGGGCCGTTGAACTTGGGGCGAGGATTCAATCCTCTGAAAAGATTGGTCAGGCCTGCAACACTACTGTCACTGGAACTCGGGTTGGTGGATTGCTGGTACCTGGGGCCATAGGGTGTACGAGGCTCGCTTTGGTAGTATCCAGACTGGGAGCTTGATGTCTGGGTAGAGCCCGAGCCCGAGCCCGAGCCGGAGCCAGAGGAGCTCGTGTGCTGGGAGCCCTGGGGGTGCATGATGAAGGGAATACACTGACAGAGATCAATTTCGTCAGCTAGTTCTTCATGGTTGACAGAATAGACAGGTAATGGAAAAGGGCTTGAAGGGCAGTGCCTTAAGCCTCCAGTTGACAAAATGCCCCAATCAAATGGGCTCAGCCGCACGACACTCACCTGAGCTCCTGCACCAAATTATATAGACACTTCTGACAAGAAAGTCTGGCTGCTGTCCAAGCATGCCAGGGTCAGCCAAAATAGAGACTGGGAGGGTAATCGAACATGACCAAAATGGAGTGGAAAGCTTACCTGTTGTCGATGTGGAACCTGCCGTCTGTTCTCCCAGGCTGGAAGGCGTCTGATGATAACTCGAAGCAAAGACGAGGTACGTCAGGAAGAGGTATACGGCAACGAAAGTCTGACGGCTTTGAAATCGAAAATGAGATAAATGGGCCAGGTCGAGACCGATGGCCAAGTAAATGGAGGGATAGGGGAATGGAGGAATAGAATGGAGATGGGATGGGAGGATGAGGAGGGAAAAGGCCTCAAGAAGAAAGAATGGCAGATCTCGGATAAGGAAAGAGCGTAAGGATAAGCAGAGAAGGAGCTACGGGGATTTGGGGGTGGAAAGGGAAAGGGAAGTCACATGGGAGAGACAACTATATACGTGTACCTAAGGACTGTATGTAGAATATCAACCACTGATATTCGAATATTCAGTATATGTTCATTATGTTCTCAAGACATAGAAACCCAAAAGGGATACTCTAGACTTGAACCCATTGAGAAGGAGAATGCTAAACTGCAATTTTATATCCTGAAGTCCATATCTATGAGAAAGAGCAGCAGGTACCGAATTGGGGGAGATATCCAAGGAAAAGGAAAATACTCAGGGATCATCACTCAAAATGCAAAGAATTTATTGAGATTTCTCCTGCAGCCACTTGTAAACCACCGAGAAATCCTTACCACGGTGCTTCTCCTCAACAGCCTTGTAAACCTCACGAGCCTGAGCACCCAGGGCGAGAGGCGTATTAGACTGCTCCGCAGCCGCAAGAGCCAAGCGGAGATCCTTGTGCATGAGACTCACCCCGAATCCACCCTCATACCCACGCGAAGCGGGGGCAGTCTCAACGACACCAGGAACAGGATTGTTAACCTCAGAGGGCCAGCAACGACCAGTAGACGAATTGATCATTTCGGCCAAAGCCTTGGGCTCGAGCCCCCAGCGAACACCGAGGTTCATAGCCTCAGCAGTGGCGATATTATTCAGAGCCAAAATGTAATTATTGGCGAGCTTGCCGGACACGCCAGCACCGGGCTCACCAAGATGCCAGGCCTTCTTGCCCATCAAGGCGAGCACACCGCGGATACGCTCAAGCAGCTCGCGTGGCTGTGAAGAGGCACCGAACATGAATGATAACGTTCCTGCGCGAGCACCGACCACACCTCCTGATACGGGGGCGTCCACGAAGCGGCCGGTTTGCGTGGTGTGGATGGCGTTTGCGATATCCTTGGATGTGACGGGGTCAATGGTAGATGAGTCGATGAAGAGACGTTCCTGCTCGAGCGGTGGCAGTGGTCCATGTTTAAGGATAGAGTGGAACACGTCAATGACGTGCTGAGACTCCGGAAGACTGGTAACCATGACTATCTAAACAGCAGACAGAAATAAACATAGTTATCAGTCCCTAGAACAACACAAGTATATGGAGCACAGTTCATGCAGAAAAGCCACGAGCCCAGCCACAGGCTGAACCTGCACGGTAGACAACCACTTACCGATTTCTCGGCGACCTCGCGCGCACTCTGAGCGATCTCGACTTGGGCTTCATTGGCGCCTGCGCCATTGCTTTGTGCGATCTCCCGTGCTTCTGCGGCGAACCGTTTCATTACATCTTCGTTGACGTCGCGCACGATCAGGGTATCAGATGCCGGGATCTTGGCGCGCAGGTTTTTGGCCATATGGTAGCCTGGAGTAGTTAGCAAATGCTATACAAACAACCCACAGTCCATTGTATAGCCGAGGCTGTAAATCCGAGGCCCTCGCTGTCGATCTCACAACATACCCATTTGTCCCAGTCCGACAAAGCCCCATGTCGCATCACGGTGCATAGTTGTGGAGAAAGCTCGGGCCTTGCTGGACGGCCAGCGTCGGGGCTCCACTGCGGACGCATGGAAGCAAGTCGCCCTCCGAGGGAGTGACATGGCCGTTCGAAGACTCATTTTTTGATTAATATGATGTTCTCCCTGATGTCGAAGAGGAACGGTAAGTGACGAGTGTTGATACGCGTAAACAATGATGGTTTGTGGGTCAACAATTGCCGAGTCCAATGGGGGTAGAACAATGTTGGATCGTTTGAATCTAGGAAATTGAAACGGGGAGATGCGGTATTTAAAAGAGCCAGGATGTACTATGCCAGCTCCGCGCAGCCTTTAACCGTGGCTTTCCGAGATGCCAGGGTGCACGAGATCGTCATGCATCGCAACAGCCTGAAATGCGGGGAAGACCGGAATAGGAAAGCCGTGGGGAAGCGCATCACGTGTTATGTGTGGGGTATACTCAATATATGGTCTGATGTAGATAGATATCTCCATGAATGTTGGACCTTGAAGGTCGCCTCTAGAAAAAGACAAAGACAAAACTCCCAATTAGGATGCTGCCTTGGTAAAGATAACGTAACCTTGGACTTGAACATAAATGCAAATATATAGACGTTGATATTGAATCTCAAAACACCTAGTATGTAAGTCCATCTAATTTCAAGATATGACTACATGGACTTTACAGGATGTAGAGGCGCGGATCAACGCTAGATGGACAAGACGGATCGTGAAGTAGGTGGACGAGTAAAGGGTATGTATGTAAAGTGATCCAAACTCCCAAGAAATGCCAGACAGCCTGGAAAGAGACTGACAACAGAAACGAAAAAGCAAAACTATAAAGCAGAGAGATATGATAGAACCAGAGTGATGTAGCGATTTCACCTCGGTGATGTCGGGTGACTGGTAGGTGCTGAGAGATATTCCTCGGGCACCTTCGGGACACGGGGTGAGTTGGCCGTTTGCACAATGGCGCGGTGTTGCGCGCGCAGGTGGTCCCGCTGTCGCTCCTTTTCTCTGTTGGCTGCGCCACCAGTTAGTCTCCGCATGCCGCTGCGAATCATTGATTCCAGGGAGTGTGGTCCATCGGTTGCACTGCGGACCATGGGTGCGGGTGGAGTAATCGCCTTCTTGATCGTCGGGCGTTCCTCCAGATCCGAATGCACGTCGTCAGGGTCGTCATCGGACAGGAAAGCGGAATCGCTGAATCCAACGGGCAGTGTGGAATTGGGCCCATTGGAAGCGGTGTGGACATAGAGATTGTTGGTAGGGGAGGTGACAGAGCGGGTATGAGATCCAGATCGAAGTATCTGTGCATTTGGAGGTATTGCCGTTACTGGGGAGTACACGCCCGGACCGTCGAAGCGGAAATTGGGTGGGCGGGACTCGGCGAGACCATTATGGAAGGATGATGTAGAGCCTGTCCGACCCAGTGATTCCCGCAAAATTGGCGCGGTCTGCTGGTCGTACAGATGTGCGTTGGTATCTACATAGTTACCAGTGAATCCTCGCAGCATCGGAGGAGCTATAGGGTTCAACACAGGCGTGATTGTATCAGTATCCTCAAAGAAGTCATCCAAGCTGTCCAGCTTCTGTACGATATCCCCCATGTTGCCATCAACCTGCGTGTCGATTGATTTCATGGTATCAGCTCTCATTGGGAAGAATGAGTCGCTGTAGTCGTCCGCATGGAAGGCTACACTTGGTGTCCTGGTATCTTCCTCTTGCCTGTCTTCAGCCTCAACACAGGTGTAGAAGACAGCGTGGACATTGTGGCGGGTCACGTTTGACTGGGTTGCAGGCATAGGAACCGACCATCCCGTCGGTTCAGGAATTCCGTACAGACTCTGGATTCGCTCGTACTCTTTGCGGATAGCACGAGAAGAGGCTGCTGATGCCATACTCATGCGAAGATGCTGGCGCTCCATTGGATTTCCTGAGACCGTGATGATATTATCCAGAACCTCCAGGGCCTGGGAGCAGAGATCGGTTTGCAGAAGCCGGAGTAGTGGGGAGATCAGATCTGGGCCATGGCAGGTGACCTCGTTGCGCCGCATGTCCACCTCGGGAATCAAGACACAGAGGATCCTCATTGTCTTGATGCGGAACCAATCCGTGGTGTTGGTGAGGAGACCCATGAGGAAGATGAGACACTGGAAGTCCAGCTGGGGGAAATAGTATGACTTAATCTCGGTGATAATATGGTCAAGGAAGACCCCAGCGGTCTTGTACTGCTGGTTGGCAAACCCAAACAATGATGCTGCAAGGCGAGGGCATCGCTCATTCTCAGCCACGCGGGCCAGTATGCTAGCACGAGCGATAGGTTTGGGGTCACTAAACCCATCATTGAAGCATTGAAGGAAGTGGGGTAGGTTAGCCAGTACAGTGAACAGATGTCGAGTTCCGTCTCCGATGAGATCATTGTTTGGAAGACCACTGAGAGTATGAAGTAGATCGAGTGTACGATCAAAGGACTCGGATGATTTCATTCCCTTGAAGACAAGGTCCTGGATACCATCGAAGCCGCCTTCCCAGTTTGGTGGTTGGCCCTCGATAAGATTGGTCACCACAACCGGATCACTGAGATCGACCCGGTCGAGGAATTTCTCAAGCATGCCAATACTCTCGATAAACTCAGTCTCGTGGATTGTGTTGAGACAAGCACACGTCGTCCAGAATAGCTGAGGATAATCCAGAAGATCTGACGGTGCTAGGGAGGTGATGATGATCTTTAACGTAGTAAGGATCTCCATCGAGAAGGTCTGGTAATCGGTTTCCTCGTCTGCAATAGTGTTGGAAAGCCGGGCGAGCATATCGGCCAGCATTCGCGAGTCTAATGATGTCGAGATACAGCGGAAGATCTGGAACGAACGGCATGCTAAATGTCGCACCGGACACGAGGTGGCCCAGTTCAATGCCTCCTTCGCCCACAAGTCGCCGACACCTTCGTCAGCAAAGCTGAAGAACTTGACGACATCACGGGTGACAGAAGCCATAGATTCAGGCACCCGGCGATCATCAGCCTCTTCCTCTTTGCCATGATTCTCTTCGTATTTCCAAACAACAGCGGGGTCACTCTTCCGTATTGATTCCACAAAGTCTTCGACTGATTGCCGGGCACCTGCCGGGGCATCATCCTCGAGTTTGGCCGCTATCAGCTCATGGATAAGATGTACCAGCATCTCACGAGCTTGCTCCTGCACAGTGACTGTATAATGATCCCAGAGGATGAGAACGATGTGGACCAGCTTGACAACATCACCTAGAGCGAGAGTCACCGGAGCGACCATCAGATCAACGAGGAATATCAGAGCAACCTGTCCAAGGGACAAACCAGCTTGTTTGTTCCCAACTGGGAGCACTGTCCCAAGATCTGCGACGTATGGTAGGCTTTTGATGTCAGGAGGCGGTGGAGTGAGTTCTTTCCGCTCTTGCACCATGTTCTTCGGCACAATCTGCAACAAGAAAAACTCGATGACCTTTGATCCTGCTGGTGTTCCAGACAAGAACACGACCATTTGCTTGGCATACTCCACAAAATTTTGCTCTTTGCGTTCCAGACATATGCTAATAATGAAGTCGAGGACCAGCTGCACATTTCCCCGTGAGGGCCTGTTGCCAAGGCCTGCCACAGTGCTTGCACTTGGTTAGGCAGGACCGTACTGCAACGAATAGTTATCTCAAAAAGGTTCGCGAGCAACATGTATGACTTGGCTGTAGGGCCACCATTCGGGTCAACCTGTAACTCCATTGTTTGAACCCACGGCAGGATGGCAGCAACCATATTTCGCTGACTGTCAGGTCGAAGACTGCGGAAATGTAAAGAAAACTCCGAAAAAGATAGAGAATGCCAAGTCAGAGTGCTGACTAGCTAATCTTTTCGAGATTTCGAACTGGGCTAGCTTGTACACTGCAGTAGTTTTGTCTGAGATACTAATATCGAAGTCTTGGAGCCTGGAGTTCTTCTGCTGGCGTTCCTCAAGTTTTCGAAGAAGCTTAGCAGATTTCATTCTGATCTCACGCTTTTCGTTGCCTAGTGTCACCAAGACCGCCCCTAGAACTCTCCAGAATTCAAGTGGATAGTCTGGATATTCAAACAGCACCTGCGTCACCACCTCAAAGTAGCTCTCAATGGTCTTGGGCTTCTCGGTAACGTAGCACATCTCTATTGATCGCTCCATCAGATAGGAATGTTCCTGATTGTGGGTGATGAGGTTTTTGAGAGCCCGACGGCCAATGGCATGCCATTTATCAGGCTCGGTGTTGAAGATCATGTCAATCCATGAAAGCATGCGAGTGACATCAAATTGGAGGACAGAACCACTTTCAGTGGTGATGCTGATGGGGCCGGCGCAAAGAAAAGCCATTGCACTCAAGGCTGCTGCGCGTAGATTTTTCTTCTCAATCTCCATAGCAGCAGGGGTGTTTTTCATTTCGCTGGTCTCATGTGGTCGGGCCATGGAAAACTTGCGCGTATTCTCTTCCCTTTCAGAGATTTGAGATTGATTTGGCGAGTATCCACACCAGTCCTCCATAAGGGAGAAAGCAGACTTCCGTGATTCGAAGGGCATCCAGCGGGAAGGATCCTTAGTACGATTTATGCCTTCAAATATCTCCTCCATCAGTCCGCAGTAATGGAATCGCAGGCGCTGGAATTCCCAGTCGTTCTGAACCTCGGCATCACTAAGGAAAATTCGAATATCTTTAGCGTATGTGACAAGATTGTTCACGATCCAGTCGTCATTGTACACTTCAGGTTCTTGAAGGAAGTGAGACGTGAGTTTGTAAACGTTTGTTACCTCGGTGCGCAGGCGATCGGTCTTCCTGTTTCGACGCGGGCTGCTGGGACTGCGGTAGTGGTTTCCAATTCTCATCTTCGCCTCCTCGTTGCACGTAGTGACTGCGTACTGCAAAGACTCTAGAAGGGTGCGATAGAGGTTTTTCTGAATAGATCCCAAAGCAACAACAATAGCACTGCGAATGGAATCCCGTTCAGCAGAAAGGAGAGGGATAACAAATGCAAAGAGGCTTCGGGCAGAGCTGATCTTATCTTGGGACTGATGGGCTCCCTTTGAAGTTTTGCGCGCATGCTGCGCATTTGCCAGCTGACTTTGCGATTGAGCCCCAACACTGGTGACAGTGGTGCAGGCCATGACCAAGTAAAGCTTCCATTGCTCGATGATGATCTCAGCTGCCATGTTTTTCCCAAGGGGGCGATTCTGGTATGCATCCATGGGAGCATATTGCGGGAATCTTGTACTCTCGGCGAGAGATGTGATGATGTTGTGCATCTGGACAAGACGTGCACACACGATCTCCCTTCCTAGGGTTACAGCAAACGGGCAAGTCTCAAAGCTGACGCGGATGATGTTGGGAAATACCTTGCCCCACAATGTGTAATCATAAGATACTTCACTGCTACACAGTTCGATAAGAGTATTCTGAGAGGCGCTTCTTCTTTTACCCTTTTGGATTCGGCTCCACTCTGCCACGGTCAGATGCTCATCATTCACATCAAAGATTTCCTGAGAAGCATCCTCAAGGATCCGGATGATTCTTGTGTTCTCCTTTCCAAGAGCACGGTCAAATTCAGTGATCAACCGCAGGACAGTGATAGCAAATGCTCGAACTCGTCTTGACTGAGAACACACAAAAAAGAGCCCATGTGACTCAATCTCATCCACATGGGCGAGGACACTCGATAAATCGAGGTGCAGAGCTCGACTACCAGAAATGGATCTCTCCAGTTGATCCATTGCTGCCGCGCCTTTCGTTTTTTGCTTGATCTCGTCAATCCAGATCTGCAGCAACTCGACGTATAGCCTCAGAGTGGAGTCGATATGGCCCGATCCAAGCATTCCTTCGTCTGACATGGTGGAATAGCGCTCGTCAAAATTGAAGATGAACCTAGCAAAGCCGATTGTAACTTGCTGGGCGTGTAATTGCCGCGCAATTGCCTTCAACGACTCCGCTGAAGAAGTGGCGATATTGGACTGGACATGGGCAGTTCCCGTGCAAAGGAGATTGATGAGCGAATTGAATGGGATGTGGTCGGAGAGACAGCGAGGAAGGGCTTGGACTGCCACATGAAGCAGATCATAGAATCCTTGTTTCTGATCCAGTGTGGTGACATGGTCGTCACCACGACGACCGAAGCTGAAGGCGTCTGATATGGGAGTTTTGGGTGTAGCTCCACCGAACTTCTCATCCAGAACTGCCTGTCCGCCGAATGTGTTATCACAGAGCAATGTGATCTTGCCTAAAACTTCACAGAATCGGAAATAGTATTCCTTCACATTATCACTTAGTCTCGCAGTATTGACAGGTTGCCATGAATGTGGGTCTTGCTTCTGAGAAGCACTGGGCATTTTGTACTCTTTAAGCAGTTGGGGTCGGTGGAAATATACGGGGGGTTGAAACGTCGGTGAAAGGATTCGGGAGTGAGCCAGTCGGGATCGGAGGGCATAGTTGGTCGCTTGTCTCCAGATCAGACATTGTAGCCAGGAAAGCGCGGATTCCAATGACCATTTTCTCCGGCTCCATCTGTTCTATCTTCAACTCTCTGCCAGATAGGAACAGATCTGAATTAATCAAAGGGAAAATAATGTTACGGAAACAAACATCCGGATGCTTGAAACCAATTATTTGTATCAGTTGAATCAACGGATCGGCAAAGACCGGCTCTGCACTCATGTATGTTCTCCTGCCCGTCGGCAGGGCAATCTTTGCCACTTCTTCAACCTTTCGAAGAGTGGTTGTTGGGGAGTCCGAGAAGCGGAAGAAATAGGTCCAGACCAGACGACAAATGGCGTGGAGGGCGGGTGCACGAGTAGGGCGGTCTTTTAAGCGTGCAGGCAAACTCGAGATCATCGAGAGCCATTGGGAAGAGAAAGTTTCTTTGTTAGAGATGCACAGCAACAGTACATTCAATGAGAAGGAAGATGTCCAATGACGAGGCTTGATAAGGAGTTGTGTCAGGCGTGGTTGGATCAGGTCCACGAATTCCCTCCACCGGGGCAGTGAGAGATCACAGCTCGGATTGGCAGCAACAGGGAGAAGAAGTTTTTCAATCACGTAGCAGTATGCCTGTTTGATACGCTGCCCGTGCGCATTGACAAACAGGCGTGCCAATGATCGCATGAAATCACAGGACTTGGGCCACCCTTCTGAAGTCATAGGCAAACGCAGATATCGCATGCAGAGGATCAGCAATTCCGACTTGGAATCGCTTTCACGAGATGGCCCCCGGGCAGTTTCCTCCTTTTGATAGCGCTCGAGTTCCGTCAAGTAGCGACCAGCGACGCCGGAGAAATTGGATTCACTCATAATACCCAGCAACTGGCCATAGATCCTCCAATTAGCCATCCGCAGAGGTGACGCCGAGATCTGGTCCGGGTCAGAGGTCTTCACCTGGCCAAACACGATGTCTTCTAGGCGATCTGCCATGTCGAGAGTGATTGAAGCCAGGCTACTCTGATTGAAAATCTCAATCAAGACCCTACAGACTAGGTACACCGAAACGGTTGCGCGTCGCTCTATCAAAGCGACTTCGTCGGGACGACCGATAAATGGCGGTTGCTGCGCCCGTTCCGCAATAGCAGTGGGATCAGCAGGCTGCGTCGGTTCGGTATTGCGGCGCAAGAGAGGGCCATTCTCTGTGGCAGCGGGCGAGGGTCTTTGCTCATTCAACATCTGTCTCGCTGCAATAGCAGCATCTCCTTTAGCCTTGCGCCAGAACATAATTGTATCGATCAGAGGTTTCGGCTTCTGCCGAGCGATATGTCCTAAAGCCGATATCAACTGATCAAATGTCGGGTCTGCTCCCGGGCCGCAGACCTCCTCCACGGGAGCATCGGATTCCCCCAGCTTCATGATGGCCTGGTTGATCTTGTTGTCTGCCTGTCCAACAAACGAGTTGAACAAATGATGCAATGCATATTCCCCAACAGTCTTAGATTCCGAGTGATGTTTAGACTGTGAACGACTATCTGACCGCTCGCGTCTTGGTTTTCCTCCAGAGTTCATTCGGTTGTGAATCACGGTGGCGGGGCTCACGTCCCTCAATGTTGTGTCATTGTCTTGGATTGTACTCAATGTCGGTGGCATCGCGTGACTAGCAGGTATCCCGGATGGTGTCGAATAACCCGAGTGTGCCTCGAGAGGGTCAAACTTGGCAGGAAGGGTTGCCTCGTCAAACGCACCACGACCAAGGGAGGCAATGAGCTCCGGGCTCAAAGGGCTTGTGGAAGCGGTTGATCCGGCCATGCTCGTATTCCGTGAATGCTGTATGCCGTGTACGATGGAAGTTTGCCGGTGGTGACCATACGAATTGGAGGGCCGTCTTTCTAGTCCCACTTCATATCCTGGAGGGCGGGCTCCCGATACGTCGGGGCTCTTGGAACCGGAGTGACCGCGTCGGGGCTGGATAGGGGCGAGAGTGGAGGGATCGACTGGTCTTCCTCGGACGGTAGAAGATTCGCGACTGTGCAAAGGAGTGGACTGGGCGGTCCTGGTCCCTCGGCGTTCCGACGGGGATGCGAGATTATGTTGAGATGCGGATTTAAGGTCGTCGGGAATGAGGGGCAGGATTGTCTGGCCTGGGCCAGCTTTGGCAGGATGTGAAGCCACTGGAGATTCTAATGTCAGACCGAGTCCGTTTGCTCCGATAGCGACAGTGTTTGCAAGACATACTGTTGGAGATTATGAAAACCTCATTGCTCAAACCTGCAAGCAGCCGTGTCAAGATTCAGATGTAAGCTGCACATAGCCAATTCAAGAAGCCAAGGGGTGTGAAGACTTTGGGGTGAGAGACCTGGATGTTTTTATCGGGCGCACGGGTACGTCTGGGGATTATTATTAAGCCTCATATTCGATGGATATGTATTTATATTTAGTTATTTCAAATTTTTAAGAAACTATTTGAAACTCTCTACTCCGTATAGTCTCCTAGTCTTGTTTCTTTATGTCTTATATTATGCATCATGTATTCATCTGATTCCCTTCCCGTTGGGCACTCCAAGGCTGCTTAACCTTGGCTCATTCTCCCCACAGAGCCTCACTCTATTAACTGGACTTTTGGTAACCCCTTTTTCACTCGTTTTCTATATATATTTTAATTGGTAAGAATTGGGATGTATCTAGAGCAAAGTACGGAGTAGTATGGTCCCATAGCATTTCCTCTAATATTATATATCATATGTTTCTCATAGATGAACTGCAGGTTTGACGAAGGAACAAGGATCTCAGGGGAATCGAACGGTTTCAAATGCCGAGCGGGGTACTCCATAATAGTGAATGAAACTGTTTGGGAACTTCCAAGGCTGAACTTGAAACAAACGTCTATTTTAGAGAACGGGTGGAGAGAAAGTTATAAACCTTCTACATGTACGGAGTACGGAGCACATATACGGGAGTACTACCTGCATGTCATTGGGTATATCTGCCTTGATATATAGCTCTATTTCTGGAGAAGTGCATGTTCGGCCCTATATTGGATCCACGCAATATATATATAACCTGTGAGATATCAAGCCAGGCACACCATTCACCCCATAGCACAATTGAAGTGTTTAGAGTAATAAATCCTTAAAATATCATCTTTTGAAGGTGTCGAAAGTATTTGATGTTATGCTCGGAGCCTATACCATAGATATTGTCTGAACTATATATACTTCTTGCTACGGAGTATTTATCAGGGGCCTACAATAATATACAACATACAAAGAAGAAGCACATGCCGAGGCTCAAAGGCAATATCATAATTGCCTTAAGAGTTAAAGAGTTTGAGTAGATTGATACTCCATACTTCGATTGTACCGGTACTATATATGTTAGGCGATCTTCCCCACATGTTAAGGATGGAAAAGCCGGGATCCGAGCCCAGAAAGGCAATTCACCACGTTGAACTATCACTAAGTCTTTACCTAGATAGGTACAATATAGATTGAAGAGAAAGAGGAGTGCGGAAATCATTCCGCACACCAAGACACCGACCTGATAGGCCTGTGATCTCCCGAGCAGCCTTGCCGTTTTCCTCTGTTACCCGAGCTCCGCCTTTTCTTCCCAATTCGACCCCCGGGGAATGTCTCTGACACATTTGGGAAAACTGCCGTGGAGAATAATATTGTGTAGGCTTGTTGGGGCCGATCTTGGTTCCGACTTGCCCTCGGCCATTGCCCTCCCCCACAATATATAATATATAAAACTAGGTCTTGGGTGGTCTGAGAGTCTTTCTTATTTTCTTATTTTCTTTATATAAATTATTCCTATTTCCTAAAAGGCTCCCGGTACTTTTTACATGTACTTCATCGGAGTTTACAAGAATTGAACGTAAGTAGACAGCGGTGAGATTTGCCCGTGAAGATCCACCGAAAGCCCGGGAGCCCAGGACTGGTGGATCAGACCACCTGTTGGCTTCTCTTCTTCTTCTCTCTATCCTGTACAACATACACTCTCATTTACGGCTCTCTGTCGGGGGGGCCTATTCACCAAAGATCTACCTTTCTTTGTCTACTTGTGTTTGTTCTCCCGGCCTTGGAATACGTCCAACAAATTCTCCCCCTCTCGGCGGGAATTCGCGCCACAACAAACTCCCCTGTTCCCCGCAAGATACGCACCACGTACCATAATGGCGCAACTGGATACTCTCGACCTGGTCGTCTTGGTCGCCCTTTTGGTGGGTAGCGTTGCCTACTTCACCAAGGGTAGCTACTGGGCCGTCCCCAAAGACCCATATGCATCCTCGGCCGCCACCCTGAATGGAGCCGCTAAGACCGGCAAAACCCGTGACATCGTGGAGAAGATGGAGGAGACAAACAAGAACTGTGTCATTTTCTATGGCTCCCAGACTGGTACTGCAGAGGATTACGCATCTCGACTCGCCAAGGAAGGCTCCCAGCGCTTCGGACTGAAGACTATGGTCGCCGACATTGAGGACTATGACTACGAGAACCTGGACAAATTCCCCGAGGACAAGGTTGCATTCTTTGTGCTGGCCACCTACGGCGAGGGTGAACCCACCGACAACGCCGTGGAGTTCTACCAATTCTTCACCGGCGAGGATGTCGCCTTCGAGAGCGGCGCCTCCGCTGAAGACAAGCCTCTGTCTTCGTTGAAGTATGTCACATTCGGTCTGGGTAACAACACTTACGAGCACTACAACGCCATGGTCCGTCAGGTCGATGCCGCCCTGACCAAACTTGGTGCGCAGCGCATTGGAACTGCTGGCGAGGGCGACGATGGCGCCGGAACCATGGAAGAGGATTTCCTGGCTTGGAAGGAGCCCATGTGGGCTGCTCTGTCGGACGCTATGAACCTCCAGGAACGTGAAGCTGTCTACGAGGCCGTGTTCTCCGTTGACGAGGATGATGAGAAAACCCCCGAGGAGGAGTCCGTCTATCTGGGTGAGCCCACTGCCTCCCACCGTGAGGGTCAACCCAAGGGCCCCTTCTCTGCGCACAACCCCTACATTGCCCCGATTGTCGAATCCTCGGAACTGTTCACTGTCAAGGACCGTAACTGTCTGCACATGGAGATCAGCATCGCTGGTAGCAACCTCAGCTACCAGACTGGTGATCACATCGCTATTTGGCCCACGAACGCCGGCGCCGAGGTCGATCGCTTCCTTGGAGTCTTTGGTCTTGAGGAGAAGCGCCACTCGGTGATCAACATCAAGGGTATCGATGTCACGGCTAAGGTCCCTATTCCAACCCCGACCACTTATGATGCCGCTGTCCGCTACTACATGGAAGTGTGTGCTCCCGTCTCACGTCAATTTGTCTCCAGCCTTGCTGCTTTCGCTCCCGATGAGGAGAGCAAAGCCGAGATTGTCCGTTTGGGTAACGACAAGGATTACTTCCACGAGAAGATCACCAACCAGTGCTTCACCATTGCTCAGGCGCTTCAGAGCATTACTTCTAAGCCTTTCACTGCTGTTCCTTTCTCCCTGCTTATTGAGGGTCTCAACAAGCTTCAGCCCCGGTACTACTCCATCTCTTCGTCATCTCTGGTTCAAAAGGATAAGATCAGCATCACCGCTGTCGTTGAGTCTGTCCGTCTGCCGGGTGCCTCGCACGTGGTCAAGGGTGTCACCACCAACTACCTCTTGGCTCTTAAGCAGAAACAGAACGGCGACCCGTCCCCCGATCCTCACGGCCTGACTTACTCAATCAACGGTCCTCGCAACAAGTACGATGGTATCCACGTGCCTGTCCACGTTCGTCACTCTAACTTCAAGCTGCCGTCCGACCCATCTAAGCCTATCATCATGGTGGGCCCTGGTACTGGTGTCGCGCCCTTCCGTGGTTTCATCCAAGAACGTGCTGCTCTTGCTGCTAAGGGAGAGAAGGTTGGCACAACCCTTTTGTTCTTTGGATGCCGTAAGAGCGACGAGGACTTCATTTACAAGGATGAATTCAAGGTATGTACACAACCCCTTGCACTTGGAATCCGAACCTTGACACTGACATGACTTCTTCAGACCTTCCAAGATCAAATGGGTGACTCCCTGAAGATTATCACTGCCTTCTCCCGCGAGGGATCCGAGAAGGTTTACGTCCAGCACCGTCTGAAGGAGAACGCCGAGCTCGTCAGCGACCTTCTCAAGCAAAAGGCCAACTTCTACGTCTGCGGTGATGCTGCCAACATGGCCCGTGAGGTCAACCTGGTTCTTGGTCACATCATTGCCCAGCAACGGGGTTTGCCCGCCGAGAAGGGTGAGGAGATGGTCAAGCACATGCGTAGCAGCGGCAGCTACCAGGAGGACGTCTGGTCATGATTTCATGATTGATGAACACTTCTTTGCACTTGCACCACGCTTAGATGATCGTGCCTATATATTATCATTTTGTTCGATATGATACGCCTCTTGTTTGATTCCCGCTGCATGTTTCTCTAGCATTGGCCTCTTGTTGAGGATCTTGGGCTTGTTAGCTACGGACTGCTGCCTGGGCGGGGTATGGCTTTAGACTTGTGATTTAAAAAGGAATCTAATTTTTTTTTTCTTCTTTCAAATTATTATGTTTGTATGTACCTATGTATCTATTTAATTGGAAGTATCAACGCCGTTTGGATGCTTTCGGTTGTAAGCGCGGACTTTAGACGTCATCTGCACGGGAACCTCGACTTCTCCCATCTCCCCACACACCGACCGAGCAAATCCCTGCCTCCACAGAGTTGATTGAGAGATATGTGCAATCCATAATTTCAGCTGCACCGACATTCGCCATCTCAATCCCCTGTACATCCTACTCCCTGAGATATCCCATTCCCGCAGACTGGTGCGCCGAACCTCGAACCCAACCAGCTCCGCGCTGTCAGATACTGCGGGTTGCTGAATTACGATGGCTTATGTCGTGCCCATTCATCGGGCAAGCAGTATCCGCCATGCGGTGAAGCTCAACTTTTTTTCTCCGGACGAAGAGTGCCTAGTCGCAGCGTGAGTCCCATCCTCCCGCAAAGCACCGAACCCAAGCGACCTTCCACCCGATGACGACAAGCACAATAGCTAACCCTCCCTCGAACCCGCAGTAAAGCCAGTCGTCTTGAGTTCTACACTCTTACACCGGATGGAATCGTCCTGACTGGGACTCGTGCTCTGAATGCGCGGGTCACTATGCTCGCGCGCCTGCCCGCACCAACAAATTCCCCAACCGACCACCTCTTCATCGGCACAGACCAGTACAATTATTTTACAATAGCATGGGACCGCGAATCAAACCAGATCAAAACAGCGCGCAGCTGCGTCGACATTGCCGAGCCCTCGTCTCGGGAGTCCCAGTGCGCACCGCGATGTCTGATCGATCCCACGGGACGGTTCATGACGCTCGAAGTATACGAGGGCGTGATAGTTGTTGTGCCGATCGTGCAACCGACGAAGAAAAGAGGTCGGATGTCGATGGGAGGGCCACAGGCTGACCTGCCGCTGCAGGTGGGAGAACTCGATAAACCGACTACATCCCGCATTGATGAGCTTTTCGTTCGATCCTCGGCATTCTTGCATTCGGAATCTAACCCCTGGCTGGCATTGCTCTACGAAGATAATCAGCAGAAGGTACGGCTTCGAATCCGCGAGTTGGATTTCACGCCAGGCACTGCGGGGACTTTGGCAGATGCTACTTTCAAGGAGGTGCAGAAGTTGGAGGGGGTGAATTCGGACAGGAACTTGATCTTGGGTCATCGCATCTTATCCCTATTCCCGCTCCGTTGGGCGGGTTAATTGTGCTTGGGGAGACTTCGATTAAGTATATCGACGATAATGCCAATGATGTGATTACGCGGAATCTTGATGAGGCGACGGTCTTCGTGGCCTGGGAGAAAGTCGATAGTCAGCGGTGGCTGTTGGCTGATGACTATGGGAGGCTATTCTTCCTGTCTTTCATTCTGAACAACTTGGGTGAAATCGATGACTGGAAGCTCGAGTATCTCGGCAAGACGTCTCGTGCATCCGTGTTGGTCTATCTCGGCGGAGGCATGCTGTTTGTTGGATCGCATCACGGCGACTCACAGGTTCTCCGGCTGGATGGAAGCTCGTTTGAGGTCATCCAGACATTGTCTAACATCGCACCAATCCTCGACTTCACTATTATGGATCTTGGAAACCGTACAAGTGAGAGCCAAACACATGAGTTCTCATCCGGACAGGCTCGAATTGTGACTGGTTCTGGTGCCTTTGACGACGGGACGCTGCGAAGTGTGCGTAGTGGTGTTGGCATGGAAGAGTTAGGTGTGTTGGGGGAAATGGAGCACATCAGTGATCTCTGGGGACTGCAAACTCGAAGCAAAGACGACTTTCTGGATACGCTTATTGTTACATTTGTTGACGAAACGCGTGTGTTCCAGTTTAGCACTGACGGTGAAGTTGAAGAGTTGGATAACTTCCTGGGGCTTTCACTCACAGAATGTACTCTTCTCGTCACAAGGCTCCAGGGTGATCGCATCCTTCAGGTCACAGAACAACGAGTGCTGGTGGCTGATCTAGAAAGCGGAATGGTGACATTTGAATGGGCACCTCAGGACCAGAAGCTGATTACTGCCGCGTCGGCCAACGAGGACCATCTGGTTCTCGTTATCAGCGGCCAAATTGTGGCATCTTTTGATATCGGAGACAATGTCCAGATCATCACGCAGAAGGATCTCGGTGCCGACCAGCAAATCTCTGGCCTGACTGTCCCATCATCACCAACGGGGGTTTTCATCGCAGGGTTCCCCCAATCAGCCAAAGTTTCAATCATGGCTATTAAGGACGTTGCTGTTCTTCAAACGAAATCCCTAGGTCCTACTGGGGAGAGCTTCCCTCGGTCAGTTCTTGTAGCTGAAGTGCTCGCAGACAGCCAGCCTACTCTCTTCATTTCCATGGCCGATGGCTGCGTCATTACATTCTCACTAAACCCACAAGACTACTCGCTAAGTGAGATGAACAAACTGATCCTTGGTTCCGAGCAACCCATATTCAAGAAACTCCCCAAGGGTGATGGCCTATACAACGTCTTCGCTACGTGCGAGAACCCCAGCCTGATCTACGGCTCCGAAGGCCGGATCATCTACTCTGCAGTGAACTCCGAGGGCGCATCACGGGTATGTCATTTGAACGCAGAGGCATTCCCAGATTCCATCGCTGTGGCAACCGAGAAAGAGCTGAAGATCGCGCTGGTTGACAAAGAGCGCACAACGCAAATTCAAACGTTACCAATGGGCTCTACTGTTCGACGCGTTGCATACTCTCCTTCCGAGAAGGCATTTGGAATTGGCACGATTGATCGCAAGCTCGTGAATGGCGCAGAGGTTGTCAAGAGCCACTTTGTCCTTGCTGATGAGATCATGTTCCGGCGCCTTGATGCGTTAGAACTGGGACCTGACGAACTGGTGGAGAGTGTTGTTCGCGCTGAGCTGCCGGCAGGGAAAGATGAAAATGGAAAAGAGATCTTGAAGGACCGATTTGTTGTCGGTACGGCATTCGCAGACGAAGAGCAAGAGGAGTCGATCCGCGGGCGGATCCTTATTCTAGAAGTCGACCACGGCCGTAAGCTGAGCCAAGTCGCGGAGCTACCTGTTATGGGCGCCTGTAGGGCTCTTGCTATGATGGGCGATTGTGTTGTTGCGGCACTTGTCAAGACTGTGAGTACTAATCGACTGTATATGCGAACACTGTACTGACAATACTCAGGTCGTTGTGTATAGAGTCAAAATCAATAACGTTGGACCGATGAAGCTCGAAAAGCTCGCTGCATACCGGACCTCCACCGCACCAGTCGACGTAATAGTCGTCGACAACCTAATCGCAGTGGCAGATCTCATGAAGAGCCTTTGCCTTGTCAGGTATACACCGGGTCATGCCGGGGAACCTGCGAAGCTGACCGAAGTCGGTCGTCACTATCAGACCGTTTGGAGTACAGCAATTGCCTGCGTTGGAGACGAGACGTTCCTCCAGAGCGACGCTGAAGGAAACCTTATCGTTCTCTCGCGGAATATGAACGGAGTCACCGCGCAGGACAAGCACAGACTAATGCCTACTAGCGAAATTTCACTAGGGGAGATGGTCAATCGTATCCGACCAGTTAATATTCCACAGCTTTCCAGCGTTATGGTGACGCCGCGGGCGTTTATGGCAACAGTAAGTTCACCCAGCTCACTGGACTGACCAGCAATAAAGGCCCATTTACTAACCTACTTAAAGGTCGAGGGCTCCATCTTCCTCTTCGCTGTTATCAATCCCGAACATCAAGATTTCCTCATGACGCTGCAAGCCTCTCTATCGACCAAAATCAACTCATTGGGCAACTTGTCATTCGACAAGTTCCGAAGCTTCAGAACTATGGTGCGCAGCGCTGAGGCCCCGTATCGGTTCGTGGATGGTGAGCTTATTGAGCAGTTTTTGAACTGCTCACCAAGCATGCAAGAGGAGATTGTGCAGGAGATTGGCTCATCAGATGTCGTGGAGGTTAAGAGAATGATTGAGGCCTTGCGGAGGCTTCACTGATTTTTTGCGAGGGACATAGTTCTTCAGGGCATTGGCGACGTGTTACGAAATGTTCATGAATACGGATAAGATGTGGCGATGGCTGGTTTTAGAAGGGCCCAGGATAGAAGTCCTGGCTCGGATATGACTGGATTGGATGCATGTTTTAGGTGCAATTAGTAGATTTATGAGTCTTCAAGTATACGCTACTGTGTAAGGTCGAAATTTCTTAATAGCGGATGCTACGAGTAGTCCAGAGAATTCACTTAGAAGACAGAGGGGCTATGGGGTCCTATTAAATTGGAATCTACTAATAAAAAATACAAGAAGCAAAACCCCCATCGACCATGCAATGCACAACACAACAACCCAAGACCCAAGACTCAAATCTCAAAGGTCCTTCTTCACCTTCACATCAACCTCCTCCTCCTCACTCCAATCCAACAATTCCATAATCTGATCCCGACTCAGGTCCTCAGCGCGCTGATCCTTCTTCACACGCTTAATGTAATTCTTCTGACGCTTGCGGGCCATATCATTCCACTCAGGAACACCACTAGCAGCAGCCATAAGATCCTCCTCATCCTCAAGCTCGTCCTCAGTGTTATCGACTTCACCAAGGACCTTCCCTTTCCCGTCCCCACCACCACGCAGCGTATTCGGCGACACCTTGACTTTCCCGAACTGCGCCCTCTCCTTATCGCGCTTCTCCTTCTCCTTGCGACGGTCGCGGTCATGCATCCACTTAAACAACTTCTCGATGTACGGCCGGATGATTATGTAGAAGACCACGCTGCCGATGACTTTGGTCCAGCGCTTGCCGCTCATCTGGGCGATGGAGGCGTAGCCGTTCTTGAAGAAGCGGGTTATGGCTAGCTCGAAGACGGAGTAGAGTTGGCCGAAGAAATCATTGGCTGCGGCTGCGGCCTTTTCGCTCAGATCTTCCTGGGGAGTGGACATGGTGGATGATTGATATTTTTTTGGCTTCAGGGTTTGGAGGGAGAGGTGGGAGCTCAGTGGCTACCCGCGGAATGGATGGGATGTTGTAGAAGAGGACAGCCAGAGGTAGATGAATGCCGAGTTAGGGAATTTTGTGAAATAAGAATTGAGGGATTAATTGACAGGATCTGCGATTGCTTTGCGCTTCTTTGATATTCCGCGGCTCCCGCAACGAGAGATGCCTGTTTGGGGTTAGCGTGGTCTGCGTGCCGGATTAGCCGTTATTCCGCGGACGCGTCGTCGGCCAATCAGATATCGCTGGTTTTATATGGGGACGCGCTTGGCTTGTTGTCTTGCGTTATCTCTCATCACCATGGCGCAGACTGAAGAGGCCAGTTTGGAAGAGGTCAATGTCACTACGATCTTGTCATGTACCTGGCTAACTCTTTTTTTTAGCGCTTGAAATCCGCGCTGTGGTTATCCATTGGCAAGATCGTGGATGAGGAGACTATCAAGCTAGGCGTCAATGCCACTCCGCAGTTCATCGGTGCATTGACAGAGATGGTTTGGGCTCAGATAGGTATGTTCCATTGTTTTATGTCAAGTTCCTGACTTTTATTCCTTGTAGCTAACTATGCGCAGAGACGATCAGTCAGGATCTCGAATCCTTTGCGAAGTAAGTAGGCATTATTGCTGCAAATGAGTAGGAGATTGTCACTGTTCTTCCCGTGGGATAGTACCTCTAACAAGAAATGTTCTAACTCCATCTTCTCATCTAGACACGCAGGGAGATCTACCGTCAATATCTCCGATGTGATGTTACTCGCTCGCCGCAATGAGGGACTGGATTCGATTCTCCGTGCTTTCGTTGAACAAGAAAAACAACGCCAGGAAGACTCCTGAACGGTTGGCTGTTAGCCGCTTCCCATAAGAAGACATCCTCCCTACCCATTCATCTCACAGGCTACTGCCGAGGATTGTATCGCTTTTAATAGCGGATTCCCAAATGAAGTAAAATGTGAGTCAAAACATGAGATCCTAATAGGGTTCATTGTTAAAAGCCTCCATGGACATCGATGAGGCCAGCGTCCTGCATTAACGATCATATTTCTGACGTTTATCCAAGAAGCTTGCTCGATTTGTACAGCTTTTTAGGCAATGGGTATCAACAGGCTCTTGAGCCTGTACTGCCGCAGTAATGCCACTCTACAGCCTCCATTGATGCGATATACCTTGTCACCAAGGGCCCCCTTGTCCGGTCCGCGTCGACACCTGGCTCTTTATCCAGATCGGGAGCACAAATGTACTCGTGGCTAAAGCTGTCCTTCGTCCGGGCAGCAGCACCATGTACTCGGAATTATCTAGGTAATACGCGCTAGCCCGAAGTTATGCCGGATCACAGCCTAGGATCTGGGCAGATTCTTTTTGTTTCAATTTCTCTCATCCTGCGAGACCGCACCTCACCAAGATAATGATATACCATTTCATACGCGGCAGACCCAGTTTTAATATCACATATTACCCATTGTGCCTCGTATGTTTGAAATGTTTGTACACGGCAAGTGGACGTGGCACAGAAGACCCGGACCAGTTGAACGGGTGGGTGCAGACGTCATTTTCAACGTGGCGGGTTCGTACAATGGACTCCAGGCGCCATACTTAACAATAAGCGATGTGTAGCAGAACAGCACAGCCACACGTAAGGACCAATGACACCAAAGCTACATAGGTAACTTGAAGGCGCTGGGAAGCAGCCGGTGTTCGTGAAAGATGATACCAGTAGCGGTAAATGGAAGTCGCGTGACACATGGAAGGATATTAAAATAGTTAATAGTATCCCAAGCCACGCTAGTCCCAGTTTATTGTAGCTCTTTCTAACTTTATTTTCAGCTGGAAAGCTCGATAAACTCCTCACATCAGTGGATTCCAAGGAAGACAGTAGATAATATGTAGGCTAGGATACACAGAAGTAGGCAGCAACCTTATGATATCCTAGATTATTATGCTGAACGATCTATGAATAGTATACCCCGTAAAGTGTAAGGGTCATACGCCGTAGTAGAAAGATGCGTTGAGATTGTCTTGGCAGTGTGGCTGGGACGCTATTACCTAAATAGGTAATTCTATTTTTTTCTTCACATGCAACATCCATGTATCCACGGTACAGTGGCAAATTTTTCTAACCGGAGACGGCAAGGTGGAAACCCTGTAACCCGTCAACCCATGGAATTCCAGGGCTGACATCACCGAGCGGGTCTTCTGGGGTCATTTAGAGTGTGGCGCAGATGACCAGCCATTAAGCTAAGAGCTCTTCTCCCAGGATCGACGTGCGTGCCGCCATCCACTGATCGTCAAATTATTCCGGTCCCTTATAACTCGCTCAAATCCTGTTGCCTGAGTTCCTTTCATATATTCCCCCTTGGACCTCGTTACTGTCACCTTTGTACCCCCAAATATTCACCATTTTCATCCATCCAACACAATATGGGAGCCGGTGGGGTAGTCCTCCGGTTTTTCAACCTCGGACTGCGTGTTCTGCAGTTCCTTGATGCTGCCGTCATTCTCGGCATTTTCTCGTACTTCCTGGCTGTCTTATCCAGGAACAACCAAACCATCGAGACATGGATTAAGGCAGTCGAAGGCTTAGCAGGCGCAGCAACCGCCTACAGTCTTCTCGGAGTCATCTTCACCTGCTGTCTGGGCGGTGTGGCCTTCTTTGCATTCCTGGGCGTTGCCCTGGACGTGTGTTTTGTGGGCGCGATGGTCGCCATCGCCATCCTGACCCGCAAGGGCGTTTCCCAATGCACTGGAACAGTCGACACACCAATGGGCACTGGCAACGCCAACGACGACACTGCTTCCAAGGGCCTGAAATTCGGCATGGCCTGCAAACTCGAAAAGGTTGTCTTCGCAGTGGCGATTATTGGAATGTGAGTTGATCCTAGATTACCAATCTTCATTCTTATCTACATATAGATATGGTGATGCTAATTTACCCCCCAGCTTCTTCTACTTGACCTCCATCCTCTTCCAAATCCTTCTCGCCCGCCACCACAAGCGCGAGAAGCGTTTCGGTCCCTCCCCAACCAACGGTTACACCCACGGTAGCCGCAAGGCCTTCTGGCGCCGCAACAAGAATAACCCCGAAGCCCCTGTCGGCGGTGCCGATGCCCTGCCCGGCCATCCAACCCCCTACGAGGTCGAGATGGGCGGCGAGCCCAAGACCGAGAAGGGATGGTTCGGCTCTTGGGGCAAAAACAAGAACACCACTAATACCCCGGCTGCTGCCCCGGCTCCCGGTAGCTATGGCTACGGTAACTCGGCGTACACTGGCAACATCTAGGTTGCTGGTGTAGGATACTTGCGGTTTCCGAGTAATTTTTTTATCTGAGTGAAGTTGTGCTCCCTGCACTGGTTGATGATTCTATGCCCCTTTTGTGTTAATTTGAGAGCCACGATACCACTGCTATGTTTGTGATTAGATTGGGTTGTACAAAATGATGGAGGATATCTGGCGAGCTTACTGGGTCTTTGGGACTAGCTGGTCACCATTTAATATTAATCAATACAATACTGCTTTATGAATATGTTTCTACATCCAGGAATCTCGGAAGGACTAGATTTTTGAGTTTCGTGTTCCTCGGCGTAATGCAACAATGGCTTTCAGCCTCATTTTCCGCATGCGTCAATATATGGCAACGTACCGGATTCGATCATGTGGCGAATAAATTAACTGATTGTCCTTTACGAGGCACGGGTTACATCCATGTTATGCTTGGCACTCGTACGCCAGCCAATGTATATCTCCCCCGCGTTACAGTTTACCCCGTTCGGACGATAATATCAATGGACCCATGAGATAGGTTATCCGAGCAGCCGGGTACCTTCTCATGGGCTTCCCATCAGACCTTAGAAACATATTAAAGAGATGAGGAGAAAATCCGTATGTTTTTCCTGTATAATGTACATAAATTAAGTTCAACAGAATAAGATAAAATGCTCAACGCAAAACCGGAGAACGTCACTAAAGACACCGAGTAGAATCTGCAGTCGCAAGGCCACCACAGGCCTCATAACTCGGTGCTGGGATCGATCTAAATGCGACATGGCACGCAACAAGTTCCCTTGGAAAGCCTCGTCCACAGGGAAATTTGACCGGACATGGGAGCGTTTCCTCTCCATATATTGCCATACCCCACGTCTCAGCACAGGTATAGAAAGTAGGCACTCCTCATAACTCGGTGCTAGGATCGATCTAAATGCGACATGGCACGTAACAAGTTCCCTTGGAAAGCCTCGTCCACAGGGAAATTTGACCGGACATGGGAGCATTTCCTCTTCATAGATTTCCATACCCCACGTATCAGCACGGGTATAGAAAGTAGTCCTACGTGCTCAGAACCCACGACCCCAAGAAAGACGCCGATATTTTGTGACGCGTCCAAGCTTGCCCCCCGGATGGGGTTGATAGACCCGTTGCTAGGCTCTTCTGTCGCAAGAAGAAGAACCCAGGATCGCACATTTTGTGCCAATCAACCAGCTAGTCGTCTTGACGAATAGCACACGCCCCCGGATGGGGTTGATAGACCCGTTGCTAGGCTCTTCAGTCACAAGAAGAGAGACCCAGGATCACACATTTTGTGCCACTCAATCAGCTAGTTGTCTGACAAATAGCACACACCCCCCGGATGGGGTTGATAGACCCGCTGTTAAGCTCTTCTGGCATAAGAAAAGGAACCCAGGATTCCAAATTTTGTCCGCGGAACTCTTTCTCCGCATCATGAGGCGTGACTTCTTAGGGTCTCAGATCAGACCCCACGGCACAAGGTCGCCTACTTGCTCCCAAAACACCCCACCAGGAGATAGGTATGCAGGAGGAGAACACAAGATCAGTAGGATGCCACTCAGAAGTCTTGTACTAGTGTCGTGGTGAAAGCGGACACTTCTAGAGCCAAGATCACAAAAGTTGACCATAAGAACTCTTTATGACCAGGAGAGCTACGCCTCCAGGGTTGCAACAAGCAGACCCCATGGCACAGGGACCCCGATTGTTCCCGGCATCTGAGAAGAAAGAAAAGAGAATACAAGCACCATATCCTCCGGATGGTTGATCTTCAGCACTTGGGGAGAGACAGAAGAAAGGGCAGACGCCATATCTTGGATGATTAGTTGTCAGAACTCTAGAAGCGAGACTAGACAAGGAAGGCCAACGCACCGCATCACGATTGATTTCCTCTCAATAGCGTGTGCAGTACGTAGTCTGTCATCAAGGCTCCGAGCAAACCCCATAGCGCAAGGTCGCCTGATTGATCCCGCCATTCGGCACAGAAACAATAGAAGACAAAGTAAGCACCATACCTTCTGGATAGTTGATTCTTCGGCACTTGGGAAGAGACAGAAGAACAAGCACCATATCATCCCGATGGTTGTTTGTCAGAACTCTAGAAGCGAGACTAGACAAGGCAAGCAGACGCACCGCATCACGATTGATTTCCTTCCATAAGCGTGGGAAGTATATGGTTTGCTCTGCTCCGGGCAGACCCTATGGGCACAAGGTCTCCCGATTGATTGTTCGCAGAAGTCCTCACAGAAGCGATAGAAGACAAAGTAAGCACCGTACCTTCTGGATAGTTGATTCTTCGGCACTTGGGAAGAGACAGAAGGAAAGGCAAGCACCATATCTTCCGAATGGTTGGTTGTCAGAACTCTAGAAGCGAGACTAGACAAGGCAAGCAGCCGCACCGCATCACGACCGATTTCCTTCCATAAGCGTAGGCAGTATATGGTCTGCTCTGCTCCGGGAGACCCTATAGGCACAAGGCCTCCCGATTGATTGCTCCCAGGATTCCTCACAGAAGCGATAGAAGACAAGGGAAGCACCGATATCTTCCGGATGGTTGGTTCTCAGAACCCAGATTCAGAGGCGAGATAAAACAAGACAGCGCGACGCACCGCATCACTTCTGATTTCTCCCAAAAGGGTATGCAGTACATAGTCTGCTCTGCTCCGGGCAGACCCCATGGCACAAGGTCTCCAGATTGATTGCTCCCAGAATTCCTCACAGAAGCGATAGAAGACAAGGTAAGCACCTATATCTTGGCATAGCAAGACCATAGAACCATTCCTCGGCCTCCGGATACCTCAACATAGCCTTGGTAGCAGACTCTTACGCCCCAAGACTTCAGAATTTGCCCTGAGAACTCAGGGCTAGAAGCGAGATGAGAGAAGACAGCCAGGGTCACCACATCACGGTTTGTTTCCTCCCAAATCGCCTGTAGTACATTGCATGTCCGATGATTGTGGGATGGTCATTGGCGAAGAAAGATTGCTTGCCATATGACCGCAGAAAGTTGAAGACACCGAATATGGTTCTTTGCTATACGCTGACCGGTGTATTCATCGGCCTGGAAGTCTCTCCCCCACACCTGAGGCCATGGGTTCAAAGTCGGCATGAATCGCAGTCCGGAGGTGGTCAAGCGTTCCGAAACGGACGGGAAATTGTCTTTTTGTCGTTTGTCCTCAAAGGAGCTCGTTGATGGGCAAGGCCGCAGAGCCCTAATCTTTGTTTGACAGCGAGTCGACAGCCATCATAGTAGCATCCAGGGAAAACCATTGTTGGTTGTTTCAAGAAAGTATAATCCTTCGTCTTTTTGATGTTGCATCGTTCGGTTCAAAGATCGATGGTGGTGTTTCCATTGCGAAGCTTCACATAGACTCGCTGACGATGTAGGTCGGGCCACAAGTCCGTGATTTCAATCACCTTTCTGGGAAGTTGTTGATCTATGTCGACATGTAGATATGTCGCAGACCTTGACCTGCAAGAACTTGCAGTATGTCGCGCAGCAAGCCGTCCTGCTGTATTGCACGAGATCGCCTGTTTGGTGCATATTGTCTTGATTAGTATTAAAACATTTGTAAACACAAGAGTCTGGTAATAGATGACACTGCACTTACAAGTTGGGATTTACCCGAGCCATGGACTTTTGCTCTTACTCGACTGGGTAATTCGGGTCAAAACCTTCAGCCTTCACCGGAAGGATGCCGTAAAGATGATGGTAAAATGGTAGGATGATAGGAATTTTGATTGGAAGATGCATCCTATCGTAATAATTCGATGAAAGCAGTGGGATGAGTAGAATTTGCGAGATGTCAAAGACTAGAGAAGAGGATAGAGAAGAGAGAAGTAAACAAACTGGGGCCGTCTCCGGGTATCGCCGGCTATCTCTATCGGCCTCATCGGGCCGGTCGCCCCCGGAAGCCGGGACAAGCCGCGGGGGCGGTTTAGCTGCTACCTTTCGATCTCACATCTTTAGTATTTGCCTCCTTTGGAACAGGTCTCAACTTCGTAATCACCTTTCATAAGTCTATATGTGCTGGATGAATACTTGGTAAGCTGGGCAAAAGGCCCTGAAGTATGCAACTACCCCTTGTACTGATGCCAAGCTTCCCTACTGCAGCACGCGTGATGTTGATATCGCAGGCTACACCCACGCCCAATTGCAAGCCCCCTCTTGGGACGGGTAACTAGACGACATTCCAACTCAACCTCATCAAGTACACTCAACCTCATCAAGTACACCTATAGAACCCTCCATCGCCTCTAGTCTTTGTAGTCTCTAAATACCTCGTAGGCAAGCGATCTAAAATAATACCCAGCACTGAGTAGAGTATTGCAAAGCAAGATAACTTTGATCTTATCCCTGGGTTAACGAGCAGCTTGGCAAACAGCTCAGCGATGTGACCACAAGACACGGAATAACAATTCGCGTCTTCTGGAGACAACAACTCCCGTGGGTTGTCTGTGCTCTTTTTTGACATATCCTGAGCTCAATAATGGAGCATATAATGTGGTTCGAACAATGGATGCCTCTGCCTATGGCTGTTAGTGTTAGCGCTCACACTAGGGCTTGGGTGGGGCTGTGGCATTAGAAATCTGTATGCTGTACTTGAAGTCAAAACATAGTGCTTTCACCTAGAGAACTGATAGCTCATGTTGATTGCCCCTGGAGTGCAGGGAGCTGAACAACACTGTCTGACAACTTCCTGGGATCCTTAGGTCTTAAGAAATACATTACAAGTTGAGCAACGAGACATAAAGCAATCCACTACCATTAACAATATCGCAAGCAAAAGGGAAAGTTACTTATTCCAGCCATGATAAATGCTATGTGTAAGGTGTCCTGCCATGGTTCTGAGCACTCGCCTAGGAGATTCGCTCATTTGCAGCAATACCATAACGGTACTGGCACCGTATGATTGAAATGTGAAGTAGTATGCATACATACATACATGTATGTATAGAATGCACCTCCTTTGTGCGTCCTAACCAATGAAAATTCTCCATTTGTGGAAATTATGTACAAACTATTCTAACAGATCACCACTTGAGTAGATTCAGAAATCAAGCACCTTCCGTATTCATATGCCACGCAAATTGGGCACACATAGCATAAATAACATCGATTTTTCTCAAGTGAAGTAGCTCAAGGGTTAGAGATTGGTATGTAAACGGCGGACCTGCCCAGGCGTGAATTACTGCATCTGGTTAGTTTTTTAGATTTAGCGCTCCAATACGCCGTCACATAACCTCCCTTTCAATAAGGTTCCTCCAGCATAAACAAACGATCTCGCTCTTTCCGCCTCTTTCCCTTCCTCTTTCCCTTCAAGCACTCTATGCTGCACTCATCCCCCATTTCTGTTTCTTCCGCCCCTACCAACAACTTTGTATTGGCCTTCAACCGGATGCACTGCCTCTTTGACTGCCGCATAACCCATTTTGGGCCGAAGGTTCCGGCCCAGAACCCAACCCAGCCTTGGGGGGCGGTGCTTCAATTGCTTCCTCCGGCTGCATAATTAATGCAGATACTTCTTAAACTAAGAGGTCTTCTTCGGTAGGGATATGCCTTTTAGATCTAGCTCGCTTTTGCTTTTTCTTCTCGTTCTTAGCGCGTAAATCGCTCACTTCTTTCTCTAGTAATGCGGCGGATTGCATAGTGATCTGGAAGGCTTTCAAACCCTGGTTCATAGCGGAATTGAGAGGGCTCGGGGCTTCTTACATACATTGAGAGTTGCGACTTGATCCTAAAGAGGAATACATGTTAGAGCAGATGATTTACGTTAACCTTGGATCGCCGATCGCTCGGTGCACCTGATCTAGCTGAAGGCTTGGTATCTTTTGCGACGAATATGTGCCGAACAACGACAGATCATAGAGACGAAAAGAGATTCTGCCTTGCTCACACTCAGAATCGGGCAGCTTGGTTCGTACCGTTGCAACAAGCTCACGACGGTTTGTCGGTTGCTCAGACTTTCGTAGGTCAAAAGGAAATTGACAAGATGACTGGTGTTAAGGTTGATGGCTCGCTATGATGGCTCGCTTGGGAGGAGGCTGACTTGGAGCATTAGTATCTCATCGCCATACAGTAAAAGCGAGCGTTTCGAAGAGTTTGTTGGAGGTTCGCTGACTTGGATTTCATGGTCCTCTAGGATATTACCTGTGCAATAGTGTAAATTAATGTCCGTTAGAACGTATGCTCGATATCTCACCAGTCTCCACGTATTCAAGACCTTTTATTTCGCAAGTTACGCGTGCTTTATCGGCTAACGCCTTTGGATGCTTAACTGACCCCCACCAGTCTCGAAGTTTCGGAATCATTTCGAGGTAGGTCTTGGTGCCTAGCTCGGTTATTACCACAAGAAAGCAGCACAGGGCAAAGATCGAGGAGCTGAGACTCGAGATTTTCAATCATTTCCCCCGTGCTGGAACGTGTAGGGCTCTTCTTGTCGTTAAGAAGCTTAGAGAATCCGTCCGTGGGCAATGCATTAACCTCAAATCTATGACTTCCCTTAGCCAGATCGCGAATTGGGTCACAATTCAAGAGTACCGGCATGGCTTGTCATGGCCGGCTACGCACGAGAAAGCATTGAGGTCCGCGACTTTTCAGAAAACGTGTTCGGGCAGTTGGCCGGATCCTTGAAGAAAACGGAACGTGAAGTGGAACAGCATGGCTTGTCAATTGGCCACTTTCAGTACGCGGCGAGCATGTTCGATTGGTGGTGCGGAACAGGTGTGGTCAGAGGCTACATCGCCGTTGCGAGGAAGTAGGGCCAAGTTTCAAAAAGAGCATTCCTCTCACACTTTCTTTGCACAAACTGGCAAGAATCAACGAAAGACCAACCATACGCACAAACTGACCCAGCAATCCACTTTGTCATGCACAGCTAATCTAACTAAATGGCCCCATCTGAGAAAGTGTCAAACTATAGCAAATTGTACAAATTCATCAATAGATGAGTCCATCATCCTCACGAACCTCATCGCGGCGCGCTAGCTATCTTAAAACAAGCAAAAGCGGCAACAGCCAGTAACACCGCGCTCAGAAATGCATCTGCGCCAGTCCCGATACGACTCGAGAGTACATCGTCGCTTACCGTATCGCGCGGTATTAAATTGAACGTTGTTGCAATTGCCGACCATCCTGCAATCGCTGGAACAACCAATGTATCGGCCATTCCAAACAAATATTCGAATGGAAGTTTTGAAGTCGATGACAGGGCGAACGTTAAAGTGAGAGAGTACAACTCTAGAAGGCGATGCCGGCGTCCAGACCCAAAGCACGGCAATGTCAAGAGAACGAATCGATAGCATGCGTGCGCAAATATCCACGATTTGCTGACGGCAGTGAAGACGAACAAGTTATCGTGAACTATGACTGTCTTCCATCCAACGCGGTGTCCTTTTTGGATGATCCAAACGAAGAGGGCAACGCAAGTGATCTTGCTGCATATTCCCCGAAGGGTGCCGCCTGTAGGAGTCCCGACCATCATGCCAATGTTTGCGTACACCGCAAAATTAACATAGGTCGTAAAGGCGGGTAGAAATCTCGCCTGCAAAGACCGATCCGCAACCAGGAACGTTAGGACCGAGCCGAGGCCGAAGGGAAGCAAACACATGGTTTTGGTCATTTCGCCGAGAGTAGCCGTTGTGTTAAATACGAAGATAGTCGCGCTGACCCCAAGGACGACGAGCAAAAGCAAGCCCGGTTTTCGAAGAGCACACCCATAGGTGAAGATGAGGATGATGGTAAGCCATACGTTGAATGGGATATCAACGTACGGTTCAACCGCCGTAAGTAGTAGTGAGAAAGCCATGGGATGAGCCGCGTAGTTCTATCCGGAGCTTTGACTCGAGCTTCCTAGTGTTGAATAGGCGGCAATATCACAGCTGGAAAATGATGACTAACAGCGCTAGGTGGTACTGGACGGTGGGCGGTGAAGGGCCGGCTCTCCAAAGTTACGGGTGGAAAGACGGCCGTTTCGGCCCCAAAAGTGGTCATTTTCGGCGTCAGGTCCTCATATATGTATTCTAGTTGTAATATAAGTCATGTTCCATTTGTTCAATACTAAACTGAATCCTGGATATGAATTGGAAAAATAGGGATTATCTTTTATTGAAGAAGGCCTAATTATATGTAACACTATAGAGATTCAATCAAAAGGTTCTATTATTATTTATAGTAATGGTGCTACGAGAAAGCATACAACGAAAGTATCCCTGAAGCGTTCGAGCAGTATCCCACCAAAGAAGGCATTATCCATGACGGAGACTGAAATCGCTATTCGACATTGCGATTTGTATGTATTTTTGGAAGTTGAATGTTTGACGCGCATGTACTTTATGAGAGACTAAATAATTCCCAGGGGATGACTACGAGAACGAAATTTATGGCATAGCCGAATTTTCAAAAAAAAATTGAATTAAGAAGCAGAATCATTAGGTACTTTGGCATGACAATACCGTCAATACAGGGACATCAACTAACTCATCGCTTAACAGGTCGTGGGTAAAAGATAAGAGAAACAATACACAGCGCCCAGAACCGGGCTGAAAAGAAACACCAACTCAAAGTCCGAAAACCGAAACTGGCGAGCATTTCACTCGACTGGTCAGTCTGTGAACTGGTAAAATTGAAACATCCACCGGGATGTATCCAAAAAGAAAAGGGAAAAAAAGGAAAACAATCGGCAAGAGAAATGAAATTAGAAAACTGAATGCCCTTAATGGCGAGCAGTGATAACACCCCAGCGGCAAATAGTCCCGGCAGCGACGGGGCCCATGAAGATGGGCTTACCGTGAGTGCACATGGCAAAGCTCAAGCCATCAGGTGAGCAGATGATATCCCCAGAGTGGCAAGACCATTGACCGACGTAGTTAACAAACTGGTTGTTGGTAGAGGCCTCGGTGGAGAACACACGGGAGTCAGCGGCGGCGGAGGGCGTGCCGAAGACCTTGGCAATTTTGGACGCCTCCTTGGTAGCAGTGGAGGAGGAAGTGCTGGTGGCGGAGGACTTCTTCTCGGACTCGGTGGTGGGCTTCGTCTCAGACTTCGAGGTGCTAGACGATGTGCCGGTGGTGGTGGGCTTTGCCTCGGACTTGGTCTCAGACTTAGACGATGTGCTTGTGGACTTAGAGTTGGAGTCGCCGTCGAGGAAGGGAGCATGTTCGGAGCACTTGTAGCCAGGGCCCTCAGCCTTGCCGATGAGCTTGGGTCCGGGCTTGGGGAAGTGAACGGGCTCGCCCTCGATGGTCACACACTTGCCAGCCTGGTCGACGTTGGCAAGGAATAGGTCAGGGAGGCTGTCGAAGCTGCTCTTGGCGTTTGTGGTGTGGCTATTGGGCTTGTTGTTAGGTGTCTGGTTGTTCGACTTGTTGTTGTTGTTGTGTTCCTTCTTGGTGTTCTTCTCATCAAGCATCGGCTTGGGGGGCCTCCTTGGCCTCACGGTTTCCGGAGCCACCAATGGTGATCATAGCACAGTTCATGTACATCTCGCGGTTGCCGACCTTGTTAAACCAGGTCCAAGCAAATAGAGCATCGCCACTTGGTGCGTCCGAGGGGACCTCAAATTCGTATTTCTTATCAATAGGGCAGTCACCCTCCATCGACTGAATGACCTTGAAGGTCTTCCCCTTGTCATAAGTTAGGGCGAGCTGACATGAGCCGCCACCGTGGACGGCACTTCCTTCCAGCTGTATCTCTTGGGAGGAGCCTGGTTGCCATGTAGCCACGGCCTCAAAGTCATCATCGGCGTATCCTTTGCATGGGTAGTCGCTACCCGAGGTGGAGAGAGGATTAGTGTAAGAATAATCCTTCTGGCCCTTGGCGTCCTTGTTGAGGGGACTGCGGATAGGGTATGGTTTGCTCATCTGAATGTGAGCCGAGACAGTGGTGGCCAGAAGGCCAGAGAGGATCAATGTGCCCTTCATTGTGATTGAAGAGTTTCTATGCCGTGTATTAGTCTCAAAGCTGTCTGATAATGGCAATATCGAACGAATGCCCCAGGAAAGAAAGAAGCAATTGCCAGTGCTTTACTTACAGCGCCTTGGAATGTTTTGTGTGTAGACTTTTGATCTCTTGAAATGATACTAAACACTTCTTAGCCACCAAGGTCAATTATCACACAGTATAGAAGATTGGGAGAAGGGAAGAAAATCCGGGTTGTCGACAACGATTAGTATAAATACATAGCCAGCGATCCATAACATTCCGCATAACTTCGCGGAGGAATGGCAGATACCATCATGTTGCGGCCTTTTCCCGTTGGCTTATGGCTTAATTATGGCCCTCGCAACGTAAAGAATGTGCACAAACCGGAGCACTCGCCACCATATACGCTTATTCTCGCAGTATCTTCGCATAAGAAGTCAAGGAAAAACAATTAATATTAACAGAATCAACGTGTCCAGGTTCAATCCCGATACGAGTATTAGGAAAGCCACGCGGATCTCCCCTCGACCTTGTATTGTCTAAATACCTACTCTGTAGATCGCCAGCAGAACAAACTCCGCTGTTTAGTGGCAACAACTCGTGGAACAATAGGATTATAAACATAACGGACGCCGAGTGACCAAATGTGAGAAGACAGCACCATGTCTTCCTTCATTCCAACCTGTGTAAATCTCCGCGAGCTAAGTTCTGTTCAGGAATCTTGACATACTGCCAGGAAGGCGAAAAAGGACGCGTCACACTTATTTATAAACGCCAATTTTTGTCCGGTAATCAAGTCGCACGTTAGGCACAAGATCCATTCTGTGTAGTTCCTTTCGTCCAATCGCGAGCTGTGGAATACAACCAGTTTGGGGCTCTGTCTCAAGGCTGGAGCAAGCCCTAAGGGGTGGTTGGAACCCCTGTGTGCCACCCCCTGCATGCCCATCCAGGGCACCAATCACAATTTTCCCTAAGCTAAGGGCTTTGTTTACATCCACATTAAACCTAGCAGGACTCTTTTTATATTGTGGAAAAGCTTGTCGCTGCGAGTATCTGCACGTTGCACTTCGAGGTACTACAACAGTATTGCTCTGGTAGTTGAAGATGCTATAAATGGACTTAAAAAAGAGAGGGAAAAAAAAATACTGCGAATTTTTGCGCCGGTTCATTAATCCAATCAAAGCATTGAATCCACTACTCCAAAATGAGAGGACCGGTACATCATTTGGTAGAGCGTGCGATTGCAAATTTGGCAATAATCGCGAGGTAGCGCCTTCGATCCGCGCCCGGGGCTTTTAATGTTCTTTTTATTATCGTAGATAATTTACCGGTATGATGGCACGAATGCCGGAGTCAGGCTTAGACACCTGGACCTGGAATCTGTATTCACCGAAAAGCCTTCCAGTTAGGCCTATTTTTGAAATATTTTAAAATACGGTATTAGATCTATTATACCTCTATCTATTCTATCTTTCATGCTTATTGAATGACAATCAGCTATAAAGAGGGACCCATAACTACAACGGCATTTTACTATGCCCCATATTAACCTCGTGGATAAAATAGGATTTCTCGAATTTTGAAAGTGAAAAACTTCATAGAGAAGAATCTTACGCAGATATCTTACAGAATCTGTATCTTGATTTTTCAATATATCAAATTAGGAAAGTAATCAGAACAGGCCATCATATAACCTCAAGGGGTTGGAAATTTGTGGAGAAAATAGGCCGAAAATTGTTAGTCTTGCCTTCCAAGATTGGATAGTGACCCTACCGTATGTAATAATAGCTTATAGAAACCCTGATTAGGCAAGTGTCGAGTGGTTAAGGCGCTACGCAAGTCTAAAGTGATCTTTTCTGATCACTTCCAACACTAACAATAAACAGGTTTAGGATACAACCAGTACCTCCATAGTGGGAAACGGCGCGAGTTCGTCGCTTGCAATTTTTTTTTTTTCACTTCTAATTTCTAATCACAACATATTCCGTCTATACATTAGATTCACAACCAAAACATCAGGCTACTATTATTCCAAGCGGCCTCAGCGACTTCTTCCAAGGCGACACCCTTCAACCCCGCCACAACCAATCCCACACGCTCCATGAAACAACTTTCATTGCGTGTCTTGACCATTTGCCCCAGTATAAACTTGTTATGTTTCCGACTCGCCGGCAAAGGCCTCGCAGTTTCCAAGTAAACCGCGATTTTGGGGTCATTAGACAGCACCTCGCACCAGGGCGCGTCAGTCTCCAGTTGCAACTTGTCCAAAGGAATATTCCTAACCATTTCCAATTGTTCATCCGTCCGGAACGAGACACCGTTGACACTAATCTCAAGACCCAGTTCCACAAGCTGGAGCATCTCCCCTTCGTCCCCGCAAAAGAATGCACCAGCCCGCCACGCGGCAGTCTCGGCAAGAAAGGCTTGATGATAGAAATGAAATCCTCAGCTGATTCACGGACATGCAAGAACAGCGGTAATTGAAATTGCACGGCCAGCTCCAATTGCTCGCGGAATGCGCGCTGCTGCGTTTCCTTATCGGCCCGATCCAGGTACTCATAGTCCAACCCGATTTCCCCAAACGCGGCTAGGGGCGACGGCGTCTCGGCTAGAAGACTTTCGCCCAGTTCGCGCAGCGAGTTGAGATATTCTGATTCCGGCTGTTCGTAGATCTCGGCGGCGTGGTATGGATGCACGCCCAAGGTCATTTTGCACATATCCGGGAACTCCCTCACTGCCTGCAGGTTTTGTTTTGCGCCTTTCAGATTCATGGTGGTGAGCATGATCTTTTCACAGCCATGGTCTCGGGCTCTTTTTAGGACTTCTGCAAAATCTGGTTCGTGATATTGCTTTCCTCGGTAGATGCCTTGGAATTGGTCTGCAGTGAATGTGACGGCAACCTGTCACCAGTCTTAGTTAAATTTCTAGAAAAAACGGAAAAAATTTACTCACGTCGAAGAACTTCATTGTCATTATTGGGGTGGGATCTCGCAATGGAAAGAAAAGGAAAAGTCTTAATCGTGGGTTTAGCGTTCTTGGCGGGTTCCAACCAAATGGGGCTGATATATATTGGCAATCGTAAAATTTATGAGGCTCGGCAATGGAATGCTAACCAGCGGGCTCTACACAGTTTTGAAGTAGATCTGCAATTCAAATGATGTTCACAGGTTGTTTACTTGACAGAACAACAGGGAAATGTACCGATGTCGGCGAAAGTGGGGTGGGGTTGTTTTTCTCCTGTGAAGCCCCGAGGGGTAAAAGGCGAGATATATCCATGAATATTTTATAATGCATCTATATGACTATCAATTAGTGGTAACCTTGATTTCCCCGATTTCCCCTGACGCCGTTCCCGCAAGGACACCAGTTCCAATGATCCCGCCATCACTGGCCTCTCGCAAGAAGACACTCCTTCCTCCTACTTGAGGACCAGCCCGCAGTAGAAGTCGATCAATATATCTCTGTACATTTTCTTTATAGTGAGGATAGTGTTGAATCACTCCACCCGAGAAGGCCACCGCGAGCTCCTCGGGCCCGCTATTCCAACCTGGCGTTGACGATGGGACTGACTCGGAGTCCGTTTCCTCAGTAGCCCTAGTATCCGTATTGAATTTTTCCTCATTGACGCGCTTGGGCGCCTTGTTGCACAATTGAACTTCATCGATGCAGTCTAGGAGACCAACAACCGCAGAAGCCACCAAAGAAGCCGCTCGATCCTGCACGGCCGAGGCAATGGCCCGAACATCACGGGCATATTCAGGCGACCAAGTCCAATCACTCTCAGGAGATGGTTGAAGTGTCTTGGACAACTCGCTTGCTAAGCGCTCATCGGACAGAGAAGAGGCAACAACAAGGGAGAGGTAGTCCGTTGAAAGGGAATATTCCTCAACCAACTTCAGCGGTAACTTAGAGCGTTGTATCCCCAAAACTCCATGGAACCAATCATAACACACGATGCGGACAAGCTCGCCAGTGTAACCACCGCCGACCATATATTCCATTGGTTGGAAACCAGGTCTTTTGCAATTTTTATCCAGCTGAAGGTCCCATTTCGTTCGAATGCCAAGCTCGTCGAACGAAGCCGCCGCAGTGGAGAGAGTCCATTCTGTCGAGATGAGTGTTTCCTGTGCGTCGGGGTGTTTCTCAAGAATGCTTTTAGTTTTGGATTCATGCAAGTCGGCAAGTTTCATAGGCACGGTGGCGTTGCATCCCGCGCCCACGATCAGGCCCATAACAACACGCGTGTTAGGCAAGGAAGGGATAGAGTACGCCAATGAAGCAAGGGTTGCTGTCGTGTCATTGATCATGACAGCGACTTTCAATTTAGGAAGAGAAAACAGCCTGCGACGCTTAGCAGGCATGTTCATTTCATCTCCGTGAGTTGAATATGTGTGGCGTGCATATCCATTCAGCAGGGCTTGGCGGAGATTGAGATCTGAGTTTAGAGAAAGACCTTTCCCTGTTGGCATCAAGATAGCTTCATCGAGGGAATCTTGTCTACAATAGATTAGTCGCAGAAACAAACAGCCAAGTCTGGGGCCGAACTATACTTTATAGGAAGACAGAAGGAAATGCCTGTTGTTATTTGGTCAATCCGCTCTTCACTTGGGTTGGCCAGTCTGTCTGCCACGACCTCGGCGATACAGTCTCCAATCCATGTAAAGAGATCAATAGAATGATCCTTTCGTAGATGCTCGGAAATAGGCCATGCCTTCTCTAATGTGCGTCGTACGCGCGCATGTCCTTCAACTTGTTGATCTCCTAGGAGATCGATGAAGGCCACACGAAGGTAGTATAGACCAAAATAGACAGCAAGATAGCGTCCTGTTTCATGACCTGTTGGAAGACGTGTAAGAGCCGTTGGAATGAAGTGTTCTGAAGATTCCGCGGCCAATTTTTTATAAGACGATGACAGCCGGCAGGATAAATCATACAAGGTCTCAAGTTCGACCCGGAGGGGCTGAAGAAACTCCTTTAAACTAGGCTTTTTGGGGGGAGATCAGCGAGGTTGCCATTTCAACTCGAAAATGCTGACGTGACGTGGTTTTGCCTAAGATGGAAAGGTTGAAGTCTTGGAGACATCCGAGGTCGGGGTAAACACGCGCTGATGGAATACCACCACGTGACCGGAGTTTACTATATTTCTTATGTTACTTTTTATGATTTAAAACATTTGGAGATTGACAGGATTCGACGGTATATACTTCTGCTTCTACCTTGACGTCCCTGCTGCTTTTTATATCATCACTTGGCCTTTAGGGTTGTATGTTAGCCACGGAATGCTGCTGTTGAACTTCCACTATGATTATTAGACGTATTAATTAGATGTGAATATAGGATTTATAGACTTAGGAACGGACGTACTAAAACTGGAACAAGATATAACTCATAAACCATGTTCATAGGCAAGGATAGCTCTATAAATCTACACATATAGGATATCGGGGTTACATTCGCCAGTTGTTTCCCCCGCATGATTACATGTCTCATATACCCCTCAATCTCACGAGCCTTATTCTCACCTGGAACTTTTCTGTCTTTAGAGGTGTCACTATAGAAATGAACAGAAGTGCAAGCTCGAGCCCACGCGCATCTTGGACACCATCGCCAAGCGAACCTACCGGATACCAATATACGCCCGAAGCAACGCCTTCGGAGACCGATGACACTCCTCCTTTGCATGCAGTAAACGTCGCACCAAGATGGAACGAGTCGAAAACAACCATATGGAAGGTGACTGCCACGTTTTGGTGTGCATTTGTGATGGGGTCCAATGATGCTGCATATGGAGCAATCATTCCCTATGTTTGTGTCACCAACTCAGCTTTACTTGATACTTGCTGTATACAATAGCTGACCATCCTGTTTGAACTTTTCAGCTAGAGGCTTACTATCAGAAAAGCTACACGGTCGTTTCCCTAGTGTTCCTTTCGCCTTTTGTGGGATATACTGTGTCCGCTATCCTGAGCAACCTAGTTCATCAGACCCTCGGCAGACGAGGAATCACAATAATTGCTCCGACTTGCCATGCGATTGCATTTGCAGTCATATCAGTCCACCCACCCTTTCCTGTACTGGTGATTATGTATGTTCTGGTTGGCTTGGGGAGCGGATTTCACAATGCGGCATGGAATGTATGGATCGGGAACATGGCGAACTCGCATGAAGTGCTCGGTTTCTTCCATGGATTTTATGGCGTGGGAGCTACAATAAGCCCCCTGGTTGCTACGACCCTAATTATCAAAGCCGGATGGGGAATGGTACTGTTATTACTATCTGATGGTATCTAGTTCCTCTCTACAACCACTCGACATCGACAAACTAACGATGACATATAGACCGGAGCAGCTGTTATAGCGCTAACTTACTCTACTGCCGCCTTTTGGGCTGAAACTGGGAGCAGATACCAAGAAGAGAATCCCAGTTTCCCTGGCAGAGGAGGAGCATTCTCTCAAACACGTCTTGCCCTTACATATAAGGTCACCTGGATATGCGCCATCTTCCTCTTCCTCTATGGCGGAATCGAGGTAGCAATAGGTGGTTGGATTGTTGTATTCATGACGAATGTCCGACACGGCGACCCATTTGATTCCGGAATGGCAGAGACCGGCTTCTGGCTCGGCATCACAGTCGGTCGATTCGTGCTAGGATTTGTATCACCACGAATCGGAGAAAAGTTGTCCATTGCTATATACATCTTGCTTGCAATTGCTCTTGAGCTCATCTTCTGGCTCGTGCCTGAATTCATCGTGTCCGCGGTTGCGGTTGCATTTGTGGGATTCTTTATGGGGACTATCTTCCCAGGAGTTGTGATCGTAGCGACACGATTGCTACCGAAGAATCTCCACGTTGCTGCTATTGGATTTGCGGCCGCCTTTTCTATGGGTGGTGGTGCTGTTTTCCCTTTCATGATTGGCGCTATTGCTCAGGCCAAGGGGGTGACGGTGCTGCAGCCTATCTTGCTCGCCATGCTGGCTGTGTCATTGGGAATTTGGGCAACGATATTCTGGCTCCCTCAACACGGGTTATCCCATCAAGTCTGAACAGAAAAATAAATAAATAGAAACAGTCGAAGTTCATATCCCTCGGCTGTCGCTTCTAAGCCACAACATCTTGGGTTCTAAGGGCAATGAAGTGTGGGAAGTGGCGAAACCTGGCTGTTATACCTTTCATTTCCCTGGTTTGTTCTTTAATTACACAGCTAAGACTCATGCCACACATGAAGTGAATTATTATTATATTATATCTAACCACATGTCGCTCAATCCGCTTGCTCTTGTACACCATGGAACAACCTAAGCATGCCATGAGCAGCGTGCTCCCCGAGTATATCGAGGGAGCCCATTCCCATCAATTCAAGGACACTGATATCGAACTTAAATGTCGCCTTCCACCACTGTTTTACCTCAATTGCCACGAGAGAGTCCATTCCAAGCTCGGACAAGGAGCAAGACGTCACCAAATCTTCTTCTGGCTTCAACAAGAAGCTAAACACTTTCTTTCCGATTTCCACAGCGAGCAGCTCAGCAGAACCAGGTTGGCCTAGTAGCGCCGCATCACCCTTGGCCTGTGTGATGAAGGTCTCCAGGCCACCGCCAGAAGCAGAGGTCACGGTGGTACCGGCTGTTGCAGCATTATGGAACACCGACATTCGGATGTCCTTCTTCCAGATCAAACGGTTTCTTTGATCGGCGAGAGGGAAGTTGGGACGAATTCCAACGCCGAAGTTGCTTGCATCTAGTCTTGATTTACTTGGCGTAGATGTCATCGCTGCCTCCACCGCGCTCAGCAGCTCGGCTACTGAAACCGTATTGCCCAGGCCACCAGCAGCTTTCAGCTTTTGCAAAATTTCATCCTGCTCGGCAGCATAACCTACCCCCTCGACGATACCGAGAGCGATAGCGCAAGCCGGTAGTTCCAAACTTAACCGGTATCGAGAAAAGGCATCCAAGAACGTGTTGGCACCAGCATAGTTGATCTGACCAGGAAGTCCAAAGACACCAGACACCGAACTGAACAGAACAAAGAAGTCAAGTTCCGCATTGACAGATATCGAAGCATTATGAAGATTCCATGTTCCCTTGACCTTCGGATCAACAGCCGAGTTCCACTCTTCCAGTGTCATGCGTGCAAAACTGCGATCACAAAGCATCATGGACATCTGCAAGATACCGCGAAGCCGGCCTTGAGCCCGTGAGATGGCGGCGGTCACATCTTCGATGTTGGACACGCTACCTTGAACAAAGTCGACGCGGCAATCCATACTGGCAAGCTCTTGGGCAAATTCCCGGTGGGTTTCGCTTGAACCCGCAGTTCGGGAAAGGTATATGAGATGACGAGCTCCACGCTGGACCATCCACGTAGATACAGCCCGGCCAAGACCTCCGAGGCCACCTACGAGCAGGTATGCGCCGGAGCTGTTGAGTTGGATGGGCTTTTTCCGTTGCTGGATATTTTGTACTGCGCTGACCTGACCTGAAGCATCCCGCATTGAAACGACGATCTTTCCTAGATGAGTGCCTTGCTGCATGTAACGGAAGGCGTCGTGGATTCCATCGGAACTAAAGACTTTGATGGGTCGGATAGGAGAGATGTAGCGCTCTCTGAGTAGTTCCACAATTTCCTTCAAAAGCCTGTGTAATATGTCAGTTATCGAATCTTGTACATCTACGTCCCCCTAGTTGATGGTACATACTTCTTTGCAAGGGTCGGCTTTCTGGAACAAATTTGATCCAAGTCGACACAGCAGTAGCTTCGGTTGTCTAAGAAAGGAGTCATGTCAAGTTTTCCAGAGCCAAGCAAGTCTCTCTTGCCAATCTCGACCATCTTTCCGAACGGTGCAATGCATTTCCATGTAGCATGGAGTAGTTCACCAGACAATGAGTTCAATGCCAAATCGACACCCTGTCCATTTGTCTCCCGCATGATATCTTCGACAAACGAGGTATTACGGGACTTGAGGATTCGGTTCCGCGGAAGACCAAATGTGTCCATGAGATACTTAACTTTCTTGTCGTTACCGACAGTTGCGTAAATCTCCGCACCGACCATTTGAGCAAGCTGAATAGTCGCAATGCCAACTCCACCGCAGGCACTATGGATGAGAATGGACTATAAAATGCGTCAAAAGTCGACCTAATAAGTCAGAGGGTTAGGGGCACAAACCTGTCCTTTCTTCAGATTTCCAACGTCGAAGATGGAGTATATTGATGTACTGAATACGCAAGGCATGCTCGCCGCATCATTGAAGCTTAAACCACCTGGGATCTTCTCGCAAAGGTTCTCAGAGAGAACTAATTGTGTCCCAAATAAACAGCTCCCAACGAACATGACGCGGTCACCGACCTTCAGACCTTGAACTTCTGTACCGATGCGACGGACTATGCCAGCGCCTTCATGGCCAAATTCATTGTCTTTCGCTTCAACAATGCCCATAGCACATAAGACATCCTGTGAACTCGTATCAGTATGTGCTATTCCATCCACCCGTTGTCTTCGGACTTACCTTGAAATTCAAACCGGTTGCATACGTGTCGATTTCCACCTCATCTCCTTTCAGAGTCTTGGTATCTTCGTGGGCCCAGTGTAACGCAGCCAAGCGGCCGGGCTTACTCGTTCGAAGAGCCATGCTACCATTTGAACATGACGCCTGTTGCTCATCTTTCAATGAGAATGGATGGTATCGCCCAACTTGGACAGTATTGTCAACAATAGCGTATTCGAATTCAGGCTTGAGCGTTTCGTCCTCCTGGCGGACTTGGAACTTCTCATATACATCGATGAGTTTCTCCAAAGAGACATCGAGATTATCAATTTCGCAAGTAGCAAAGTCGACAAGCAATTCATTGCGAATCGTCCGCGCTATGCCGTTGATCTGAGCAAATCTCGGGTCCTGACATTTGGCTTGTAATAAGCGAGTCAACCAGAGAATACCACATTCATTTAGACTCTCAATCAAGTTCCTGAATGTATCAAAGCGTTGGTTATCCATGTTTTCAAAGAATGGGGCTTCTTCATCAAGCAAGGCAATCACATCTTGTCCGTCAGGCAGAGGCTCTTCGCCAAACCGGGAATGATGAACGGAGTATCCCTGTCTTCTAGCACCTGAAGCAAAGGGCCAACATATCTTGATTCGGAAAGGGTCAAGAGCGTGACGCGCTTCTGAGGTGTGATATCAATTTCCGGTCTGGCCACGATCATGGCGTTCAATTGATATGGATGATCTGAATCCAACACTGCAGCCTCAGGAGTGCGGAATCCAGCTGCCTGGAGTTCTGCAGCCCAGCGTTCAACGCCTATATACGGCTCGTCTGACCGACCGTCAGCATCGCCGTACCACCAACCGGCTAGAGTTCCGAAAGATATAGTTGATCCATTTGGACGTGGGTGTCAATTCGTGGAGCAAGAACCATCCCGTAGGAGAAAGAAGTTTCCGAACGTTACTCAGACTGTCGTTCAAAGATGCAGTGGCGTGGATGACATTAGTGGCCAGAATTAGGTCGTATTTGCGACCATCGAACCCCTGACCTGAGGGATCCTTACTAATGTCGAGAGTAGCGTATTCGATGTTTTGGTAACTGGCAAAGCGATCCTTTGCAGCGACAAAGAATCCAGATGAGATATCAGTGAATGTGTAATTCGTGTACAGCTTCCTGTTCCCAGGTGTCAACAGCTTCAGAAGATTAGCTGTGGACCCGCCGGTTCCCGCACCTATTTCGAGGATACGCAGATTAGGCTTGCTGTGGCTCAATCTCATGATGAACTCGGAAATATCGCACTGATCCATAGCGTTATAGACGTTGGCCAATATGTTATCGGCTAGAAGGAGATCCAGAGCCTCGGCCTCCCCGGTGAAAATCTTCTGGACGTTGTTGAAAACCACCTCAATACCAACAGCAAGATGGGCGCCGTTGGTTTGGGACATTTGGTGAACGAGTTCCTTTACTCGCTGCGCAATGGCAGTATTGTCGAGAATCTGGAAGCTCCGCAAATCCACGCACAGGAGGTGTTGATCAATCCATGATCGATACTTGTGCATGTGGCTGATCGGACTATCCAGTTCTGCAATGGCACGCTGTGTGTAGATCATACAAAGATGGGATAACTCTGTCAAAGTGAGCATGTAGTCACTGCGGTCAATTAATGGCTTGATGAGAGTGTTGATGTCCAGGAAGTCAATATGGGGAGCCCATTCTGCACGAGCAGTGGCGTCGCCTGCTTTGTCAGAGTCCTGACGGTCGAGAACAGAGAGTTTAATTCCAGAACTGCGTAAAGCAACCTTGCCCGCTGCAGTAATACACTGGCTACTACCGACGATAGAGCCGTTCGGGGTGTAAGATGCGGAAGCTTGGACCTGGAGATTCTCATAACAGCGGTAAATGGTTATTTCTTGAATGTGTGTAGGAACCATTATCTTGGTTATCTGCTCGGCATATCCCTTGGAAGCAGCCACACTGAGAAGCTGCAGTGAGGCATCAATGACTGTGGGGTGCAGATGATAGTTCTCCCCATCAGTCTCTTTTGCAACAAGTTCCGAGGTCGCATTCTGCGTACCAGTGTCTGACCGGACATGGTCGAGACGTTGAAATGACGGCCAAAGTTGAGGCCAGACATGGCCATAGAATGGTAGCAACGTTGTGTATTAACCTTGCGCACAAGAGGAGCTTTCTTTTGTATATCTTCAAGGTGTTCGCTATGCGATCTCACCTCGCCCGAGCAGTGTTTGGTCCAACTGGCTCCGTTGTGAGAAGAGATGGTAAATTCCCACCATTCACTGTCGAGGGAATCAGTCAATCGATGGCGATGTAGTGTTGTCATGATCTCAACTGGTGGGCCTTCATTTAAGACAAGGGCGATGCTGACAATTATATTGCGTAGTTTGAATGCCTCGCTGACTCCGGTAAGCTGTCTCACAGCCTCGCCAATCATTGCAGCATATCCAGCGAAGGGGAAGACAATGTCGTCGCCGACCTTGTGGTCGCGGATCCACGGGGCGTTGTCCAAGTGGAAGAGATTTCGGAAAATAGGATGACAATCAGGACTCTCAGTTACCCGGACACCCAAAAGATCGTGATACTTGTGCTCGCGGTGTCTCCACTCCTTGCTCAGCCGAGACTCGTACCAGAAACTTTTCGAATGATCCCATGGGTACCTTGGAAGATCTGGGAGAGTAGAGCCCTCGATAATGACCTTATCCAGCTTGGAGACAGCATTTAGAACGTACAGCTGCCCAATGGCAGTCAGGAAGGATTCAGTGCTGTCCTGGTTGCGAATGAATGTAGAAATATAAGGGGAAGAAGTGGAAAGATGACACTGGGTCTGTCGTAAAGGACCTGCAAGAGCGGAATGCGGCCCAATTTCAAGTAGCACCATATTCTTCGCAATCTGATGCTTGATTATAGATGAGACAGCCGAGCGGAAGAGCACTGGGGACTGCAGGTTCATCTGCCAGTATTTGGGGCCGAAATTCTGGGCTTCGGTGAACAGCTTGTTCTCGACACTGCTGAAGAACAACTTATTTGGGGTCTTGGGGGATACTTCATGTTCAATCAAAGCATAGTACTCGTCGCCTATCTCAGCCATATGATGTGAATGGTAAGCCTTGTCGACTTTCACCTGCCTAGCCAGGACCTCGGGATGAGCCTCCTTAATCCGGGCAACTGCATTTTCAATAGCATGTGTATCACCAGCGAGGGTAACACTCTTAGGCGAGTTTTCGCAAGCAACGACGACACCAGCCTGTAGGTATTTCTGGACCTCCTCGGTACCCATACCTATAGCCGCCATGGCCCCAGGTTTGATTTGTAGCTTGGTGATTTGACCTCGATAAAACGCAATTGTGATCGCTTCGTTGGCCGTGATGGCACCGGTAGCGTATGCAGCAGCCACTTCGCCACTAGAGTGACCCACGACAGCAGTTGGCTGAACCCCAACGGAAGCGAAAGTGTCGAACAGAGCCACTTGGATTGCCGTGCACATGGGCTGGGAAAACTCGGATGAACCGAGTCGGCTAGTATCTGGGTCTTTCAAGAGTTCTTCTTCAATTCTCCATTCTGGAGCGTGTGTGAGGGTTTGCAAATGTGAGTCAAGATCTTGAATGCTCTTCTTAAATGCGGGATAGACGGGGTTGTGGATCATGGAGCAACCCATTTGTGGCCACTGAGCACCCTGGCCAGTGAAAACCATGACGATGTTTGGTGCCTCGCAAGTTTTTGAGGGCGCTGAAGTCGTGAGCGGACCCAATGGACTTTTCACGGAGAATGCCCGATGAGGCAGATGTTCCCTTCTATTACCTAGTGTGAACGCCAGATCGGCAACTCTGGTTGGGTTCTTCTGGATATAGTCTGTATAGTTGGAGATCATTTGCTTTAGTGAATCAGCATTGTTTGCAGAATAAACAAGCAGCTGCGGCAAAATTGTTTGTCGTGAGGGAATGGGGGAGACGCCGAAGCTCTGAGCAGAATCAAGGACCACATGAGCATTAGTACCTCCAATTCCAAATGAGTTCACACTGATTCGCTCCTTCCGAGCCTCAGGCCATGGCATCGGCTCTGTGGGAACAGAGAGTCCATAGTCATCCCACTGAATATTGGGGTTGGGCTCCTTAAACTTGATATTTGGAGGGATGATACGATTCTCCAGGGCCAGTACCGACTTGATCAGGGATGTGATCCCCGAGGCTCCTTCAGAGTGACCAAGGTTGGGCTTGACAGACCCAATGAGAACACCACCAGAAGGGCCAAAAACCCGGCCCACTGCTCGGGTTTCAATGGGATCTCCAACCTGGGTGCCAGTACCATGACACTCGACAAACGCAGTCTGGGAGTAGTCTGCAATACCTGCCACCTCATATGCACGCCGAATCATGGCTTCGTGGGAAATATCATTAGGAACATGGGTTCCGGTACCAGCACCCCTTCCGTCACTGTTGGATGCTGTCGAACGGATAACCGCTCGAACTGGATTTCCATCCCGGATGGCATCAGCCAGGGGTTTTATGAAGATAGCAGAGATTGCCTCTCCTCGTGCATAGCCATTGGCATCGGCAGAGAAACTTTTGCAAGACCCATCGGGTGAAATCACGCCTTGCTCAGTCATGGCGGCTGTCATGCCTGGTGACATTATCAAGTTGGCGCCGCCAATAATGGCTCCCTCGCAGTCGCCCCTGGAAATCGCCAGACATGCTTCGTGTAGTGCAACAAGGCCTGATGAGCATGCAGTACGCATGACCATGCTGTATTTTTCCCCCCCACTTAGCATTTTCATTCTATTCCAAGATAGAAAGTGTTATAGATGAACTAACCTTGGTCCCGTCAGGTCCATCTCGTATGAAACCCGGTTGGGCAGCATAAAATCTCCATATCCGCTCACTCGATACTGCCCATACTGCTGGGTTTCTTTGCCGTAAAGTTCAAGCCAATCTTCACCAAAGCTGCCCATGTAGCAGCCAATTGGTCGTCCTTTCCAGTTCGTTTCTCCGGCATCTTCCATGCACTCCCTGGCAACCTCCAGCATCTGCCGTTGCTGTGGGTCCATGCGCTCTACCTCCAACTTCCCCATTGTGAAGAAAGATGTATCCACAGAGGCAATGTCAATACTTTCGTCCAGGAAGTATCCATATTCGGTCTTGATACTGCCCGGTTTCTGCGTGTCAGAATAGTATGTGGAGGCATTATATCTGGACTTTGGCACTTTACCACGGGCATCTCCTTTGGCAATCAAGAAGTCCCATAGCTGTTGGGGTGTATGTAGGCCTCCGGGGAGACGTACAGACATGCCACATATCGCGATTGGCTCTGGGGGAACCAAATTCGGTTTAATCTCCTCAGGAGTCATTGTGGGAATTATCAATGTAAAAGGTACTTTGACCTCTGTGGGATTATGAAAAGGACCGGGCCGCCAACGACAGGTACTTATAAATGCCAACACGGAGTGCGAAAGTTCGTAATAACCGTTAGTCCCCATATTAACCCCACCCCGTCTTGGCCCTTAGCTCGAATCATGCAATGATCCAAGTTGCTAGGCTCTAAGACATCCCCAATCAGGACGGAGTACCTCGGGAGTCATTTAGTACACGTATGTATACAGACTATTATCACTATTATCGTGGGGTTCACGCTGTTACGTACACTTGATAAGATCTCATGGGATATCTAGCACCAGAATACCTAGGTAGGTATACCTGTAGGGTCAATAGAACTTCATTGCCTACAACATACGTATGTCCGTAGAGTACGAACTAGATAATCCTTCTGCATACCCACGGACATTATGTTAAGTAAGGTTATGCCATGTCACCAATTGGATTTATTCTTATATTTTGAGCTTTGACAGCACACTAACTACACCTGTTTTGCCTACAGTTCGAGCCGTGCGCTGTCTCGGAGACCTAGAACCCGCTGATCTCTGGGTTCTGGTCCTCGTATCTTTTATAATCAATGCCATTTGTGCAAGCCCCGCCCAGCCATATCCACGTTCAATCCTTGGGGAAGCGGTGTGTATGCTCAAGGCTACTTTGGGAAACTGAAAGGATACTATGGAGTACATGTAGTACCAGACGGGTGGTTGATGTGGACTCTGGACGCAGATCCGTACATATGTACGTCCCTCGGATCAATCGGGTACATATGTAGACAATTGGCTTCCCATTGAGACATTGTATGCGTAGGAAATATAACAGAAACTTCGTTGCATATTGTACAACGTTGTACATAATATAGCCCTTGCAGACAAAACCGTTGTACGATCGGCGAATTTTCTACAATGACATTATGATGTGTCCAATATAAAATGATAGCGGAGCACATGTGCAGGCACTCTAGTTATTCAGGGGGGGGGGGAAGCCGTTCCACTTCCTGCAAGTGAAAGAGGTTCGTGCGGCCTTTACCTAATCTGACAGGTGGACTTCCTCGGAAGGTTGCATATGGCCCCGGGGGGAATGGATTTCCTGCATTGTTGTATATTACAATTATTATAGACCAGGAATGTCCAGCCTTGAAGATATTACAGAGATGAATTTATATCGAATTGATATTTTGATGATGTTGGGGAGGTTAAATAGGTTAATTAGGTTAACGAGGTCATAAAGTTGGTAGGGTTGATAGGTTCGGTGAGCTGCGGTGAGTCGCGTCAATTAGCGCGTGGAATATCCCGAACTCCTCCAAACCCCAACACTCATTGACATACCTCCAAAAGTCCGCTGAATGTGTCGGTCTTTCACTCGGGTGCTACAGGGTCTGTCTATCCGTGTCCATTCCTTGGAAACTAGCCAAAAGGTTCGACATACGTCATTGATCCCTGAATCCGTTCCTGTGGCGAGAACCAGATCGCTCGCCCCAATCCACAATGCCCATCATGCGGCTCACCATGTTCTGCGCTTCTCGTATTCCTCGTTTAAAAAGGTTGCGCATCCCCTAAACACATCGAGGTCTACACAGTCACGTGCATATTCGCAGGAGATTGGCAGACATCGTCCAGAAGATATGGTCAGGGCGACTGAGACACCTGGACCGGAGGCGAAGCCGGTGGATATCCTCAATGGAGACATTCCCTTGCCTGCTGGTCAGGCAGAAGCTGCATTGGACCCAGAATCAGATGAAGATATCCCCGTTGATCCTGAAGAGCTGAAGGAGGCGCTCGGCCGACCACCTCCGGTGAACAGCAGCTACCTTCCCCTTCCATGGAAAGGCCGATTAGGATATGTGGGTTACGCCGTGCTGGACACGATATACCCCGCCGATGACCCACCGATTCTGACTTGAATAGGCCTGTTTAAATACGTACCTTCGCTATTCAACACCCTCCGTATTCTGTTCTCGAACATGTCGAATCGCCTCTATACTCGAAAATCGACACCCGCTCCAAGACCCCGACCAGCCCACACACCCGACCAAGAATCGTCCAAACCGCGACCAACCAGCCGATGTTGCACGCGGACAAGCCTTCGTCGAGGGGCTGGCCTTGGCGAATGTACGCGATTTGATCAAGGTCATTCGTTGGAACGACAAATATGGCATTAAGTTCATGCGACTAAGCAGTGAGATGTTCCCATTTGCCAGTCACAAGGAATATGGCTATAAGCTGGCGCCCTTCGCCTCGGAGGCGCTGGCAGACGTAGGACGTGTGGTTGCAGAACTTGGACATCGGGTGTCGGTTCACCCTGGCCAATTCACTCAATTTGGATCACCGAGGAAAGAAGTTATCGAGAATTCTGTGCGCGATCTCGAGTATCACTCGGAGATGCTCCAGCTACTCAAACTCCCTCCACAGCAGGACCGGGATGCGGTCATGATCCTTCATATGGGTGGAGTGTTTGGTGATAAGGCCGCCACACTGGATCGGTTCCGAGAGAACTACGCTATGTTGTCACAGGACATCAAGAACCGATTGGTTCTAGAGAATGACGACGTGAGCTGGTCTGTTCACGATCTACTGCCTATCTGCGAGGAGCTCAATATCCCTCTTGTCCTCGACTATCACCACCATAATATCATTTTTGACGCCAATGAGCTCCGAGAAGGCACCGAGGACATCATACCTCTATACGATCGTATATCAGCAACGTGGTCTCGGAAGAATATCACCCAAAAGATGCATTACTCCGAACAAACTGCGTCTGCCATCACCCCGCGCCAACGGCGCAAGCACAGTGCCCGCGTTACTACTTTACCCCCTTGTCCACCTACCATGGATCTGATGATCGAGGCCAAGGACAAAGAACAGGCCGTATTTGAGTTGATGAGAAACTTCAAACTCCCCGGCCACAACCTTGTGAACGAAATAATACCGTTCATGCGCCTCGACGAAAACCAACCATTCAAACCACCCAAAAAGTCCAAGAAGAATGGGGGCTTCGTGGACTTAGAAGGCTCAATACCACCGCCTCGCACCATCCCAGAGGAAGAAGTCGGAATGGGTGGACCTGATGGCAGAGTCTACTGGCCGGAGGGCATGGAAGAATGGCTCCGACCGGCAAAGAAAATCGTGAAGCCTAAAGCTGCACCAAGTCCCAAGAGAAGCGCCTCCAAAAAGGGTAAGATTGAGTCTGTCGCAGATGTTCCCCTAAGTATACCCATCAAGATAGAAACGCCAGTAAAGAAAACAACCAGGGGCACGAAACGCACACCCTCGTCCAGGTCTCGCAAGCGCAAGGCTCCATTGATTGAGTCTACACCAGAGTCGGAAGAGACTGAAAACACCGAAGAGGTTTCAGTGGAAGTGGACAGTGCTCCGGCCTCGATATCACTTTCTCGACGAAGTTCACGTGCGAAGAAAGTCAACTACACCGAGGACAGTGCATAACTGGCACTTGGTAGTTCTTGTATATTAGTATACGATTTATTTCGCAGATATTATCTAAAAAGAGGCTCTATGGCTACATACATATGTATGTAGATTATAGATCAAAATTACATTCGATCAATGCAAAGCGCCTGGGCATCTGCTTCCTGCTTCAATACGGGCTTAACCTGTACACCCGCCACACAACATATTATAGATACATATGTATGAATGAATAGAAGGTTTAATCATTAGATCATTATACCTAGTAATTTAAACATATTAAAAATGAACAAAATACTCGAAAATATAATACTCGCCTAGAATCTTCGGTTGTAACGCGGTGAGAACATCCGAATAATCATCGTCATGGCCGATCTCTTCCCCGCAGGCAATCAACTTTCTGCAGCCTTACTTGACTTGACTTTTCTGATTCGGAATACACTCACCTTCTTCGTATATCATACCACACGAGACCCTGGCGCCTAAATCACGTTTCCGTTGGCCAATCCCCCGGTCGAGGCCCTCTATCTTCAAACGCCCGCCTACCACCCTCTTCCCTTCCTTCCCCCGCGAGCCTCGACCCAGCAGACTCTCGCGTATACTCCGTCTGATCATTGGCGCACACTCAGCCAGACGAGCCCATTCCCGTCTCTGGGGCATCCGGCACGAAACCCTGCCCGCGCTCCGACACCGGGCGCAATCGCGAGTCTATCGAGCGATCGTCCAGCGACAAGCGCGGCTCGCTGCACGCGATAGCAGACTTGGCGGGCGCCTTGTGAATTATCTTCTCGGTACGCAGCGACGATCAAGGCCGTGGAAATCTACTGCACTATCTCCTAGCAGCCTAGCTGCAAGACCCCCGAAGTCGATCCGAGAACCCCGCCACGGACCGAAGGACACAACGATACACCCGATGTCGCAATCTGGACTTTCATCATGGGGCCCAGGGGGGTGGAGATGGTACTGCTGCGCCTGGTAGCCGCCGAAAGAAGGTTTACGAATATTTCAAAGCGGCAAATGAGCTACGCCAGACCTATACCTCGCAATGGTCGGGGCAGAGGAATGATCACGATGAGGACTACTACAATACCCCTGGCGCATTCCCGGATGTGGAAATTGCACGGTCAGGCGATGAGGAGATGGTGGTCTTTCCCAGTTATGCTAGGAAATTGACAGGGAAGAAGAACACCGGGACTAGCCCACGTCCGCGACGTGACTCGTGGTCAGAAACTATCGATGAATACCGGGGTGAAACCCGTGAGGATGATGATATCTCCTCGCCTACTTGGGATGCGACGGAGAGTGAAGATGCAGTCGTGGCCGTTGACGTGCGTGGCTGGATTTACTCTCCTGGGCGGGGACCGATGAGTCGAAAGCACCGGTTGATGATCGCCCTGGCCAGGAAGCTGAGCGGCGTCCCTGCGCCATCTGGAAATGGAAATGATGAAAGTAACGACAAGATCTCCGGGAAGGGAGATGATGAATACATCGACAAGGAGATTCAAACATTAGTCGCCAAGGCTGAGAAGGAAGCAGATCCGGCTTGGAAAGGCTCGAATGCGGAGCAAACACAACAACCCGCTGCGCAATTGAGTAAAGATGAACTATCTATGGCGAATGCCCATCTGATGGAAAGACTTCGTCCATTCTTGACGAATCCCGTTGGGAGCATGCCTGTGACAGTGTTCTTCTTCAACGACAATGAAAGCAAGTCTCGAAACATCATGACGGATGACTCAGGCCATTTTACTCTTCGCGCTACACTGCCCTTTGTGCCAACTCATATTCGCGTACTGGCATCTGAGGACCTGTCTGTCGCAAGGCCGATTGAGGTCATTGACCCGGTTGGAATCAGTTTGATCAGTGATATCGATGATACAGTCAAGCACTCAGCCATTGCTAGTGGAGCGAAAGAGATGTTCCGCAACACCTTCATCCGTGAATTGGACGAACTTACAGTCGAAGGAGTCAGCGACTGGTACTGCAAACTGGCCAGTGAAGGTGTGCAGATTCACTATGTGTCGAATGCTCCCTGGCAATTGTATCCCCTCCTTGAGCGGTACTTCAAGATGGTGGGATTGCCTCCAGGCTCTTTCCATCTCAAGCAGTACTCGGGCATGCTTCAAGGAATCTTTGAACCCACCGCAGAAAGGAAACGGGGGTCATTAGAACAAATCCTGCGGGACTTCCCAGAACGAAAATTCATTCTCGTCGGCGACAGTGGTGAAGCTGATCTGGAGGTTTACACTGAGATTGTCTTGGCAAACCCTGGCCAGATTCTGGGCATCTTCATTCGTGATGTTACAACCTCAGAAACCCAGAAGTTCTTCGACAAGTCCGTCGGCCATCTTGACCAGTCTAAACGCAGTTACAGTTCACCAAATGTGGTGGACCACTCGGATGCCGCCACCAACAGACCGACGCTGCCGCCTCGAAGTGGTACGGCTGTTGACTCTACAGTTCCCGTAGCCCATCATGAGCCAGACCCAAAGGATCTTGACCTTGAGGACCTGATTGATCTCACAGATCTCATCATTGACGATCAGCCACCTCCAGCAGGGCTTACCCACCCCACCACCCACGGCCACGTCCAGCGAAACCAAACAAGCCATCTGCATTGCGCATGGTTTCTACGCCAGCTGACTTGGCGAAGAGTTCCAAACCATCCTCTCTTCGCAACGTTGCTACACCTTCCGATGTGCCAGAGAAAGACTCGAAGCCGACACCAGAGCCAGATGCCCCCAAGCGCAAACCAGTGCCGCCTGTGCCACCCAGACGTGGAGTGCCCAAGACAGATTCATTGATTGATGTGGACCCCTCGCCTCCAACCTCTCAGAGCAGCGCTGCGATATCATCGAATGAAGCCCCTTCTTCGTGGCTCAAAGGCCTCGATAATGGTTCTGCAGGCGCACAGAGTCAATCGCAAGCTGCACGCGCCAAGCCAGCACCGCCTCGTCCCCCTCCACGTCGCACAAACACCGGATCTTCAACAACCAGTCTAGATCCCAGTGCATCAACTGCATCAACTACGCCGGCTCGGACTCCGGCTCCTGCGAGTGGCATTCAATCATACCCAGCGGCAGCCGCCCAGGCTGCATACCAAGGGTTCCAATATGCAAGCGACCGGCTCAACTTCTCGGGACCTCCCTCTCTACGAAAAACTCCATCAAACCAATCACTTGGAAGGACAGGGTCCAACGAGTCGGGTGTGCCGCCTGTGCCCCTTCCGAATAAGCGTGAGGAGCTTTGGCGACGCCGTTGGGATCGTGCAAGTGAAGTGCTTGAACAGCACGGCGTTGTGCTGGGCAGTTGGCGGGTTGGAAGCGATGCGCAGCCTGTTTGTGCGTGGCTGATGGAGCAGGCAGTGAAAGATATCAAGGCTGCTCGTTCGAAGGGGGATCATTGACGACGTGTAGACATACATGTCAAGATGTGCCCATGGATACACCCCACTTATTGCTCCATCGATTTGAGATATATTTTAGAAACATAGTTGGTATCATTGATCTAACCACGGTCGTGATAGCCTCTATGTACATAGTACATAGAAAGAAGCCTATTCTTTTTGATATCTCCCTATCTGAAACTATATCCATCGTACATGTACTTCATGTTGTGTTGCTTCTTCTTTCCAGGCCTAGTTGACGCTGAAAATGGCTCGTACCGATCGCACTTGGGCACGTCCACGGTGGGTCGTAGGACGTTATAACCCCCTTGATGATTATTATTCAACAGCTTGCCCTTGCGAAAATATCAATTGTACATCGTACGCGAGATCAGTAATCGGAATCTGATCCCGAGGTCCCTGTTGGTAGGGGCTGGGGGTTGCAGCCAAGAAACCGACGATGCTGACATCACAAATTCTCGGGCCTCGGCTCAATTTGAAACAGCAGTTGCATGATTGGCGACTTATAATCTGGGGTAGCCCCCCATTCTCCCTCCCTTTATCCCTACAAAAACATGCCATCAGAAACTCTCACGCGTGCGGAAGTCGCGAAGCACAACACCGAGGATTCCCTCTGGTGCATCATCGACCACCAAGTCTATGATCTGACAGATTTCGTCGACGCCCACCCCGGCGGTGGCGTCGTGCTTGCTCAGGTAGCTGGCAAGGATGCAACATCCGATTTCTACAACCTGCACCGCCAGGAGGTGCTGGAGAAATACCGTGACCAGCTTTGCATTGGTGTCGTCGAAGGCGAAAAGCCTGAGGTCATCCTGCCCTTCCCTGGAGCTTTGAGCCCTGTTCCCTACGCAGAACCCCTATGGCTGCGACCCCAGTTCAAGTCACCCTACTACAAGGAGACCCACCGACGCCTGCAAAAGGCCATCCGGGAATTCACGGATAAATACGTGACGCCCGAAGCGCAAGAGAAGGAGCAGGATGGCAGCTACATCAGTCAAGAGCTGATCAACCGCATGGCCGAGACGAATATCCTGGCTATGCGGCTGGGTCCTGGAAAGCATCTGCACGGCCGCACCTTGCTCGGTGGAGTTGTGGATCCAAAGGAGTTTGATTATCTTCATGATATGATCATAGTACAGGAGTTGGTCCGTGCCAATGCCAGAGGCTTCCAGGATGGCAATATGGCCGGTATGGCTATTAGTTTGACGGCTGTACAGCAATGGTTGCATGACCCTGTACTCAAGGAGCGCCTCAATGACGAGGTCTTGTCGGGCCAGAAGAAGATGTGTTTGGCTATCACGGAGGCCTTTGCTGGTAGCGATGTGGCGGGTCTGAAGACTACTGCTGAGAAGACTCCTGATGGGAAACATTATATTGTCAACGGAACAAAGTCAGTGTCACATTTGTTGGTTTAATAAGTAATTTGCGCTGACTATGTCTAGGAAATGGATCACAAACGGCATGTTCGCTGACTACTTTGTCACTGGCTGCCGTACCGAGAAGGGATTCTCAGTGCTCTTGATTCCTCGCGGCGAGGGTGTGGAGACCAAGCAAATCAAGACCTCATATTCGACTGCTGCTGCTACTGCTTTCGTGGAGTTTGAGAACGTCAAGGTCCCGGTTCAGAACCTCCTAGGCGAGGAGCACAAGGGTTTCATCGTTATCATGAGCAATTTCAACCACGAGCGCTTTATGATGGTCGCTGCAGTCGTCCGCATGTCAATGATGGTTGTGGAAGAGACCATGAAATGGTCTAACCAGCGCATCGTCTTTGGCAAGAAGTTGATTGAACAACCAGTTATTCGCCAAAAGTAAGTCTTTTAATCATTCACTGCCGATATTCTCTTCTAACACTCGACAGGATTGCTCGCATGATCTCTCTCGCCGAATCTAACCAGGCATGGCTTGAATCCATCGCCTACCAGATGTGCAACATGACATACGCCCAGCAAGCGAAGCTTCTGGGTGGACCTATCGGACTGCTCAAGTCACACTCTACCCAAGCCGCAGGTGAGATTGCCAGCCTCGCTACGAACATCTTTGGTGGTCGTGGCCTCACTCAGTCGGGAATGGGCAAGGTGATCGAGATGTTCCATCGCACTTACAAGTTCGATGCCATCTTAGGTGGAACTGAGGAGATTTTGGCAGATTTGGGAGTGCGGCAGGCAATGAAGGATTTCCCTAAGTCGATGTTATAGAGTGGCAGTATATTGAGCGAATGTATCAATCGAATTATTTCATTCAACATAACAGTGCTATGTTTTTGTATACACTGGCAGCTCTCCGCTTGGCCAAAAATAGAAAAAGGCAAGTGGGGCAGATAGCTGGAGCGGGGGATCTTTGTCCCGACGCCACAGCTTTCCCAAGGCAGCTAGCTCCAGGTGAAGGCATCAGCGAGCCGCATCATCATCTCCCAAGATATTCCATATTCTCTGTCATCCAGCATTTCACGTCTGAAATAAGCAAAATCTATCAAAAATGGTTCCAGCCGATGCCTTTCACGAGGCTAATATCCTCGACCTTGCTGTGAGAGCTATCCAGCCCGCAGGTGACAGACAGCCGAGTCTCAACACACCATATGAGGCTGTGGCTCTGATCGGCCATGCATGCATGGTGGCACTTGATTTCAGACTGGTTGGACTCGGCGAAGAGCACAACTTAGGTATGTCAAGTCTGTTTCGATCGCATTGGTGAACTCTTATTAATATTCTCCAGAATCATCTACAATTACACCTTCCCTCCCCACAGAATGGAACGCTAACGATACATTTGCCTTTCGGTACACACATGCGCAGTCTTCGACAGAGTATCTACTCAAAGTGAGTCGGCTGGGAAATAACGCAGTGATCTTTGCACTGGCCTTGGGAGATGACCGGACCAGCTCGTTTGACATCCCCGTCAAAAATTACGTCTCCGCCTCTGCATTCCCACTATCTTCCTCGGACAATATCCCTGCGTCTCTGCGAGAGGCTTTCATCTCGCCACCTGGTCTCAGGCGACTTGGTCAGTTTATTCAGAGTCAACGTCATCCAGAAACTCGCGCCCGGTTTGTACAAAGAGGGGTATGAAGATACAACGCAGCCGCCCAGAGCAAGGCCACAAGAAGGACAGCCGGATATTCGCCAAGATGGCACACTCCCCGAGCCTGCTCGTCCACGTCCGTTTGATGATCCCCTAGCGGCAGCTCCCCAACGCTCCAACCCACCAGACTTTGCCCCGCCCGGGTTCGAAGATGAGCATCAGATGAACCGGCCCCCGCAACGATATCCAGGAGGACTTGGAGGAAGAAGTCCGTACAACATTGGAGAACGAGATCTTTACCCAGCAGGACTTGGTCCCAATGATCCTTTGCGCGGATCTATGGGCCCTGGCTTTGGTCCAAGTGGCGGGGGTATGCATCCTACCTTTGATGACCCTCTCTTCGGCGGACAAGGAGGATCAGGTAATGGTGGATATGACCCCCGTGTACCACCAGGTGCCAGATATGATCCCGTAGGACCTGGTGAGCCACCTGCTGGTCGTAATCGAGGGCCGTTCGGTAATAATGGACAAGGTGGGGGTGGGTTTGGTGGGTTTGGTGGTGGATTTGGCGGGGGTATTATCTAACGAGTGATGAGAAAGGCAGGCTACTATGGATGAAGAAGACGACGATTCTTTGTTCCTTGGCACAAATCTATTTCGAAATTGACAAGAATATCAAGAAGCTACAGTCATACCCTAATGGCCCGTTTTGATGTGTTTTCCCCGTACCTTTTGGGTCCATTGTGTGGAATATCTCCCTATACACGTATTGTATTGTCTGCCCAAATGTCCAACACAAACCAACAAAGATATAACCCCATTGGCTCTACGTAACTATACAATGGTGCCCAGGTGAAGTTGATAATTACGTAGGCAACCTTGGAGAAAGCGGTGTGTGGCTGAAGTGTGGCGCATCTGTTCACCACTCTCAACTTGACCTTCCCGAACTCCCATCTCTTCTCCCTTTCTCGCGTTCCCAAGTCCCATCCCCTTATCCCTTGAATCAATCTTGGGAAGTTGTCTTTTAATTGAATTTCCATCTGGAGCGTAATTATCCCACATATTTCCCAACCCCCACGATACCTCCGCCCATCCACGAATTCCGTTGTTTTCTCACGAGACCGCCCCTCCCCAGCTGGCCCCTCCTTTTCAGCCAGCTGAGCATACCGACGCAATGGATAACAACATGGAGATCGATACTGCGCGGTCCCCCGAGCCACACCACCTGTCGCCAGTAAACGACCCCGGGTCCATACCGACTCTGGACGGCTGGATCGAGAGTTTGATGACTTGCAAGCAATTAGCGGAGGAGGACGTGCGGCGGCTGTGCGATCGGGTGGGTTTCTTGTTTTGACAGATTGATAATGATGAGTTCGAGTTTGCTCATTTCTGTGTCTTCCAGGCAAGAGAGGTATTGCAGGAGGAATCCAATGTGCAGCCAGTGGTATGTCGTTTCTCGGTCGGGTTGTTGTCCTGCCCGCCCAACCCACTGACCTATTCGAACAGAAATGCCCAGTGACAGTCTGCGGTGACATACACGGACAATTCCATGACTTAATGGAGCTTTTCCGCATTGGCGGTCCTAACCCGGATACAAACTACCTCTTCATGGGTAAGTGGACGTCGGTCGGATGAACGCGTTGTGGGGTAATGTTTTTTAATTTTTTTTTTTCTTGATATAGGTGACTACGTCGACCGTGGTTACTACTCAGTTGAGACAGTGACCCTCCTGGTCTCCCTGAAGATCCGTTACCCGCAGCGTATTACCATCCTCCGTGGAAACCACGAGTCCCGACAGATCACACAGGTCTACGGATTCTATGACGAATGTCTCCGCAAATATGGCAATGCCAACGTGTGGAAATACTTCACCGACCTTTTCGACTACCTTCCCCTCACTGCTCTCATCGAAAACCAGATTTTCTGTCTTCACGGTGGACTGAGTCCGTCCATTGACACTCTCGACAACATCCGGTCGCTTGATCGTATTCAAGAAGTTCCCCACGAAGGACCCATGTGTGATTTGCTCTGGAGTGATCCCGATGACCGATGTGGATGGGGAATCTCTCCCCGTGGTGCTGGATACACGTTCGGGCAGGACATTTCCGAAGCCTTCAACCACAACAACGGCTTGACTCTGGTGGCACGTGCCCATCAATTGGTGATGGAAGGATATAACTGGTCGCAGGATCGGAACGTGGTCACTATTTTCTCAGGTATGTTTTTCGTCGCTAGACACCTGATGGAGCAAAGCACTAACCGGACTACAGCACCAAATTACTGTTACCGCTGCGGCAACCAGGCCGCCATTATGGAGATTGACGAGCATTTGAAATACACATTGTGAGCACTCCTGGTTTATCATTTCTTGGATCTCCTACTGACATGATCTAGCCTACAATTCGACCCTTGCCCCCGAGCGGGAGAACCTATGGTATCGAGACGCACACCTGACTATTTCCTTTGATAGATTTCATTTTTGTCCTTCGAGAGGCAATTGGACTGGCGGAGAATGGGGGTTGCAATCGAACAGGGCTCTCGCCTATTTAATTCTGTATGGTTCGATGCCTGGCCACTTGTTGATACCAATCATGAAAATAAAAGACCATTTGCAAGACCCAGTTCCATGAGACTATAGGAATACCCAGGGTATATTTCTGTTTGGTGATTAATACATTTCTCTGGTTAATTGAGGTAACAGGGCTCCCGTGGTATTGCTAAACTGGGATATACGCATAAAGGCTTAACGTCATTCCCTTGCTGAACTGGCACTAGATGATATCCCTGCCTGCAGCTCTATAAGCCAGAAGTTCCCTCGAGATGAGAAATCTACCTCATCATTGCTTGGTGTCTTCTTAGGGCCCGGTTTCTTCTGCCATAAACAAAGTCTGTCCTCTGAGCAGTCGTCCCCCAAGGCATTGCGAGTCGAATATCAGCAGCCCGTTAAAAGTCCACGGGCATCAAACGGCCGCCTGGACCTTCTCGAACAAGGCTCTGATTGAACGGGCCAACGGGGGATAGTTCATGTTCTGATGGTCTAGAACTGATGGCCTAAAGAACCCAGCTCTGGAGGATCTAGGGATATGCGCATCAACCCCTCTCGAATGAGTGCTATATCGACCTGGAAAGCGGCTCTTCCGGTTCTTGAACACATGACGGAATGCGTCACAATCACCAACAACCAACACTTCTAGTCCTCACGATGACTATCCGTGGAATACACAAATTCGAGGATACACACGGCTATGTCTGGGAGGTCAATCAGCTGATTATACTAAAATTGTCGATATATAAAAATCCCTCCGTCAGGGTTTCCCACATCATATGGAGCGATAACACTCTCACTGAAATGTTCTGCGTCGCCAGCTCACTGTGATTAAACATTGCCATATCAGCATATTGAAGCCACTCATCAGGTCTCGCTGATGGAGATAGGTAGCCAGCATTGTCTTTTAAGTTCATGATTTCGTTGATTGTCTGTCATAAATTATATTATACATAGAAGATGGTTTTTCCCGTTAATGATATATACACATTAGCACAGCCTGTCAGCTCAAATGATGTACGCCTTATAATGCAATGCAGATCTCTCGAATTATTCGTTTCTTCGGTCAGCCCTTCAAAGACACGCTGCTACCCGCACTCTCGATATCCTTTTCACCATGAGCCGGAAGAGAAGTTCCATTCTGAGCAGCTTGCGCGTTCTCCTGACTACCCTCATCTCGTCTGTAGTGACGCACTTTCGAGCTGCCGTTCGGAACCCAGAATCGCTGGTCAACACGGCCGACGAAGAAGATGACCACGACCAAAAAATCCAAAGTGAAGTTAAAGATATAGAAGCAGGTCTTGCTGTGATACCAGGCTGGGTCAGTGACAGGACGAGGTGACATCCAAGAGGTACCGGCACGGAAAGATGCACCAAGACAAAGCAAACAGCTAACAAGTCCAACGAGAAAGACCTTGACAACCCAGCTACCGGAACCAACCTCTTGAATTCGCTTTCTGTTCGGAGACAAAAGAACAAGCAAGAGAAGAGGAAGCGGCAGGAACGATATGATAGAGAAGTAAGTCTGACCGTAGAGCTGGATATCGCGATCGATGCGAAGGGTGTTGGCGTTGAGAGTATACGAACTCTGAATAACACAAGTGATGACCATAACGATCGTCACGCCGACGAGAACATATAGAGCTTTGAATGCCCACGATACAGGTCGTGACCAGCCCAGGACTGGGTAGACAGCTCGGAACATACGCTGAGCGTAGAGCAAGTTCAAGATGAAGAGCAGCAACACGCCAGCTGCGACGAAGATGTTTGCTGCGATTGCGAGTCTGATGTTCGTCGGGTGACAGGCCCAGGCGATGCGGATGATGTTTGCGATAATGCGAGACATGCAGAAACCGAATGTTGCGGCTGATGGAATGAATTTGTGGCCTTTTGCGAGATTGCGTCGGAACAGGGTCATGTGGCAGGCGGCGCCGGTGATGAAAAGGGCGAGGAAGACGGAGCATATTGGGATATCGAGGGTGATTGTTGGTCGGCCTCCCACTGAGGCTGTTCTAGGCATATAGGGTCCTCCCATTTTCTAGGGTTGTTAGGGTTTGGCTGTAGGATAGAGGGCTGGAGTACACACTTTGGTGTTTAGATATATTTCCTTCGATTAAGAATTTAATACTGTTAGAGATTCGTTTCTTTCTCTTTTTGGACTGAAGCTGCGGAATAGTTGGGGAGAAAGTATAGTTACAGCATATGTACGAATGGCCTCGCAAGTCTTATATTTTAGTTCAGTCAACAAGCTTCTAAATTCTCCTTCCAAAAAAAATCCAAAACCTCGCAGATCGGGCTCCATTTGACGCGATAAAGTGACGATTCCCTCGTATTCAGTCAAATTTAACACCCAAAGGTGAATCCGAGCTGTCGGTGTCGGTCCCTCGCTCTCCGGATTCGCCTGGACGGAGGCCGAAGCGCCGACCACCGATCTACGAAGGGGATAGCGTTCAGGTCCAACGAATTTGGTGAATGCCTGGATTGGGCCAGAAAAATAAGTAACTGCTAGTCCCCTTATCGCCGATCGAACCAACCTCGAAGGAATTCCGTGTTCCAGTTCGGGGAAGCTCAAAAAGAAAGGAGTATATCGGGCCGATGGCCACAATCGTAGGGCTGAAGCCCTCGAAGACAGTACCTGATATAGGGCCCCTGGAAGTTGTTGATTATAGTGTGTATGTTATATGTTTTCTTTTCCACGTGGAAGTCAAGATGCTCAGATGAATCTTTGAAACAGTTGGAAGGCGATCAATTCTGTACCTAATAACTTTGTGTAGGCTTCGCTAAGCGTCTATACTCACCTTTTGATTCGATAAAGAAGTGAAGTGACATTCTCCCGGAGTACGTAGGCACTAGGTAACTTCGGGAGATGATTGCATACAAATGCTCCATATGAAGTCTTATATCCCGAGCCAAGGGGACCTGTCAGGATATACTTACCTGGGTAAGGGTCTAATGAACTTTAAAGTAGAAACGATATGTCGTAGTACGTTACACTAAGTTCGTGTTTTATGAGTTTTGTGGAGAAGAGTATAAGTCCATTATACAGTTATAGCTAATTTAATATCGTATATGCCGAAAACTAAGTGGGAGGCTTGCAGTTGTTCATCTTTTCTGCACACGAGCCTAAATATAACAAAATCTTAGGATAATTTCCCCAGGTAAGATTCAAATCAGCTAATATAAGGAAGTATGTGGCTGAAAGGGGAAAAGGCGGGATAAGCATAATATATTTCCTGGATGCATGTTGACGGCACTTTTTAGCTGTTGTGTAACCCTCCACTGCACTCTAAACCAACCATCTATCAACCATATGGTTTCAAATAGGACATTGGGATGTAGCCGTCATCCTCATTGCGCAATGTGTCTATATGTGTAACTTCATGTGTAACAGTACATCTCATACCTTGACTTGTGGATATCGAATGATCCCAAGAACTTGTATATATATAAACGGACTGCTATATTTCAAACAGTACTTAAACGCCACAAAATTTGAAAGCAATATCTTAAGATTACATTGTTCATAATCTAGTGATGACAGTCCCTCAATCATCTTCCAAGGATGCTCCAAGTCCCCCGGAAACAGTCTTAGTGACAGGAGGTTCCGGCTTCCTGGCATCCCATGTCGTCCGCGAGCTATTACGACAAGGCTATTCCGTGCGAGTGACTGTTAGATCCGAGGCTATGGTAAAGAAAGTGCTCCAAGCGCATGCTCCAGATAGTCAACGGCTCTCATACGTTCTCGTTCCAGACATGACCGTCCCGGGTGCGTACGACACGGCTGTGCAAGGTGTCACCGGGGTATTTCATATATCTTCGCCCTATACATTTACCACGACAGACAACGCCAACGACCTTCTCATCCCAGCCATATCCGGGACTCGCGGTATCTTGCAGTCCATTAAAAAACACGGCCCAGATGTCAAGCGGGTTGTGTTGACGTCGTCCGGAGCCGCGATGATCGATCCGATTCGTGGCTTCGACCGTGATCATCTTTATACCGAAGATGACTGGGCCAAAACAACCTGGGATGAGGCAGTCAAGGGGTCGGGAGTTGTCGGATATGTTGCTAGCAAGCAGTTTGCTGAGAGGACGGCATGGGATTTCATGGAAAACGAGCAGCCTTCTTTCGACCTCGTTGCTATTTGTCCTCCGATGATCGTACGTTCTGTAATTCCCGTCTGATTCTACCCACTAAGTGAGATCTAGTTCGGTCCGATTATCATCCCTACCAGCGATATATCCGCCAACCCCTCTCTTGCCTCTGTGTACGAACTCATGGATGCAAAGTTAGAATCCCCGGGAGAGACGCCTTTCCCTTTCTGTGTTGATGTCAGAGATGCGGCTAAAGCTCATGTCAGAGCTTACGAAACAGCTATCGCCTCTAATCAGAGATATCTGACTGTGTCCAGCACTTACTCTCAGCAGCAGTTTGTTGATATCATGAGGAAACACTTCCCCTCTCTTGAGGGGCGCCTCCCTGCTGGAAGGACTGAGGAGGGTGAGGCAGCTGGTGGGGATAACAGAAAGTCGATTAGAGACCTTGGGTTTGCCCCGAGGGGCCTTGAGGAGATGGTCGTGGACACTGTGAATCGGTTGTTGGAAATTGAGAATATTGGACACAGAACTATTAGGTAAAAGTGATGCCCTGCACTTTTTATTTCGGATATAGGAACTTTGTCGTGGACCTCCACAATAACACATCTCTTGAAATCGTCTTCCCCTGTTAGTTTCTGTTAGACCGAGGGAGCTACTATATCCAGGGACCAATGCTGGAGTAAATTTTGTCCATGAGACTGTCATAGTTGACCTATGAAATTATGAAGTATATATACAGGGTAAATCCCTTTGTTCGGCTCTGGAAACTCATTGAACAGGGGCGCTCTCCATCAATTGGGCCTCATTTACTGAGTCGACTGGTTTATTCAAGATCCAGCCACCCACGAACAATAGGATTGGAATAGATGATACGCCAGCTATCAACCCTAACGCCCATCCCATTGCCCCCCAGCCAGCCTCCTGACGAATAAAGCCCGCAAAGAATGGCCCGATCAGACTGCCAGCCGCAAAGCCCATGTTCGACAGCCCAAAAGCTAGAGCCATAGCCCCACCGCGACCAAAGATATCAGGAGTTTTATCTTCCTTCTCCTTCACAGCAAAGAAGACCTCCGTAATGAGAGGCGGCATAGCCACCGCAAAGCACAGCCCAACACAAGCCAGGAGGGCACATAGGAGAATCTTGTGCTGCATCGATTTATCCGCGACAAAGCGCAGAAGCACCATCACAGGAACGGAAGCGAGGAATGCCCCTGCGGCGAGGTAACGACATGACTTGGGGTATTTGTCAATAATGAACCCTGTCACTGGGTCTAAGACGTGTGGCACCATGAGGGGGGATGAAGATTAGTCCCTGGCCACTTTGCTGCCATCCGAATGTCCCTTGCACGAAGAGTGGAAGGACACTATCAAATGAGGTCAGAACGATTGATAAGATGAAGTATCCCCAGACGGACACGACGAGTCGAGGGGAGCTCAATAAAATGGTGACACGCTCGAGCGCATTGCGCGAGGGGGGGCGAAGGCGTCTGGGATTCAACGGGCTCAGAGCCATTGGCCGGTAAGCCGGGAGGTCCAGAGATTTCACCCGACTTCTTTTCCGTGGATTGCTGTCCATCCACAGACAGCGGTGTCATCTCCGGCGCAAGCCATTTAACAGCATGTCTCCTCTCGATCAACAGCAATCGCAAGATGATATCAAGGCCGATGAAAGCGAAGGCAAGGCCGAAAACAGCATAATACCCACCATCCTCGTAGACAACTCCACCAAGAAGAGGTCCAGCTAGCGTTCCAACACTGATAGCCATGGAGACATAGCCGATAGCTTGGCCGAGGTCGTCTTTCCCGACAGTGTCTACCATCAGTGCCAATCCGGCCGTCCATACCACCGCAGCGGCGGCACCTTGAAACAAGCGACCGACAATCCACAGCGCGATATGAGTGCCGACGCATAGTAGTGCTGTTGCAGCGGCCAGCGCAACGAGACCAACTAGCAATGGCCACCGACGGGACTCGGCTCGATCAGCGATGTACCCGACAACAGGCGCAAATGCCAGTAACGCTGCTGAGTACAGGGCGAGAAGAATTGATGTCCAGCTCTGGATATTGTCCTCTGGGATTCCCACTCTCTCTTTTAATGCGGTTGGTGTGACTGGTACGATGAGACCGTACATGAAGATGTCCGTGCCTGTAGCAAAGGCGACGACGAACATGATGAACCATTTTGATGATCTTAACTCGACGAATTTTGGCCTGCTTTCCTTCTTCTCTTGTGAGAAGGGCCACATCCGTAGCCCCATGGCAAATGGAGGCGTGGTTGAGAGGAATCACAGTCCGCGTGAGCTGGTCAGATCGACCTCACGGGCGAAAATTCACTACCCCTTGGATATCAGAAGTCACCGTAGAGATAAAAATATAAAGAAGATATGTGCAACGTTCGATGAGCTTGATTTAAGATGATCAACTCCATGTGGTAAAGAAAAAGAAGAAATAAGTCTCTGAGTCTCAAAATGGTGTCAGATCGGAGCCCGCGGGCCCCGAGAGTGCAAATCTCCCGAGGTTTCCCTTTTAGGCGTTTGGGATATTTGGGATATTTAATTTACTTAGAAATGGATTGTTCTGATATACAATGTAGGATGTAGCATGTATATATGTCAAGTGACACGATATTTGAAATACGTAGAAATACGCCAGAGTTTCTAATTGAACGGTTGGAATTGCTACTTCACGATCTATACAGGCACAGACTATTGACAGGACACTGAGCAATCAATCACAGACGAGCTTTAGGCGCTTGACTCTTCAGCAAATCCCTCAACTGTCTACGCAGAATCTTCCCACTCGGCGACTTAGGGATTTGCGACAAGACATGGATACCCCCACGCAGACGCTTATGGTTAGCAATGCGCTCATTCAGCCACGCGTGGATTCCATCAAGGACAGCCTTCTGATCCCTGTCCTTAGCCTGCGGACTCAAAACCACAAACCCAACCGGCAGCTCAGTAGCCCTGTCATCCACCCACATTCCAGTCACAGCCGCATCCTCCACGTCAGGGTGGTCGACCAGCTTCCCCTCCAACTCGCTAGGAATGACCTGCAGTCCCTTGTACTTGATCATCTCCTTGATGCGATCCTGGATGGTGACGTACCCATCTCCATCGATGGTGCCGATATCACCCGTGCGGAACCACCTCGTTCCATCCTCGTCCACGTGGAAAGCCTCCTTCGTCGCTTCGTCATTGTTGTAATACCCCATCACCACGTTCGGACCACGACACCAGATTTCCGCAGGCTCGGTGGACCCATCAGCTGTGATGGCTGCGTCTTTCATAGATTCGGGATCCACAAAGCGTAGCTGCATGTTCGGCACAATACAGCCCACGCCCGCGTTCCGTTTATCCATGCGGTCATTCGGGACGGCTGTTGCCATTGGTGAGGTCTCTGTCAGACCCCATGACTGGGTACAGAATACCTCTGTCTTGCAGATCTCTGTGAACTTGGCTTCGAGGGCGGAGGATAATTCAATTGTAAGCGGTGCGGCGGCAGACATGATCTTGCGCACGCTGGTTAGATCGTATTTGGAGACTCGTGGGTCTTTAACCAACATCAGGGCAATGGGCGGCACCACTGCCAACTCGTCTGGTCGGTATTTCTGGATGCAACTGAGGTATAAGTCGAGGTCGAATCTGGGCATGATGACCACTGTTGTACCCCACATCAAGCATTGGCACATGAACAAGTTCAGGCCATAGATGTGGCTGAATGGCAGGAATGCAATGGCGGATTGTCTTCTTGGTCGCTGAGAGGGAAGACCAGATTCTAGCATTTGATGGCGCCATTGCTGGAGGTTTGAGGTGATGTTCTGGTGAGTTGTGATGACACCCTTGGCTGCGCCTGATGTCCCAGAGGAAAAGCAGATGAATGTGGGTTGGCGATCTGCCTCGGCCGGATCGATGGTTAGGAAATCGCCGGGGGCAAATGTACTGGCGAGATAATTGCATGTAGGTTGACCATTTACTGGTGTTTGGCCATCTATCAAGAGGACTTTCTCGACGGATGTCCCTTTGGCTGCCTTTTGGGCAGTCTCCAGCAGAGTTGAATGGACGACGATGAATCTGGCCCCGCTGGTCTTGAGCTGAGCGTTAAGCTCAAGTGCCGTCAAAGCTGCACTGGTCGGTGCAACAATTGCTCTCGAGCCGACAATTGCATGGCATACCACAGGGTAATCGATTGTGTTGGGACTGAACAATGCCACAACATCGTTAGGCTTAAGGCCTATACTTTGCCGAAGCCCGTTGGACAGAGAGCGTGTACGCTGCATCACATCTCCAAAAGTATATTGCTCTCCTGAGACAGCATTGATGTATATAGGCCGGTCCAGGGGCGTGTTGAAAGGATTGGAGAACAGATAAGAGACCAAATCAACAGATTTGATATCCAGATCTGGATATGGTGAACGGTAGATTGTTGGCATTTTGCGTATATCAATTGCACTGAGCTTGACTCCAAATAGACGTTGAGTTAAACCGGAAATGGCCTTAAATAGTAGTAGAATGTATTGATATACACTTCGTACTCTCGGAAGCCAAACTCGGCATTGAGAGCTCCAAACGTGTTCGGTACGGAAGGGTGCCCCGCAATCCGTCCCCGCGTTGTGTTCTGATTGGTCGTAGCTTAATCTTGGTCTCGATGGAGATGCCTTCGGCCCTTGGACTTCCTCGGCTCGACCTGTTTGGATCATTTCGGGTTCTCATAGACGTACCTAGGTAGGTGGGTTTGGAATTGTGTACCTGAGAAAGTAAGCAGCGTGCATGTAATTCTCACCTGGGCACGCTAGCTGCTGCACCTAAGATATTACATAAGACCATTTTAGCACCTGGCACTTGGCCAAAAGATCATAACAATTGAAACATCCGATTGTACGCTGCAGCGGTATACACATCGCGCCCTATATCCACTTAGGGCCGCATGCATTGTCGGACGCAGCCCTGGAATCTATGTGTTTGCTCTGTTTGTCTTCGCCCCCTATCCCATCACAACATTGACAGATACTTCAACATGTACAGAAGCAGAGATTATAGGAGACAAACCGACAGACTCTAACACCTATTGAACATGATCCTCCCTGGGCGCTCTCTCATCACCCGCTCCATCATCCGCAATGTCAAATATCCCACACTGCAGGCCCAGCCCTGTGGTGTAGACCTCACCCTGAAGCGTATTCTCAAATGGACCTCGCCCGGAATAATTGATTTGGACAACCAACTTCGGCAACCGGCCTCCACTGAAGAGATACCCTTTCCTGCATCAAAGGAAAATACCCCATATTTAGATCTCACGCAGGGTTCTTACCTTGTGGAATTCAACGAGACCGTCTCCGTTCCTCTGGATGTGATGGGCGAGGTTTTTGTGCGCAGCTCATTATTTAGGTCCGGGGTGACGATACACGCCGGTGTTATGGACAGCGGGTATGAGGGGGCTGTCGGGGCATTAATGCAGGTCGTCAATCCCACGGGGCTACGCCTGTATCCTGCTGCGCGTCTGGCTCAATTCGTATTCCACCAGATGAGCGAGAAGGTCGAGGGTTACAATGGAGTCTATCAAGGGATGACAGATTTGCGACCGCCAAAGCAGTCTTGAATTGCGCCAGCTGGTGTCTTCTAGTACATTTCTAACCGAATCAAAAGTCTGCCCCCCAAGTCAGCGCCCTCACCGGGGCCATGAGCTAGGTATCGGGATGGGGCTTGAATATCCCCTTTTCAAAGGATCTGTCGTGAACCGATCGCCACCACTCCCATGGGTCTTGCTTCCATGGCGAAGGCATCATGGTATGAACGCCCGAGCGGCTTGGACACTTTTTGTGCGGCACTGGGCCAATTGCTGCAAAGCATAGTTTATGGAACTTTGGCAAATCTGCTTCCTCGATAGTCGCGATCGCGCGTCCAATGGGGAAGGACCTGAGAGTGCTGTGGAGTCGAGCTGTGTACTGATTGCCGTCTTTTTGGTCGCTCTCGAAGGAGTGTGTCCACCCGGTACTCTCTACCTCCCCTCCCTTGGTGATTGTGTTGAACTCAATGTAAAATACATAGTTCTGGTACCAATCTTGGATCTTATAGACGTTGAATGGCATGGTGGGCGGTTGTGGATGGCTTTGATCTTGTGAGGTGGACTTTTTCAAGGTGTGATTGCCAGGGAAAGAATTGGTGGGATTTTGTAGCCTGATATAACTTCCTGCTATGAAAGAAATGATGGTTCCCAGACATGCTGTCTTAAGACATACATGTATGTACAGAGTCGGGTCTCGGGAACCACGATTCTACTACAAGGTTATAAGACAAATGAGAAGGGAATTGAAAGAAAATGAAAATTGTTTCTTGACAAGAACACCACCTAGACAATGGTCTTAGCTTCAATCGCATACCTCAAAGAATCATACCATTTCAATATCCCTCATATTTACATTGCACAGCTATTTTAGCCCACTATTATGTTGCCCATCTAATGTTCTGAAGGATGGTCGGACAAGACAGAAAAGTGTAGAGAAGAATAATTGATTTAAATGCTATCTAGAGACCTACAGAGGCGTCCTAACCGTAGACCTAATGATATGGCGTGCACGGCACCACAAGACTACTTGTTATGTTAGTATCATACAATCCCTCAGAAGACCACAAAACAAAATAACTAACCCTCACAGAGGCTTAACGATCCCCTTTCTAATAGCCATCTCCTCAACATCCTTCAGCCACTCTGTGCAGCGGTAGAGGGGGGTGTCAGGATACAGTCGGGTCCCCTTGAGCGTGACCTGGGCCCGCGGGGGAAGAACTGCTAGACAGCATTCCTCCCGGAACCTCTCCAGATCCTCCTCCTCAATGGTCCCGATCTGCTTCTTCGAGTCTGGCACATGCTCTGGCAGCACCTCCGGGTTGGGTGTTTGCCTGGGTGTGTAATCCATACCGTTCAGGATTGTTCCGGTGACATGGTGTAGCCAGCCCCTGTCTTCGCTTGGATCGGTTTCAATATAGATGGCAATATGGTTTCTCTGAGCACCGATCGACTCAGTGGTGAAGACTTTAAGAGGCATGGTTGGTGGTGTAGGAGGTTGTGTTGTTTGGGAGAATATTTCGGTGCGAAAGCTGGGCTTTTAAGATCGAATGGGTTGGGGGTTCGCCGTGTCATGCAGCGCTTAACTACATGTCGGGATATTTTGGTCTTGCCTGATGTCAAAGGCAACCACGCCTCCATGATTTATTTTTACAAAGAGCTTGCTAGACATGTTTCATGATTCTTAAAAGGATGTATACAAATCAAATGAGAAAATGTCGTCACTTTGCGGTGAAAGAATACAATCCCAGCTAATCATTAGATCCAGCCCTTTTACACTGGCAAATTCTATGTATGACTGGAAGAACTATATGTATCTACGGTGGTGGCTTCAAAGGAAACTGGTGGATAGAAGCAGGGACTCTTGGACATGACATGCATGTCCTACAATTAAGGGACTGGAGCTGTTTAACTATCAAAGTATGTGTTGTTGAAATAAAACAAAGAGTGCGCAAAAGTCAGAACGCCTTCATGGCTTTCTGCCAGATATGCATATGATGCTGAGAAACAAATCAGTCATAAGGCCCTGATGCCCTGGAGACAAAGAATAGATGATAGTATCGTGTACCCGACTAGACGTGATCAAGATTGGAAGTTCATGTTATAGCCACCTGTCTTCGGGTCCTGGACGAACTTGAAGTTGTCTGTCGACAGACCAAATGGACTCAAGATTCCATTGCCGAGCTGTCGGGTATCAGTATTGCTCTGTCAAGTTGAGAAGGGCATTCTCAGAGGAATGTACTCACTTCCTTCAGCTTGCCCATCATATCGCCCATCTCCTTCTCCCGCGCCTGTTTGATGCGCTCAGGCAGTTCCCGCAATGCCCGTTGGACAACTCTTTTATCATCTGCCGGGAGGTTTTCAATCCCAGCAAGGACCTGGTAGTCTTCTGCAGCACCTTGCAGACTACCCCAGCCACCGATTTCGGTCTTCGCCTTTGCACGTCTCAAGAGTACTTTGCCTCGAAGTCGCATCACCTTGCTCCTCCGTTCATCCTGTTCTTGCAATCTTAGTAGTTCCTTTAGCTCAGCTTCTTCGTCGTCTCCGGATAGTTCAACCACGGCATCTGTGTGTTCTTTGGATTCTTGGATTTGTTTCCCCTTCGACTCGTCGCCTTTTTCCTGCGGGGTCGGCGGGATAATCTTGCTTGAGACGTTCGATGGAGACAGTCGCAGAGTCCACGGCGGCCTTCCAATCTTCCAATTTCAGATGGCAAGCGGCGATATTACTGTGGATTATGGCGACATCGTAGTCGAGATAGCTCGGACAGGAAGCGAGGGCTCGATCGTAGCAGGAGATGGCTTGGTCATAGCTTTTCGCGACAAACAGCTGATTTGCCTCGGATTTGATTTCGTGGGATTCCTTCAGGAGTTGCTATCGCAAGGAAGATGTCAACATGGGGCTCCAGTCATGAGTTTGCACACCGTTACGACTCACGGCTTCTTCCTCGGCGGGAAAGTGGGCATCGTGGAAGACCTCCTCGTCACCACTGTCATCGGCATCAATGGGAGCACATTTCCCGTCGTGTTCGGGCACATTAGAAGAATTGCTCATTTTGTGAGCAGGTCGTCGTCGGCTGAGAACATCAGATGTTGCCAAGGGTTCAATCACGGGACTGATAGGACTGATAACGCTTATTCCCCGCGTCTTATCAAACGCCTTGTCAATATCCCACTCTGACACCGGTACATAGACCATACAGCCATGGGTTCCACTAATGAGTGAGTATAACGTGGTCTTGGATCATGGTCGCACTTAAACATCAATTGACTCCGTTGACAGCCTTCCCCGCATCCGAGCATGTCTCTTTGACATGGACGGCTTGTTGATTGACTCAGAGGATTTGTACTCCATAATCACGAATGAAATTCTCCAGAAGTACGGCAAACCCATTCTTCCCTGGTCAATCAAGGCGCAGCTGCAGGGTCGACCCCAGCCGGAGGTTCGTCTCACACTATATATCGTTCTGTATCTGCGTACTAACGCTATTTTTTAGGCCGGCAAGATTTTCAACGACTTTGCCCAGCTCCCCATCAGCGCTGAGCAGCTGAAGGAGGAGCAATCGGTTCTCCAGCGACACTATTTCCCACAGTCAAAGCCGCTACCCGGTGTACCGACTCTTTTGGCCAACCTTGTGTCGACGCAGTCAACCGACGAGCCTGTGTACATCGCACTAGCAACATCATCGCACAGCGCGAACTACAAATTAAAGACCGATCATCTAACCGAGCTATTCTCGGTATTCCCCGAACCCAACAAGGTTCTTGGTGACGATCCACGCATCGGCAAGGGCCGAGGTAAACCTCTTCCCGATATCTACCTGCTTGCTCTGGAGACCATCAACATTGAGCTGCGCAACAAGGGGAAGACGGAGATCAAGCCAGAGGAGTGTCTCGTCTTTGAAGATGCGGTTCCGGGTGTCGAGGCTGGTCGTCGTGCCGGCATGCAGGTTGCCTGGTGCCCTCATCCGGGTCTTCTAGGAGCCTTCAAGGGCCGGGAGGAAGAGGTGCTCGCTGGAGCCACGGGTGCGCATAAGGACGAGGAGAAGACAGATGCTGAGAAAGAGGCAGAGGAGCTCCAGGCCCCGCGTCTGCAGGGTTCTGGAACGCCTGGCAAGATCGGCGACGGGTTTGGTCAGCTCTATACTACTTTGGAAGACTTCCCGTATGCGAAGTACGGCATTCGCATCCCCTGAAGACTTGATCAGGTTTTCTGAGGCAGCACATAGCATCCACGCTGGTTTTTAGATGTTAATACACGTTACATGTGAGCGAGTAGAGCGTCTAGTTAGAAAATAATTTACATTCAGGCAGTGACTTAATGGCCTTCGAATTTCTGGATATCTACAACACTCCTCTGTACGAGTCCGCGGGATGGATGAAATGCATGTTCGTCAGTACAGGCAAGCGCACTCATTCTACATCAGTCTCACCTGAGACTCTAACTTTGACGAAGCATTTGATGTGACGAGGAGAACATTGGAGACAACCACGGTAGCACCTGGGATCTTTCTTTGAATTCGTCTCTCTCGCCTTTCAGGGTGTCACTGGGTCTTCCATTGGATGATTTGTTCAGTTGGCACCTGGTCTCATTCCCATACCAAAGATTTACTGCTCAGACTACAGGATCCAAGTCATAGTTTGGCTCGGGTTCTGACAACAGAAATGGCATTGACCAGATCTTGAGGCTGTTGTCGGCCTGCTTAGTGTTCTTTGCTGAAATGTCTTCGTCACAGGGATCATCTGAAACAAAATGTCGCTGCCCAGAGCAGGTTGCAGCAACACTTCCCAGGGGGTGAAACATTGTACTCGTCACAGCATCTGTCATATATCAGCACAGAGCATCTTGGCGATTGTCAAGAAACTTACCATCATGCACCTTAAACTCCCAATCGGGGTCCTTCCCACCTGCACAGTGCTCCGGATTCCTCCAAACCCTCATAAACCCATCGGTACCGCCAGCCCAAATCTCATGAGAGCCATCAGGACCAGATGGAACAACATCAACTTTCATGCGTTGATTCGTGTAAGCCTTGCGTCCGCGCAAGTGCCCAAGCAGTTGCCCCGTGACCCGAACATCATAAACCAAAATTCCGTCACTCTTACGCTCGACGACATACAGATACCTGCCACAGGGGCTCCAGACAAGCTGTGTAACTCCACGACCGCCAATATCACGGTTTGCGCTTGTTTTTGCCACGCTGAACGTCCCAAGGAGCTCACCCGAGCCATTTGAGCTGTACAGTCCAATGTGTCTGGTGAAAGTGCCTGAAGCAAGGATACCATCCCCGCTGGGGTTCAGAGCCAGGGCTGAAACAATGCCCTTCATTCCGATACCACCGCCGACAATCTGCTTGCGTTTGCTGGGGATGGTCGGCATTGAGGATATGGGTCCTTGTGGTCCTGTTCGGGACACGTCGAAGAGACAAATGAGGCTATCTGAGCCTGTGAGGAAGTGGGTCCCGCCCATCGTGGATGGGTAGATCATTGAATGAGGTGTTATGTATGCTTCTGTCATTGGATTTACCAGGGAGTAGCTCGCCACTGACGTAGGAGCCAGGGCTGATGATAGCCGAATTGGATGATCACGGACAGATGAGAGAAATAGGGTAGAGGATGGATCTTGAAGGTTGTAGAAGGGATAGATCGCGGTAGCATATGTCGGCTCTGCTGAGGGCAGAGTTGAGTATGGGGATAATTGGTGGATGGGCTTGTCCTCCAGCAGATCCGGTGGCCTAGCTGCATCAGCGAAAGAATCAACAGTAGGGATGACTCGCTAACTTACAGGATCCATGTTCTGATAGAATGATCTGCTGAATCTGTCAGCAGAGTCGTTCTGTCTGGGGTCCTGTACACCATCAGGTTAGTAAAGATTGATCACGGATCGCTCCCCTAGAGTCTTACCATTCTGCGCTCTTGAAATAGCCGAGGTCGGTATCTTGATCCATGGACTCATCACCAGGGGTTGCCCCAGGCTCACTTTGGACTGGTGATAATGAACTTGACGAGTGTCGTGATCGTGATGGATCGATTGGTCTCCCACTTTGTCGTCCGGTTGATGCCACACATACTGGCGTCCACGCTTTGGTGTTTTCGTCAGTCATAACGAGCACTGCCAGAGAGACTGGACAGCTGTCTTCGCTAGAGATTTTAGATGCGGCCAATTTAATCAATGGCTCATTTGCCTTCAAAGTTCTGAATAAGACCGGAGTCGAAAGGACAATGAATAGGTCAAGTCAGACATTTGAGGACACTTGCGAGCTACACACATATATCGGCAATCACAAGGATTCCACCACAGTAACGTTCATAATGGGATACAAATTATACTATGTAACTAGGCACGACAGCGACAAGGAGGTATAGGTAGCGAAATATAGACGAATATAAAAGGAAGAGGAATAATTAGCACGCAATATTATATAATACATATACGAAGGCGGTAAAGAATCGGAAGGGGTCCACAGGGAGAAACGTTGTAGAATCGTTATAGCGTAGACGACGCGGACACTATATATACGCCGTATAAGCTCGAGCAAGAAGTAAGTAAAAAGGGCCAATAGTAAGTCAGAAAAAGGAGGTTAAAAAGGCGAATTCCATTTTGGTAGGGTGCGCAACCCACTCCGGCGGACTTGTCCCCTGCAAACCCAACAGCCAATGAGGGGCGTGCAGATTGCGCAAATGAATATACAGTGGGACCTCCGAAATATTTGGCCAGATCTTTGTACCTTTATATACCGCTCTGTACCGCCTCCCTTAAACATGCTGCTATGTGTAAGGTATAGTCGGCCGCTTATGCGGCCGCAGTCTTCTTAGTGGTCTTCTCAGGCAGTCCTGTCACGTGGTCCTTTTATGTGTCTCCTTAGTGGTCCTTTTTTAGCAGTCTCCTTAGATAAATACCTTTGACTGAACCCTTAGTGCTGGATCACATGCCTACACACTAACTATATTAAGAGTTTTAGACTGGCAGAACCGGCAGAATTTGGAGGGCGGTATATCTGGGAAGAAGAGTTTTGTCCAATATTTCGGAGATCTGTACATACAAGCAATGAACAAAAGCCATACAATGTAGTATAAAATTGAGTAGACCGCCTTTCCAAGCTAGGGAAAAAATATCGGATCGGATAAATAAAGTACCGAGAAGCTTCGCGCATTCCGCAAATCGCATTTGCGCAGCTTTGTTTCTATTGACGGGGGCCCATTGAGAGGTTCCATTTTCATTCAAGCATTTGAAGTCTATTGTCACATTCCCAATCATGTTTGCTCCCAAAGCAGCAACACCTACCACAGGTGGACTTTCTCTCAACACAAACTCCACCAGTTCTTTGTTGTTAGTGCTCCCATCCATCTTTCTCTGATTACACCTATCAGACCTATCGCTTGACCCTTGCTCTGATTCGACTCGCTTCCCCTCCCAATCCCTTGTTATTCCCAGGTCGGAAGCTGGGATCACGGTGGTTTCAGGCAGAAAAAAAAAAGCTAATCGTAATCTCCCATCAACAGCGGCGGCAACACGGCCACATCCACAGCCACCACCGGCGCAACTAATACCGGCAGTCTCTTTGGCAACGCTGCGAGCTCGACAACACCTAAGCCAGCAGGAGGCTTGTTCGGAGCCCCGGCCACAGGAACCACGACACAAGCACAACCGACCGGATCCAACATGTTCGGAGGCCAACAGCAGAGCGGTGCGACCGGCAGCAACCTTTTCGGAGGCGCAAATACCACGACACAACCTTCTGGGACAAGTAGTCTGTTCGGTGGGTCAACTGCTGGTGCTGGCACCGGCACGACTCAAGGAACAACGAGCGGTGGACTTTTCGGCGGCGGTGCGTCTACAGCTCAAAGCCAAGCAAAGCCAGCCTTTGGTGGACTCGGTGGACTCGGTGGACTCGGAGCTGCTGGTGCCGGCACTGGGGGAGCAACAGGAGGAACTACAGGGGGCTTGTTGTAAGTGACTGTCCTTGTGCTCGTCCCGTCTCGTGGCTTATATTCTAATAATCTCCAGTGGTGCCGGCCAGAGCACAACCCAACAACAACAACAGCCTCAAAAGCCTACCCTCTCTCTCTTCGGCCAACCAGCCCCCGCACAGACCACACAACCATTACAGCAGAGCACCGCTACCAGCACGGTGATTCCCGGCGTGAAAGTTGACGTGAGCAATCTCTTGCCAACCACAAAATTTGAGAGCTGCGCGGACGAAATCCGTAGCCAAATCGAGGCTATCGACAAGCACATCCTGAACCAGATGAAGATGTGCCATGAGGTCGGGGATCTGCTGCCGACCATCGAGAAGCAGGGTGCTACAATTCCTAACGATGTCGAATTTGTACAAGGCAAACTGGAAACCATGCAACACGCACTTGAGAACGATGCCAGTGATATTGATGGGCTGCGCAGCCTTGTTACACGGGATGCGGCCGAGGCCCAAGTTGCCTTCCGAGCCATTGATACGCTGAAGCTTCCTCTACAATACCAGTCAACTGGTGGTGGATGGTGGTCTGTGCAGGATCAACAGATTCCGGAGCGATCTATGCGCTCGAGTCGCAAAAACACACTTGCTCTTCCCGACGGTGTTGAGGGTGACGCATCTACTGACGTCAATGGGGTCCCCGTCAACCTGGTCGATTACTTCTCTCATCGCTCGAAGGAGATGAAAGGCGTTCTTACAAGATATACCGGCAACCTCAAAGAGATCGAAGACCATCTTCACGGTGTTGAAGCTACGCTCAACCGCCAGATTAGCGACTTTGTGAGCTCCAAGTCCCGTGAGGGAGCTGCGGGGACTCCTCGGTCCACCATCAGCGAACTTTCCGGTGTACTCTCAGATGTCGAGGCTGGAATCATGGGTGTGGCCACTCGTCTGAGCAATGTATCGGAGCAAGTACAAGATTTGTCGATTGGGCAGCAATCACTTGGCGATGGCCGGCTTCATCTGGGATAGATAGAGGATTCAGCGAGTTTTGTCTGTATTTTTATGGGAGCTGATCTTCAGCATGCGAAACATGACATCAAGCAGTTTATCTGTTAACTCCGAACTATCATTAGTCCGTGCCCTAATTGTAGGCCTTAAATAGCCATACATCGTAAGATAAGAACACAAGCTACTCCATAGACCATCTAGGTGTAGATCATTGTAAAAGTCAAGTTCCTTGAGCCAATCCAATGTATACAAGCTTTACATTGAATAACATACTCAGTATATGGTAGTAATAATTACTATGCTGCATGCGGTTCAGTGTACCCACTGCCCAGGTGGGCAAGAGGCTGATGAGTAACCCGTCGCAAAAGCCCGCCACTCTTGCGTGATCGCCTCCTTAGCGCCATTTCTAATCTCAACCTCAACTCTACTGCATGTTGTACATCAACACTTCTATCCCTAGTGAACACGCGTTCAAAGTCCTTGACCTAGAGATGCCTCATCTGAAACAGCGGTGAGAGCTAGTATATCGATCGAGCAGCTGTTTCCTATGTTCATTCGATGAAGATGGCAAATCCCGCCATCAACGTCAGCAAAATTGCGTGATCACCTTGAATATTCTAGGGGTAGAAGAGCGGGTCTCTCCTTCAATGCAATATCCATTCAGAACCAATTATTTCGTGTCCAGTTTCTCCATTGTATTCGCCTGAGGTGCTTAATCTGGGAAATTGCGCCATCTCCGTGAACTCCGGGGCATGTGTGAGATCCATAATTATTCTAGAATGGCGTTATCTGGGGTTGACTCACTTGGTACTAATTGCATGCTTGACTTGCATCCCTTAGCTTGTATCTATATAAAGTAGTTCTTCCTTCCCTCTATCCAAATTTAGTTTTATACTTTCACGTCAACCTTTAACCTCACCTTCTTATCATCCTTTCAAATTTTCATCTCTTGCATTTGTTTTACATCACCACTTGAATTAGAGATGGCACCATCATTAGAAGAGCCCGTGGTGACTGTGGCCCCAACTACGGCCAAGTTTACCGTTCCCGTCCTCGCGGAGGACCTCGCTGGTGATAACAAATTTGGCTATCAGCCCGGCCGGACCCCAGTCACTCAACACGACAACTATGCATACGAAGACTTCCTGCCCTCATTTCCGGATATCCATTGGGCCCCGCTTGAATACACTCCCTACCAGGACAAGGGACTGCGAGGAGACCCCAAGTTCCGCAACATTCTGAGGGACGCCACAGCCGTCTTTGATCTCAACCCTAAGATTGGAACTGAAATCCATGGTGTTGATCTCGCAAAGCTTGATGATGCACAGCGGGATGACCTGGCCCGGTTGATTGCATACCGAGGCGTTGTCTTTTTCCGCTCCCAGAAGAACTTCGATATCGAGGCTCAACGCCAATTGGGCCAATATTGGGGCAAGCTGCACAAGGTAAGGCATCTGACTTGAGCTTGTTTATATATGTATACATACTAACAATATATAGCATGCCACTACGTCCGTTCCCCGAAAGCCAGGTCTCGAGGATGTTCATGTCGTCTACACTGGCGACAACTCCGGCGACAACCGTGCTCTCTTCACACCCAGTTTCTTATGGCACTCAGATGTGACTTATGAAATCCAGCCACCATCCTACACATCACTTAAGCTTCTCTCTGGCCCACCCCCGAGGAGGCGGTGGCGACACCCTTTGGTCCTCACAATACGCTGCCTACGATATACTCTCCTCGCATATGCAAAATTACCTCAAAGGCCTCACGGCCCTTCACTCAGCCGACATGCAAGCCAACGACTCCCGGGCACTAGGCCGGCCAGTGCGTCGTGATCCCGTCACTACTGAACATCCCCTTATTCGGACGAACCCAGTCACTGGCTGGAACGGACTTTTCTTCAACCCTGGCTTCGTGAAGAAGATCGTCGGTATCCCGGCAGCAGAAAGTGACGCTATCATCCGGTTCCTTACTGATGTAATCGCCACGACTCAGGAGATGCATGCCCGCTTCTCATGGGGTGAGGAGGATGTCGCGATCTGGGATAACCGGTCCACTAACCACAGTGCTTCTTACGGCTTTACGCCACACCGTCGTCATGCTGTGCGTGTTGCGGTCCATGCTGAGAAGCCTGTGCTTAAAGAGTCGGGAAAGTCTCAGGAGGATGAATTGAATGCTTTGTATGGATTACCAACAGTCAACAAGGATGGGTCTCGCCAGTCGAACTATAACGACTAGGCTGGCTGCGAAAGGTTCATGGTGATTGTGGTTTATATTCTTTCTCCCAGCGATTAGCGACATATCACAACTGGCAAAATATAATTATTCTAACGTTCTTTTATAATCATTATATGTGCTGTCCAGACAAGTATCTCCCCTGCGGCTGTGTTGGCTCCCAATCCCGTTCCTGCCTAATTGGGAACTGTGTTTGTCTCTCGCACCTTCCCCCAATTCACCACCCACCTGCGCAACTCCCGTTGTCTTCTTGTAAAAAAAAAACTTCCCTCGCCACCGCTCACTCTCCTCTCCTCCTCGCATCTCTCCTTCGTGTCACAATGGCTTCCACCCCGCCAAGTCTGCTTGAGTACGCCAGATTCTACAATGTTGCAGAGGAGTCTACCAGATATTGTCCGCTTAATTATGCAGACGACACTTGTGAGCCTAAAACCCCCGTTTCCCCTGTTGAGGGTCTCGAACCCGAATATCCAGGAGAACGCCTCAAAGAAATCGACAGACAGTTCCGCACCGACCTCATGATGGAGAAGCTCGAAACCAAGCCGGAGGATATGGAGATGCTGAGCGGATGTCTCCAGCTCGATTCTGTGGAGGGAAACATCTGGCGTGGCATTTTGCCTGAAGTGACAACATCTGACTCCAAAGGCGAGACGTTTCTCCTCTCAGCCGAGGATGAGAGAATGGTCACGTCGGCCGAGTTTCACTCCACGTTCGCTCAGAGTCCGGCTCCCTCTTCGCCTGCCCCTTCAGTTCGCCTGGTTGTTCCTAGTGGTCCTGATGTCCCCGTCGTTCCTATGAACACGCGGGATGTCTTTGATCAATACAATTCGGGAATGTCCCAGTCAACCAGTGGTGACGGTTTTACTACGCCTGGCAATATACCTGTCCAGTCCTCGAACATTTCCACGACATCCCATCTTGCAGGAGACGCTTTTTACCCCATCGTGGACGAATCTGGAACCGTCCATCAGTTTGTCAGTATTGAGTCTGACCCTGACCCAATTTCCTCTATTCAAGATCTGGAGGCCGAGGCTTATGCCCCAACCGTACTGAGCTCTGAGGTGAGTACTCAACAGATATGTATTGATACAGGGCTAGCTAACCAAGACAAGCATGCCACCGAAAGTGAATTCAGTGCATTTGATTTTGATAACGCCCCATCCACACCTCCATTCTTCGATGTCAGTTCGCACACCAAATCGCAACCCAACTTCCCCATTGTTTCTCCCGATCTGACAAAAGAAAAAGGTTTCTCCGCTGGCAGGGGTGAGTGCCAGAAAGCGCAAGCACGCAGAGACTTGAAAGGAAAGAAAGGGACCAAGGCCCTTTTGGAGCACATGGCGGATACAGGAACACCTGGTGAACAGAAGGGAATCGTGACCGCTTCTATCAGTACGCTTCATGAAGGCATGTTTGTGACAAAGGGATGTTCGAATTCCTCGATAACTCGGCCAGCAAACGATCGAGATATCACTCACCTAGCACGAGATTCGCATAATAAAAACGATAACCATGTTTCCATCAAAACTCCTTATGAGCAAAACCTCAATACTATGGCCACACAAGAATCCTCGTCCATGGACAAGAGAGACTCTTGCATCGCTCAGCAGGAGCTGTTTGGCGTGAAATTGGGCTACAATTCACATTCCACGGGATTGAGAATGGACCCTTTCAAGCCTCCACATACTTTTGCTTCCATAGATTATACAGAGACCCCGAAATCTTCCAAAGCAGTGTCTGGTGGCCTCGGATCTCTATCGCTGTTTATGCAAACTAGAGGTAGTGATGGAGAATATGTTAGCTCGTCGCATGATCCATCATCACTTTCCTTATCAGAATCCACAAGAAGTGGACAAGGCGAGTTCTCAGATGTCCCTTCACTTGTGGGCGACAGTTGCTCAGACCCTGATGAGAAACCCTCGGGTTTTTCTCCGTTGCCGAGCCCTGCCTTCTCCATGCAGGAAATGGTGACCCGATCAGCATTCAATCCCCCACCAGTGTTCTTCTTGTCTACCACCCTCCCAACAACTCACCCGTCGGTCGTGCGAGTATGGAGAGGTGGCCAGAAAACCCACCCAGATTGGTCTACAGGGAATATGGGGACGCTTCCTCGGATCCCCGGTACCACTGTGATGCGGAAATCATTCTAGCACCTGACTCTGGGCTTATTCTGACAACCCCCCATGAGCTGACCCAGCGGTATCTTCCCGGGCATGGTCCAAGGGATGCAAGTCTCAATGGAATCCAGGGAATCAACTCCCCGCTTCGGGAGAAGATTTTCCGCTTCATGCATCGATATGCGCTTCTGGTAGTTCTCATCTGCAAACCTGACAGAACAGACGTCAGCAGAGTCGCGAATGCCTGTCTGGTAAGGGAAATCAGCTCTCTCACTGAATTTTGTGACACCCAGGAGGAATTGGCCACGACATTACTGATACCGATCCCGAATCACTCGTTATACATTGTATTGTGGTGTTTCGGTATGGGAAGGCTTCGATACGAATTGTATCCACCTGGAATGATTGAAAGGATCACGGAAGGTGAATCAGAATACGAAGTCGCTCTCCGCGACCTGGGACTTAATCCTTTCGCGGCACGGCTCATTTTGGATGACATTCGTGTGGGCGGTTTCAACCAAGTGACTGATTTCAAATTAGATCCAGTCCCCCTGCCCTCTCATGAGACAGTTGCCAATGCCAGCACAGACTCGAGAGCTTTTGATATGTTTGTGAGTATGAGATCCTTTTTCCGGAATATGGAATACGGATCTCTCGTTGGGGAGGGGGTTATACACAGGGTATCGGAGGTGATTGATTCAACGGTTCACTCAAGCTCCGATGAGAATGAGAATGACGAGGATGTTTATGGTGGTACTTGGATTAGCTCCGATTAGTTCGTCTGGGGGAACTGTGCTTTCACCATTAGCAGATGGGTAGGGAGATATCAGCTGTTGCGTGTCAAGGATCAGTATTCATACCGAGAATCAATATTATTTCACCTCTACTGTGCACTTGACAACGGACTTTCAATATATCTAGAGACGCGTATCAATGGCACCCAATGAAGGGCTTGGAAGATATGCCACAAATGGAGAGGAGATGATCAAGTCTGCAATTACCGACTACCCACCCCGGCATAAGCACCAGGAGAAGGTAAGCCGCGGTTTAATTTAAAAGTACAGTGGACAAAGACATGCAAGACCCAAGGCCAATCCAGCGCTTCAAAAACTCATGCAAAATAGAAAGACAGGCCAAAATAGGAGCTACAACTGACATGATACCCAACCAAATGTCAAATACCACACAGTAATAGCATCCCTATTCACTATTATTTTTTGGTTTTTTTTTTGGGTGGTCGGTGTTCTTGAGATCGTTGAGAAAGGTCGAGCTCGTGACGTCGCATATGATACACATCAGCGGTCGTCCAATATCCCCATCGCGATTTTACAGCGAAACGGGGGTTGGAGTCGACATGACAGAGGGAGGTTAGATGGCGGCGAAACAAAATCGTATAAAAATATTGTCTTAGCGACTAATTTACTCCTTGATCTTGGCCAGGATGCTAGTTGGGTTGTTAGTTGTTGTTCTCGAGAACGGAAGGGACAAAAGAAACATACTCGTGATCCCGGAAGAGGGTGTACTCCTCCTCGCCGACCTTGATGGCGTTACCGCCGAACTGAACAAACCTACATTAGCATATATTGTTCCGTGTATTCGCATCCACGCGGAAATGCGAGGGAATTGAACCACATACCTGAGGAATGAGGACCTTGTCACCGGCGTTGACACCCATGGGGATACGCTTGCCGTCGCGGTCAAGAAGACCGGGGCCAACGGCGAGGACCTGGGCCTCGTTCTGCTCCTTGACGGCAGCCTCGGGGAGGAAGATACCGGAGGCAGTCTTGGCCTCGGGCTTGATGCGCTGGACCAGGACGCGGTCCAGGAGGGGGGGCGAGGGACTTGATGTTGCGGAGGACAGACTAGAAACGGAATTGAGTTAGTGATTGTTCCTCAATGAGTGCAACCGAATTGAATTGGAATTGCGCGGCGCGGGTTTTCGGGTATTCGGGCTCGGTCTGGAGGAAGAAAAAGTTGGGCGTAGAGGTGCTAGTAGTGCGCTCCGGAGTTGGGGAAATAGGGGTATTCGGGTTGTGAGATCAATCGGGATATACCACGTACCATTGTGAAGGTGAAGGGTGATTCCTGTGAGGATCGTGAGTTGAGGATGGGGATGGAAAGGGAAGAAGATGGAACTGGTCCGGGGGAAGAAGATCTGGACTGGAGAAATTTCCAGAATGCCAAGACCGAACCATGAGCTTCTTTCCGAATAGCCCTGCTTCCCCTTGACTCTCATTCTCTCTAGGGAATGAATTACTGAGTTTTTATGACCTTTATGTTTAGATGTTCATTGTGTTTGTCTATTGATATGTCTGGTATAACTGTCTGTCTGTCTAGGTATGTATGTTGGATGTTGTACACTCGACCTACAGCTCTACATCTGCCGGAGGAAGCTTGAAATTGTAAATTGTTCAGTGTCATTGCTATTCCCTTTGTATGCATGAAACGCCGTGAGATCCCATTATTCCGAGGGCGAACCCAAAGCTACATCACAGTAATACGAATCCCATATCAAACTACCATCTTCGGCCACGTCCTCGGCCCCCGTAACCTCCTCGTTGATCGTATCCGCCGTAGCCCATTTGACCCTGACCCCCAGGGGCAAATCCTTGACCTTGGGGCTGGCCCCCGAAGCCAGGTTGACCCGGCTGGCCGCCACCGGGCATCATCGACTGAGCGTGTTGCATGAAAGCCATGGGATCCATATTAGACGGGTCCAAGCCCTGGGACATCATGCTGGCCAGCATGCCCTGCATCATATCTGGGTTCATATCCGGCATACCGGGCATACCAGCCATAGGCGGCGCAGCGCTGGCTGGAGGAGCGGGGCCCGGTGCTCCAGGCATTGGGGGCATTCCCATGCCCATGAAGGCCTGCATATCGTCCATCTGTTTCTTCTGACTGCTGACTTCTTGTCTCACGCCTTGTTGCTTGAGACAGTATCCTGCCCATGTGAACTCATCGAATCCGTAGTTGAAGTAGTCGGAGAGATCTGACCCGGGTCGGCGCCAGGGCTTGTCGTCGGATGGGAAGTCAGCATCCATGTCCGTGGACATGATCGGCTTCCCAGTCATAGGGTGGATGGGGTTTGCATTAACGTCGATGGTGGAGCTGTGAATGGCTGGATAGGCGGAGCCTGGCTTTTCTGAGGAGGGTCTTGCAGCCGCGGCTGGGTGTCCGGGGACCGGAGTCGCTGTTTCGTATTGAGGAGTCGCGGATGGCGTCACAGACGCTGCTAAACCTGACGAGTCTGCGGAAGGCGGCCGCTGTGATTCTTGTCGTAAGCTTGCATGGCGCGGGTGAGAGCTAGAAAGATCAGCAAGAGCGCTGGCAGTGCGATGGCAGCTAACTCACGGTTCGGGAGCTGGTGCGCCTTCGGGAGCTTCTGTGATAATATTGAAGTCATCCTGCAGATAGAATTAGTATGTAAAATTGCAGCTAGGTGTCAGCAAGGTGCGTACATCATCTTCTTCCTCCTCTTCTACCTCCTCCTCGTCTTCCATGTAATTGCTCTCCTGCGGTTGGCCTGGAGCTGCATTTTGTGTGTGGTTCAGCGATTGTGTTGTCGGCACCGCGTCGACAGGATCATAGAAGTCGTCTTCTTCTTCATCCATGGTTTCTGATTTTCAATTCAACGGGTAAATGCTGCAGAAAGTTGTATCAAAGAGGACCGAGATCGAAGGTTGCGCGCATGGGAACCGAGTTTGTCTTGTTTGCAGCGGTGTGCCTCTAAACCGTTTCAGTTACAACGAAAGAAACTATACACCATGACACATTCAATGTTTGGATAATTTGGATTCTAATGTGAGATGGGGTATCTAGCAGCTTACAAGTGAAGATTGTCACACAGCTAAATGCTATAATCTGATTTTGTAAAATAATCTGAAGCGCTATAAATTCAAGGTCACGTGCTGGCCACCAGACGTCACCGAGCAAACCGATTCCCATCTCAGTAGTCAAATCTAAGCTCAATATCTCACAATCCAAAATGGCAGAAGGAGAGGAGAGTAACACATCCACACCTCGGTCCTTCGCCGGCCAAAGTGTCTCCGCGGAGGAGATGCTCAAGGAACAAACCGTCGGTCTCGTTCATCTCTCCGACTTTCGCAAGCGGCGCGCGGATGTTCTCGAGGCAAAAGAGCGCGAGGCACATGACAAGTCTTTGGGGATACTGGCATCTGGTAATTCAAGAAGCGCAACTCCCTCTACAGGCGATGTGACTGACGGGTAAGCCAAGAGTCTCGATTTTTATTTCCGTTCATTTGAGCTGATCGCAGCGCAACAGGTCAACGCCTCCCCGGAGTGACGGTCCCCCGAAAAAGAAGAAAAAGAAGCCCCTTGCGAAAAGCAAGCTATCATTTGGCGATGACCAGGACGAGGGGGAGGAATCTGCAGCAACTCCACGCGACTCCAGTGTATCACGGTCAGGTTCGAAAACACCCGCTGAGGATGGTGCTGCGCCACGGATGAAAGCGAACCCGAATGCACCCCCTCCACCCAAAGCTTTGACAAAGGCGTCCTTGGAAGCTGAAGCGCTGGCTCGCGACACTCTACGGAAGGAGTTCTTGATCATGCAGGAGGCTGTGAAGAATACCGATATTCTCATTCCATTTGTCTTCTATGACGGGACGAGTATACCAGCTGGAGCTGTCAAAGTGAAGAAGGGTGACCATGTTTGGTTGTTCTTAGATCGGTGCCGGAAGGTCGGTGCTGAGATGGGCGTACGTGGTGCCAGCGGTGCATCCAAGGCGAAGAAAGATAATCGTCGAGAGTGGGCACGTGTCAGTGTCGACGATTTGATGCTTGTCAAGGGCGATATTATTGTTCCACATGTAAGTTCACCCGGATCTTCATCGGTTGAGTCTTCCATCTAATATTCATATAGCATTACGAGTTTTACTACTTCATCGCCAATCGAGTGCCCAGTTTCTCTCGAGCTGGCGGTTTGCTGTTTGATTATTCCAGCAAACCCCCGGTTGCCGATTCCAACAAATCCACTGATGATCCGCTGTCCCGACCTAGTGACGATCAGCTAGAGGGCGCGGACAAGGATTTCTCAGAGACCAAGGTCGTAGATCGACGGTGGTATGAGAAAAACAAGCATATCTACCCAGCCAGTCTGTGGCATGAGTATGAGCCGGGGAAAGAGTTTGAAGAGAAGATGACTTCAACACGGCGCGATGCTCAGGGAAATACCTTCTTTTTCTAGATCGTGGAAATCTTATGAAAATAATCAATGTAATAGACGAATACCAAATGTTCAAATGCTCTCTGTCCAAGTTGTTGTTTTATTACGAGATTTCCTTCATAGGTTGACTAAAGCAATAGCATCTCAAGGCTAACTCGTGACCTTCACCTCTTGCTCTCTCCAACCGCATCCCATCGCCAGCCACCATGGATTTTTCTTTAAGATGCAATTCCCTCAAATGTCGGGCAGAATTGAAAGAGAAAGCAGTGGTGACAACCTGCTCGTAAGTATCTTCCTCGTGGATCAGCTTAAGCCAAAGCTGATGATTTCAGGCACATATTCTGTCATGGATGCGCAGAGAGCCTCGGGCTCTCTCGTCCAACCACCAGCAATCGACTCTGTCCTGCGTGTCAGACGGTCCTTCTCAATCCAGATGACGCTGTTTCGACGATCTTGAATCCGACGGAGGACTACAAAACGAGCGTGTTGAGTGGGTTAGATCCGAACACAATCATGGAATGTGCTGGTCGCGCACTTGCATTTTGGGCATATCAAAGCACACAAGAGATGTCTGTCTCACTTCCTCGGTATCAAATATCTCCACAGATTGCCCAAGACTGACTCGAGCAGCTTCTACCAGGAGTACCGAGCGAAGACTCTTACGGAGAAGTACGCCAACCTGAACACACAGATGGACAAGATCATCCACAATGCCAACACGGAAATCCTGTCACTGCAGAACAAGCTGTCCGGTTGGTTAATTGAGTCTGCTATTACTTGGATATCCGACTAACATCTGTACTGCAGACATGCAATCATCCCAAGAAGACCTCCAAAAGAAAAACCAAGAACTGAATGATATGTACCGTGATAAGAACAACAAACTCGCTCAAATGACCAATCTCTACAACCTCCTCAAGGCTCGTGCCATGAAGTCTCGAATGGAGACCGCAGCCTCGGACACAGTCTCCCAGGCTCTGTCATCGCTCAATGCTCCTCCTACAGTCTCTATGCCTCTATCTAATACCTCATCATTGCCTCCCGCCCCAGTTACACGGCACCCCAAGACTCCCACATTTCCCGTCAACCAAGATGGGGTCGAGCAGCTTCATCGGTACCAACGGAGCGGCACTGGTAGTTCCAAAAGGGCAAGGACGAAGACACCCCGGAAAGCCCCAATGCCGCCCCCTGATCGGCCGAACTGGGATGGGCCAAATAGTATGTATTGAAACACAGTCTTCAAGGCATGTTGGCTAACGTGCTTCTGACTAGGCAAAGGTCCAGATCCCGCCCCTCAACATCGTACTCGACTTCCACGCATTTCTCGGACTCCGACTGTCTCATCTGAGCTTCCTCCTGGTGGTGCTATTACGCAGCGATTTGGGCGTTGATTGATTGATTGTTGGTTGAGATATTCGATATGAATACATATGTATGGAGCGGTTATGTCTACCGGTCTTTCGACCAGGACGTTGGTATGGTTCGATTCACGATCACAGTGGATTCCCTTACTTTTGCTTGCATAGTACTTGCATGATAATAAAAGCATCTCATTTGACCAAGTCATAATATACAGAATGAGGATATGACAAGAGTGACTTATTTTTGTTAGTAGTTTATATACAAACTGCAGGTACCTGTATTGGGACTCACCCCTGTACATCTTCGAGCTGCAACATGGGCTCGAATACGTTATAGTCTAGCGGAGTTTCATGAAGAGAGTGTCAAATATCAATTTCGATCAATAGAACGTGATGCTATCAAGGTCAGGTACGCAGTATCAGTATTTGGCTGTTTTCCCATTCCGAATGCTGAAAAAGTTACTATAGAGAATCTATCCATTACATTTGATGCCATTGTTGATGTTGCTATACCGGTAATGGTAAAAGCCAATGGGACGAACCGGTTCGTACAAAGGCAGCTTTCGACTTCGGCTTCCAAATCTGTGGTACGGCCGAACGTGGACTCACGCGTAAGTGGTTGAGGAAACTGGACGAAGGTGAGCACCGCTAACTGAGAATAGTTCGCTTCTATGCGCCCAGTGAGAGGTTACGGGGCGAGTCGTCGTATCCGGTGGCGCAGAAGAGGAGTGCCGTTGTGGGCTAATGTAGGAAGCAATCGCAAATCAGTGAACAGGACCTTGGTGTACCATCAGAACAAAAAGAAGAACCTGATCCTGATACCCAGGCAGTTCGTGTCGATCGTGCGACTGTAAGTGGCCATTGGAGATAGAGACTATTCAAGGCAGTCTGAGAAGCGGGGTATTATTTCAAATCTGCCCATTGCCGTGCCTAATTAAGTCAATACGGAGAGATCTCCGTATCTCAAGTAGGAATATGGTGGGCATATACCCGTAACAGCGAGCAGAAGTGCCGACTTGGTCAGCTGGGATTAGTTCGAAGGTTTAGACTTACCTAGGTATGTCCGTGTCCACGGCATTTAAAGGGCAATGCTTCTTCTGAAGCCCACTTCATCTAACCAAGTAAGATAGCAACACCATGTCCAGACCACAAGAGCAGTTCACACTCACTGAGGAACAAAAGAAACACTGGCTCAAACATGGTTTCATAAAAGTCCCTCAGTGCTTCACCCGCGAAGCAGCGGCGGCTTTTACCTCTTCGGTCTGGACTCGTCTTGGAGTCTCACCTACCGACAAATCAACCTGGACGAAGGAGAAGGTTAACATGCCAGGTCATACTACGGTCAACGTCGAGGAATTTGCTCCCAAAGCCTGGCATGCAATCTGTGACCTGGTCGGTGGAGCGGATCGGGTAGCCGACTGGTGCAAAGACTGGAAGGACGGGTGGATTGTAAATATGGGAAAACCAGAATATAGTCCGCAGGATACGTTGGATTTCCGATCATTAGGAGACTGGCACAACGACGGGGACTGGTTTATCCATTTTTTGGACAGTCCCGAGCAAGCGCTTTTGGTTATTCCACTATTCAGCGATATCAAGCCTAAAAGGGGTGGAACCGTGATCTGTACGGATGGGATTGGCTTGGTGGCTAAACATTTGGTATGTCTTCGACTCGCTCTGTTTTGTTACTCTTTCATTCTCAACTAATCTCTGCTAAAACTCCAGTATGACCACCCCGAAGGGACATGGCCTTCACTCACCTCCCGTGATGCTGTGAATGTCCAAACCGAGGAATACAACTACTGGAAGCGTTGGGCTACGTCACCGGAGTTCACAAGCGATGATTCATTTCACGAGGCTACTGGGGAGATAGGGGACGTTTTTCTTCTCCATCCATTTATGCTACACTCCGCTTCCCGGAACTTACGACGCGACGTACGCATCATTCTCAACCCACCTGTTGCTCTCAAGGAGCCTTTCAATTTCAACCGTGCAGATGGCCAGTACAGTCTTCTTGAGCAGAAGACCCTAATGGATCTGGGTAGACCAACTGGCATCCCTGAATGGAAGGTGACAGGGTCAAGAGAGCTGGTTACTCCGAAGCGTATAGAGGTTGGTTTAACAATATTTACTGTTTACGGGATTGGTAGTAACCCTTTCTTATAGATACAAGCAAACATGGCCCGAGAGGAGTTGGAGCGGTTGGAACAAGTAGGTGAGCCAATCACCAAGCTGGATGGGATCAAACGAGTAGGGTACTATCCATCATAATTTGGTGATAGAGCTGTGTGGTGGGGTGGGGGATATATAAGTATCTATACAGACTTGCATTGGCAAGATAACAGAGTAGGTAGATGGCGAACTCACTAAATTGACGCTTTATATTATGACTGAATTACCATTCTTTGTAACCAAAGAATTAAAGATCCACGTAGTCCTCGCCAAAGTCCAACCTATCGATAGACCTGTCCGAACCGGTCCACAGGTTGCTAAATGCGGGTTTTCATACGCCTTGCTCCCAAACACTTTGTCGCTTTGTTCCAGGAACTGGAGGGTCTTGCGAGATAAAAGGTGGGATCTAATAGTGCAAGCGTCTTGCTCCCAAGGGCGGATTTAGACCCCAAACGTTTCCTGAGTGCCAAATTGGATGTTTTAAAGAACCGTGGCTTTTTTTAAGCGCTCTGCTACCGCACGAACCCCTCAAATGGAGTAATGTACGACCTCGAAACGGTAGCAGTAGCTTGTGCTGTGGTAGACATATGTACAAGGTTATCTCATTGTTATCTTAGGGACTATTAGGAACTGTTTGCTTTTATTGCCGTTAGAAAATTGGCTATGTTATTTTATATGTACTATTATGGCGTAATAATCAATAGAAAGACCTTTGTCATATATTATGTGCATGTACCCTATCTCTATATAAAGGCCAACAGCTTCTTCCTTCTCCCTCTCGCATGGTAGCCTATAAACCTCCAATAGTGTCTACAAAGATTTATAAATAAAATTGACTATATATAATCCAAATTATATTTCCAAGAATACAAGGGATATTGAGAAAAACGTCAAAAAGGAGTCCAAAGTTGATCTGTTGTTTACTTTCTGCATATGCGACTTGACCTGAAGACAGCCAGTTGTTTCTTTCTATCTAAGACCGGCTCTCTCACCTTACCTTTCCTCACCTCTCTCACCTCACCTCTCACCTTTCACCTCTCACCTTTCACCTCTCACCTTCATCCCACTAAACACCATTTCACACCATTTCACATCATGTCTGCGAATCATCGTACGTTTTCTTCTTCAATTGCCTGGGAACGTTTCTAACTTGCTGGCCACTCTAGCTTATCACAGGCTTCAACTGCCTCCCGATGTATCATTCGAGGTAAAGCCCTCGCCGGGCAGAGGATGGGGTGCCTTCGCAACAAAACCCATCAAACGAGGATCGTTGATCTTGTGGGAAAAGGCCCTCTTCGTTATTCCTAAGTCAACTCCTGAAGTCATGGAAGTTGACGTCCTTACAGCCTTTTCGCAACTATCGCCAAAGGAGAAAACACAGTTTCTCCTACTTCGAGACAATGGCTCAAAAGAATTCAAAAGCTGGTTTGATGTTTTAGCCGAGAACTGCTTCTCCAGTGCGGACGATTCTCCAGCCTACGGGCTGTATACCCTTAGCTCGCGATTCAATCACTCATGTGTGCCCACCGCGAGATTTCCAACCACATCGGAGCCGTTCATCGAACTTCACGCCACTAAGGATATTGAGGCTGGCGAAGAGATACGTTTTTGTTACGATCCAGACCTGAAAGCCAACACCAAATATGAGCGTCACCAGTTCCTGGGCTTTGTGTGCGACTGTAGAGCATGTCTGCCTGGAACTTCGTTCCAAGCATCCAGCGGCCTGCGACGACGATTGATTCGCGGGCTACTCTACATCACGAGAGGTGTGGACTTGGACGGCAAGGTACAAATCTCGCAGTCACCGCTGATTGTCGATCCCAAAGTCAAAGCTGTTGCGGAAGCACGGAACATACCTCTCACGTCGAGGATGGTCCTTCACCTCCTAACAGTTGTCTTGCTTGAAGAAGAAGGATTGCTGGATGATTGGGCCGTCAAAATAATCGAACCAGGTGTGGTGAAACCGGTGGCCTTATTCCTCTCAGAATATAACCACGAAATTGGTGAGCTGGCTCTGACCCGGGACACATGGCTGAAGAAGCTACAAGTGGCATTCGAACTATATGGACGAGCAGATCCTGCTGACAAGATTATAACACGAATGTTTCAACTTATGGGCCAAGTGTGCCCAGAGCGGGTTATGATCTGCCATATTACGACAAGATTGAATTCGACAATGGTTGGCTCATCGTTCCCCCTGCAGGCCACCGCTTATCCAACGCCCTGGTCTTCCTAGTCATCGGCCAGAACCTGGTTGTTGCAAGGATCAGACACGGGAAATGGCCCGCTGACTTTAATCTCGACGGAGATATGGCACCCTGGGCTTGATTGTTATCTATAGGCAGTTTGCATCTACTTTTCTGCTTTGCAACGATATTTATGGCCAAGGTGGAACAAAGGGAGACGATCGACACTAGGGTACAGTTACCGGTATCGATAGTGATAGGACCTCTATTACGTTTCTCTAATCTGTCAGCCTCGAAGGGAGTAGACATATAGCCCGCGTAGAACGCTATTAATGTATACTTGCCGTATTACCGTGCCCTATTACCTCGGAAGCTTACAAGGAGATATAGGTCAACCAGAGGAAATTCGACAAATCAGCATTTCTAGCATCCTCTCTTTTCAAATCTCTCCCTCGAATACAAGCATCAACACAAGACCGCCGCCAATGACTATACTATTCAACACAGGAAGGCTAATGAGCCCAGCAACGCTGAAAGGAACCAATACCATCTGTTCTTCCGGCTTTAGCATCGCCGACCTAAAATACCAAGGAGATGTAATCCCCAGCCATGCAGCGACCCAACAAAAGCCAAGTGCCCTTTGCCACCAGGCCGGCAGGCTGACATTTTTATGGGGGCCAGATTTTCGTTTCCAGAGAGCCTGGACACCATCTTCAATGATATAGCCGACAACAAAAGATAGGAAAAAAGACATAGTCCCAAACTCCCATGGTGAAACGTTTCGCAGACTATCAAGTACGACGTGGATCACGCCGGAGAAAAAGAAAACGATGAACACGTTGGTGTACCGCTCCACAAACGTCGATCTAGGCAGACCGAGGATATCCCGCGCTAGAAAGTTACTAGTCGATGTAAGGGGCAGTCGTAGCATTTGGTGCCAGAATTTCCTATAAGAACCAATATTAGATCGAACCGAACCAACCAACATAAGATAAACCCACCCCCAGTAATTCCGCAGTGTGTATGCATCTGCCATTCTCCCAATCATCGGCGGGCTATTCGCCGGCGAATCCCCCAGACTCACAAAGAGGATCGAAGCGACGCGGTAATAAAAGCTGAGCAGAATCCGAGACACAACAAACCACGCAATGAGGCTTTGGATAGCCTGTTCTATCAATGCTCGTCCTGAGATATTCCATTGGCCCGAAGAAATTTCGTCCTGCTCATTCATGGCTTGTCTCAAGGCCAATACGCTAAATATGTCTCAGGGCTAGGAACTGCCAGACAGCAATGGAAGTTTCTCTAACCAAAAATCGACCTCGAGGGATCACCTTCGGATCCCTCTTAGTGTAGTATTCTGGGAATGGCGGGACGTTCTTCACTTGTCGGGGTGTGTTGACAGCCCGCGCAAATGTGACCAGCCGAACAGCCTCTACTAGGCGAGAGAAGAAGCCCTTGGTGTGTCCATTGGCGTCGACAAAGTCGCTCCCGGCTTGAGGGTTGATCAGCAGGAGATCCAGGGCTGTTAGGACAAAGGTTGCAGAGCTTCCAAGGAAATTGGTCGATGTGTACCCCGGATTCTGAACAGGGTACATCATATGGTACACAATCCATATCATACAAGGTATAGAGAGATATCGTATAGCAGATCGTTTAGGGGTTGTGATTAGGAGCATAGAGGGGATGAGGCACTGGAGGATGGAGAAAACGAGCAATCGCCCGTCTGATTGATACTGACTCATGGCTGTCGGGGATAAAACAAAGTGAAGTTTTCAGTTTCAGTTTCATTTTCAATGGGGTAATTAGGGACCGAGCGTGATCGGGCTGATGTGTATGATATTAATTGATTGGTGAATCGGAGCGTTTGCACGGTGGGCCCTAATCCATCCCTTTCCAGGTTATGTAATCTTTACAATATCATACGGATAGCTACAACATATGTACGGAGAACGATTTATTCAGGTACTAGTTAGTTTTGCTTTACTAGGGAATTGGCGACTACAACCCTTGAACACCTTGAATACCGGGGTTGAGCCCTGCAGATATAAAGTCTCATCTGCAGACTAACCACATTTGGAAACTGACTTTGGTGGCTGATGAGGCTAACCCGAATCGATCTATGTATATACGCCACGGATTAGACATCCTAGTCACCTGTGAACTGAATCAGGGTTTTCCTTCAAAAGTTGGTGAATCAATAAGCATGAAGTGTTGGGAAATTCTAAAGTGACTTGGAAGGTTATACCTGGTAACATGCCATGCTGGCTGATCACCAATTCAACCAATTTGGTTTGTTGAGACGGATAGTCCGAGGGTTGCCATCTGATCTGCTATCCTGTATAATCACGCAACAAGTATAATTGGGGTATATTGTCCCTAATTTTTATATTCTAACCTTACGAATCCTGCATCTTAGCAGATAATTTTTTTCATCGACGGTTACTATCAGTCACTGTGGACAATTGGCATTTCGGAACTAGGTTTTGTCATTTTCATCACAAGTAACAATGCAATACTCCATCTGGCCTCAGCATGTATTCTACCGAATATCCTTGATCCTTACAAGTTCAAATTTTGTTAATGTCTTCAGCTTTTTGAAGAGACTGCTGACAACAATTTGGTTAGGAGGAATATCACTTGAAGGGATAAAGGCGTGGCCCGCCATGAGAGTGTATCGGCTGCTCGGTGATGCTTACCGAGTAATTAATAGCATCTTGCGGTTACATGTGCTATAGTAGATAGTATATCTTGTAGCATGGTAGATGGAACTGAGCAAGATATATACTTGACCATAACTGAAAGTGACCTTGTCTATAGATCTATGGTCTACTAAATATGTAGCAAGTATATAAGTATATAACTAATACTGGCCAACCCTTTTTGAACACGTTGAATGATTATTCCTTTTTTTAATAGCAATGTACCACACTTAAACCTGAAATAATAACTCTATCAATTCTACTTGGAATCTGGCTTCTCTACGATGTGGCCCAGGCGGCACATATGGCCTGCTATACGTACATTGCCCGTCAATATAAAACGCTCTAAGTAGAGCATTTCCATGAAAGAGAACCCTTGCACTATCAGGTATATCAGCCAACAACGTGATCATTTCATATGTAGTTTCATACCAATACTGCCATCCTCCTATGACAGTAGCTTACTCTCGCCTTAAATTACACTCGTTATACCAAGTAGGCCTTCCACCAACAACAACCAACTCTCCAAACAAAAAGGAGCGACCTACATCGAAGAATTCAGACGTTATAACCCAATAGCACCGCCTTACAACCCTAACCCAAGCACATAGGCACTAATAATCTTTCAATATAAGAACAAGTTAGCCCCCGCTCGTCCGATGCTTATCTTGCCCTAATCTCGGGGCAGCGGAAGTCTTGTCCACACCTCGGTATGATTCCCCAGCTCCAGCACGGTCCCTACTTTATCCTAGGATCTAATCTCGGGACCTGATGTTCCTGTCAATCCGGGGTACAGGGGAGCTTGTGTGGAGTCTGCAGACTTGCGGGAGCTTGTTTGGTCTCCCTGGATTTGAGCTTATTCAAAATTACACGTATATCTATGTATTAATTACGGGTGGTATTTTTGGGCAGTAATTTTTTCTTTCCTCAAATGTTCACTTTCACATTGGACATGTAGTACTTGGTTTATCTTTACATAGAGAACAATTCTGGGACAATAGATATCTCATATCATTGATATTATCCGACGGTACATCACACGATCTAAATCCGCCGGGAGTGAACATAGGAAAATGAAATCTAACGGAGAATCATGTACGTCGACACCAGAAGAACCGGGTCTTTTCGCCCGGGCGGGAAGTAACGCCATACCCTCAGCAAAATAGGACAGACGCCGGGGTGACATCTACATCCGCAGACCTCCCCCGGAATCCCGCAAAAAAACAAGTCATATCATGCCATGCATTATACCACAAACCGATGCAACGGACACACGCTGCAAAGAACAAACAAATAAGGATTAAACTGTTTATGCACCGAATTCCTTGATGTCGGTCTTCTTGCCCTGGAGGGCAAGAGGGACGATGCCGCTGACGTGCATCTCGGGTCCGTAGACGTGCATGTCCAGGCCAAGCTCGAGACCGACGGACTTGATGTTCTTGAGACCCTCCTGGTAGTTGGGACCGGCACGGCGAACCCAGATCTGGACCTTGTGCTCATTGAGGAGATTGGCGACCTCGCGGATAGCGCGGATGACACCCTTGAAGGTGCTGGCCACGTTAGTGAAGTTGGCAATACCACCACCGATGAAGAGGACCTTGCCGTCGGGGTGCATGGGGGCACGCAGCATCAGGTCCAGCACGGTGCGGGCGTAGTTGAAAGTCTGGGTCTCGGTCGGGGCACCGGAGTACTCGCCGTAGTTGGCAAGCTCGCTGACGAAACCAGCGGAGGCAATGGCGTCGGCGTAAACGACGGAAGCACCACCACCGGCGACGAGGGTCCACACACGGCCGCTGGAGTTGAGAACGGTCAACTTGAGCGAGGCACCGGTCTTGGCATCCATGTCGGAGATGAACTTCTCCTCCTTGCTCAGTTCACGACCGAAAGGGGCGGGGAACTCCATCGGCGGGCCAGCGTCGATGCTGACCTTGCCATCAGCGGATGCAAGGGCAGGGGAGCCCAGGGCAGCAGGGCTACGAGCAACAGCCCACTTGGTACCACATTCGAACTCAGCGGTCTGGTCGAGCTTGGCGGCCAAATCCAAGAAGTGAACCTCGGCGGAGGTAGCGTCGGCGTTAGGGATGACAACCAGAGGGTTGATCTCAAGGTAAGTGAACTGGCAGTCAACGTAGACGGCGTAGAGGCGAGAGATGAAGTCAACCAGGACATTGTGGACACCCTTGGGGACCTTGCTCAGCAAGGTTGCGGCGATCTCCTCGTTGGAGGGGTAGTGCTTGAGGTTGACGGGGATCAAGAGCTTCTCGGCCTTAGCATCGACATCACCGACGTCAACACCACCTTCGTGGGTGAAGAGGATCCAGTCACCCTGGAATTGGACCATTAGCTTCCATTTCCCTTCAATTGCGCTCGGGACTGCGGGGAAATCTTACCTCGCGGACGGAGTTAATGTTGATGTAGTATTCGGTCTCCTGGGGGTGAGGCACGAAGGGCTCAACCAGGAATTGGCGGAGGACACCAGTGACAGTCTCAACCTGGACATCCTTAGTGGCACGAGCCTCAATCCATTCCCGAGCTTCAGCCCAGGTCTTGTTCAAGGCGAGCAGACCGCTCTTACCCCGACGCTTGATCAATTGATCGGGTTTGGCGACAAACTTAGCGCCGGGGGTCAGAAGCCAAGGGTAGGAGATCTCAGCCTGGTCGAGGACATCCTTGACGGCCTTGTCCTCGGGGAAGTGAAGGGAGGCGAGGCGGGCAGGAGGGTTGTGTGTTGCGGAGGCAGGGAGGGGAGTGGGCTTAATCACCGGGGCGCGAGTGAGGTGGTAGTTGAGGATGGCCTTGCCGTCGGCCTCGAGGATAGATTTGGCGGACATGATGTGTGATGGAGATTAAGGGAGAGATGTGAGAGAGAAAGAAGGAAAAGGGATATTTTGAACTGAAGGTAAGAAAGGGAGATTAGGGAAAAGGTGGGAACCTGGAGTGTACTGTAGTTTACGGCGTACACAAAAAAAAAGTTGTTCTGGAGATTACAGCGTACAACTCGGCAGGTCCCACCTGTTGAGGGACAGACCAGAACGGAAGATCCCAAAGGTGGGGGGGAACATCTGGAAGGATGTGCTCTTCGTTGGGAAATTCCCCACAATTGTACTCGAGGTGCTCCGTAAAAAAAGGACTCCATAACTCCATACGGAGTACTTACGGAGTTCGTATTTACTGGGTACTTCCGATCGCACCATTTTTCCTACCTATTTTGAGGTACTCCGTATATTATATGGAGTACTTGTTGGCCCCGACACCGGGCAGATGTCTGGATTCTGTTGAGTCGATAGACCGATATTACATGATCCCGACTTGGGTCTATACCGATATCGTTTTTGACGATATTTCGACCTACATACCAAATATTAGAAGGTAAAAAGACTATATGCACTTCAAATATCAATATTTTTTCGTATAGTATTCATCGCAGCACTATAGAACTCACTTCAACACCCCCTATACTCTTTTGTATTAGAGATGTATTTATAGTACCATATTTACGACGTGTGGGTACGGTATCGTCAGTACCCGGTACTTTGGGGACTGCCAAGTGTTGAGCTGTTCTGCGGATCCAGCGGTCTGGGACGAGCTGTACGGTGTATCTGCGAGTACTCCGAGTATCTCACCCCGCGGATTTTTCTCAACAGCTTCTGCCTTCTCCTTTTCTGTATTATCCCTTCTCTCTCCTTTTCTCTGTTTTCTCTAATTTCGCATCGAGCGGCTTGTTTAACGCATAAAGTGAGTTACCTTCTTTTTTCTCTCTTTTATCCATTGCTCTTCCGCATACCCCTCCAAGCGGCCTTCTTTACAATTGCCTGCACTATTGCACAATTGCCTCGAAATCGAACCCCGTCATACTAATTGGGACCCAGATTCATCATGCCCTCCTCTACTCTCTCCGCCGGTAATGGCGTGCAGTCTGC